CCAGCCGATGCATTTCTGTCTCGTCCAGCCGATGCATTTCTGTCTCGTCCAGCCGATGCATTGCTGTCTCGTCCAGCCGATGCATTGCTGTCAAAATCTTAGCCAAATCCCACAACATCATCGGATCCATCCATCTCCGCCTGGAAATGTTCAACTGTAGCTCGCGTTGGCGAGCATGTCTGGTACGAGTCTTAATGGAATCCAGATGGAAACCAAGACCAGACGTGGCAAGGCAAAACATCACTGAGTGTTGCAAAGTGTGAATGTTAAAAAATTGATTCGTTCCCGTCTGCGTTTGGTATAATGTACAGACCCCAGATGGATCGTGTCAACCCATCATGACACGATGACGCATGGACACGCAAACCGACCCATGATCACATTAGAAAATGACCCATGAACACCGTCACCCCGTAACCACCTTGTCAAAAGACAAGCAAAAGAAACCCAAAGAAGCAAACATCAAATCAAGCACTCTATTTGGAGGAAGATGAGTACTTGGTGACGGCCTTGGTACCCTCAGAGACGGCGTGCTTGGCCAGCTCACCGGGGAGGATCAGTCGTACTCTGCAGGCGCGTCAGCAAATGCCAGTGGACATGGAGAATGGGGGAGTACGCACGAGGTCTGGATCTCACGCGAGGAAATGGTCGACTTCTTGTTGTAGGCAGCGAGCTTGGACGCCTCGGTGGCGACGCGCTCGAAAATGTCGTTGACAAACGAGTTCAGAATCGACATGGCGCGGTTGGAGATACCAGTGTCGGGGTGGACCTGCTTGAGGACTGTGGACGCGTCAGAAAACTCTGTCTGATGAAACAAGACGATGCGACCGCAATGGAAGAGTCGAATCGACGGCTGCGCTCAATCGCAGATGCGTGCAGACCACGCGCCGGACGCCCTGGACATGGCAAACTCACCCTTGTAGATGTAAGACGAGTAGGTCTCCTTCCTGGTCTTGGTGCGCTTCTTCTTGTCGCCGGAGGGAGCGGCCGTCTTCTTGCCAGCCTCCTTCTTCTCAGCGGGAGCCTTGCCGGCCGGGGCCTTGCCGCCGGTGGTGGGAGTCTTCTGGGCCTTGGGGGGCATTCTGGCGGTGTTGGTAAATGTGTGGGTGGAAAAGTGGTGGATAAAGCTGGGTGGGCTGATGCGGATGGACGGTGAGTGCGTGGGTGACAGTCGAGATGGAGGGAGAAAGGTCGCTGTCGGGCGGGGACGCGCTACTTATGGCGAGCGCGCAGCGTGTTGTGATCCAGCAGCAGGCGGCGGGCCCGTGCGCGAGCTGCCTGCTGAATCACGCCGAGTGCTGCGCGATGGAGGGGTGGGCGCAGGCGCGGCTCATTGGCCGGTTAAGCGAGGCGAGTGTGATCTTGCGACAGCAGGCGGGCGCGCCCCGAGCTGCGACGCCGCCAGAGCTCCAGTCGCGCTAGCCCGCCAGTTGATCTCGCGCACCACAACACACCCGCGCCGTCCTTATAAGGTGTCGCCGCCCCCCACCACCAGCAAGCAATCCATCGTCTCGACACTCCCCGCCCGCCGCACGCCCAACGCCCATCTTCAGCTCCCAGCACCCTTATCTCCCAACTTTACCAACCCACCCAATCCACCTTCAAAATGACTGGCGGCAAATCCGGAGGAAAGGCCAGCGGCTCCAAGTCCAGCGCCCAGTCGTAAGTTCGCCTTTTCTCGCGCATCATCTGCGGTGTTTGACTTTGCGATTTCGCATCTTCAATGCCTTGTTCTGGCGTCTTTGACGCGTCTTGTACCCACTTGACGCGTCTTTTTCGATCCATTTCGCCCAGATGCATCCTCTTCCAGCTTTGAACGCTCTCTGACATGCCCCAGCCGTTCCTCCAAGGCAGGTCTCGCCTTCCCCGTCGGTCGTGTCCACCGTCTTCTCCGCAAGGGCAACTACGCCCAGCGTGTCGGTGCCGGTGCTCCCGTCTACCTTGCTGCCGTCCTTGAGTACCTCGCGGCCGAAATCCTCGAGTTGGCTGGCAACGCCGCTCGCGACAACAAGAAGACCCGTATCATTCCCCGTCATCTTCAGCTCGCCATCAGGAACGACGAGGAGCTGAACAAGCTTCTCGGACACGTCACCATTGCCCAGGGTGGTGTCCTTCCCAACATTCACCAGAGTACGTCTTCTCTCACAGCTCCTCCAGCTTCCAATGCTAACGCGATGCAGACCTCCTGCCCAAGAAGACAGCCAAGCCTGGCAAGGGTCCTTCGCAGGAGCTGTAAGCGCATTTTGCGTTTGAGTTCTTGCTTCATCGGTGTTTCTTCATGGGTCTTTTCGTCTGCAATGATAATGGGAGTCTGACTGGGTTTGGGTTCACGGCTTTTCACGGGGTTATACCAGAGCTGTATATTAGCTGGTCGCATTTTGGCCAGATGCTCACGAGCTGAATAAGGCGATATCACTTCATTTTTTCTCTGTGATATGTTCATTTTCAGTCCTCATTGACATGCAGGCACAGCGCGTCCAACACTCGCAGGCTTGGCGTTTTGCGCGAACCTCAGGGTTCAGTGCCGCATTGGTATGCACGCCCTCGTGGGCATGCAGGCAAAGCGCGTTCAACACTGGCAGCTTGGCATTCAGGTACGTCAGGGCCGCGCGCACTCGGCTCGTCAGTGATATTGTGATTGCGACCTCACGATGATTGCGAACTTTTGACGATTGCGATTTCTCGTTGCAACTTGACGATGACTGCGATTTCTCGATTGCGACTCGACGATGACTGCGATTTCTCGATTGCGACCTGACGATGACTGCGATGTCTCGATTGCGACCTGACGATGACTGCGATTTCTCGATTGCGACCTGACGATGACTGCGATTTCTCGATTGCGACCTGACGATGACTGCGATGTCTCGATTGCGACTTGTTGATTGCAACTCTTAATAATTGTGACTTCTTGTTAACTGCAATCTCTTGATAATTCTACTTTCTTAATGATTGCAAACGAGAATTGAGCTTTTGGCGACGTTAGCATTTGCGCATTTTGGTGCAACTCGTGGTTCCTAGACAATCGACGTGCAGACGCGTGCTATAGACTACAAAGCTACAGGTACTTCTCCTCTGATCGCTCCCCACCCGCTTACGGGTTCATCCATTTCGGCGGAGCTGGGCCCAGTTAGCACTGTATCATTAGTCATGTGACGACGAAGAGTACTCACGGTCCAGAATCGGGACGGGCAGGTTGCGCTCGTACTTTGAGCCTGCGAGACATGTCAGCATTGCCGTGTCCGCGGCCGTGGCGGACATGTATCCGCGATATAGCAACGCACCTCCTGGGGCCGTCGGGGCGCGGTACGGGTCGGGGTGCTTCCACTTCTCGAGCAGCGCCTCCGTCTCTGTGATCAGTGCCTGGTCGCAGCTATCAGCGCAGTCCTACGTCGTTGCAGTGGTAGTGGTGCTGGTGCTGGCGGTGGAATGGGCGCGGGTACGCACCCTCTGCTGTCGCGGCTCGGTGATGTGCCTGTTCGCCTCAAACAGACCGCGCAGGTACACGGCCTGCCCGCGCCAGAGGTAGCGGTGGACGCTCCAGTCGAGCGCGAGCTTCAGCGACTGCCGGTAGAGGCTCCTGCGGGTGCATCAGTTTCTGCGGGCGGCACGCGGCACGCGGGCGTCGGCGTACAGGACGTGCTTCTTGGAGCTCATGGCGACGGCGGGCCTTCCAATCGTGTGCGTGTTCGGGAGCGTGTGTGTGTTGTGTGGCCGCAATGCCTCGTTGGCGGTTGGCTGCGCGCGGTGCGATCGAGTTGAGGTGCTGTGCTTGGCATTACGCTCGCCCGGCAGACGGGCGCAGTCCATTCTTCCGACTGGACGCTCCGAGACGTCAGAACTGGTGCCCTGTTGCAGCTTCAGCAGTTCCCGCACAACACTCCTCCCACCTCCTTTCGCGGCCCTCGCCCACCCCCATTTGCTTCGCATTCCGTGCCGCCATCCGCCTCTCGCCCGCCATGTCGAGTCAACAATGCCTCCGCCGCCTGCCCAGCGCCGTGCGCGCCTCAGCCCTGCGCGCAGGTGCTCGCTCCGTCGCCCGCGCTCCCGCTGCTCGCAGCTACTCTGCCATCTCGCGGGCTACCGCTTCTGGCCTTCTGGCCCAGGCTTCAAGGTATGCGGTGCCATTAGACGTGCTGGGACGATAGCTAAGCCGATATCAGACGGCCCGCACAGCCCGCGACACAACGCCTGTGGACCCTCGACCAGACACGAAGCTATGGTGCGCTTGGCTGGAGCATGCAACGACTCACCCGCTAACATTGCTGCAGCCGACGTCACTACCGTCAAGGTCCCGGAGATGGCCGAGTCCATTACCGAGGGTACCCTGAAGCAGTGGTCGAAACGTGAGGACTGCCGCACCACAGCATCCCCGACGGAGCACTGATGATATGCAGAGATCGGCGACTACGTTGAGCAGGACGAGGAGATTGCCACCATCGAGACCGACAAGATCGATGTTTCCCTGAACGCGCCCCAGGCCGGTACCATTAAGGAGTTCCTCGTCAACGAGGAGGACACCGTCACCGTCGGACAGGATGTTGTCAAGCTCGAGGTCGGCGGCGCTGCGCCGTCTGGTGGAGAGAAGGCCAAGGAGGAGCCCAAGGAGCCTGCCTCCAAAGACCAGGAGACCGCATCGCAACCCTCTGGCGAGCAGGAGCAGGCCAAGGAGCAGACGCAGAAGCAGCCCGAGCCCAAGAAGGAGGAGTCGAAACCCGAGCCTCCCAAGCAGGCGTCGAAGCCCCAGCCCCCCAAGAAGGACTCGAAGCCTGCGCCCGAGGAGTCCAAGCAGACCCAGCCCGGCAGCCGCGGAGAGAACCGCGTACGTTGCTTGTGTAGCCGCGCAGAGCAATCGCTAACACCCTCCTCAGGTCAAGATGAACCGCATGCGTCTCCGCATTGCTGAGCGCCTCAAGCAGTCGCAGAACACGGCCGCCTCGCTCACCACCTTCAACGAGGTCGACATGTCGTCCATTATGGAGTTCCGCAAGCTCTACAAGGACGAGATCCTCAAGAACAAGGGCGTCAAGCTCGGCTTCATGTCCGCTTTCTCGCGCGCCTGCATCCTGGCCATGCGCGACGTCCCTGCCGTCAACGCCTCCATCGAGGGCCCCAAGGGCGGCGACACCATCGTCTACCGCGACTACGTTGACATCTCCGTCGCCGTTGCCACCGAGAAGGGCCTCGTGACGCCCGTTGTCCGCAACGCCGAGAGTCTCGACATGGTCGGCATCGAGAAGGCTATCGCCGAGCTCGGTAAGAAGGCGCGCGACAACAAGCTCACCATCGAGGACATGGCCGGCGGCACCTTCACCATCTCCAACGGCGGCGTCTTCGGCTCCCTCATGGGCACCCCGATCATCAACCTGCCCCAGACCGCCGTCCTGGGTCTCCACGCCATCAAGGACAAGCCCGTCGCCATCAACGGAAAGGTCGAGATCAGGCCCATGATGTACCTCGCTCTTACATACGACCACCGGCTGCTCGACGGCAGGGAGGCTGTCACGTTCCTCGTCAAGATCAAGGAGTACATTGAGGACCCCAGGAAGATGCTGCTGTAGGATGCCATTTAGCCAGTGGGCGAGAAGATGTAGTTCTCTTTTGTACATTCATGTAGCTTGAGCGCAGCCGGTCGATAGCTGGCCAATTGGCGTGTACGATTAGTTGGTCAATTGCATAATGAGCGTTCTGCCATCATCTTCATGTCCACGTGCTTGCTTCTCACTTTTATGTATGGGCTGTGTGATTGGTTGGTTAACTGCATAATGAGCGTTCTTCCATCATCTCAATATCCACATGCTTGCTTCCCATTATTATTTGTGGGGTGTGTCTGACTACCATTCTTCTGGTGTTGGTCGTGCCATGTGATCTAGGGTCTTGTGGCGTGAACCCATGTTGTGCGGGGGGCGTATGTGTCGTACAATCGAGGCCACGCAGACAGCTGATGCCCAATCTATCTCGCTTTCGTCCGTCTTTTACCTCAGTACTACATTATTTATTGATGTTTCCAAGGCGTCTGACCTCACGTTGACGATTCAAGGTGTCGTCGGAAATATCAATCAAGCCTGCGGTATTGAAAAGTGTCGGTGCATGGATGCTCAATTATCCACTTTACTGACAACATGAACCTCTTCGAAAAATCACCACGTCGACCACGACCTGTAAATATCGCCAGAAGCGCGTCATACTACTGAATCAACTATCCAGAATCAAGAGAAGAGGGTTTCACGCACACGCACGTCGTGGCGGGGTCGTTGTCGCGTTCGTCGTTGTCGGCCTGACTTGGGGAGCGATTGTTGCGCCACCACCAGAGCAAGGATGGCTACGAAGGGGACAACAACACAAGAGCAGCACGAAGGAGCATACGAGAGGCAAAGAAGTCATGGAGAGTATTAAAAGTCATTTCATCATGATTCTCATACGTCACGTCAATGCTTCTCGTCGCGGTTGTGTTGGGGAGGAAGGAGCAAACAACGGGCACCGACGTCGCGGCAGCCTTACCCTCGCCCACGGGCTTCCTCTGGCGAGGCATTGTCAGTGCAGCGTATTCGACGATGCTAGTGTCGCCCATCGCAAATGTATTTTGGGGCCGCAAGTTTCCCGGAGATCGAGCGTTCTCGTGCAAAATCTCTCATATCCTCGCCCTCGTGCAGTGTAACTCATGACCTTTCGGCAGACCGCTAGAGACCTGCGCAAAGATGCAAGCAGCTCAGCCTTGCGGCGATCGCTAATGGATCCAACGAGCATCGAGCAGCGCGCTTGCGATGACGCTACTTCACCTCCTAGCGCTTCGCCAGATCGGAACGGCGAAGATTCCGAGGGTCTTAGCGGCCGATCTTCAAGGCTGAGAGGCTGCCGTGCAATGCTTGACCTTGCTTGATCGTAGGATTTTCAAGATCATGTAACTCGTTTCCCCTGTCACACATAACTGTTTGAGGAAGTATCAGCGCACTCCTCAGAGGCGAACATTAGGTACGCAGTGATCAGGTCACGTTGAGACCGATCGCTCGTGTAGCAACGCGGTAGAAGAACTTCAAGCAAAGCAAATGCTCTAATTTACTGAGAAGAGCGCGAAACAATCCCTGCACTGCCGTGCTACCGAATCAATGTGCCATGCCGCTCCGCTCCGCCACGTACGCCACAGGGTGGCTAGGAAGCAGACTTGATCTAAAGGACGCACGACGATGCTTCTTGGAGAGTAGCGCGAGTGGTGGCCGTGAACGGCTAAAGAATAACGTCCGAACATGTATAGAGTCACATCCTCTCTCATGTATGAACTCTCCAATATCCAGCAACACATTGACTTTAATACCAGTCGAACGCCATAACAATTTTTCGCAAGCCTAGATCGACACAACTCCAAGATGCCATCAGTATTCTCAAGGAGCAAGGACAGCGAGAACGAGGTCACGCATTCAGGTGCCCCCGCCGACTCAACTAGAGCCACCCCTCCCGGATACGCAGACGATGCGATACCACCAACCTACAAGGCCACTTCGTATCTAACTTCACTCCGTGAGGGCGACCCCAATGACAAGATCGATGTTCCCATGATTCACAGCACCCACAAGCTCTCATTCGGCGACTACTTGCCTTGGGGCAGTGCGATGAAGACCGGCAAGCGCACTGTGATTTCGCGCAGCATGACGCGCGACTGCTACGTCAAGCACTACGCAAAAGACGAGGAGGGCAACTACATCGGCACTGAACGGCCATATCCTGATCATCAACTGGTATCGGTGCCGAATAAGAGCACCCCTGACGATATTTTGAAGCAGGCGAGTGACGATCTCCCTTAGCCGTAGCTTAATATGCTGATATGGTGGTAGCTGGATGAGTTTGTCGACGTGAGGCATGACATTCGACACCTGCATGACAAGAAGGAGCTCAAGCACATCCCAAATTAGAGACGGAGTTTGGTGTGATTTGATTACTATGCGAGTCTTCAGTGTTTCTGGTTCGTAGATATCCCTGCAATTCGATTTATGCTTTCACACGTACTCTGCTCGTAGCCGTGTGAAGCCTGCGCATGCATTTGAGAACGTAATATATAGTCGCTGATTATGCCATCACGAAGCGTTTGCGCAGCCAGCGCTACTGAGTATCATGACCGGCATGTCTGAGTGAAGCCAAAACTTGCAACTGTGAGTCTTCGCGCTCTCGTTGTACGTATACCCGGGAGTCGGACGTGGATGGTTCGGTCAGGCGTGATACGAGCAAGGAGGTCGTCGGAAAACGCGCAGCGACTTTGGCGACGAGTAAAAATCGATCCTGGGCGCTTAACGATGCAATCCGTATGCACAAACTCGAGGTCTCCATAAGCTTCGGGGCGCCGCGGGCTGTCAGGTACACGACAAACCCAAAACGGAGTATACCATGATGCTACGACATAGACTTGGATCAGAGGTAGACTTGATGTAGTGTCTCGGTTCGGTCTATGCAGTGGAACCTCGCACCGGCCAGTCCTTTGAGTCTTTACCCAACCAGTCTTTGCATGGCTTCTCCCAAGGCAGCCGTTGCTTCTCGCACTCGGCTACCTCATGGAAGCCCCATGCTACAAATGTGATGATGCCAAACGAAACCGTGATGAACAGGACCAGGATGACTACAAGGAGAGTTCTGCAGCAAGCAGAGGATCGCGTGTCGCGGGCGCGGAGTGTGTGGTGATGGTGATGGTGGACTTCGACAGTTCCATAGCCGCCGGGATAGGCTGGCGGGTTTGCATCGACTACAATAGTTTCGTGACGCTGTTATTGTTAGTGCGAAAGGCGGACAGGAGACGAAGATCACTAACAGCCATGTTGCGTGGAGAATGGAAGGCGTGTACCGGTCGTGTAGGGGCGGCGACGAACTTCAGCAAGCGCTGTCCGCGTCACTCGAAGTCTCGAACCCACTACTGGCACCGCGCCGCGCTCGTGACCTTGCCTAACACCATGAAGTACTCAACCTCAACGCTCACTGCCACGTTCTTCTCATCATTCGAATAAAGATCTTTCCAATGGCCAGCAATACTATCAGGTCGCACCGTACCTGATCCGTCACGCGTGCGGCGCCTACAGTGGTCACACGTCCTGCCCTTAGGTATCGCCTCACCTGCAGTCCTCCGCCGAGGAAACTCTGCCAGCAGCATGGCACCAGCACAGCACCTGTGCGATAGTCCCTGCTTACATAACGGCGAACTGGATGCGTAATACAGGCGGTGCTGATAATAATTGCACACGGCTTGAAAATGGTGCCGGGTGCTCGCCATGTATCGTTTTCTTGAATGTCTACCCGGGTGTACGAAGCGGTGTTTCCGATGAGGCTCTTCGGAGCATTCCGACTACCGGTATACCGGTAGTCTGTGGCAGCATTTCCTTGCCCTGATGACTCTAGTTCTGGTGCTACAAGAGAACATGGAAATATCGTGGCTTCCGGAGTGGGTCTCGCGTGGCATCGAGTCCTCGACGACCATCAGGAAGACGTCCTCAAGGATCTGCCAAGGCTCTACCGACCTAGAGACTTTGCGGATCCTCGTAGTGGAGTTCAAGAAAATTGGAGACCATCGAGACCCTTCTCCACCTCCCGTGAACATCAGAACAGCTTCGGCGTTTACAAGACTTCGCAGATTGCCTGATGCCTGTTTCTGCTGGTAGGAAGTTGACGGGCATACTCGGCCTCTCTGAGCCATTCTGCCGTCAGGAGAAGCTTTCGCTACACACAAATGCTGTGGATTCTTGGACGCCTGCATCGCTTCCTGCCGTATATAGAAGCGGACGCGTCCTTCAATAGTTTAGAAGGCCCTCGAGCTCGCTTCGGCCTCGGAGCCTGGAGACTGCCAAAGAGTGCACACGACCCGCACTTCCCGTGTTGGAGGATGCTCCCACAAGAGTAATCGAAGTGGCTCTGCACAATGCAGCTCGTTGCCAACATGGCATCAAATAACAGCGCATCAAAAGCGCACCGACCAATGCGATGATCGCTTGAGCGATTCCACGGCGACCACGCCTCGTGGGGACTTCCTGTCTTTTCTCTGGTTAGATGTAGAGAATCTGGGCTACATGATAGTCGCCTTGCTGAACGACTCGGTCGCAATAACTTGGCGCATATTCAACTCAGTCGCAATATGCAAAGGCATGACTACTTATCTTCCTTAACTGCAAGTTTGCTGACGAGCAAACGGTGCGGAGGCTACTAACTCCTTTCCAGCTTGTGAGGTGACTATTACCCCAGATGCGGATACTCAGGATCACTGTTCACACATATGTGATGGCGGACAATCATTCCTTCTCGGAAACTTGCATTGCTATCGCAGAGCTGAGGTCTGTGCCCGCAGGTCACGCAGCCGCCAACGTCTTTGCACCATTCGCTCGTTGTCCGCACCATAGCATTCGTGAACGCCTGACAGCAGGGTTCTCCAGATACGCAACATGGATCTGAAAAACAAAAAGAATGGCTACCATAGCGCCAACGGCGCCACCATTGATTGTGGAAACCATGATTCGTATTTCGAGAAAATCGATGCGGCGGCTGGTCAATCCTCGGTGTGACAAGCTGACAGGAAAGCGAACCATCCGAAATGGACAATGAGACAGGCATGTGGTACGAGGCGTCCACTGATTCGAGCCTCGCTGTAACGCCTACGAACACTGGAGCTGTGTATCCCCAGCTCATGCTCCAGGCCCTAGCGTGTCAGATACGCTATCCAACGAATGCCGTTGTGGGGTATTGGTAGTTATGCCATCCTGGTAATAGAGACCCACCACCACCACGCGCGGTTGATATGGCGGGATATTTGACAAGCCTAGCACGCCCTACCGAGCTTTGAGTATCGCACAGACATTTGCGGGGTCGTACAAGACTACCTTCGAACTCGTAGGCGGTGTAGTATGCGCAAAAGAGAACTGATTGCATTTTAGTCAAAGCAGATCGGCGTTAATTCAGACAAGCAGTATTGTGGCTTACCATACCCGGCGTCCAAATTTGCGACCGACCGTCACCAGGTGAGTCCTAGGAGAGATTTTGCGGTCATTCGTTGCTTCCATGTGAGCCATGTGCAGGGGAGAGTTGGCTGGGCGCCAGCTTCAAACAACACGGCACAGTGTGTGAGTTCCTTCACGGACGCGCAATCTAGCGTCGAGTTCGCCCGAGAGTTCGGGGCTTTTATTGTTATTTGCCCACGCGCGGCTTCAGTTGATGGCGGGGGCCCAACCACCAAAACTGCAGCTAGGAGCCTGCTGGCTTCGGGTGATGTGGACGAGCTTGACTGCCCCAAGTTTGATCATTCTTCTACGACATCCCGCTCCACGGACCGACAGTTGGACTTCCGTGTTAGGAAATGCAGGCACGAAGAGATTCGAGCTCCGTCTCGGTCGTGTGCACTGGTTGTCAATCACCGGGCTGAGCGAAAAGCCAGTGGAGAGAAACAACAACCCCCTCTAGAAATGTGAGATGCGGAGTACCATCCTCTTCGAGTATAGGCTAAGATGTGCAATGTTACTCTAACTACCCACTGAAAGCCACACGCATGCACCGTGCTTGCTGTATTACCGTTCGTTGGGGATCCATATTAAAAGCTGGGGTCCCACACCGACTCCAAGACATCCCCAGCTTTCACTTGCATTCGCGGCGCGGGACTGCTCTTCCTAGTCGGAGATCTCGGAACATTCTCTTTCACTACTCCAACAACACAATAGCTAGTTAACTCAACTACACCACAACACCAAACATGCCTGGTGGTGGAGCAATTCCAGTCACTGGCACGGCCGACGTCAATCGTGTCGAGGCCCCCGTTACCGTTCGTGCCTATCTGATTGTTGCGTTCGCAGCTTTCGGTGGAATCTTCTTCGGATACGACACCGGTTGGATGGGTGGTGTCCTCAACATGGACTTCTTCATCAAGCAGTATACTGGTTACGAGTACCCTGATGTTAAGATGCCTGGTGCCAGCGCCGAGGAGGTTAAGGCCTACCGCAATAACTTCTTCAGTATCCCATCATGGCAACAGTCTTTGACAACCTCTGTTCTGTCTGCTGGCACATTTTTTGGCGCCATAATTGCTGGTGATCTTGCCGACTTCATTGGTCGCCGCATGACCATCATCGTGGGCTGTGGTATTTTCTGTATCGGTGGTATCCTCGAGACCGCGTCTACTGGTCTCAATGTCATGGTTGCTGGTCGTCTCATCGCTGGTTTTGGTGTTGGTTTCATCTCCGCCATTGTCATTCTGTAAGTCACTGAGCAACGCTTGTCTGAACGCATCTATTAACAAAGACAGCTACATGTCTGAGATTGCACCGCGCAAGGTCCGTGGTGCCGTCGTTGCTGGCTACCAATTCTGTATCACCATTGGTATCCTGCTCGCCAACTGCGTCGTTTACGCCACCCAGAACCGCCGCGACACGGGCTCGTACCGTATCCCCATCGCTGTACAATTCCTCTGGGCCATCATCCTGGCCGTTGGTCTCGCTCTACTGCCCGAGTCTCCCCGATTCTGGGTCAAGAAGGGCAAGCTTGACAAGGCTGCCGCCGCCCTTGGTCGCGTCCGTGGCCAGCCTCTCGATTCCGAGTACATACAGGATGAACTTGCTGAGATCATTGCCAATCACGAGTACGAGATGTCTGTTGTCTCTCAGACCAGCTACCTCGGCTCATGGGCTGCTTGCTTCGAGGGCAAGCTCTCCAGCCCTTCTTCTAACAAACGCCGTACCATTCTCGGTATCTGCATGCAGATGATGCAGCAGCTTACTGGTATCAACTTCATTTTCTACTTCGTAGGTCCCACAGCCAAAAAACGTTTTCGGCTGATAAGCTAACATAGTATAGGGCCCCGTCTTCTTCCAACAGCTTGGTTCCATCAGCAACCCCTTCCTCATCTCTCTTGTCACCACCCTAGTCAACGTGCTCTCCACTCCCGCATCCTTCGTCATGGTTGAAAAGATCGGCCGCCGCCCCATTCTCATCTTCGGGGCTGCGGGCATGGTCATTATGCAGTTCATTGTTGGTGCTATTGGAGCTACCGCTGGCAAGAATACTCCCGACCATCCGGCCAACCCTAATGCGACCCGTGCTATGATTGCGTTCATCTGCTTGAACATCTCGGTCTTCGCTACCACTTGGGGTCCCGCCGCCTGGATCGTTATCGGTTCGTCAAACATGCGCACCAAACGGGAGTTCTGCTGACTTTGAATAGGTGAAATCTTCCCCCTTACAATCCGTTCTCGAGGTGTTGGTTTATCTACTGCTTCCAACTGGTACCTTCATCTCTTCTTCCACAAACCTAGAACTACAAACCTGACATTCATAGGTTCTGGAACTGCATCATCGGCGTCATCACGCCCTACCTGGTCGCCGACCGCGCCGACTCCGCTCGTCTCGGATCCAACGTATTCTTCATGTGGGGCGGCTTGTGCTGCATCTCCTTCGTCTTTGCCTACTTCCTGGTGCCCGAGACCAAGGGCCTTACGCTCGAGCAGGTCGACAAGATGCTTGAAGAGACTACCCCCCGCACGAGCCGCAAGTGGAAGCCTCACAGCACTTTCGCGGCTGACATGCACCTTGGCGAGAAGCATTTTGAGATCCCGGTTGGCACTGAGACTGTTGGGACCAAGACAGAGACCTCTGCTGTCTAGGCTGTCATTTCTTTGCGGAAATGATCAGCCCTTGAAGCTGGTCACGGCTGCAACGAGTCGGGATGTCGAGCGTAATCACCTGAGTCGAACAAGGATGATGTTTGGTAATTGCTGGCTGTGTCGGTCGCATCGACTGTGCCCATACACGTCGCTAGGAATGATATACCCTAGGGCCAGTTATCGTTGGCTTCCCCTATTTGCACCTACCAAATGCACTCACTGTACCATCTGTTCATGGTCCCAGCTCTGATCTTCCTCTTGTCAGCGATGTCTCCAGCCTCGAGCAGTCGCCCCTGGAACCTGAGTATGCCTTACCAACCGACAGATTTGGCTGGTACTAGAACTAGAGTACGACTTGTAACCCTCAACAGTATCATGGTAAGCCATGTTGAGCATGCACGCCTGAAACTGATTGCACTTCAATCTTATCTCGACTTGTGCCTCCTCCAGACATGGGTTCAACATTCTGACATGTGAAAAGGTGCGGTGTAACCCCAACAAGCGTCCACGAGGTACGCGTGCAACGCTCCACGAGCCACACGTACCTTGCCCTTGGGACCTGCCTCTTGTTCCACAGATTGCCTAATGTACTACTCAAAGAGCCTGGACCTGCTTCTCGTGTTGCCCCCTGTATCAGCCATGTGTTACTGACAATCAGCTCTCGTCGCAGAATGCATACATGCAGCATGTCTTGAGTGCGTGCGATGGCGGTGCAAAGAGTGAGGTAGACATTCATTCGTTAGACCGCACTGACTAATCAGACACGGTGTGAGATGCAGAGCTACGTTCTACAGCAACACGGCGGCGCCGGGTATCGTACACCAACAGAACAATCTTGGCCAGACTCTCTATGCCGTGCTCTTATTCTGTTCGCGCAAGAAGACTTCCACGTTCTGATCCTTAGCCGCGTCAATCTGCCTGTCCAGCTGCTGCTCAGCAGGGCTCTTTGTGCGAGCGGGCTCAACGACCTCATCCTCCTTATTATCCGCAGGGCCTGACACAGCGCCCGTCACAGCGCCGGCAACAGATGACACGGTCGAAGTGACGTATCCTGTGGCCTGCGCGGCTACATTCTGCGCCTGCGCGAGGTAACCTGGCGCGGGCGTTTCTTCGCGTTCAGGGAGTGGGATCTGCTTTGGTGCCTGACCGACGGTGTTGGGCTCCATCGTTACTGTCTTGTCGCCATGGCCGTGGTCCTTGACTGCTGCGTCTGGTGTCCCCTCTGCGAGCTGGCCTGAAGCATGTGTTTGATTTTGCTGCTCGAAGCGCGCTTCTGAGGTGCCTTCGCGAATTGGCAGCTGTGTCTGCGCAGGGGTAGACGAGGGCGCTGTACTGGCTGCAGCCACGTTTGGCGATTGGTCTGTCTCAGATGGCGAGGGCGAGTCGGAAGGGTGCGACTGGTCCGTGGTAACGTCGTCGACGTCAGGAGGGTGGGTAGCAGTGCCAACGGTCGTGAGGGGATTGCCGAGCTCGTGAGCGGGTGTGTTGACCATCGGCTTTCCCGTTCTGTAACCCACAGGGTTTGGTATGGTGAGGACAAGCTCTCGGCGAGGCTGACCGTTCACTCGCCCCACAGCCCAGGCTTGCTGCTCTCCATTTGGCCCCTTCTCCCATTTCACAGGTCCAATAGGCAGTGTCTTCTTCCCGTTTTGCATGCTCGGCTTCTCCCACTTGATGGCAGCCTCAATCTCGGGCTCCAGGTTTGGCATCTCTGTCCATCCAAAGTCGAGTCCACCTCCATACTTCTTGGGTATGTTCTCGTGGTCAATGTACTCGGAAAGAGTCTGGTAGACATTGGCAGGCGACAAGATGAAGATCTTAGATACAGTGATGGGGTCAAACCAGCGCTTGACCCAGCCCCAAACGGTAGGGAAGAAGCCAGGTGCACCCACAACGAAGATGCGGTCGAGCGTCTCAGGGTAATGCGCCGTGGCCAGGACGGATGCATCCTGCATGTGGTTCTTCAGGTTCCAGAACTGCTTCAGCCCAACGTTGCTGATGTCTACGATGTTGTTGCTCTGTGAGATGGGCGTCTCGGGGTGGGGACGTGTGACCATGGAGCACAGAGGTGTGACGAAGCGAGTGAGCGACTCGTACAGGGCGAACAGTCGGAGGTTCTTGGTTGCGACTTTCGGCGACGTTGTCTTTGCCTTGGCAAGGGCCTTCTCGTACGCAGAGATGTTCTTCGAGTTCAAGGGGGCAACTTCGAACAAGTACAGCGGGATGCCGCGCTTGTCGCGTCGGCCGAGCCACTGGGGGTACTATCGCGGTGTGAGCTCAAGTGCTGCGGCGGGAAGAGGGGAGGAAATAGTACCAGCTGGCGAGTCTGCTCGTACTCTTCGACCTCGATGGTCTCGAACAGATCGACAATGTTCTGGTCCTTGCGCCAGTCCTCGGTATCTTTGAACTGCTTGAAAGCCTCCTGTGGCATGAAGCGGCGCGCGCGCAAGAACCGACTGCTTGTTGTCAGTACTCCGCCTGCCGCGCTGCAAGGTCCTCGAAAACAGCGTACAGCATCGTCTCGTCGTCATGGCTCGCTTCGGCTGCAGCTGTCGCAGGAGTAAAGTAGCCCTGCTCCTGCGCAAGCTTCTCGAATGCTTCAAGCTGGGCTTGCTGGTTCTCGGTCAGATGCGCCAGATGCCCCGCAGGGTACTGCATGGATTCAACTCTTCTGAGGTCTGCCATGTTGTGAGTCGCTGATGAAGGTAAGAGGAGCGAAGAATTGTCCAGAGGAGCACGTCAGCGGGAAAGCGGTCAGATGCAAGTAATATTTCGCGTCATCGTATCTAGCTATGAGCGCCCTGCGGCGGGAAGCGGCAGTGATGTCAGCTAGCGCCTGAGGTCAAGATCATGCCGGCCTCGCGGCGTGGGATTCGCGACATCCGGTCCGGTCCGGGACGGCCGTGACGATTTTGCAGACGCATGAAGTCTGTTGGCAGTTGCTAAGGCGCCACGAGAAGCTTTGTTCATGAGAAGGCCGTTGTACTCTCCGAGAGTCAAGGTTTTCCCAAGATTGAATCCGAAGCATCCGGCCATCGCTCCCGTGTCCCACCATCAGCCTTGTGCCCCACCATCCCCGCGCTAGTATCGAAGCTCCAATTTCTGTAGGCAACGGTCGTCTGCGCACAACAGCTCTTCTACACTCTCCCCCCTGTTCAGGTGCATAGTGTCTTTACCCCATGTGCTGGCCTCCTAAGTAGTTAGGTAGCCCTGTCCATACTTGCTATAGGCTTACGCACCCTTGTAGCTCGGAGATACAAGGCCTCTTAGGGGGATGCTTAGACCATGCGCATATACAAAAGATACCTAGGAAGGCTTTATGCTGGCTCGCACATTGGCTAAATACCACGTTAGGTGTACATGTACACTAAGCTGTGAAAAGATTTCGTCAGAACCAACGCTCAAACTCAAGCTTTGGTTCTACGTACTTACTCACTGCCCACCCGCTAGTCAACAACATCATAGCAACCGATGGTACTCTGGCTGGGAGCTGTTTGAGGAAGTTCCATTTCAAGCAGATCGAAGGATCTCATGCAGAAGAGAATCAACAATAACGATGTGAGGCCAAAGTCACCCTCCCCAGGCGATCTGGTATCGTCGGCTGGCGTTCAAGACAGAACATCGTTCCAGTGACCGCAAATTCTGGCCGCGAGCAAATCCAAACCTGCCTGTATCCTTTATTATCAAGATGCTGCTTGTATATCAAGATCAGCCTGGAGGAAGCCATTCTTCTGCTTCTTCCGACCTCGACCGTCAAGGTGACTTCGAGGGATTTTGGTACGAACTGTACATTGGCTTTGTAGAGTGCCCCAGGGTCCATCAACGTACACGATAGGGTGTACCTCATCCTCCATGGGTTTGCAGACGATGTCATGCAAGTCAGATCCTGTGCGACGAGGTACTCTCGACAACAGCCAGTCTGGCGGGACATGTCACTCGGAGACATGCCGATGATTAAGTATCGCAGCACCACCTGCTATTCTGGTACATATACCATCTATTTCAGAGTGGCAGAAGCGATCCATTTCCCATTCGGGTTCCGCAAGTCGTGGTATATTGAGGTTGGTTTAAGTGTATCTGTATGTGGATGCAACCGTCCTCAAATCTTTGTCCCCGCAATTGCCTCGCCTGGTACGTAGCGATCTGAGAATAGCATATCACTGACACTCTCCGCAGTTGCGAAAAAGAAACTCCGGAATTGCGACGATTAAGAACAGGGAGGATTGCAATCTGCCGGTCGAGGCAAACAGCAGCGGGGACAGGGCGGCGGCTTCTTCTTCCGATTGGCGTTTTGATCCACAATCTGCCTTTCCCCAGATCCTAGCCATGTCATCGTTCGAAAATCTTTCGATCGGCAAGCGTTTTCGCCGGTAGAGAAACAACAGCCTTGCTGTACTTGCGAAAACGACCTTCGCATTCATTGACGACGGGGTATGCTTCGTTTGCTTCTCATTCTCCCAAATTCCGATCACTCGTTACCAGCATCACAGTACGCCGGTCAACGAGACTACAGCTGCTGAACGGGTAACATCGATGCTGAAGATATGCACGTCACGAAGTCGCTACCTACACCTCCATGGGTATAGTGGCGATCACTTTATGTCGGGCGAGAAAACCCCGCGCGACCGACAACCACGGCATTTTCTCCGTACAAGGTATACTCTCGTTGGTAACAGGGCTCGATGATATAAGAGGTAACATACATGATTTTCGAGCACTTCTTCGCACCTTGAGTATCTCCAACAGCCACCATGGCCTTATTCAACATCGCGCTTTCGTTCTTGGTCTTACATCCTGGGCTCGTCCAAGGTCAAGATGATCTCGGTCTGAGTAATGGCTACACCACCTTCGCGGCTGTGAGCCTGAAGGGCGAAATTGTCAAAAGCTCTCAGACACTCGCCTCTTTAAATTCAACCGGGAACGAGTTCGATTTTCTTCCATCCGACCGACTTGGCCAACTGGCCTTCAACGGTGCTCATCACCTGGGCGATATCACACTTCGTTACCGCACGTCAACTGGCGGAGCGTGGACCAGCATCGACTCTGCGAGCGAACGTAAGCCCGTCACAGCACTGAACCGAACTAGTCAGGGTGTCATTGCCGCTGCAGATTTGGCACCCACCCTGCCCAGCAACCTTCCTGTCAAGGTCATCCGGGAATGGCTTCAGTATGACGACGACTTTGCTGTACGATTCAATATCACAAATGATGGAAACGAGACCGTAGAGTTGGGAAGTCTCGGTCTGCCAGTCAGCATCAACAACATCTTTACTGACAAATCTGCCGAAGATACTGCAGCCCAGTGCGCCCTCGCTGACCCTTACATTGGCCTCGATGCAGGCTATGTGCGTGTCTCACATCTGGAAGGTACCGGTAATGCTCTAGTCATCACGCCGATTGGAGCGACCAAATTTGAGGCTTGGAGGTTTCTGGAGGAGCCCGATGGCAATTTCGGCTATCAATCACAGACCTTCGAAGGAAACTACGAGTGGCAGATCCACACTCTCGCCTATGCACAGAATGAGTGGAATGATAGCGTACCTTGGAACGAACCTACCTCGAAAACTCTACAAAATGGAGAGACATACTCAGTTGGACTCCGTTTCTCAGTTGCAGAGAAGATCCAGACCATTGAAGACACTGTTGTCAAAACTGGATCTCCTCTTGCAGTAGGCATTCCAGGCTACATAATCCCAGCCGACTCCTCAGCTCGCCTGTACCTCACCCATACCTCACCGGTCAAGAAAATCGACGCTGAAGGTGCTTTTACTATTACGAAGCTCTCTTCGTCCGACTCTGCATACAAGCTTACACCGGTACCTTTAGCATGGGGACGAGCTCGCGTGACGATTAAATACGAGGATGGCAAGACACAGACAGTTCACTACAAGATCACCAAAGCAGCGCCGTCCGCACTTGCCGATATGGCCCACTTTTTCTCGACTGCAGCTCACTTCAACAACACTTCGGACCCATTCTTCCGCGCACCATCAATCATGACTTACGACCGTTCAGTTGACAAGATCGTTGAGCAAGACGAGCGCGTTTGGTTTGCCGGAATCAGTGATGAAGCTGGTACTGGAGCATACCTAGCGACCGCCATGAAGCAGTCTGCCCAACCTAACGCAGACGAAGTATCTGTCGTAGATGAGTTCGTGCATAAAACTATGGTGGGCACTCTGCAGCAGAACGATACCTTCGGTGTCGTCGCTAGCGCGTTCTACTATGAGCCAGGTGTTGTCAACTACACTTACGACGATTCAATCGACTGGAATACCTGGGCGGCTTGGGATAAGGCGCGGGCATATACCACACGCCGAGCCTACAACTACATCCACCCGGTGGCCACATACTGGTCACTTTACCGAACCGCCAGAAACTTTCCTGACACGAAACTTCGAGCTGAGTGGTCGTGGTACCTTGGTCGTGCGTTTAACACCACTCAGTACTGCTTGTCCGACGAAGGTGCAAACTGCGACTACGCTCTTGTTGGACTGATGGGCGAATGGGTCCTCGGTGAGCTTCTCAAGGACCTCAAGCGCGAAAGCATGACCAGGGAAGCCTCCGCTCTCGAAGACTCAATGCGCTTCCGCGCCAACCACTGGGAGACCCAAGCCATCCCCTTTGGGAGTGAGATGGCGTGGGACAGTACCGGCCAGGAAGGTGTCTATTACTGGACCGACTACTTCAACTTCCCCAACACGCCCGCCAAAGCCATCAACAGCATCCTCGCCTACATGCCGACTGTTGCTCACTGGGGCTGGAACGGCAATGCGCGCCGCTACTGGGACTTCGTCTACGGCGCTAAGATCCAACAGATCGAGCGCCAGATCCACCACTACGGTTCCGGTCTCAATTCGCTGCCTATGCTGCACTCGTATGAGCAGAATCCGAAGGATAACCTTTACGCTCTTCGCATTGGATTCGCAGGTAACACCGCACCCATCACCAACATCGACAAGGGCGGTTTCGCATCGGCGGCGTTTCACTCTTTTCCCGAGCTCTTGGAGTGGGATCCCTACTCTGGCGACTACGGGCAGGGCTTCTTGGGTCTTGCTCTCGGACAAACCGTCTACATCGTCAAAGATAGTAAGTTCGGCGTCCAGGCTTTCGGAGGCGACATTGATGAGACGACGTCCACTGCTTCATCGACTGTTGTTGCGCCCAAGGATGCGGTGAGGAAGCGCGTATTCGTTGCTGATTTGGGTCTGAAGGCTGAGATCAGCGCTGGTGCGATCACGGAGATCGTATACAATGAGGCTACGCAGAAGCTGGGCCTGAAGATCGCACCTGCTGTGTCCGATAAGGCACTGCGGGCTAAGTCTGCGATTGTCTGGCTGGAGCAACCTGGCTTAAGCACTGTTGGCTTTACCGTTGCGGGCGCCAAGCAAGAGCGTGGTGGCTTTGCAGTCGATCTCTCAAGTGGTAGCGCAACGGTTGAGATCATCAAGTCGTGAGCGATGGACAGTTGCAGATGGACTCCATAATCGTGGAGTCTCATCTCAGTTATAATCGGTCTGTTGTACAGTGATACTACACATAATTTTAACCTTTTGCGGATCATGCTCGTTTTCCTGCACCCGAGCTTTCCTCTCCGAAGGTCTCCACACACATCTTCGACTCTCGATGTTCCAGCTCATCCGCACTTACGAAAGCGGGGGCGGTCTTCCATCTCGTTCTCTTGAGGAAACGAATGTTTCCAGTGGCGGTAGAGCATGTTCACTTCTGAGACATGAGAAGACGAGGATGTGTTTGGGTCGGGTGACAGGATCGCTGTAGTTTGGGGCCGCCGGGCCGGCCATGACAGAAGCACGTCAAGTGAAATATGGATGCCTCCAGCAGAAATTCGGGGGATAAGACTGATGCGGGTTGGATGCCTTCGACGTACTTTGCCCTGTAAGTGTTGCTGGAGCTCCGGTGTGGCTTGCGTTTTCGACTTGATGTAGCACTACGGCTAAACAAAGTTCTGGAGCGCGATCAGATGTCAAGATATCTTGAAACGACACGGCAGTGGCTCCAAGCATGTCTCAGTAAGCTCATGCTCCAGATGCTCGTGTGATCCGTGGCAGAAGATCTGATGTGTGCAGTAGATGTCGCAGAGAGCTATTGAAAAAACTGTAACAATGCTCGCAAAGTACAATTGCATTGGTTTGTACTGTACACTAATGCAGATATCGGTGACATTCGCGCAAAGTCATCGATCCTGAGACCGGATTCGTGTTGCGGCTGATGGTCGATTTGACAGTCGTTGGATGGTCGCGTAGTTGAAAACCGAGCAGCAAATAGTCTAATTACGTGTTTAACTGAATTTTCTTACTGCGGCAGAAAGACGATGCGGTATATTTGGTGGCGGCAACCATGTTCCTGAGCCCATAGCTTGTCCAATATCGATATTTCTGGGGTACCTGAGATCCATATCTGTGATCGACGAGCTATGGCTTGTGATGTCTTAGCTGGCTTGCTCAGATCTGCGCATGCGTCGTGATTGATAACAAGACTGAGCGTTTGTCGTGTTGCAGGGTGCGAGGATGCTGCGGAGCCATCCGTGTGATGTAACTTCCTGCACATCGAAACTTGATTGTTACTGCCGTGGGCGATTATCGAGATTGCATTCCAAGATGTCAATCGCAGAGTCCAGGTACGGTCGGTGGTTCTCCGAGCGGTAGCAAACGTTGGACAATGCCTGCCGAATTCCACAAAATGGGTCGAAAAATTTGCGGACTCACAATGTCGAGCCCTATAAAGGGCACATTTTAGAAATGATTCTAATCGCAGAGCGTATCTTGTGTGCTCCCTGAGCATGCGTATGAAGGATGAGAGGGGCGTGGCAGCTCCGCGCTGTACTTTCACTTCGACCCTTAGTACTTCGCTTGATCGACGTGTCCATTTGCATATAAGCATGCGCTCGATTGGATGAAAACTTTCTCTCTACATCCTCCACTACTAACACTGCACTGTGCTCTACAAAAGTCATGTCGAACGCGGCTGCACAAGAGCAGCACGGCCAAGAAAAAGCGCCTGCAAGTGAAGCACTTGTATATTCGGCTCATTTGGGCCTAGTCGCGGTAAACGCGCTGGCTACTCAGCATCTGTAGCATAACGTTCGAATCATTTTGACTGGAACTTACATGCTTCAGGCATCGACAGGTCGACCGAAGACACATCGAGTGGCGCAGGAGGCGCCAGAAAGAAGCCCGAGGCCGACCAGTACACCGATACGCGGTTGAGTACGAATGATGGAAAAGTCGCCGATGGGACTCTGGACGACGTTAAGACACATACAGGGTCCCTCGACCTCCAAGACATCGGTCATCACGTCACGACTAAGGGCCTTGCACTCACCCTGGACCAACTCCCAGAGCCGAAGTCATACACTTTCACCAGCTCAGACAATAAGGGGTACTTTGATGACAGGAAGCTACCTCGGCGGAACGGACAGCTCCAAGGTGTGGGCGAGACTGAAGATGTACTCTTCGAAGCCAGATGAGGTTGAGTTGGTCTACTGCAGCTTCCTCTTCAATACAAGCCAGGCAGCATATGATCCATCCCGACTAACGATCAGCATTTATCCCTTCAGTGTTCTCGCAAAGGACAAGGAGAATCTGATTGTGCTCGTACGCTATGTGTTCAGTGAGGCTGCTAGAGACGGTCGGCTTTTCTCAGCCGAGGATAAGAAACCCTAAAGAGCGCGCTAGGCGATATTGGAGAAGCCATCGAGAAGGCAGGAGGTAAGAAGCGATCATCGAATCGATACCACCCTTGCTAACGTGATGATAGACGTGGACAAATTGCTGAACATCCATCCACCCAGCAAGCTCCTCCAAGGCTTCTCGTACATGGAGAGTCCTCCTATCTCAAAAGCTACCAAGAGCGCAGAGGTGTCCGACCCGTCCGAAGCAGAGATCGAAGTGTATCGACCGCGAGACACCCCATCCGAGCGCCAGATCTTCGTACCGAACAAAACAAACCCAAAGAAAGCGGCCAAGTCCAAGGTACAGCAGAAGTCGAAAGCGCTGCCCATGGCAGTAGTCGAGAAGAATACACCGGTTCAAGATTCAGCGACTGGGGTCAAGATCTCGAGCATGTAGTCAGACGAGGAGCCATACAAATTCAACTTTAGGCACATGACGGAACCGAAACCAAAGCCAAAGTCAAAGTCGATGACAGCGACGGTTAGTAAGGTGCTCCCGGCAAAAAGGAAGGCAGACGAGGTCGATGTCGAAATCGCAGACGCAGACTAGTATGCTGAGCTGGCAGATCTTGAAGACGAGCGAAAGGAGATCGAGGAAGAGCGGGCGGAGATCTCAAAGCGTCGGGCTGACAGAGAGCGAGAAGAGATGGAAGATGCAAAGCAGATGAAGGATGTCGAGACACGCAGGAAGAAAGTTGAGAGGGAAGAGACCAAGCTCCTGAAGGGCAAGATAGCCACGTGGTTGCTGGCTTATCAGCGACAACACAAGAAAGTTTGAGTCACGGAGGGTAGTGTTTGTTCTTGTGTTGGTCGGACCTAAAGTTGATGTTGCCAGTCCGGCTTGTCTCATCAGATTTTGCTGCACTGCGTGCTGGGCGGCAGGGGAGTGTTTTATGCGCTTGAGGTACTCCGACTTCGACTGGGCTTCATACCCTAAACAAGCTCTCGATTTTTCACAGACATTTTAACCTCTCTTGGACGGCTGATTACAGACAAGCTGTAGAGTAAAGTGATGACAATGAAAGGTGATAACGGTAATCATGGTAATGGAACGGGAGCGTCAATTGTTGGGTGCAGAAACGCGTGCGACTTAGCGCCGGAAGCTGCTGGGAGTCGCCTTCCAATCAGACAAGGGCTGATTATACCTCGGTATACCCCAGTTTTTGACGAGTCTACTCGCTCCACAATCGCGGAAAGCAGAGATGACTAGCGCCTGGTATGACCGAGGCAAATGCCCTTACTGCGTTACGGATGTAGCGAAATGACCCTTTTCTGCGCTGTGCACCCTTCATTGTTCTCGACATCATTACTGTCACTTTTGCAGAATCTCACATTTTGCATCTGTCCAAAATGTCTGGCGAAGCCCTCACCCGCGATGCTGTTGCAAAGCATAACACACCCGAAGACTTGTGGTGTATCGTCGACCACAAAGTCTACGACCTGACCGACTTCGCCGATGCCCACCCTGGTGGCTCCGTCGTTCTCGAACAAGTAGCTGGCACTGACGCCACTACCACCTTCTACAACCTCCATCGACAGGAAGTGCTCCAGAAGTATTCCGACCTGTGCATCGGCACTATCGAAGGCGAAAAGTCCGAGGTCATCGTGCCTCAGCCTGGCGACCTCAGCCCCGTACCCTACGCCGAGCCGCTATGGCTGCGCCCGCAATTCAAGAGCCCATACTTCAAGGAGAGCCACAGGAAGCTCCGGAAGGAGATGCGCATCTTCATCGAGAAAGAGGTCCGTCCTGTGGCGCAGGAGTGTGAGAAGAGCGGCGAGTACATTCCTCAGGAGCTGATTGACAAGATGGCGGCGAACCACATGCTGGCTATGCGTCTGGGTCCTGGAAAGCACCTGCACGGCAAGAATCTGCTTGGCGTGGTCAAGGGCGAGGAGTTCGACTACCTTCACGATCTTGTTCAGGCACAAGAAAGTGTGCGCGTGAACGCGAGAGGTTTCACCGATGGCAACATGGCTGGCATGACCATCTCCTTGACTGCCGTCTTGCAATGGATGCCGGAAGGTGAGCTCAAGACACGAGTGGTCAATGAAGTTCTGAGCGGAAAGAAGAAGATGTGCCTTGCCGTCACGGAAGCTTTTGCTGGCTCAGACGTTGCTGGTCTGAGAACAACCGCGACGCTGACACCGGATGGCAAGCACTACATTGTCAGGGGTACGAAGAAGTGGATTACAAACGGCATGTTCTGTGACTACTTCGTCACTGCCTGCAAGACTGAAAAAGGTTTCTCGGTGCTGCTGGTCGAGAGAGATGAGAATCTTTCGACCAAACTGATCAAGACAGCCTACTCGACGACCGCCGGTACTTCCTTCGTTGAATACAATGACTGCAAGGTCCCTGTAGAGCACCTTCTCGGCAAGCATCACCAGGGATTTGCTGTCATCATGGCCAACTTCAACCACGAACGCTTCATGTTGGCTTGCGCAGTCATTCGGCACTCGCGTACAATTGTCGAGGAGTGCTTGAAGTGGTGCAACCAGCGGGTAGTCTTCGGCAAGAAGCTCGTCGAGCAGCCCGCTATGCGACAGAAGTAGGTCCTTACCCTGTGATACCTGTCGCCTTCCGACGGGCTGCCCAATGAACATTTTCACGGAGATGCTAACGATACACTAGACTCGCAGAGATGATCTCCCTGGTCGAAGCAAACCAGGCCTGGCTCGAGTCCATCGCCTACCAGATGTCGCACATGTCCTACGACCAGCAATCGAAGCTGCTTGGTGGGCCTATCGGGTTACTAAAGTCGTATTCTACACGCTCTGCACACGAGATTGCCGACCGGGCAACCAACATCTTCGGTGGACGAGGCCTGACACAGTCCGGTATGGGCAAGTACATAGAAGAGTTCCATCGCACATACAAGTTCGACGCCATCCTAGGTGGAACAGAAGAGGTTCTCGCCGATCTGGGCGTGAGACAGGCGTATAAGAACTTCCCCAAGAGCATGTTGTAGGCGAAGGCAGACATGGTGTAGGATAGAGGTGTTGCATGTTAGCAAGCACATACGAATAGACCTGTCATTTATTAAAGTGCCAATCGATCGATCTGTCGTCTATCGTAAGTTTTGGACGAGCCAGGGACGACCAGGCGGGCGTATCACCAGGCCGTTGAAGTTCGGATGGCGAACGTTTCTGGAACATGTGTGTCACTGACAGGTTCGAAATAGTCAAACAGCTTCCAAACATGGCTATGCTCGCTGTGTGTCACTGGCTTGTACGACGATCGTACGCGGAATGTAAAGCAACCTGGGTCCTTGGGTCGGATAAGCACGTTGGGTAATACAACGATGTCGCTAGATGTCGATAGCCGAGTGTACATAGACTATCGATCTGTACTCTGCCGAGCGTATTGCTGGGGGGTGGATGCCGTTTGTAGCGTCAAGGGAGTCGACCGGCCAGGCAGCCGACAGCAACATAACGTTGTGATCATCATGAAGTGGCGCGCACCTCTAATCTCCACGACTGATGGTGAGGATCATCGGCACGGGGGTGTCCCTGGCGCTGCTCCGCATCCTTCCACTCGGACGCTCTCGTCCAATCGCCAGAGCCGGCACGCGCCTCAGCCGCCTGTGGCGAGGGTGCCAGCAGCTGTCCGTCCACGTGTCACATGCCTCCAGCGGCCGCCGTGCAGCTGCATCTGCACCAGGCGCGTGAGACACGGCGAGATTGGATGGCAAATTCACGGAGGTGCAGTGCTGTGGTGATGCCGCTGTCGCCGACTGCAGGTGTCCTCTGGTGTGAGTACGTGTCACCTGCACGGCATCACCAAGGCAGGTCCAGCGAGGTATGCGACGCGCAGATAGTGTGGTGTCTTAGGTGTTCACCATGAAAGACGCTGCAGAGTGAGACATCTAGGGAGCAATATGAAAGCAAGCCGCTCCTTCCAATACCGCCAACCCAGGAAGGTGAGGCTCAACAGGCAGTCACGATAGCGCTGTGTTCCTGCATGGATGGTTGCGATGGCAAATGCAGGGTAGAAGGCGGTGGAAGCCGCTCGATTCGGTCACGTCAGATGCCTCACCATGCGCTGCGGCGGTTTGGACGCAGGCCGGCTCGAGTCGAGTGCAAGCGCATCAGTCACTGCCGTCAGTGCATTGTCTTGTCATCCGGCCGCGAGGCATGCTTTGCCGGACTTTGATCTGCTTAAAGGAAGCGCCGCAGCCTGCCTCGCCTTAACTCGCCCATTACCTCGCCGTCTGTCCCCTTGCTCTACCACGGTTTGCCCACGCCCGTCACTACATTGCTCACCCACGGCGCCTTCACCCCAACAACCCGCCCAACCACGCTTTCACCACGCCTTCTGTCCCTACATAAGCCTCGCTGTGCCCTTCTCTACGCCAGCATTCTCACCCGAGCACACGACACTGCCTCCACTGCCTCACTTGCCGCTTTCATCTGCGACCGGCGCTATCTCCGTTATCTCAACCTCATCGGCCGCCACTACCACCGTCGTCACCGTCACCGCACGTACCGCAGCACACCTCACCATCAATCACCGCCATCATGATGCGTCGCTCTGACTCCATTTCCAGCATCAGCTCGATGGGCTCTGACGCCGACGAGACGATGCGCATCTTCGTCAAGACTGTGTCTGGCGATGCTAGTAAGTAGCTACTCGCCACTCGGTATCTGGGATTCCGAACCTCGGAACCACGCCAGGGTCTCACATGCGCAATACTGACGTGCTCCAGCAATTCCCCTTTCGATACCCGCCAACACCTCCATCTCGACCCTTCGCAGCATCCTCGCACTGCGCACCAACCTGCCCGAGCCCGCAGATCTGCGCCTCGTGTACGCCGGGAAGCACCTCTCCTCGGCATCCACAACGCTCGGCGAGTACGCAATCGCGCCGAATGCAACGCTGCACATGGCACTGCCCCTGCGCGGTGGCATGCCGCCCAAGAAGATCCGCTGCAGCCACAAGGAATGCAAGGACGCGGCGCAGCGCATCGTCGGCGACTGCGGGTTCTGCAACGGGCATTTCTGCGGCAAGCACCGCCTCCTGGAGGATCACAAGTGCGAGGGCCTCGAGGACTGCAAGAAGGAGAGCCACGAGCGGAACGCAAATAAGCTGAACAGCGAGCGCACCATGGCTATCAAGGGCATCTGAACACCTGTTATGAAGTCGAGCTGAGGCCGAAAGCCGTGGGGGCATAGGCTGACGCTTGCAGGACCTAGGGGTCATCAGTGCGAGTCGAGCGTTGCGAATTGCTTTGTCTTGCGTACTTCAGCCAGTGAGTTTGGCGGCTGCTTTGCCTGGAGTTTAGGGTCTGAAGGGCTGCTAATATTATGCTCCCTTATACGTACTTGGAGCAAGGCGTTCTGGATACAGCTCCCTTATCACGCATTGTTAGTCTTTGACTAGCCGCGATCGAATCAATATCTATACTCACTCATCTGTCTCATATCTTGTCCGTGACGAGGGACCGTGAAGCCCAGACAGATGTTTACATCCACTTTACAGTGATATATGCTTGTAAAGAGGTTGCTGAGCAATGATGTTGTGTCAATGGTGATCTACACTTCCAGCAGGTTTGCAGTCGACGTACGGCCGCTACGATTCAACATCCTCATGCACACGAGAGTATTACCCTTTGGACGGCAAAGTTACTTGTATCTGCGTCTTCTGTGAATGGACGACGTACACACCTCACTTCCCTACCTCCAAGCAGACATCACACCACATATTGTACCTGAGTGCATACGCGCCTGCACAGCGTCTCAGTTCTTACGAGTCTTCTCGAACCCCAATGTCTCCGCCTCACTCCCGAGCTCTGGCATGTCTCAGCACCCCCCACCGGGCCATTGGCAACCTCTGCCCTGGATAATGGGCCGGCAAGTCTTGGGATGGCGGACATGACGCTACGCCGATCGTGAAGATGTAGCATCAGTGACATACAGACCCTAGCGTCCACTCCGCTCCGATGTACAGAGTGCGTGGTGATGTTGGATGCCCATGACCGCGGAGGTCACGGGTATGGCAGCTGGGGAATCAAAGTTGAGGACTCTTCTCAGCAGGCCGAAACGTCTTGTTGGGAGGTGATATCAGCCCTGTAGATCCGAGCTCGATAACATAGTCCTGGAAAGGCTATGACGTTGGCAACCTAACATCTTGAAGTCGTGAGTGATGTAGAATAGATCGAGACTCTTTCTCGCGGCTCGGGTAGACTTTGATATGGGTACGAAATGGATGCTGTATGCAAAGTTGTGGAACTCGTTCTTGGTGACTTTCTTGTCTGCACATCGCATAAATGTTGGCATGACACGCAGCCTTCAACGAGCACGATCGCATGTCCGCTTCCGCTCTATTTCGCCTGATTTTGTTTATTCACACATTGTTGTGGTTATTTGTTGCCTTGTGAGTCTTTTGCACAGCTTGTAGTTGTGAAGCTTATATTTGGTGGTGAAGTGAGCGTTGTGATAGCGGCGACGTACATGCATGCAGTGGGCCGACTTAGAACCTCAAGCGGGAACCTTGGGCGATGAGAAAGGAAGTAGAGCAGTTAGGCTGAGCTAAAATAGTCTGTTCGCGCTGTGAGATCGCATGTCTGGGCAAAGGTGTTGGTGGACTGAGGAGGACGTCGATGCGCTGACAGCAGCCTTGCTTGCGGACAGTAGCCTTGCTTACGGACAGGATTGGGTATAAGCTTTCTCGGGATCTATCAAACCTCGCTGTAAAATGGTTGTGTGAGAGCATTGCTCGAGTGTTCGTGTTGCTGGATTGCAGTCAAGGTCATCCGGGCTGTGTCAACAACCAAATAACCGTTGACTGTGAGTCTGAAAGAGGAGGATCATAACTTCTAGGTTATCCATCGCACCTACCCTACAGTACAGAAATTTCCACATTCGCCCAGAGAATGTCTGAGGGAAAAGCATTGACTCCTGACCCCAAAGATCGTCCAAAATCGACCAGTACACCCCGTGCGCGACGGCTGTTCCGGCACACGTGCACACGACGCACTATTTTCTTCTTTCTATCCTCGCAAGTATCACAAATCTAAGTGGCAGTAGTCCGCTCTCAGAGGCTACCACGTGTGTCAGGAAGACAGTCACGGATCAGAAAGAATATTTGCCATGCGCGTGTGCCAGAGCAAAGATCTCATGCGCCCTCTTGGGCGTCACCGTTGAATGTAGGCCCCGGGACCTCAACTCTTGCTTGGCACGTAGCTAGAAAGCTGGCGATCTTTCAGCAAAAGTACAGCCAGAAGGCCGATTGGAGATCTTAATCGAACAGGTTGGGAGGGTAGGTTGAATGCACACAGCAGAACGACCGGCGAGGCCATCGAGCAACGTAGGCCCTCGATCAAAGCGCACCCTTGAATAAAGTTAACAGAACATGACAGAAGGAGCATGCAGTGCCAAGTTCTTACGATTTGTGTCATTGCCATCGGCTTACGCTCGAGGCTACACTCGTCCTGGGTAACGCATCATATTGTTACGTATCTAACGAATTCTATTAGTATTATGTGTAAGACAGGCCCGTATCGGACTCCCTCGACAATGCAGATGCTATCGTTGCCACGCCGGTAGATCACTGTCAGTAGTTATAGGACACAAACACACAGAAGGCCGTTTACCTCGTCGCAAGACCAAACATTGCGAGTCATGACAAATGCACAGACATAGAATTACAGCGAACCAAGATAAGGATGCTTTTGGTTCGGTAGTCTCTTCTCCGCGCACTTGGTGCGCGTCGATCATGATGTGCTTCTCAAAGCAGATTTGGATGAAGATGATCTGCGATACCTAGGGCGATTCCGGGCTTGTTCTGTTTCGGGTCATTGTGCCCGCTTAGAGTTGACGCTGGTCTATCTTGGCGATGGCTCTTACCCGCCAGAGAACGTCCGCTCTCGATCCCACACCAAACAAGCGCGCCTTTTGCCGTAATCGTGCTCATTATTCCACGCGTAACGGGGCGTTTTACCATCTGGCTCTGTCAAGGAAACGTTTTGCGTCATTGAGACCCTTCCGTAATGTGGAAACAGGATCTGGCTGTCTGAGGGCCACGAGCTTGATGCAGCGCGACGAGCAAACAACGCGCTCTCCTCACCGCTGCGCCATGATTCGTGATGAGGTTCTGCTTGCTACATAATTTAGGTGGTGCAGGATAGGGATGACGAACGGCTGCACCTCCTATCTGCGTTGTTGCAAAAGGAATCACAAGCGTGGAACGGTTGTCGATCTTCCATCCGGGCCGGACAGCCAAGCACAAGCCGGTTGAGGCTATGATAAGATAAAGAAGCAACAGCATCCCGGCGCCCGATTTATCTTGATATTGGCATTCGATGTTGCGATGCTGTTGAGTGGATTGGTCCCTGTCACTGACCTTGGTACACTTCCAATCTAGCTCACCTTCAGGCCGCCCTTTGAGTGTTATTCTTTTGGTCCGGCTTGGTATTACCGTACGGATCGCTGTGCAATATTCTGTGGACATTAGCCACCGCCCTGCGATACAGCCCAGAGCCTCAGTGGTCGCACACTTGGTAGTCTGGATGCATTCTTAGCCGTGGAGTACTGATGGGTATGGCTAAGGCGGAATGTATATCGTTCTCTTGGACTGTGGAACCAGCCGGCCCAATCCGCGACGCCCAAACGCTGCTTCCCGCTGACTTCCGCCAAGAGAGGCCCGCTCCGCCTTCAAGAAACTCCCTAATCTCCCTGGTTATGAACGAACAAAACAGTGCCTACCTGACAACGTTTGAGCCCGTGCAATCTGTGGAAGATTTGTCTGCAGCCTATCAGCGGCGCCGATCACAGCAGATGCCACCAAGAGGGGAAGGGACATCTTGCATTTACCAACCATGGTAGCCCGCGGATTCCATGGTTACGCATGATGCTTTCGAAACAGTGGCGACTGATTCAGCAAAGTAACGAGTGAGCTTGCAGGAGATTTCGATTTTTGCACCATCGTCATAGGCTTGGGTACTGTCCCACCCCCCAGGTTGGTCCCTTCCGTGGGGAAGCTCAACACTAATATGACACCGGACACTGAATGTACGCTATCTCCCGCATCTGGTTGCGCGTACCCACAGTAGGCTTGGCTACCCACTGCAAATATCCGGGCACGTCGATGGGCATCACTCTGAGGCTGGCGGAGTTGAGGGTCCCGTAGTGCGTGTGGGCCCTGGACCTTGGCCTTCCCTTAGGTTTGCTCCTTGCGTTGCTTGTGTACGCCTGCGGCTTGTAAGTCATCATTGCACGGACTGTTTGACTACCACGTCACCAAGGATAAGGAGCCAGCCACAAGATGAACGCGCGTGCTTGGTAGAGGTGGGCCTCCTAAGTGAGCCCGAAGTCTAGTCGCATGCCCCGGATCCGAAACTCAGCTGCACAAGAGTACAGTTGTGAATACACATACATATACCTTCGCCCTTCGCTGTCATCTGTCTCCATAACAACTCATCCCAACACTCGTGCACCGAACTCAGCGCGTTCCCTCCAATACACGCACGTGTTGAGCACCCAAACCTTGCAGGCCAACCTTACCTTATCGAGTGCATCACTCTTTCCTCTTTCACAAATTCTCACACTGTGACATGGGCGACACGGACAACTCAGCAGCCATGCCTTCTCAATCATTTGAAAAGGACAACCGCAAAGGCAGCGAAGCCAGCATGCCTCTATCAACGTCAACTGCCTCCCGTGCTCCATCTATGCGCGAGTTTCGACGCTCTTCGTCAGGCGACGATGCAGAGCATGACTGGCCACGGACTTGGCGAGCATACGCGTGTCTGCTCGGCTGCTTTTTCCTCATGTTCAACTCCTGGGGACTGGTGAACGCTTACGGGACATGGTCGTCATACTACGTTGGCCACTCGCTCCGGAATGTTGATCAGCTCGAGTTGAACTTGATCGGTGGCTCACAGTGTTTTCTTGTCCTCCTTCTCTCTAACCCGGTAGGGCGACTCCTGGATGCCGGTCACTTCCGCAAAGTCATCGGTTTCGGCACTGTCTTCGTCCCTCTGGGGCTCTTCATTCTTTCGGTCGTGCATCCCTCTAGCGTCGAAGCCATTGCAAACTTCGGCCCAATCTGGGCGACTCAAGGGCTCGTCGTTGGCTTGGGCATGGCTCCGTTCTTTGTTTCCAGCTCTCAAGGTATGTCGATCTAATACAGATGCTTTTCGTAGGTCCGCTGACCATCACACAGTCGCTGCAACATGGTTCCCTAAGCGCAGAGGACTTGCTGTAGGGTACGTTGCCTGCGGTGCCAGCATTGCAGGTGTGGTCTATCCTACCATGCTGCGTTACCTCATTGAGGCGGTGGGCTTCAACAATGCAGTCCGCTACGTTGCTGCTCTGACCGCAGTCACCTGCATCTACTCCTTTATCTTTGCAACACCAAACCCTATCCACGAGTTCCACAAGCCGGAGAGCTGGTTCAAAGTGCGCACATGGTTCGATACAGATGCATTCAAAAATAAGGCGTGGTGTTGGTTTACTGCCGCCGTAGCTTTCATGTTTTTCGGTTTCTACCCAGTCTTCTTCAACCTTGAGGAGGTATGTACTGATATGCAGAGGAATATAAACGATCGCTAACGAAGCAAAGTGGGCAGCAGTTCGAGGCTTCGGAACCCGCAACAGTTCAGGCGATGTTGCAGCGCCAGCATCACCAAGCAACGTGAACGACAAGCCGCTTCAGACTTTCTGGCTTCTGACCATTATGAACGGAGCTTCCACCATCGGCCGCCTGACCCTCGCCCAATTTTCCGACAAGACAGGACCCCTCAATATGCACATCGGTTCACAATTCGTCTGCTCGCTCCTCACTCTGATTCTATGGTCCCTGGCTGCATCTGAGACTGAAGCGATTGCCTTCTGCGTGGTCTTTGGCGTCTTCTCTGGAATGGTCATCGGACTACCACCTGCATCTGTAGCCAACATCCTAAGTTGTACCTACACCGCTCCTGAGACTGCATCTCTGGCCAAAAAGAAGCTCGGTCACTGGGTCGGTATGATGTACAGCTTCGCTGCCATCCCAGCCCTCCTTGGGCCCATCATTGCTGGACATCTCGTCACCGAGTACTCTACCTACATCACAGTACAAATGTGGTCAGGTGCCAACCTCTTCCTCTCTTTCATCTGCATGATGGTCGCCCGTTGGTACCTTCCATGCTTCGATGGCGAGAGCTTCGCGCATCATCTCTCCCGTAAGCACGCTTCTACTAAGGAGAAGCTTCGATTGGGCAGCGATACTACCGCGGTGGGTATGATGAAACCCGCCACCTTCTCGCAGACACCTACTCGCGTCCCAAGCATAGTAGCTCCTAGCGAAAAGCTCGAGCAGCCGGCACAGTCACCCGAGCGCCTGGTTTAGAGCTTCCTCCTTCCATTACGAGTTTATGACTTTAGACGACAGTTTTGTTGATAGCTATTTTCCAAAAAGCGTTTGACCGGCACATGGAAGCCAGATGGGGAGTGTTTCATGCGGTTCGGTTCTTTACGATGCCACTTTATTACACGTAGGCGCATGGAGCTCCTCACAGGCTGAGGTTGAGCATCAGTTTACGAGATACCATATTTAAGCAAGATCACCAATAAACTTCATGACCGATTCCAATCGTGACCTGCAGATACGATTGTTCCGTGATACCGGTGCTTGCCCAACAGAGAAGCCGCAAACAGCACTCGATAGGGGCTATCGCAGATCTTTCACTGTTCCTCTTGGCTGAAGCAATGAATTCGAACGCGTGGTCGCCAACGTATGCCATGCAGCTGAGAGCCCGGTATCCGGTACAACACCATGCAGCGATCGTTTGCGGCACATATGGTGCGAGATGCGCACCCCCTACTTCACCCGACGCGCATTGCAGATCGCTTCACAGCCTCACCGCTAGCAGCCCGACATGGAGAAAGAGCCTTCCGTGTGGACCTCAGGCATCGCTGTTTCGAACTGCACTTGTCATGCTGAAGTCACAAAGAAGTCACAAAGAAGTCACAAAGAACTTTTTGCGGCGATTCGAGCATGTTTCTCGTCAATTTTGATCAAAGAACCAAAGCCCTTTGGTACATCAATCTGGTTGTTGATGCGTTCTTGGCTGTGATCGAGACCGATTCAGGGACCAGGCGCCACTGCCGCATCGCTGCGGATGTGGCTTGCGGCGCCAGCCTGCAGACAGCGGGGCAACGCCTAACATGGGTGGATTGGTCTGGCCTCCGACATCGAGCGGTCGTCAAAGAAGCTAGGGCTGGGCTCCGCGGAGGTGGTCACAACTCGGGCCCTTTGAGCGAATGAGTAATACACGAGAAGTCCGTCTCGTCGACATCGTTACGCTGTGCATACAGACAACTGGAGTGAAGGGTATGGCGAACGCGGCATATCTAGTTAGTAGATTCGACGCGATTACTTCCTCAGTCTTTGCCAAATTGCAGCAAACACGACTCAAGTTCATTGAGTAGCACAGTATCGTGCGTAGCTGTAAACCTTCCCTGTTTCATGCGGCTCAGGTCGATACGACTCGGCTTTTCGCTGACGGTGTAACATCCGGAAGGCACCCGGGTGGGCTGCGGAATGCTGGTGTCACTGCATGCATCCGACGTCGTTACCGAGCCAAGGGCTTGATGGAAAACGCAATTGCCATACTGCGTGCGTTGCGCGTGGAGGGGTCTAGAATTGATGCAACCTAAACGAGATTGAGCATGCCACGTAGATTTTTTCGCAGATAGATGTTGAGCGATAATCTAAAAGGTGCGCACCGCATGCTAGGGCGAAATCTTCGTGCCGACTTGAATGGCAGAGGTTGCAGATCGCATTGTTCCAACCTACAGGTCGAAGTTGTCCAAGAGATACACAGGTTCTAGGCATGAAGTCAGGCGGACGACGGACACACAGTTGGCTCTGAGAAGAAGTCCAGTAAATAAGAGCTAAAGAGATCTGCCATGACCTTGTGCGACACTTGATGTTACACTACATCCCTCGCACTATGGCTGCTGTGCACCGGCTGCGCTACCGAGCTGCAGCCAAGGCTCCGCTGGTCTTGTGGTTGCACATGATTATGGTTTGTTGTCGTACGCGGAACGCGATGCGGGTGTGCGTACGCAGTGGCGCAGGCTGTATACACCCCTCTGTTCTTCACCAACCTCGACCTCGTACCTCCTATCTTTTATGGGGAAAATGGAAGTAGTGGAGATGTGGGAGTCACAACCAGTGTTCTTGGCTGTGTCGCAATGCGGAGATTGACAATGGACTCGTAGCCGGAAGAGATGCGTTCCGTGTTCTTTTCGTCTGGCTGCTCTGTCGCGCCGTCTTCTGTGGCGTAATCACAACGCAGAGGTTTCGTGGGGGGATATCTCAAGGTTTCGCTACAGTGCTGAAGTCTGTTGCCAAGGCAACCGATTAGCATATAGGTATAAGTTGGGATATGTGAGATATATGTATACCCAAAACCAAAGGACCAGCAAGCAATGCAAAAAGTATACGGAAACAGAAAGAGCTCGATGTGCCGTTCAACGCTGCATGGACCCAAAACGCCTACCATGCAGTCATGCCTGGGGAACCCAGAAGTGCGTTAGCATCGGCATAAGTGAAAGTGCAAAAGACTGGCTCAAAGGCGTCAAGAAATCCATGAAGCGGAGTGAGGTGTCAGGCGTGACGCGCATATCGAGAAGTGACGTATGTTCGATCATCATGATGCTTGTTCTGGGTGCATGATGCTGGGCGTTTGGACCCCAGGCTTTTCCGTGTGAGATGCAATCTCGAGGACGCTCGTTGAGCTTTCGCCCCCATCCTGTACACTCATGCCCAGTGCCCTCCGTGCGAGCTCTTTCTGGCCGTTCGCAACATAATCGACAGGTGATGTCGTAGTGTCGTTATCGCCGGAGCCAGACTTGTTCTTTGCGGGAGGCGGTTGCAACCATGGCACGCTGGTGCACCGTATGACAAGCCTTTGTGTGGTGTCGTCTACAGGCGCAAAGTGATTGCCACTGGTTACGAGGAGATGGAGAAGCCGCAAGATATCATCGCACTTGTAGTGTGGCGGCTTGCCAATCTGGCTGTTTGTTAAGATGGGATAGAGAACTCGAAGGTACGTATGCCGCAGAGCATTTGCAGCCGTCGAATCGTGTGGAAGATCGATTAGGTTCCGGAGGATGACGTCGATCAGAACATGGAGGTCATTTGTGTAGAAGTACTCCGCGGTCGAGGGGTTTCCAAAAACAAGGTACAAGACTTTGAGAATCAGGAGTTGAAGAGAGGTCTCCGATTCTCGGTTCAACAAGAGGATCAAGTTGCATCCAAAGGTTTTGTATGTCATGCCATGGCTAGACAAAGCTTTGATCAGTCGATTCGTAACCGGGGGACGGCCGTCCTTGTGGTGACTCGTGGAGGCTACCAGGTATTGTTCGTTCAGGACCAGCTGTAAACGGTCAATCTTGCACTCCGCATTCATTTGAAGGTACGTACCAGAACACGAATGACTGGATAATGGTATGGATCATCTGCGTCGTCAGAAGCGCCTTCAATGATTTCAAGAAGGTAAAGAATGAAGTTGTCGTTGACTGCAGCTAATAGACAGGTCAGCTTTTGCCCACATGCTTCGGTGTCGGCTGGTCAACATACCGAAATCTTCCCAGTCAAGTCTTTGTACTCGAGACGACTCGTATAGAAGCTCCAGAAGCATTTGATGCAATCTTGTCTCCTCTTGCACACTCTCCAGTTGTACCAACTCCACCAATCTTGGAAAGCTTCCTTCCTTGTGCATCATCTCGAAGACAACATCATCTCCGCTATTGCGGCCGTCGTAGAGGAGGAGTGCGGCGACGAGGTGGATGGTAGGGTTATCCTCTTCCTACGGGAAGGATCAGCTGCTGTTACACGTTCGAAGAACACGAGAACCTCTGATGCCACATACCTGCAAAAGACAGTATATCATCTGCCGGCGGACATACTCTTTGTGTGTCGCGAAAAGTTCGCCCTCCAACATGCGAAATATGCATTTTGCGACGCTATAGTCGGTTCCAAGATACTCGGCTGTCCTTGGTCAACGGCGTTCGTGAGGTTTTAAAGGAGCGGGTTACACTTGTAGCTCGTGGTAACATTGAGGAACGCGCGCAGAGAATTGTCTATGATCTCTTCGTCATGACATCGTGTCGACACAATGTCGTCGAGCTCTGCGCAGCTTGTCAGTCTTCGATGGTGGGGTTACGGCGGCACGGAGTCCTCTCACCATCCCAGAACTGTTGCTCATTCTCGAGGTCGTACGACACCTCAAATGCCATACTGTGTTCGCGGGCCAGCCACCAGAATCATTGTCCCCGGCAACGCAGGCCTGAGGGGTTATTGTAGGAGGCGCAAAGCAGTTGGTGATGTTTAGTTGTTCGCATCAGAGCCTCCGAAGGACGCCCACGATAAGTGCGTCACTGTACCTAATTAGGCAAGCGTGTTTGTTCCTTGACGCGTGCCTTCCTTGTCACTCACCCTTCAACCACCAAACTCGCTCGCGGCCAACCACGATGCCGTTACGAACTCTCTAACCTTACAGAATCTTTGTCATTAAGTGCTCCTCCGTTTGAACCTGTCGAAGTCGCCCCATGAGGAGCATGATCCGCTTACGAAAACCGCCTGTTCGAGGAGAACCCTTGCCATCTGGACCAGATGGTTCTAGATTGGATACGTTGCTTTCGTTCAGAGAGATGTCTGTTGGCGGATTCCCTGGTGGGCCAGTTGCAGACATGCGCTTTTGAAGTGTGGTGGTCACATTCTCGTCCGACTGTCGGACTGCCACAGACTGCGTTCCTCCTTCTGCACGGGAGGTGCTTCGAAAATTGACATGGAGCTTCGAACTTTTGAACACGAAGGGGTTGCCCGCCCTCAGATCTCTGTCCAAAGCCTTCAGCTCAGTGGTCGTCATCTCCCCACCCTCGAAGACCAGACTCAAGGACTCCAAGGCTACAAATCCGTGATGCCTTGATGCTATTTTCCTTAGGAACGGCCAGTCTGAGTGTTTGCAAGTGTATTTGGATTCTAGAGGACACCGGCACTCATCCCAAGGAAAGTGCGTATTTGTCCGGAGAGGCGCAATCTGCACCACGACCTCGAGATGCCGTATCCACCTGCGCGCGTCCTCAGGGGGTAACCAGAAAGAGGTGGATTGGAAGTATGCCTGACGAGCGAGTCGTGTCCTTGCTAAGCAGAAAGTGTTTCCAGTGTAGAAGGCCTCCTTCGCAGTACGTCCGATAACGTAGAGTGAACACGGGAATGGCGCGATTGTTTCTATCATCAGCCTCCTCGCGCTGACAAATTTCCTGCCCTGTCCTCGATTCCATTCGACTCTTATCACCCCAGCAATCCGAAAGGCGTTGGCCAAAATTCGAACTCTCATCCACTCTGGCGCTATTGACATGAATTTGTCAAGCGTTCGCGGTCGGTGCACCATCAACTCGTTTGGATGTTTCAGAAAGAACTCTTTGATCTTTCGCGATCGGCGCAGAGGCGTGTTCGGTGCCGGGCATGGGACTTGTTTTGGCATGTTGAGCATTCGCGCCCTGTGGCTTCAAGTCGAAGAAGAAGGTGGAAAAGCCGAACATCAGTCAGCTGTGGGAAAGATGTGCAGAATCTGCGGGTGTGAAATCATTTAGGACATAACGGTTCAGGGTATAAATCGCATTTACAGGGCACTATCGAAGACATCATCAGCAGCCAACACACCGAAGATGCTGCTACAGGCCAATAAGGAGTCAACTCTCCTGTGAAATTTACTGCCATCCCTTTTTCGTACAGGACGCCCATTGCCTAGCATCGATGCGACTGTCTCACAACTTACCTTGCCACGGATGGCACTCTGCACCTATCCAACCGCTCTTTTCGCTGTTGCACTGCATCTTGCCCGTTGCAGATACGTACTTTGCCAGAAGCCTTTCCAAACGTACATCGCGGACTGAGTCGCCGTCGCCGGCCGGTATGCTATAAGTATCATCGTACCACGCCGGAAAAGCAGAGCACGCCTCCAAAACAAGTTGTGGCGTCTGAAAGCGAAAATGCTCTAGCGTACTCCAAATTCCGTCGATCGTCTCCAGCATGTCGTGATTAGTGACGAAGGCGGTTTCGAACATCAGTCTCAGGGTCCTCAGTTCGGTGAATCCCTTGACGGCCCGCTGCATTTGTCGCAAGTACTCGACGTCTCGTCCAGGTCGCCATACCTCGCAGGCCACCGACACGAGTCGCGGGTCCTCGATAAAGATTTCGATCTCCAGGCGCCGGATCCACCGGCGGATATCTTGTGGAGGAAGCCACACACCACGGCCGACCCAGTCCATATCGCTGCGCGGATCGCATATGTGAAACGTGTTGGACTTGTAGAAAACGTACTGCGCCAGTCTTGGGATTGGATCGGGAGTTGAAAGCAGGGGAGCCAAGGTGTTGTTCGTGAGCTCTTCACCCGGTGTGTGCTCCCAGTCACTGTCTGCACACAAGCATCCTGGCCATTCGCATTTTCCTCCCCAGAAATCCTTCTTTGAGATGACGCCGGGAAGAACGAGAGAGTATTCGAGGATCTGAATGATGATTTCCTCGGGGAGCTTCGATAGTAGCTCCCCTAGAGTCTGGGACTGAGGGATAGGTGCGACCGGGAAGGGGGCAATGAAGGCACACATCGTCACCTATCGCGAATTTGTGACTCAACTGACAATGTGGGAAAAGTAAGAAGAGCTGTAAGGAGCTTTTGAGGACTGAGTTCTTTACAGGGTCTTATCATTAAAGCCCATTCATGGTTGACTATTGACCCTGGTTGTAGTCTACCCGTGGACACTCCATCAACCGTTTTCCAAGTACCTAACTTCCCTTCGCCCATCATCAATTTGATTTGACCGAGATCACTGTCGTTCTTTTCATCCTCACCTTGGCTATTCATTGAAGTTGTGACACGAAAGATGCCAGCGCCAATCATCTGCTTTGGTATAGGGAACACGAACTTGTGCGTGTGGTGTTTCATGGCTGGTAATGTGGGGAAGGAAAACAACTCAGTCCCTGCTAGCTGTCTAGTTGCATGCGCCTTGGCTTCTCCAATCGTTGTTCAGGTGTCATTCATAATCAGCTTCTGGAACATGCTTTTGTAATTAATCAAAGACGTTGCCTTTGTCGCAGTTCGTATTAGATAGGAAGGAGTCAGCGCCCTCGTCAAACTGATTGGCGTCTGATCATTTGGAGCCTCTATTTCCCTTGTACAGTCCAACCGGGTACTTCAGGTTTGCACAGTTGGGGAGGAACGACTTCTGGTGATGCAATACGCGCTAACATTTGGCTTCTCCTGCAAGTGTCAGCCAAAAACCGTACGAGCGAGAACGTCCTGAACAGATGAGCACACAAAAGAAACGGTATTGATTCTACAGATCCGTGTAGTCCGGTAAGGAAAAGCCAAGGTATTTACACACGTCGCAAGATTTTCATTTCCTTCTCTCACACCTCTACTGGTCGTCAATGACGTGGAGGTACTTCTTCTCCTCGCGCTTCTCACGTTCCGACATGGGTGGCAGATCGTAGTACGACGAACTCCTGTAGCCCTTGAGGTACTCGAATGTCAGGCTGCTCAATTCAACGGGCTCAATGTCGAGATCCTTGAATGTCTTGGCCGAAGGATCGATGTACTGGTCAATGAACTCGCGCTCGACCTCGTCCTCAGAGTGGATGGGCCACCAAAGGAGCTTGTTGGCGTAGCGTGCAACAGGCTTCATGAGAGCCTTGGGAACGTTGATGTGGCGGCGCTTCTTCATGGCTTCCCGCTCAACGAGGTCGTTTAGCTCGGCCATGGTGTACTCTGTGGGACCGTAAAGCTCGAAAGTCTCAGCGGCTGTTGTATCGTCGTGGAGCATAGCCTCAAGAGCCATGCCGACATCGATGGCATGGACGGGGTTGAAGCGCTCCTGCATCCAATTGGAGGTGACAACGTTCAAGGGCGCAGCAAGGCGGTGGAGAAGACGGTCCTCGAAACCGAACATAGGCGCTGGGCGAACGATGGTGGTCTCCGGGTAGATGGAACGTGCTACCTGCTCACCCTGGGCCTTGGTGCGGTAGAACTCGGAGGGAGAGTCGAGCTGTGCGCTGTGCGAGGAAACATGAACAAAACGATCGATGTCGTACTTTGCGACGGCATCCGCAATGCGCTCAGTGCCTTCGACGTGGACATCGGACAAATCAAAGTTCTTGGTGGGGTAGTCGCGACCAATGAGGTTGTAGACAATGTCAGAGTGTCGCACGCTCTCCTCAATCGACGCGGTGTTGCGCAGATCCATTTCGAGGAAAACGATGCGGCCAAGGTCACCAGCAACCTTCAGGTGGCGCTTCGCCATCTCTTCACGGAAGGGCACAATGACGGTGCATCCTGAACGGGCTGTTCCTGCGATTAGCGTCGTGTCCCGTCTCTGACCCTCAATGGCAACGCACCGAGCCTGTTGACAATATAGCGTCCCAGGAAACCCGTCGCTCCGAACACGGTCGCTGTGTAGCCTGTGTATGTGTGTGAGCGGACTCCTTCGTGTATGGCTGTGGACTAGGGCGCACCTCCGAGCGAGGATCGACCGGCGGACACGGTCAGAATGGGTTTTCCGGTCCTGCACGAGTGTCAGCATTCTGGCCGTGGTGCGCAGGGCGATCGCCGTACCTAGTGATCCTGACATCGTGGTTGATTCGGCCGGCCGGGCGGCGTGTGGAGGTCGAGAACGGCGAAATGCGGACGGAGCGCGACTGGGCCGGCATCGCTGCGCGGGCGCGAGCACAGCGAAGGGGCAGGGCCATGGTTGCGGCGGTCAATGGCTGGCGGGAGGGTGGTTCTGAAGCTTGTCGAGTGCAGCTTCAATGATGAAGTCGGGGGCTTGGCAGCACTTTCCCCGACGGTAGCTTCCGCCGCGACGCCATAGCAAGCACATCCCACATCAACGCGCCCCCAGTACACAACTACACCAGCACCCCGCCTTTCCCACCAAATTCCCACCACTTCTCCTCTTCATACACACTATCGACATGGCGATGGACACAGACACAATACCGAACCTCCTCGGCGATGCGCGGGACCAGGCGCCGGAGGAGCTGCAAGAGTACTTCATCGCCTTCGAAGACTACTGGGAGAGGAAGCTGTGGCACGAGTTGACCGACAAGCTCATCGAGTTCTTCGAGCACCCAGAGAGCGCTAAGCAGCGGATACCTTTCTTCGAGACGTTTATCAAGAGCTTCGCCAACAAGATCAACCAGCTCAAGCTGGTCACACTGGGCCTGAGTGCCGCATCACAGTTCAAGGGTAGGTCGCGAGGGGTCTCCATGATGGTCTGTTGCTGATTGCCGTAGACGATAAGGAGCGCCTCAAGTTCGTCAACGACCTCGCCGAGAGCGTCAACAAGCCTGCCTCACAGGACGCCTACGTCTACGCCACAGTCGCCGCCGCCAGCATCCAGCTGAGGTTACGGGACGAGGAGGGCGCCAAGAAGCAGCTGGACGAGTGCGAGCAGATCCTCGACAACTTCGACTCGGTGGAGACAGTAGTACACGCCAACTTCTACAAAGTCAGCGCCGAGTACTACAAGGTGCGCTTACCAGGGAGACCACAGCAACCCCAATGACCCCAAACTGACATACCACAGTCGAAGCACGAGTTCGCCGCATACTACAAGAACGCCCTGCTGTTCCTCGCCTGCGTCGACATCACCGACCTCGAGCTCCGCGACCGCCAGTCGCGTGCCTACGACCTCAGCATCGCCGCCCTCGTCTCAGATTCCATCTACAACTTTGGCGAGCTTCTCCTCCACCCCATACTCGACTCGCTCGTCAACACACCGCACTCGTGGCTGCGAGATCTTCTCTTCGCTTTCAACCGTGGCGATCTCAGCGCATACGATGTCCTCTCCGGCAACATCTCGAAGGTGCCTCTGCTCAAGGACCATCAGACGTTCCTCTACCAGAAAATCTCCCTTGCAGCACTCACCGAGACCATCTTCCGCCGACCACCGCACGACCGCGCCATGACCTTTTCGGAGATCTCGCAGGAGACCAAGGTACAGCCCAAGGAGATTGAGCACCTGATTATGAAGGCGCTGAGTCTGGGGCTGGTGAAGGGACAGATCGACCAGGTTGCCGAGATCGCGCGTATCAACTGGGTGCAGCCCAAGGTGTTGGACATGAAGCAGATCGAGAGCATGAGGGCGCGATTGAAGGAGTGGGATGCCAGCGTGAACCAGCTGGGCAACTGGATCGAGGGTGTTGGCAAGGACGTCTGGGCCGCTTGAGCGAGACAAGGGGTTCACGAAGCTAGACGGTTTGTTGGTCAACAGCGGCGAGGCTGTCTCCGCCCCACAGGATGGGCGGCGTGCAGAAGCTGTAAGAAACGCAGCCCACGCGCCATGATCGTAGAGAATGCCTGCACAGCCACATGGAGGCGATGAATGAAACATGATCGTAGATAACGCCTGCACGGCCAAATGGAAACCGATGAATGAAAGAATCACGACATGCACATGAGATTTCCTTGATACGCCAGCAACGACTTCCAGTGATACACGTTATAATTTCTTCTACAAAGCCTACCAACTCGATGGACTAGAGGAGCCCGCCCTCGACGGCGCCCCCGGCAACAACAACCGTCGCACAGACCCAGGCCGGGAACCAAACCAACCAGACGGTGACCTGGGTCCACAGCCCGCTGACAAACCAGCCCTGCGCGGCCATGACCAAGGCCTGATTCAGATCGGCACCGAGCAGCCTCGCGCTCCACTGCGCTACCATGACCGGGTTGATGAGGGCGAGCAGCAGCAGCTGCACGACGGTGAGCCAGGTGCGGCTCGTCTTGCGGACAAACGACAGCGGCGCGGCGAGCACGCCGATCAGGAAGGACTGGCTGAAGTTGAGGGTGGCGAGAGCAGCGAGGATCATGCCCAGCAGCAGCAGGCTGAAGCACTGGATGAGTGTGTTTTCCTGGCGGGACAGCGGGCGCAGCTCGGCGAGGAACCAGGCGACGACGAGCGGGAAGAGGGTCGTTGCGTTGGCGGTTGTGAGGTAGAGCGCCGAGAGCGTGTCGTACGACCACGTGTTGAAGAAGTACAGCGGCAGCAGGCCGAGGAAGTGCATTGTGAGCACGCTGAGAAGCGGGAAGAGCAGGTGACGCTCTGTTATCGCTGTCGAGGCGACGGGGACGAGGGCTTTGGCGCCGTCCTGCTCGACAAGCTCCATTTCGGGTTGCTTGGACGGCGAGGATGGTGCGGCGGTGTCGTTTTTCCCAGCGGTCTCGTCCTTGGTGGCGGGCTCGTCCTTGGGAGGTGTTGTGGCAGCGGGATTTGGGATGGGCTCGTCGGAGCGGCCGCTGGCGACCCAGAGCGCGATCGAGGTTATGCTGAAGCTGACGGCGATCAGCATGGCGGAGGGAAGGTAGGTGCCGATGCTGATGAAGCGGTTTGCTTGGATGAGGAGGTAGAAGAAGAAACTCTGGTGGAGGTGCTCGAGGAGGTTGTTGAGGCTGCGGAAGAGCGATTCGATCGTCTTGCCCAGCGACATCTCGTCGTGCCAGCCGTCGCCGACGGTGCTGAGGGTGATGGCGTCGACGTGATAGGGGATGAAAGACGAGTGAGGGCCGGTTGCGTGGCCTAGGCCCTGCGACACCATGCCTCGCAGCATCGTCTGGAGGCGCTCTCTGTACGAGTCCCGGTGGTCAAACATGCGCTGGATGGCGCAGCCAACGCCCATCTGGCTCGAGGCAATCTGGACAGCGGTGTTGAACAGGTCGAGGTTCGGCAGCTGGCCGTTTATGCCGTCGTACAGGACGTGCAGTTTATCGTAGCGGTGGCCCCAAGGACCAGCAGGGTAGTCGACTGCAACGGCGCCCTGCAAGGCTCCGCTCTTGATCTTCAGGCTCTCGACATGGCGCTCGTCGTGGCCGTCGTGGTAGGCATCCACCCAGGCTTGAGGCCCCGTGGTGCTGTCCCCCGACACCAGGAAGATGATGTCCTTGCTCCACAGACTCCAGCGCTTGAAGTAGCGAGCCAGCGTCAGGACGAGTGCGACACCAGAAGTGTTGGTGTCGTTTGCCATGTTCTTCCATGCGCCAATCAGCACAAGGGCTTCCGTGGCATCGCCGCGAGGCGCCTGGAGGATGGCATACACGTTCTCGTTGGCGATGGTGCGGTTCGAGACGTGGTAGGCGTACTTCTGGCTCGCGACCTTGAGGTTGTTGGAGCGGAAGATGTCGCCCAGCCGTTGGGAGCGCCTGTCAGGCAGTCAGCCAAGTGGTCGTGCGTTGCCTCGAGGTACCTCGACAGGGAAGCTGCTCGACTTACTCCTCGACCGGCTGCTCATTCAGCGCCCAGACTTCTTGGCGATAGGCGCGGAAGACATTGTGCTCGCTGCCGGCGAAGTACGTGTGCACCTGTCCGGGCAGCAGCGCGTTCTCGGAGACGTAAGTGTTGCGCGAGTAGTCGTTCAGCGGCAGGACAAGCAGCCACGCGATGCCGACGACAATGCACAGGGCGGAGAGGTAGGGGGGGATTTTGAGGATGCGCGCATCCCGCCGCAGCGCCAGTATCGAGGCTGCCTGGATTAGCAACAGCCCGCCGGATGGTGCGTGGAGAGCTCACAGATCAGAGCCATGTTGCCCGTGTTGCCCGTGTTGCCCGCCGCTCAATAATGCCCCGCGAGACCGCGCAGAGTGACGTTGGCGTGTCCTCTGCATGCGGCGCGCCTGGTTGCACTGTCGAAGGCCGAAGGAGCGCTAACTAGCGACCTCGCGACGCGACCCGCCCATCTTTCTCAACGCGCTTGCAGTGGGCTCCGACCTGTCTCACACCTCACCGTCGCGCGCCGCCATGGCCTCGTACACGCAGTTCAATCCCGCCCGCCTGCGCTCCTACGTGCTGCGTCTGCCGCTGGCCACCCGCCTGTTGCTGCTGGCCATTGTCGGCCTCTGGATTGCCGCCATCCCGCTGCCATGGCTCAGGGAGTGGGCGCGGCTCGAGCCGGCTAAGATGGATCTGACCCAGAGTACGTCGACTTCTATTGCCTCGGTGAATGTCACGCAATGCGCAGACGCCCAATGTATCGTGCATACTCGAGCGCTGCTGCATGAGGCGCACGCCCGTCTGAGCTGCAAGAGCAGCAGTGCAGCACACATGGGACCAGACCCTTCCGACGTACACAGACGCTGACAACCACGGCCCAGTGCACCGTCTCAACCTGTTCCCGTTGATGCACCTCAACTTCTTCCACATGATCTTCAACCTCTTCGCCATCGCCCCTCTGCTCGAGCGCTTCGAGTCCGAGTTCGGCACCCTCGTCACGCTCGCCCTCTTCACTGGGCCGTTTGGCACCCTCCCCGGCGCCATGTACACGCTCCTCGAGAAGTTCGTCTTCCGAGCAAACACAATCGTCATGGGCGCGAGGTACGCACAAAATACACCATGGACAGCGCGAATCGACGACTGACAAACACAGTGTATGGGTGTTCCTCCTCCTCTCCGCCGAAGTAATGAAACAGCACAAGACGTCGCCCACCATCGCCATCGGCCCCTACAAGATCCCCACCTGGACCACGCCCCTCATCCTGGTCCTCGTGACCAGCATCCTCGTACCCAACGTCAGTCTCATCGGGCACCTGTGCGGCGCCGGAATCGGCTACCTGTGGGCTTCGGGCTACATCAAGTTCCTCGTGCCCCACGAGAAGATCTTGAGGTGGGTCGAGACGAAAGCGAATCTGCTGGGCAGACTGCCGCATTATGTGTCGGTGGACCAGAAAACCTATGGCCGCTACGGCGTCCTGCCTACGACGAGCGTGCCCATGGGCGGGATACCGAGGAGTCCGGAGCCGGGTGCGAGGCCGGTCCCGTGAGCACCGTCAGGGACGTGGATATAATCGCTCCAAGTTTCGTTTGATCAGTTTGCCGTGTGGAGTTACAAAGGTATAACGTGCGTGCGACTTAATGCATAATGGCGGCGTTCTGGGCATGGTTTTGGTAATCAATGATGTTGCATGTTCATGTATAGATATTGTAGACGTCGATGATGAGCGCCACGAACGAGCATCACCTAAAAAAAATCAACTCGCTTGATCCAGTCAGCAACTTGAGTCGATTGCAATCTGCAGGAAGTGCGTATCATGGCTACCATATCTTCGAACAGGCGTGTTGCAGTACGATGTCCCACCTGTCTTCACCCGTCGGAGCGCCTTGAGATCCTCCAGCTCACGTATTTGTAAACGTCTAGCAGGCGCTCTTCGGGGAGCGATGCCGACTGTCAGCCTCCTCACGGAATAATCCGTGATACTTGCGTTGTGGTTGTAATCTATCAGAGGTAATCCGGTAGAAACGTCCTTGTAAAGACGGCAGGGCAAATTTTGTTTACCAAGTGTCGTCTACTCCCTTCACTTTAGTCATGACCCTGACAACCGCTCATGACCATACCATCAGAGCAGCAGCGACACTTGCCATCAGCTTTGTCAGCTCAACTTCGGGAGAGATGGTAGCAAGTCGTGCTTGTACGGGTATTGCGACATGATGTCTGCTTCAAGAGTAGCCGTAGTAGACGGTCACACCAACATGCTCGACAATGCATTGCCAGCCCGGCCACTGATAGTGTGTCAATATCATCTTTCAAAGCAGCTGAACGTGGAAAGCGACAAACCTTTGCCCTGGCCCAAACGAGCAGCCGATCTCCATCCTTCAACTCCTGCAAGAAGCCGTCGCCGGTGCCAGAGCCTTCGTTGCCCTCGTGGGCATCCTGCGTCCAGATTACGTAATAATCTTCTGCATGGCCCTGTGTAGCAACGCGATTGCCCTGCAAGTACCAAGCTAGATCGCCCTCTCCGCCCTGAGGTCCTTGCTCGGCGAATTCAGGGCGCCGGGATAGCTGCCAGCCACGCGGGGTGATGTGTTCTTGGAAGGACCGCGGTGTTTCGAAAACGCTATCAGACCAGCACGAAGGAGGGAGTCGAGTCCTGTAGTCGTCCAGGCCACGCAAGATAGAGGCCTCGAGCCAGGAAGACGTGCTGAACGTGCCTCGAGTCGGCTCTGAGGTCCAGCCTTGATCGCGACTCCGGACGTGGAACTTGATTGCTTTGATCCTGATCTTCTCGCCGTCCTTGCGAAGCTTGTCGACTCTTGGGTCACTGAACACGTCGGCGTCAAAGCAGAGAGCTGCTGCGCTGGACCGGAACATGGTTGCAGCTACTCTGACCGTTCTTCCCTGCTCAGCAGAGAATCTGCGTGTCGGCCAGTACTCCGCATCCTCGAGGATCTTGAGTGCCAGTTCCGTAGGTAGACCGAGTGCATTCAGGAGTGCTCGTACTCTGAGAACGTCCTCGTAGTCCAGAACCCATGGTGTACTTATAGAGTCTCGTTGGGGCATCCAGCTCTTGAACCAGGGCAGCAAATGCTGCATGTAGACCGCATAGGCTCCCAGAAGGAGGCAGAGAAGAATACCTGTAGATTCAGCCGAGAGCAAACCGCTGAGCATTGGCTCGCAATGTTGTGCGTTGATGGTGGAATTGGTGAGAGCCTTAGTATAGTCCAAGAGATGTCGCGCTTGGGCGGCTGGGGCGGCCCCGCAGCTGGTGACGCTTGAATTCCAGGGGTTTAACGCGTGCTGTCATCGTTGCACCAACTTTCATTGTTGTATCAACACTTCACTACGTAGATTCACGGCGGCATCGTTATAGCAACCATATTGGACATAACTGACGTTTGTTGTTGATCAACAGGGCTGACAGCTGGAAAGAACCAGCGATCCCTTCTTGGTGCCTTTCCATGAGTACTAGCCTTCTGAAAACAGCTACGTCGCTCAGCCCCATCAAGTACGTTATGAAGTTCAGCCTTGGATTGGTCATGAACGTGGTCCTCGAGTCCTGTCTCGAGCTCATCGGAGCCTCAAGTGCTTCTTCGATATCACCCCTCGCCGTCAATCTGTTAATCTTCCAACCAAGCACGACCATGGTTTCTGCATATCAATGGGAGACATCTCGGGCTGAGCCGAATGGTGGTACAACTACATAGTCCGATGTAGATGATGCTCTCCACATTTTTAAATAAGAAGGCAGATGTTGGCGAATCTGAGAATCGCAAGGGTCATACCAGGAAACTCGACGTTTTCGTAAGCCCTACCGACTCATATAAGTGGCATGTGCCCCGTTCTGCCTCGAAGAGAGCGGTATTGGGACGTGGCGGTGGCTTGTAGAACGCCTGGTCACAGCAGCAATAGACGTCTGGGGAACTACAAGATGCACAAAGATTCCAGGAATACGCATATCAAGGTGCAGTACATGTCATATCGGTCCGAGAGACTTGATCAATCTCTGTAATAAACAAGAGGGCTCACAGTGAGGAAGATGACAGGTCACAGCGGGCAAGTGACATCACAGGTGAAAGCGAGGGGGCTCGCACACTGGGAAGCTGTCAATTTCTCCAAAACTCATTCTATCCAGCTCACCCTCACTTTTCGAGCTGCCACTCTTGATCACCAATATGAAGACAGAGGAGACGGCAGACGACTTGCGTCCAGCGCCCAGCAGCAGCTTCAGGTGAGTTCAGCACTAGCGCAATTCAACACTGCAGGCCAGCTGATAACTTCGAAGCTACATCGCCTCACCTCCTATCTGCCTCGTTGTAGGCGACATCAGCGTAGCCTATGCTGAGTTCTTCGTGCATCAGTCTCTGATATGCCTGCGAAGCGAGTTCTTTGTCAAGGCTCTCAGAGGCCAAGGCTCGGCTTCCAACGAGCGTACGGTGTCACTCCCAGATTGTGATCCCGAGACCGTCTCGTAATACGTCATGTTGCTTTACGTACGTACCTATTTGCAAAGATATGTGGCAGTCCTGACCTGGCCCAGACCAACAAACTACCACCCAGAGACCTTGCAGCACACTCCAGCAACATGACAGACAAGTATTTCACGCTTGGCAAACTGTACGTCCTCGCAGTGAAGCTTCTCGATGCCATCGCCCAGAACACTGTTCTCGACGAGCTCCATGTACGCGACCGGGAGCAGGAAGACGAGGGTGTCCACAGCCAGCCTAGCCCAGAGACAATACGAACAATCTACTGCGATACGCCGGGTGGCAGTAAGGCGCGTGAGTGGCTCGTAGATTTATACGCCAACCACATCAGCGACGGAGCATCGTTGAACTTGTACGAGACCTCCCACGGCAGTTCCTAGCCGACTTGGTCGCCAGGATGATCATCTTCTGTCCGCGCCCTGCTCAACTCTTGTCCGTCAAGAAGGAGCTTGCAGAGACGAAGACAAAGGCTGAAACGTACCTGAAGGTTACGGTGCAGCAGGGAGCTCAATTCGCGAAGACTGAGACACAGCTCAGGGAAAGACTTGCACAAACCGAGGGACAGCTGAAGGCAAAGACGGAATTGTGTGAAGGCATGCGCAAAGACATGAACACCATGCAAGGCCAACGCGACCAGGCCTGGAAAGTAAAGGCTGGCTTGGAAGAAGACCTAAGAAAGGCAAATGCAGAGGTGGCGGTGTCGAAGCGTCGTGTAACACCCACTTGGGACAGACCGACCTCAGATGTATACCGACCTCGTTGAGCGACCCGAACGACGCCATGCACAGCGTACCGTGGAAGTTAATCTGCGATTGCATCATCTCCGACAACACTGGCGCGAACCACATCACATAGAACAGACAGAGGATACAATGTTTGAACGTTTCGACCCGGAACTCCATTGAGCTATATAGCTACCCATGATATCCTAACCTGACCCAAAGAAGGAAATAGGTACTTGCACATGACCCATGTAAATCGTTACAAGCTTTTATCCATGCCCGTCTTGTGCAAGAAAGACGTTGTACAGGATGTCAAACCAAGATCAATCGCTAAAAGGGACAAATGACGAGACGTAAGCCGATCTACAACTCGTCGTGGATCTCATCGTCGTCACCAAGGACAACGCCAGCGACGTTCTTGACAGCCTCGGCGGCGCCAGAGGCAGCCGACTTGGCTGCGGAGGCGGCACCGGAAGCAGCGCTGGAGGCGGACTCAGTGGCCTCGGAAGCGCCTGACGAAGCAGACTTCGAGGCCTCAGAGGCACCGGATGTGGCGGACTTGGAAGCCTCAGACGCGCCAGACTTGGCGGACTTTGTGGCCTCCTCGGCACCAGACTTACCAGACTCGGTGGCGGCCTTGGCCTGCTCAGCGAGCTCTTCAGCATCCTCCTTAACAGCATCGGCGGCTTCAGCGAAGACACCAGCGACCTTGTGGGAGCCGTTCTCCTTGATGAACTGGGCGAGGTCCTCGACGGTGCGGGAGCCGGAGTAGTCGATGGGAGAGTCCTTCTTGCCGGCAGCAAAGAGTTTGATGGTGGGGAAGCCCTGAATCTCGTCAGGGACGTCGTTGGCGGTGGCATCGACCTTGGCGATGGTCACGAGCTTGGAGAGCTCAGAGGACGCGTATGCAGCACCGAGCTCCTCGTACTTAGGAGCAAGAGCCTTGCAGTGACCGCACCAGGGAGCGTAGAACTCGACAAGAACATCCTTATCGTTGTCAAGCACGACTTCCTTGTAGTTCTTGGCGACAATGGTAGTAACGGGGCCGTCATTGGACTCGGGGATGGGCTCGGACTTGATGGAGGGGTCGACCTTGCCAGCGAGGAAGTCCTCGACGAAGGTGCCGATATCCTTCTCGTTGATCTTGAGGTCCTGGTCGTACGGGAACTTCTCGTTCTTGTCGGTGCGCTGAATAGCGAAAGCGGGCCATGCGTCGGCCTTCAGGTTGAGGTTACCAGCGTGCTGGCCGAAAGCGGTGGCGTCGATGGTCGCGAAGTTGATGGCGCCCTTGTGCTTGACGGCGAGGGGCTTCAGGTCCTTGGCGAGCTGCTCGCGCTCCTCGGGAGTCTCAGCGAAGATGTAGGCGAGGGGAATGCCAGCGGCCATGTAGCCAGCGTATGTCTCGGGGCCGACCTCGCCAATGAGGGGAGTGGCAGCGACGGAAGCGAAAGACTTGATGGCCTCAGCTTCGAACTTCTCGGTGAAGACGTCCTTGCCGTCATCGAAAGACTTGTAGAGGACGAGACCGGGCTGCGTGACACCCTCGGCCTTGGCGAGAGCGGCGTCGTTCGTGGCACCGAAGAGGTAGTTGTCGCGGAGACCGTTGGCGACCGAGTTGAAGGTCTCGTTGGAGGCCTTGTCGTCGGCGGCGAAGTAAGCGACAAGGACGACTTTGTCGGCGGTCTTGAACTCCTCAAGCGTATCCTTGGTAACCTCAGAGACGGAAGGTAGGGCCTGCTTGGTCATGTATGATATCAGAGAGTCGGCCTTGCGCTGTCCACTGTAAGGAGAGATATTGTCGAGGCCACGGAAAACCTTCAGGGTCGGGTAACCCTCAACACCGTACTCCTGGCACAGGTCCTGCTCCTCTGTGCAGTCGACCTTGACGAGCTTGATGTCCTTCTCCTTGAGGGTTGTGGCGGCGGTCTCGTACTCGGGGGCAAGAGCCTTGCAGTGACCGCACCATGGTGCGAAGACTGTGTGGTAATGTTAGTATTGCATTCGCCAATAAGGTTTGTATGGGGCCGGAGAAGCTTACACTCTGCGAGGACAAGGTCGTTCTCCTGAACGAACTCCTTGAATGTGTCTGTCTTCAGCTGGTGGACATCTGAAGAAGCCGCGACGACGGCGGCGAAGAAGGCGGCGCAGATGGTTGAGCACTTCATTGTGGCGGTTGTGAAGTTGCAATTGCGTATATGGAGTAAGAAGAAAGAGGGAGTTGAGAACCTCTGCGACAATGGAGTGGAAGGGAAGAGCTGAGGCAGTGGGCAGGGAGTTTATAACTGGAGTGGAGCTCGCGGCGGGCTGTGGAACTCCAGGAAAGACAACAGGTGTCTACTTTCACTAGTTAGCCTAGTGCCTCGGGAATGCGAGCCAGGCCGGCCAGGGTTCACGCACAGCCAGCCTCACCATAAATGTATTGGACACCGTGGACGTTCCTGCGCCTGGTTGCTGCCAATCATATACTTGTGAAAGATCTTGTCTTGGGTGCGGCACCAGTTCGCACGCTGCTTACAAGGTTCACCAGCGCTCGTCTTGTGGTACCTCTATCCTCCGTCCCAATTAGGCTAGAGTTGCCGCCTTCGCAGCTTTCCGAAAGCGCATTATTAATATACAGAGAGTGCTTTCACTCTTACTTGCGGAAAACACGGGATTCGCTTTCTCCAAGGACAGGTGTTCTTTTGCTGCACTGTGCGCCCTGCGCAGTAGGTAGTCCTGCCTTCACAGCGGGAATAATATTTGGGGGCGAATACGACAAGAGTACCGCATTGAGGCCCTTGTTTCGGTAATGCACAATGTCGAGCATTCAATGTCCGTGCGCGCTGCGCTGCTCCATTGATGCATGGCATGGTTTCGTCAGTGTGACGGTCGACCTTTAGTACTCTGTAAAGGCAGCTGAAGGCACATGGCGCCGGCCTGGGGCTTGCCAGCAAACCATAGAGGCAGCCACAAGGCTCTTTTCTTTTTTACAACACACAGCACTAACAGGCGAACAGCACCACCAGGGCACTCGTGAGATCCGAAAAGAAGGGGATTTCTGTGCATTCTGAGATCGTTGACGCCAGAAGCCTCGACCATGAATCTATCTCGTTCTTTACTCAGCATCCTTGTACCCTCCTCGGCTTGAATATTGAGGCCCTGTAACATTAATACCACCCTCTATATCCAATCATACTTCTTCCCCAGCGCTTTGTCCAGTCCGTGCGGCAACGGCCTACTCTCCTTCATCCCCATTAACCGCCTATATACCAGCCCCTTCTCCCTGAGTAAGAGCCTGTATCGTTGCCGAACATCACACTGGTACTTGCCCTCAAACCGCACGCTGTGCAGAATATCGTCCTCGCTCTTTCCATCTATCCAAGCCTGGACAATCGTCTCATCCTCCTTCTCACTCCATTCCACCTCTTCCTTCCTCCTCCAAACAAGCAGCACGTCCTCCAGCACCTTCTTCTGCTGCTGCGGCTCGTACCACCGGCCCTGCACAGCTGAGGCGGATATGCCCATCTCAAGAGCGATGTCTCTCGAATTATGACCCTGGCCTCGACACCCAATGATGTATTCATCCATTGTAACGTACCATTTTTTCGAATGCGGCGCCCTCGGCGATCTTCCACTGGTAGTATTGGCCCTGCACGGCTTGTGTCGTGCGGCCCAGTGCTGTTGCTACTTCGGGCCAGGTTCGCAGTTCGATGAAGCGGAGGCGGTGGAGGAGGGCGTGGTCAGCTGGCGTCCAGCGGCGCGCAGTATGGCGTGTAGACGATTCTTGATGCATCTTGGCTTAAGTCTTCTGTGATATCGATAGTTTGCTGGTAGTGATCGCTGTTGGGTTGAATGATTGCATCACTGCGGTATTACGATTTGATGAGTGGGCGGAGTCTGGCGTTGACGAGCGTGAAAGCCGAGTGTGCAGCATTGGGCTTGCGGTAGGGTGTTTCTTGCGAGACATCTTACTTTCACTTTCCTTCCCTGGAGTTCTCTTTGTCTCATTCTTGAATTCTTCACTTTGAGCATGTCCCATAGCAGCAGGCGGATAGTCGCGCCTCAACGCATTCACATTATCGTCACAGTTTTCGATCAGTCACCTCAAACATGAATGGGCACTTTAAGTATGCTGTCCGTCCATGAACGAACGTCAATATCTTTGAGATGAAATACCTGTTCGCTCATATCTAGAACTTCACTGCCAGCACACACCTTCGCCAACAAATACAGAACATTCCGGCCTGCTTGTTCCACACTCGCGCAACATTACCAATCCATTCGTTCATTACAGCGGACTATAATGGTGAATCTTGGTGTACTTATAGAAGGATGTTCTGGTGCTGACCAAAGACACGGCTGTTTCTCGGGCCTCATACTTCAAGTCATCGTTGGCACCAATAATGACAACAGAGGAGCAGAAGATCACGAGAACACAGCCCGAGGGTCTCGGCGAACAGTGACATATCTAGACAGCGAGTGGTCACCGTGCACAGGGAACGACTTGTCGCCAGATCCCATTTCTTTGCAAATACCCTCAAAGACGAAAACAAAGACGATAAGACATACAGAAGGGGAGGCAGTAAAGCAAAATCATCTACGCTTGCAGTCATCTTTACATCTTCTACGAGAGTATTCAGGACATCAGTGCGAAGCACGCTATGCTCACATCCATGGCTCAGGCCTCTGAGTTGAAGGGCTCTTTCTTTCCTGGCGCAATGCCGATCGATGCGCTCTACAAGACAACACAGGTTTCAGATCCGGTGCGAAAGTGGCTGGTAGGTTGTACTATTTGGCACGGCAATGAAAGGTGGATCGACGACGAGGTGTCTACCAACTGCGAACACTTGTACGACGTAGTGATGGGTATGTACAAGGGCAGACCTTGTCCTAAAACCCTCGCAAATCGTCCGGATACATTCCCATACGTTTTCAATACTACGAAGAGCTACACGGGAATAAAGGGTGAAAGGTTCGGAGATCTGTTTTGTCGTAGAATGAGCCAACGACGAGGTAATTACGCATACGCAATGGAGTTTCGAAACAGTGTGACTAGTACAGAGCAGCATGCACAGGTACCTTCACATGCTTCGTTCCTGACTACGGGACTGCTAACGACTGTCAGCTGCCGCACAATCGATATCGTTGTTGGATGCGCGACAAGCAGCGACAATGGCTGTCAGTCTCACACGCGCAAGCTTCCAGTTCTCGAATCTGTACTTATCGGCCGCTCCCCGTTCTTCGCAAACGTTGTGCATAGATACAGGTCTCCTTCGTCGGAACCCTCCGGGAAAGATGTATCTGGCTCGAAGGTGCGACCGGGGTCTGTGAGACTACCAGAAGACAATCCTAAAGTAGTCAACAACTATGTATTGCTCTTACATAGCGAAGAAGCCCCCACACTCAAGAAACCGGATGATCTTGAGGAAGTTGATACCGAGGAGTATCCAAGGGTAGCTGCCAGAATTCTCCAAACGGCCATGTGCACTGCCGTCGACGACCTCCAGACCCAGCATAGTAAGCTGTACCTCTTCTGCGAGAAGATGCAAGATGTCACCTCCAAGGAGATAATACTCGCCGCCATTATTAAATCCACCAAGACACCCATCAAAGACCTCCAGCGCCGCGCTCGCTCTGGCCCATCTATAATCAACAGGCTGTGCGCCGTCACCAAGACTGGCGGTCGGATTAGAAGGTGGCTAAGTGACTGCGCTTTGTGCTTCGAACATTCAGGCTGGCTCCAGGATGGCCTCGGGTGCCACCCTGAGTACCTCCAGGATGTTGTGAGGGGAATGTGGAAGGTAAGGTCGAGGCCAGATGTGGGGGAGACAATGAAGGCGGAGAATTACTGCTGGCCTTACGACACTTTGCAGATGGTGAGACAACCAGAGCTTAATACACCACTGCAAGCAGTGCTTCTCGTCCAAGTGAAAGTTACGTTAAGGCAAGAAACAGAAGAAGGACAGATGCAAACAGGAAGATAGAGCAACTAAGGGGAAGTTGAGCTAGGAGATATTTTGGACAAGTTGGATCTACTCTTCTTCGCCCTTCCCTCAACTCCTACTTCGAAGGACGAGTCGCGTCAATCACGACTACCCAGACTTTTCACTTCCAATGAGCTCGCCCTCCATTGGCTTCCTAGTACTTCATATGGACACTTGTTGTTGTCCTTGGATGGCCGAGGAGAGCACCGGTCTCTTCACGATAGATAGCGGGCTAGCGTTCTTTCGTGAGCTCCACCATGCAAATTTTCCTTGACCGAGTAATCCAACCGAGCAATGACACATTGCAGTAATGACTTCGAACGGAGCTCACGACACTGCTATCGTGCATTGCTGTCCCAAATTATTCGACACTAGAATATTTTTTTCTTGCCCACATTTCATCGATCACATCTCTTCCCAGCTCAAAGCTGGATATCTTCGATAGTATAGTGGTCAGTATTTCTGCTTGTCATCCCCTCGGACAGCTCGCAGGAGGCCGGGGTTCGATTCCCCGTCGGAGAGGTACGATCTTTTTGTAGTTCTGAGTGTGGCCAGGTTGCGCGTTGCGGCATGGTGGGCCGGAGGAGAGATGTAGCAGTTGGCGCCTGTGACAAGGTGAAGGAGTTTTCTTTTGTTCCTGCATCGTGCGTTCGTTATGGTAGTGATGCAATCTAGATGAAATCTCGAGCGATCTTGTCAGTACGATCGTGGTGGGTGTTGGAGCGTTGCTGTTGCCGACATAGGCGGCGGGCGCGTACACACACCAAATTGATGTCTTGCCCCACCATCATAATATCAGAGCGCCAGATTATGGATTCACAACGACACTGACGTGGAAGTAAGCATAAATAGTTTGTCATTCATAGTGGCATTCTTGGATCTACGGTATTGACGGTTACTACGATTACATGAGCCGCTCTAGGGCTTCAAACATCACTTTGGAAGGCTTGGATTTTGTTCAAGAACTCGAGGTCCATTTGTCATGAGATATATACAGTTGAATCGAAGAAACGGTCACATGGCCATAGGACTCTACAAAGTACTTTTGCCCAATCTAACCGTACACTTCAACGCCCGATGTAATTAAACACCCTACAAGCACTGGCTGTAGTAGTCGTTCTGCTTGGTGCAGGTGGCGCCAGACACACAAGCAGTAGCACCGGTGTAACCATTGCCACCGCACTGAGCCCACTTGGCAACGGAGCCAGCAGCACTGGTGGCAGCCGGCTTGACGGAGGTAGCGAGAGTAGTAGGCTTGGCAGCAGCGGTGGTAGTAGGCTTAGCAGCGGTAGTGGTAGGCTTAGCAGCGGTAGTGGTAGGCTGAGCAGCGGTCGTGGTGGCAGGTTTCGCAGTGGTCGTGGTTGCAGAGGCAGCAGGAGATGAGTCGGAGGATGCGCCGTTCCAGACCTTGGGGCCAGGAGGAGTGTAGCTGGTGAAGCCGGAGTAGATGTCGAAAAGGACACCGGGATCGGTGGCCTTGTAGGCGCCAGGAAAGGTGACACCGGCGGGCAGGACAGCGGTGCCGGAGCCCTCGACCTTGATGTGGACACACTCCATGTAGAACTGGGCGCCACCCTGGCGGTTACCCTCGTGGAGAGCGTTGATCTCGGGGCGGAGGACGTAGTCGCCGGGGGCGAGGTTGGGGAGGGTCAGGTCGTGCTGGCCGGCCTTGCCGGTGTAGGAACCAGCGATGAGCTTGTCGACGGCCCACTTGCCGTTGCTGTAGCCATCCTCCCAGATCTTGGTCCACGAGTACGAAGAGCCAGCCTTCGAGGCGTATACCATGATAGGACCCTTGTGGGAGGAGGCGATGATGTCGTCAGAGGCTTGGTTGTTGTCGTGGTGCCACTGGAAAGCAATCTTGTCACCACCCTTGACGGTGATGGACTTGGAGGCCTTGGTGCCAGCGACATTGCAGGTCATGGCGGACGAGGTGACGTCGGTGACGGGGTTGTTGTTGGGGGGAGTGTCGATGTAGCCACCCTGTGTGTTGCCAAGGCCGGCATCCTCTCCGTTAACGAGGATGTTCCAGACGGTGGTATGAGCAGAGGCGAGCTGACTGGCAGCAGCAACAGCGAGGACCTGAGAAAACTTCATTGTGAATGGTAGGTACGGGTTTGTGTAAAGAGTGACGGTCAAAAAAAGGACGAAAATGAACAGTTCGAGAAGTCAAAAGACTGAAAGAGTGTATAGGGAACGAATGTGTGAGCGTCAAGCGTGCCTTTCTCCAGATGGGCGGCAGATGCCTCTTATACTCGCCCGAAAGTGGCTGAGAGATGCTCCCATCTCGGCCTGGTAAGCCTGTGTACGCATCCTGAGTCAGTGAGCCACCGGGCATATGGCCCCATCGGCCAAGGAATGTTTATTCTTTTCTGTGGGCGTTCGGCGCCAGGAACAGGTTAGAAGCAACATTTGACGTCCGAGAGCCGTTGGGTACGATACAGAGTCAAATCGAGATGCATCAATCTATGCCGAAAGGGGAAATGTGTAGAACCAGCCTAGAATGCATAACCCTGGCAATGATCTGTTCGATGACCATACCAGCGAATGGCGAGTCTGGCATAGAGTAATATGAAACAGAAGGATTCAGGAGCATTAGTCTACGGGAAGAGATCAGGAACAAGGTGCCTCTCCGGGAAGACTCACTGGCTCAGACCGCCCGGGGAAGGACTTCATGCACCTCCATGTGGTCATGCATTGTACTCATGTTCGGCCTTGGGTCAATCTAGGTACTGCACTATGCGACATACTCTTTGAAGAGACCTGGATGAGGGTTTGCTTGTCGGTTGCCGTTGTCACAGATGACTTCAGCATAGGTAAGCCGTTCTTTCTCCACGATTCAGGCCATCAGGAGGCGTAGTGGTCGAGGGCGACCAGAAAACACGATGACGCTTGTACTCTGTTTGTCGAAAAGCGCTTTCCTGGGCATGAAAAGGTGGACCGATAAGAGGACACGAGATTTGACAGCGGGCAGGGGACTAGGTTGTTCCGCTTAGGTTCGTCATGCCGCAGCCTTGCGGGAGAACGAAATTGGCTGCCGCATTGTGTACGTTTCAGCCAAGTCAGGCGAGTGTCTCTCCAGCGCAAGCGAGGCCATCTGCAGCTCGGCTAAACATGTTTTTAGCTTCAAAGATCGGATGCTTGTGTTTACAGAGCACCAGCAAAATCAATGTGATGGAGTGGGTGGCAGTATTGATGGTCGCATGGGCCCTTTGACTGTGGTTGTTACTTCCCTGATGGTGCAAGGCGCACATCCGCGGACTTGGACCGCTCACATCTTAGGCGCTACCCTGCTGCTTCTATCAACGGCAGGGGAAATGTGCCTGCATGGCCAGACCACGCGCTTCGGTCTCACGACTCCTGCCATGATATTATGATAGAAACTTTGTTCTCCTGGATGACATGTTGTGGCACCTCGATACCAATTTGACAGCGCCACATTTCTCACCAATCGAACCGCTAAGAGATGAGGCTGTGAAACAGAGCTACATCGCTTTGGCCTTGTTGCGAGGGCTTGAGTCGCAGGACGGAAGTTTTGAGACATAGCTGCATTGCCCAGAAATGCCGCCGAAAAGGTCGGTACAATATTGTTCGCTTGGTGACAGGGAAAGGGCGCCTTAGTCCGGGGACGCAGTCAGCATGTCCTACAAACGAGGCACTTGCTTGCTATCGAGCAAAACGACTTGGGAAGGTGAGTGATGGCTTAAGTCGATAAGAACGCTGAATTCGACAGGCAAATGATCATTCTATATGCCGCTTGAAGAATACAATGCTTGTACAGGGAGCCCTTTTGAGCCCTTTTGAGCCGTATAAACAAAGACGAAGATCACTATCGCAAGCCAGCTGGCTCAGACTCACAGCAACAGCATGCTCACCATCACAGCGGCCGTAACACCTCCCCATCTCCCCATAGCCATACCAGCCGCATCTCCAATCATCGCGCCTTTACCATTCGCAACCGACTTCTGCGTCGAATTGGCACCCCTACCCTCCGCAAACGTTCCATCACCCGCTCTCTTCTGCCCACCAGCACTGACAGCCGTCGGGTTGCCCGTGCTGCCCGCAACGCACATGCTCGTTTCGTTCTTGAACATGCGGTCCGCAACGCCCTTCCATAGTGCCGTCACATCAGTGACCATCGCGGCGGTGAAGAACATGCGGCAATCTGCTGCTTCGTACATGAACTCAAGCGGGACGCCTGACGCGTCGTTCTGACGCAGGTTGTCCTTGAGATTCACACCGCCAGCGGCGCGGCCATTTTGATAGGCGGAGCGCTTGAAGAGTTGGGTAGCGAATGCAGTCTTGCCGACATCCGTGGTGTCCCATTGCGCTTTCTGTTCAGGGCTGCCGAGGAAGTAGGTTGCTTGCATTCGCAGCTGTATGTCCTCCCAAGAGAAGACTTGCGCGCCTTTAGTACCACCGACACCTTGCATGGGACCGTCTTGAGGCCGCCCTCCAACAGCAATGGTACGGACTGCACCTTGGTTCTTGAGGAGCTCGGCGGCGATGGCGCATGTTGAGGAGCACATGCCGTCGTGTAGCATGACCATATTCTCGGCCTGGAAGGGCTGTGGAGTGCTGGTCTCGTTCTGGTTCTTGTCGAAGCCGATCACCGAGAACCCCTGGTAAGATGTCGAGATTGGGTCGCTGAAGTTGTACCGGATGGTTGTTGTGAACTGATCGCCATTGGCAGTCTGCGGTCCAAATGCAGCACCTGAGGTAGCAATGGCCTTGTTGTTGACATCGAGCTGATGCTGGAAGTTGAAGCTGGCAGTGATACCCAGAACGTCGTTCGGAGTTGTTCCCCTTCCGAAAGCCTGGGCAAAAGCCGTCTGGTTGCTCTGCACATATGTCTTATTGTTGACAAAGTCTCCGGTCAGTTGAAATGCAGCCTTGATAGCATCGTTGGCGCGGAAACGAGTACCGCCAAAGGGGTCCTGATCTGCCTGAGGATAGACTTGTTTGAAGGTGTCGTAGCCAAGGATTGCGTTACCTGTACGAAACATTAGCGTGGTTCACCAGATCGTTTGCCGTTTGGCAAGTCAACTCACCCCCGCCGTTTCCGCGCATATCGAAGATCATCTTCGTTTTACCTTGCGTTTTGCACATACGGATGAAGTCACGCATCACGTTCTGGAAGGTCTGAACATTACCAGCATCGTATGATGGAATGCTAAGAACTGCAACATCCTACGACAGTTAGCGGAGTAAGCATCAATAAGCACAACCCTTACATTGTATCCAGTGTCGTTGATAAAGTACCCACCAATAGAGAGATTAGGGTTAAGTATCACAGCCTTCGGATACCCAATCTGCGAGGGCGTGGGCGTAGCAGTAGGCGTCGCACTCGTCCGACTAGCTGGCGCACTCGTAGTCGGTTGCTGGATCTGAGTGACAGGCTTCGGGCCTGTGCAGAACTGCTGGAAGAACGTCTGACCACTATTGACACCCGTGAAGTTGCCAAAGACGACTGCGATATTCATCTGGTTGAAAGTGGTTCCGTTGGCGAACTCCATGGTCGTGTTGGGACCTTGGTATTGGCCAGTTCTAAAAGATCCCAGGAATACGGTGCCGGAAGAAATCAAGGCCTGCGAGGGGAAGAGGGCGTTCCAGCGCGTGTCGGCGTCATGAAAGTCGGATTGTGTGGAGGCATTTCCCAAATAAGTCGTGACATCTATTCCGTTGATCTTCTTGACCGCGGAGGGCTTGTACGAGGAATCGTTGTTGGCTTTGCGAATGTCCTGGTAGAGAAAGACTTCTGGCATAGCTTTGCCATCGGATGAGACAGACACCAACTCTGTGCCTGGAGGCCTCTGAAATTGCATAGCAGACGCAAGGATATCGGGCTGGTATGCAAAGTGATTGTCGTACGCTCGGTTAAATAGCATCATCATCGCCATTTGGAATTCGTACTCGGTCTTGAAGGTGCCGTTAGCCAGTCCTTTTTGCATCAAGTCCAGGTCGCCCATCACGTCGACCGACTTCTCGGTGTAGTTTGATGGAGGGTTTTTGAGATAAGCGATGTTGGACTGCCACTTGACAAACAACTTCATGTCATCGATGAGCTTAACATTGCCTCCGTTGTCCAGAGGGACTGACGCGAGACACATCATGCCCAGTTCAGCAGGCACGACCTTCCGAGCGCCAGGCGGTGCTGCAGCGATGGCACTGCTGATCGCTGCACATGGCTCTCCACCGACGGAAGCAGTCGAGTTCGAGGGTATTGTTGCGTTCGGAGATGTGCTAGTAGTATTGCTCGCGGCTTCAGCGGCTTCAGAAAGTACCTCAACGCCTGCTTGGGTCATAACTTCTTCCATGTCCAGATCCGGGAAGTCTGGCACACCGTACATCCATGGATGAGGGTTGGCAGCTACCAGGCTGCAGTAGGTGCCGAGAAGTACACTAGAGAGATACATCGTGACGACTCCTGCGACAAACTCGGAATGCTGAGCTGGTAGATTCTAAGCTCTCTTCGAGCGTTGCCAGAAGAATTTAGAGTCTTACTATATATAAGGCGATCCAGCGCGGTAGAAGCGAAGTAGGAGCAGAAAGAATAACTATGAAGACAACGAAGCCATAACGAAGCTCGCAGAGCTGTAAATAGGGAAAGAGAAAGATGAAGAGAACAAGAGAGGGTTCACGAGAACGCAGCGGAGTAGTTCACGTACTCCGGAACGCATACCAAGAGCAAGTGCGCGCCAATGGTGGGGAGGCGGCGAGTATCATGATAGAGGGGCAATGCTAAGAAAGGTAAACCCAGCTTGTAGCATGGCTGCGGCATTATAGAAACGACCACTTCCAATCGAGCATCTAAATTTGGGATTCGAAACATGTCGCGTGTCCATTACGGGTCTGGTGATGGTCGAGGAAACAATTCAAAAGGCCATGATAGACACAGGATAGTTGTTCTTCCGGGGGAAGCCCAGAACCTAGAGACGGATTGGTAATGGCGTAGTACCAAAGGACTGCCCTTGTGTTGGCTCTTTCGGAAGCAGGTAGAGAAGGTCTTGGTGTTGAGCGCGAAACTGACACGAAACGAAGTGGTCGGATCGAGCCGGACCAAGCCTAGTGTGCACTTATTCAGTGAGAACCGCTCGAATGGTATGGAGAAGCACACGGGTCATTATTGCTCTTGAGTCCTATCTTGTTAGTTGCTCAATGCTGACTCTCCTATGATCAAGAGCTCTTCCCGCTGTCGGAGCGCAAGAGGCTGTGTTGAGGCGCGGCTGGAAGTGCAACCAGATCGGTTTTCTTTCCTTTTCATCCGCATTTCCTTGAATCGCACGCATTCAAAGACTGATGAAAGGTCGTCATCAGTCTCGTCATTGCCAGTCGTGCTTGTTCGATGGTGAAAGCGAGTCGTCGATGAAAGGTTCGTTGGGTTCGGAGTCAGCAGCCGGGCACCTTCGGCTGCGGGGTTTAGTAGCCCAACCTTGGGACGAGCTGAGCCCCTCGCCACCAACTCCCACTTGACCACCGCCGAAGCCCACTCGACACGCTCCACTCTCCACTCCAAACTCGCAAATCACTCACCTCGCACCAGCAGCGCGCCTCGTTCAGTCTTATGTCCACAGACATCCAAAATCTCAAGTCCTTCGATCCGTTCGCGGAAGCCGAAGACACAGGTGGAGAAGTCAAGGTTGGAAATCAGCAGAACTACATTCACATTCGTATTCAGCGTACGTCTCGCCCTTTGCACGATTACGTATTCCAGTCGCACGCGTGCGCAACTCCGGTGCATGATGCTGCTCGATCTCATACGTACCACCTGAGCACACAAGGCTGACCAACCCCCAGAGCGCAATGGTCGCAAGACCCTGACCACGGTCCAAGGCCTGCCCAAGAAATTCGACCAGAAGAAGATCCTCAAAGTGATCAAGAAGCAATTCGCCTGCAATGGCACCGTCGTCGCCGACACCGAGATGGGAGAGGTGATCCAGCTTCAGGGCGACCAGCGCAAGGATGTTCAGGATTTCCTTACCAACAAGAAGGATGGCCTCGGTCTTGATGTCAAGACTATAAAGGTCCACGGGTTCTAAGCTGAAAAACGCGATGAGCCGCTGCCTCCGCCGAGTGCAACGAACGCGGTATCCGACGATTCGAGCGCGATCACACGCTACTGGGTGTGTGACTCAAGGGCGACGAGGCTGAGCACGCGGCGCAAATTTGCAGTCGCAAGGATCTGGACGAGTCTGGACGAGTACGGTTGTCTCCTATCGTCGCTCCTTTGGAAGAAGAGGAAGGTGCGCACAAGGCGCACCTTGGAAGTACTTGCAGGATGTATAGGTTTTGTCCTTGCCAGAGGATGCGTTCCATAAGATGTTCAATAGTCGAGTAATGGCTATGGTCCTGTCAGAGAATGCTTTCCCAGCTATCCGTGATTGAAGAGCGTGAAAGTCATCTGTCTGGTATTGCAATAGACAGGCATTCAACCCGCTGTTCCATCAGGAGGAGGCGGCCGAAACATGTCGAGCAGTGTCCCCACATCGCACTGCTTTGCCTGCCGGATCTTGCGCTTCTTTGTCCCCCGATCGTCGTTTTCCTGATGGGCTGGAGAGTCGAGTGTTCGCTTTGGTGGCTCCTCAGGCGAACAGTGTTCACAGTGTTTTCGTACGAACCAGGTTGCTGAACCAACATAGCGCGCGTGTTGGGGTGCGTGACACGACAGGGAGAGCGAGACTGGCAGTTCCGCTCCTAGAGGATGTACGGTCCTATCTGATTGGGTTTGCACTGGGTGGGGTGCTACATATGCTTGGGGTCGAGAGTGTGTGCATGTGAGTGCATGTCGCAGTGTAACATCTGGTGTGCGATAAGCGTCTTCCGTCTGAGGCTCCGAGACCCTGCAGGCGTATTTGTAGAGGTGTCTTGTCTTCTCGGTTATGGACGCCTTTGTGTCGTGCATCGTTGTGTTGAGTTTGCGCTCGCGAGTCGTGCTTGAACGCTGCCATTGTCCATGAATCTCTGACTTGCTGATCAGGGAATGAGGAATAGTTCGCTCGATGCCCACTAGAACGAGAGCAGAAAATCTGGAGAGATGGTGCAGCACCACGTTGTCGGAGGGTCTTGCATCAGGTATCGAGGACAAGTAAAGCACTTTCAGCTTTGGAAACGCTTTCTTCTCGCGCACTGCACGACACCAGTCGCGTATGGCACGTTCCCTAAATGGGCGAGTTTCCCTTTGAGATGAATTGGTATGGATCAAAGCTGTCAATGTGGGTACTTCCGTGAGGGACATCAGCTCTGCGAGATCTAAGTTGAGTCCGTTGGCGCAGAAGTGCGTGAGTACACTAGTGTTGAGCGTGCCGAGACTCTTGATGATAACCGGCCAAAATGTGACGACATCGTGCATCTCTAATCGGAAGTGATGGCTAAGTTCTGTATCGAGGTCAGCGGATCGTCAAGAGACCATGACGGCTGTGACAATACTGACCTGGCTGATTAGGATAAGCTTTTTGAAAGATCATCCAGGCTCTGAAACTCAGAGCGTCCCTAGACTTGAGCTTTTGATACACTTTTCCAGCATGTTCCCACCCTGGATACGCTAGAGCTTCGGGCATGAACAGGTCGACATTCCAACAGCATACCCGCATAGCCATATCCTGCAAAGAACCTGCACCCCTCGCGTGCCTGGCGGCTCGTGGATCGAGAAGTCTTCCTGTAATCCGCTCCTTAAATGCTAACGGGACCATAGATCTTGCGCTACTTGATGTGGTTTCTGTGTAGATCTGCCCATTCTCTGGATTGAAGGTCTCCATGGTGAGATTGTGCGAGCGCCTGGCATACGCTTTTGAAGGAAGCAGTAAAAATGGCATCTGTTCCACGAGATGGGTAAATTACAGTGTCCATGCAAGAGGATTGGGATAGCAAACAGACGCGTCGTAGCTCCACGCACAGACGAAACGCGGTAACACGCATTCACGTGAGTATAGCAACGCAGATGAAGATACACATTGGAGGCGTCTAGATTATGTCCAAGAGAGCTTAATGTCCGCTCTAGAGAGACAATTTACGTGCAAGAATCAAGTGGGTATTACATTTTGCGGTCTTGAAGTGCTATATTTCGTCTAGCAATGAGCCCCATTACTCCGCTCTTCCAAGCGTAGCTTCCTCGCAAACGCCATGGGACCCCAAATCAGATAGCAATGCAGACTCAGATTGGCGATGCCAACTAGACGCGCTGTGTTGGAAGGTACGCGCCACCAGCTAGCACCAAGTTCATCCTTGTGAACTGCACCTTGTAAACCGGTGAATCCTTTGTGGGAAAGGCGCTGATCTGGTCCGCCGAGACGCCGGTCTCCTTCGCTGCCTTTTTCGTTGTGACTGTGGTGCCGCTTGCACCTTTCGTAGTGAGTGCACCGTCTGTCTTCGCAGCACCGTCGGTGCCCTTGCCACCGCTCTCGGTGGTCTCTTGCAGAACATCCCAGACACGAACAGTCTTGTCTGCACCAGCAGACACAAGAACGCTCGACTCGACGCTCCATGATAACGACCAGATACCACCCTTTCCATGACCGCGCATGCGCTTCCGCCGCCGTCCGGTCTCGAGGTTCCAGAGTACGATGTTGCCTGCATCATCTGCAGAAGCGAGGGTCTTGCCATCCGGGGAGCAGGCAATAGCTGTGACGTTGCCAGTGTGACCAGTGAAGAGGCGCAGACAGTTCCCGCCAGAGATGTGCCACATGCGAACTGTACGATCGCACGAGCCGGTGAAGACGTAGAGGTTGTTGGGATGAAATGCCACACAGTCGACATCGTTATCGTGTCCGACGTAGATGCGCAGTGGCTCGATGTGATCGGTGGACCAAAGGCGCGCAGTGCGGTCGTTGGAGCCAGTGAGGAAATAGTGACCGTACGGGCCCCATTGAAGATCCCAGATAGGGTTATCGTGACCGCGGTAAGCGACTAGACATGTCCATGTGTCGAGCGACCACAGGCGAATGGTCTTGTCCTCAGAGCAAGACAGCAGGAACTGTGTGTTCGTAGGCGGTCCGCCCTCAACGCGTTCAGCGGTTGAGGGTGAGAAGGAGACTGCATAAACTGGACCTGCATGGCCCACAAGACGCCGTGATGATGAGGGTTGTGTGCTGGCTTCAGGTAGCGTGGATGCGAGAGGGCTACCGTCCATAGACCAGACGCGGATATATGATTCGGCCATGCCGGCGGCGGCGAGCCTGTTGTCGCCGGAAAATTCGATGCAATTGATGCTGTCGTAGGTGTTGTGAAAGGTGTACATGGTGACGCTGACAGCTGGACCAACGCCGCCCGTGCGACCTTCCATCTTGTAGCGATCGCGGTACTCCATGATTTTTGCTACTTCCATCGAGACATCGCGCGCCAGAGATGGTGGCAAAGGTACTGTGTCGCGCGAGGGCCCGTCTTCTGTTGGTTCGCGCTTAATGCGCTGCTCGTACTCATCCACCAGAGATGACTGACCGGGCTTGGGTGCACTCTTAGCGTCCTCATCCTGCAGTGTAGCTCGGACATCATCTTGCAGATCTTGGTCTTGCGGGTAAGGACCGAGCTGCAGACGTATACGTGCAGCATCAGCTTCTGGATCGTGGCGGCTCGTCAGAGGATGCCCAGGGTTGTGTCCCGGGATACCTTCGTCCTCTGCGGGAAGCTCGTCCTCTCCTTGTCCGCCAGCTAGGATCGCCGCTATGCTCTTTTCTGCGGTTGCTGTACGTTCAACAGTGACAATATTCATGTGATCCCGGATGATGTCCAAAAGTGCCTGTCCACCATCCATTTGCTTCGATTCAATGAATTGTATGAGGTTGTAGAAAGGCATCGTCGTCAATGTCACGCGGTACTTGTTCTCGTTGTAAAGCTTTGCGATGTTGCTTTCTGTCAGGTGAGAGGGCAAGCGAACTGCTCGCAGAGTCTTGATCTCGTCGCTGTGATCGCGCTCGAACTGGGCCGAGTATGTTACGAAGAATGTTTCGGCGTCTTTCGTGAAGTAGTCGCGCACCAAGTCCATGAACGAGTATACGAAGACAGGCCACAGGAGCTTTCGAAGCTCCGGCCTGTACAGATCCAGGTTATCCTCTGTGTATTTCCGCAACAGCTCGAACGACTTCGTGAACTTTGCGCCGCCTGTGTCTGTGCTGCCGCTGACGAGAGGCTGGCCGTTTGCTTGAGGTTCAGACTCCTTACGGAGCATCGCTTCGGTACGTACATAGCCCTTCTTAGATAGGTATTCTAGCACCTTCGATAAGTCAGCAAGGTGAAGCAACGGTGGTTTACAACCGAAAAACCACTTGACGGAAGGCTGCGTGATGTGGTTGCTGATACTGAGTTGCTGCTGCTGAGGGTGCACCCATGGCTGCCACGATAAAAGAGCCAAAGGTAAAGGACAGACGCTATGCTGGGTTCTAGCATCCTGAGCTTTCGTTGTGTCGTACAGCGACTGGGGTTGGAAAGTTCGGTGTGCTAGCTGCCCTTGCCTATTCGCACCAGCGTAGAGCGGAAGTGGCATTGGTCGCTGGGACACGGGAAGGTGGCGGGGTGATTTAGACGTAATGAATAGTGCAGCAATTGCAATGGTGGTCCTGGATCAAAGGGTGTCCGTGTGTTTATTCTTGAAAGTCGTGGGTACTTTTACGCTGCTTTTCACCCAAGGGCTCCTCTCCAGAAAAGTTGCGCGCGGGTAAGATTCGAACGGGTGGCCAGCGACATGAAAAGAAAGTCAAAGATTCCACCTACAATTTGGTTTAGGTTCTGTTGCGACTGAGGACCTGATGTGCTGGGCGGCGGCGGGCCGGCATTCTGTTGTGGAGGCATGTTGCCGTGTGGTGGGAGGCCAGCGCTGGGGGGACCGTTCGTGCCTACACTCATCGACCGCGCAGGCCCTGGCCCCGGTGGGCCTGACATATCTACGGCGTTCCTTCGCTTTTATTCAAATGCGCTGGGTCGCTACCAGAGCTATTTGCAAGCCGGGGAGGACGAGGCGCGCGCGCCGTTTGCGGTCTAGAGGCGGCGATGATGCGCAAGTGGAGGTCACTTGTGGGAGGCGCAGCGGAAAACGCGTAGAGAGCACGCGATCGAGATAGCAAGGTCGTGGAGTCGTCACCGAGGCTGGTCGCATTGCGGAGTGAGCGGAGGAGAGCTGGACATTTGGTAGCGACGCTGTGGCTTGTGCCCCTTCAGCCACATTGTGGGGCTTTGACCATAGCTCTATCACTCACCTTCAAAGTACTCACCATTGTCGTGAAACATCAGCAAACAAGCGACTCGATTGCCAGCTTATGATATCAACATGTCTGCAAGTGCCGAATATTTAGACGCCATGGACACCGATGCACCAACCTCCACACGGCCTCAAGACTCAGCAACACCAGCAGCATCGCAGCAGACATACCGTCAGATCGCAGCCTCCCACATCGAAGGCCTGAACAAACTGAACAGCAACCTGCCCGATATCCTCGCCCTAATCGCCGCTTCCTTGTCGCAACTCACCAATAACCCCATCCAATCTGGGCCACAAGACGACTCGCCGGGAGCGCGCGAGAGGGACATGGTAGCTTTCAGCCAAGCTGTGAAGGGCCTTGTGTCTGGCCTCCGAGAAGCTCTGGTTGACGAAATCAACGATCTAGAGCGCTACAAGGTTATTCCTGCGACGATGACCAAATTCACAGCTCTGCCGAGCGCAACACCGAGCATGGGGCAACAGCAGCAACAGGCGCCGGCGAAGCAGGACCCTGACGCCGGGGTCAAGAATGGAGGGTATGGCAGCTTCGACGTTGGCGTGCTCAACTCGAAGGTCAAGTCTGGGCAGGTCGAGGGTAACGACACATTGGATAGGGTCAAGGCTGTGCTGGACGAGCTCCTGGAGAGGAGCGGGCAGCAGAGCAATGGAGACGAGATGGCAGTCGATGGGTGAAGAGAAGGGCGAACCGAGTCACGACGAAAAAACCACACAACAGCTGCTCTGCATTGGAAGGGTCAGATTGCTCGGTATAATGGATTACTGAAGATCTCCAGGACTTCACCATGGGCCGCGACAGGCGATCAATTCGAGCTACAAGCTTGAGCACAGTATCGCTGTATGGCGCTGGTGCCGATGCCAAGTAGTGATGGCCTAACGACGGCCTGGTCAGGGCAGGCCACGAGAGCCAGATCTGTAGTTCGGGCCTCCTTGCTATGCGTGTCAAGCATAACGGCAGCTGTAACTTAGACCAATCGACCCAGAACTAGTATCTCATCTCTTCGGCTGTAACACATCCCGCATAACCGTGATATCCGCCGGCGTAGTCCTACAACACCCACCGACCAGCACCGCACCCGTATCGGCCCACTGCCTTGTCTTCGCGGCCAACAAACCGCCCTCTGTCCTCTTTCCCTTCCACTCTCGTGCCACGGCATTCCATTGCTCGCCCGAGTTAGGATACACTATCATCTTCCACCTCCTGCCCTGCTGCATTGGCTTCAGCGCCTTGAGCGCCTCCAATCCGACATCATCAGGCGTGCAATTGAATCCCACAGCGATGACCTGCTTCACATCATCGAACAGCTTCGCGATATGTGATAGTGAAGTGCCATCGCTGATATGCTCCCCGTCCTGTAGCGTGAACGTGAACCACGCCTCCTCTCCCTCGAACTCCTGCTGCAGCAACTCAATCAAGGCCTCCGTCTCGGCAAGGCTAGGAATCGTCTCGCACGCGAGCACATCCACACCCGCATCAACAAGGGCCTGTATCCTCCCGCGGTGGAAAGCCTTCATATCCTTCTTCTGCAGCACATAGTCGCCGCGGTACTCGCTGCCATCTGCAAGAAACGCACCGTACGGGCCTACACTTCCGGCCACCCACAGCGCCTTCTTCTCTTGACTGCCGCATTCTTTTAGGTACTCATCCCTTGCCTCCTGCGCTAATCGCACACTCTTCTTAACAACATCCTTGCCCTGCTTGTCGTTGAGGTTGAGATGTTTGCTGAGTCCGGCGAGAGAGGCTTGGTAGGATGCCGTGATGGCGACTTGGGCGCCTGCGCGGTAGTAGTCCAGATGTGTTTGTTTGATCAAAGAGGGATTCTGGAGAAGAATGTCGGCGGACCAGAGGGCTCCTGAGATGTCTGCGCCGAGAGTTTCCAGATAGGTTGCTAGTGCGCCATCTAAGATGATTGGAGAGTCGAGGTGCACTGAGAGCTTGTGAGATTCCGTCATCTTGGATTTTGGGCCTCCTCCTTGGGTAGCTGTCTTTCGAAAAACTGGTGTCACAAGACTTTGTTTATCGAATTACGAAATGCAACGTCAATCTGGTGGCCGATGTTCGGGTGGAAAATCTGGGGAAAGGGCCGACTGTTTGAGAGCAGAACACGACCAGACTTTCGGCCAACGAACCTGCTGCCCCCGACTCAACGGTCCCACAGCATCCTCAGTGTCACAGGCTTGATGCAGCGAGGTCGCAGTGCTGCGCATTGGGACTAGCACCATGCAGGGTAAGTCAGCCTTGATAAACGCGGCGACCCCGAATGCGCGACAGCTCCGCCAATCCTCACACCACGCCAAATGTCGCGAACACATCAACATCACGATGTACCATAGGAGAGACTTTCGGCCGCAGGGAAGTTTGTTGTATATTACATGCTACAGTGTAGTCGGCCGCCGTAACTGGTAACATATCGAGACGAAAACCTGTCCAGCTAAAGAACACGCAGCCCTAGAAAGATCGCTCACCACCCATAGCCATGACGCATATATAACTATGCACTGACCGGAATACACGACCGATCAATGCTGGGTTCGATAAGAGATGCAACGTTTACCCTGACGCAAGACCGTGAAAGCATGCTTGCCCGACAAGCCATGCGAGAAGACGCAGATGATATGCGAGACGTGTTGTGTGTGCGACTAAGCGAAGAGCGCAAAGGCCAAGGCGATGATGATGGCTGCCATGGGGCTCTGGCCGACGGCGACGATCTGGCCCATGTTGACTGGGACCTCGATGTAGGACGGAGTGGGAGCGACGATGGTGCCGTTCGCGCTGGCAGATGGGTAAGGGTAGCTGTGCAAGAGTTAGCTTGGGTCGAAGCGAGTCATTGGTGAAGACTTACCCGGATCCCGACGGAAGATATCCAGTGCCCTGGCTTGTGGGAACAGCATCAGTGGCGGTGTCGGTAGATGAGTTGCCCGAGGACAGTGGTGCAGTAACGTAGTTCGTCGAGGTCAGAGTCAACTGGCTCGTAACCCTAGTAGTGCCTTCGACGACTGTCGTGCTAGCTGGGGGTACAGGACCAGGGTACACCAAGCCAGAGCTTGCAGACGTGATGGCGGGGTATGTGCCAGACACAGTGGTCAGCGTGCTAGGCTGAACGGTGGGAACAGACCCAGATGGGTATCCGCCTGCGCCGCTCGAGGTGCCTTGAGTGGGCATTGCAGTGGACTCGAGCGCTGTATATCCACCCGAAGAGGGACCAGTCGAACTGGCGCTGCCGTGACCACTTGAAGCAGGATATCCAGATGTAGGATCCGCATCAGGGGCAGTGTTGCTTGGCGAGGATGGCGAGGAGGCGTCGCTAGATGGAAGAGCGCTGGAGCCAGGATAGCCCGAAGTAGGGACAGCATCTGTCGCAGTGTAGCTCGAGCCAGAGGCCGGGTTTGAACCACTAGGAACGGCACTAACAGTGTTGCTTGGAACAGAAGGCGAGTTGGCACCGCTCGAGGGGCCGACACTGGGGACTGGAGAGCCTGAACGACTGGAAGTGGGAACGGCATTAGTTGCAGTGACGCTCGGCACCGAAGGCTGACCGTAGACGCTGGAAGGTGTGACACCAGAAGTGGGGACAGCTCCAGTGTTAATACCTGGTGTGGGCAGGCTCGAGCCTGGGCCTGCAGAGGTCAAGGGCTGGGAAGGAACATAGCCGATCGAGGAGCCAGGTTCTGGCACACTGGGAGGGAAAGAGGTGGGGACAGAGTCAGTGAGGCTACCAGGCAGCCCACTTGGAGTAGGTCGAGGCACGATGACTGTATCGGAGCCGTCTGGGCCTGTGGGCAGCGCTGATGTCTCAACGGGAGGAGTATAGCTGCTCAAAGGTCCAGATGCACCTGGTGCAGACGAAGTCGGTACTGAGTCGGTACCCGTGACTGGCACGGAAGGATTGGGCGAGATCAGGCTGACCGAGATGTCAATCGAGCGCGAGGAACCAGTGGGTAAGGCGGAGCTCAGGACTGGGGGCAGGTAGCTACTGAATGGGCTGGGAGAACCTGGAGGGAAAGAGGTGGGAACCGAGTCAGAGAGCGTATCCGTGTTGCCTGGCGGGCTGGTAGGAAGAGCTGAGGACGATGGCACGGCTCCGGACTCAGCTGGCGGGAGACCAGGAGTTGAAGTGACCGGGCAGATCGTCGTCGTCACGCTCATAACGGTGGTCGACGTGAACAGCTCCGTGGCGCTAGCAACGGGACAGTTGGTGACACTCGCAGCACACTTAGTGATGGTGTATGTTGACGTTACGTAGACTACAGCGGTAGTGGTGCCGTCTGCAAATGCTGTTAGCCGGGCTTCAAACACCGTGCAGGAGCTGGGCAGTACTCACCATCTCGACCGACGAGAGGTTGAACGGCAGATGCGGCACCTCCAAAGAGGGCAGCCAGATAGAAGGCCTTCATGGTGAGGCAGTGCTGGCGGTGAGGCGAGAGGATAAAGGAGTGGATGGTACTTGAGCAGCAATGTACTGGCGTTGAATTGCCCTGGGCTGGGAAAAGAGTGTAGGGAGTCGGTGGAGAGAAGAAGCTGGTCAAGAGTCGGACGATGTTATGAAGGAGGCAAGCCCGCCAAGATCTAGCGCCGATCTGGTGAGAAGAGAGGGAAGCTGCTGCGGGACCCAAACAAACAACAACAGAACGAAAGCGCTCTCAGTGGATCTGCAATGGCAAAGTGGATTTGCAGTCGTTGCCACGCTACATCATGAAGGCAAGCGCATATTTAGCACGTGATGGCACCTTCACTGCTCGTCGTCCGGCAAGGTCCCGTCTCACAATCGAATTAGCTTGCTGGGGCTGAACACATGTCACAGGATGCACAGAGAGACTATTGGAGCCGCGGGCTACTGCTCAGAGAAGCAAATTAGGCTGCCTGCATTTGCACTACAGCAGCCACCCGTTGTGTGGACGAGGCGGTGACGCTTTGGTAGACACAGCACGGACGCAGCTGCTGTCCCCGTGTCGTCGACTGCGTCCCGGGCTCTCTTTCACCTACGCTTTGAAGCGCCTTCCTGCTTTCTGCGTCACCCTTGCACGCCAAAAAACTCTGTCAGCAAACGCGTCTTGCCACCGGCGCCCAGCTCCCATATTAAGCTCTCATTCCCTGCTTCTTTCAACTTCGTCCACGACACACCTTCAACTCCATCGCGCAAGCATTCGTCAACGCTGCAGCAATATCCAACATACTTCCAGCTCTACCGCATCACCAATCCATCACCACTGTCACCATGGTTGCCTTCAGGGTTCTCGTCGCTGCCGCGCTCGCCTGCGTTGTTGTCGCTCATGATCATCCCACCGACAGTAAGTGCACACCATCACGCTGGTCACATCCAGCCTCAGCCTTGTGCAGCCCAAGCTAACGTGTCGTGCAGCCGTCTGTGTCGCCCCCTTCACTGTGACTGTCACCGAGACCGTGTGCGGCACGCCTGGTGTGCCTGTCCACACCCCCCCTGCGGCTCCCTCCTACGAGGCGCCTCCCCCACCGCCCGCTCCGCCGGTCACTTCGGTTGAGTCTACGGCGACTGCTCCTTTGAGTGGCCCTCCTGTCGACACCGCCACAGTGGTTCCACCTTCTCCCCCTGCGGAGACTGGTGTGCCTCCTGCAGAGACTAGTGTGCCTCCTGTCGGACCCCCACCCGTCGTCCCCACCACCGTTGTGGTCCCTTCGACTGGCGTGGCTCCATCAACTAGCGTCATAACCTCCATCACGTCTTTGGGTCACTCTTCAGCCCACTCCCCCACTGGCGGCCATACTTCGACAATCTCGGCCTCTCTCCGTCCTTCAGAAGTCTCGACTGCTGGTGCCGTCATGGCCATGCCCACTGCCTACCTCGGCTTTGGCTCGCTGTTCGCTGCTGGTGCTGCGGCAATGGCTGTCATCGCCTGAACGCCGACCACTCTACATCTCATCATGATCAGGTCGGTGTTGAAGTAAATCATGGTGTCTTCAAGACCTTGACGTCTCGCACACGTGCATAGTCTGTGACAAGGTGGATCTCATTTCACGGTACGATCGTTGGATTTGGCGGGATTTTGGTAGGGCTCATTCATCGCCGAACAACTATACATGGCTAGCATGTCTATAGCTCTCTTCCCGATGCTTGATAATACATTGTGACTTGGTCACAACTCTTGATAACCTCGTCTTTTGCTCATGTGACGCCTTTGTACTTCCCTGACATGGTGCCGTTGAGCCTGTCCCGCGGTTGAGGGTAGTACCTTCATGACTTGTGTCGATGGCGCCTGCGCCACTCTTTACTCGTGAGCCAATCCACGATCTGCTTCGCAGCAGCTTCTGGCTGCAGATTGGTGAGTTCCAGACCGAGCTCGCTGTCAGTGTCAAACTTGTAGAGCTCTTCGGTCTCTCTCTCTGAGCAGGTTCGGTCCCGGTCAGTCAGCTTCATTGCTCTGCTCCACTTACATTCTGCAGTATCGATACTGCACAATTTCTTTTCAAAGATCGGCGTACCTCTTGAGCGGCGTCCACAAACTCTGTGGCAACCTCGAATTCCTAGTCAACATTCGAGCGACTCTCTATAATCATGTGAGTACACGTTGACACTAAGTAGACTTCAAGAATCTGACCGGTGAAGATGACAACGTGATCCTTGAACTTGGCATTCTTCACAACCGCTTCAAATTGGCGCTCACGCTAGGCCTTACACTCTTTTTGGTAGTAAGGGTGGTCGCGCGGGTACTTCGCGTTCACGGTATCGATGAGCGTGTGGCTATCCAGGAGAATGCAGTTTTCCAGGCTGAGGAGCTGTACGATCTCGCGGGCGACGGTGAGCTTGCCGACGCCGAGAAAGCCGTTGATGTAGAGAAGTGGGGCGTTGGTCAGTATGGATTGCGAAAGATATTGTCCGTATGGAGGATGTGAAAATCGGGAGGGGGAGGACTGCGAGGTCGTCGTGGGTATATTTCTGGCGTTTGGCGCGTCACAGCTGAGTACGTGAAGAGTGAGTGGGGTGCGATGGGTACGAATGAAGAAAGCACGGGTATGGAGCGTCATGTGCTCTCAGCATGTCTCTCCTTGTATGAAGCTCTGATCTCCGTCCTGTCAAGTAGCTTGAGATTTAGACTGGGAAATCATTCGATTGTTTGCATACGGAGAAATGGTTACGGCTAATTCGTACTCCACGTGCAAACCCTGTTTGACCTAGATGGGCAAAGCATTGCTTCAGCGTCCTCAATCTCTATAAAATGTCTTTCTCAAGGGGGTGCTTTGGAGACTTGCTTACCTGAAAACTGAAAACAATCCCTACGGCCATTTCTTCGAGACGAGGCGCATACCTCGGATCTCAACATTACAACTGTATCTCTTTGACCGGAGAAACGATCTAATAGCTCTGAATGAAATTTCTGGCAGATGGCATCAAGACGGTCATACTGGCCATTTACTAGCCACGCCATCAATCCATAATTTTCCTTCGGATCGATCATCTTTAACAATGACCGCTCCTTGAGAGGGTGTCAAGACTAAAGAGATACCTCCATAGTCGCCGTTGAATCTCCAACTCAACAGACGCTAGCAGCTTCTTGAAAGTCTGCGATCTGACTAGAAATACAAGATTCCTTTTTACCTACGATTTAAAGGTCCGCAGCATCCAGAGGTTGATGTTTGCAGTAAGAGGAGTTGTCTCTTACACCTTACTCCTCTTCTCCAGCTCCATGGCAGCAACGATCGCACACCCAATCCCGCTCCCATCTTCCGCACTCGTGATCTTAATCGGCCCCTCTCCCTCCCTCTTCTCCTGCTCACTCCATCCTAGAATCTCGCCCAGCGCCCTCGCCTACCTACGCTTGAACTTAGGATGTTTATTTGCCACGGATCCATCAGCCGCAACATGGCCGTCTTCAATACCCTCTTTCAAGCAAATCGCCGCAACACCGCATGCACAAAGCCTCGCGCCGCGGACAGCGATCATCTCCGCGATATGGCGGGAGAGCTCGATTTCCATGTCTGAAGGGGAAAGGGAGAGCAGGGAGCAGAAGAGATCTCGTGATTTGGAGAAGAATGGTGAGTCGTCGTCTTCGATTTGCGAGAGGAAGCCGGTGTCGATGGAGTACGGGTTTTTCAATTTGCTCTTATCCTGGTCTCTAAACACCAGCCCGCGGTCCGCTAGATCGAGCACAATGAGGCGGTAGATCTCGCCCAGGTACAGGCCCGCAGACAGCTTCTCGAAGGCTTGTTCGCCTGGGCGCGGCGAGTCAGCGTCGATCTGCTGGTCATAACTTGTCCAGGGGAGAACGCGGTGGGCATTATCGAAGGCGCCGTATTCGCAGTTGATAACGATTTTGTCGCTGATTTTGCTGCAGTAGGCGCGATCGGAGTCCTTCATCTTGCCGATGCTGGACAAGTTGGCCATGTAGGCTGCGTTGCAGCCGGTGCCGAAGATGGCGCCAATGATAGTCTTGGGGTCGTTATAGGCGGATGCTATCATTGCGCCGACTGTGTCGTTGATGACGCAGATTAGTTCGAACGGGAGGTTTCGCTCTTCAATCTTCTCGCGTAGTTGCTGCGCGACGTCATGGTCTTCCACGCCGCTGATGTCGAAGCCTTTAGTCCATGTTTTGAGAATTGCGTGGTCGATGCGCGCTTGTGTTGCTGGGTAAGAGAATGTGAAACCAAGCGGCATTGGTCGCTTTTTCTTGAAATTGTTCATCAAACTGTTCTGCTTCGCAAAGTCCTCCAGCTCTTCTGCAATGAAGCTCCACAGCGCATCTGCATCGCCTTTCTTGAGCTCTTCGGGCAGCTTATACTGCTTCTGATCGAGATGAGTCTTTTCTTTGCCCTCCTTCTCGTGTCCATGGAGTGTTATCTCACAGACTCTCAGATTGGTTCCGCCAAGGTCAAGAGTGATAAATGTGCCCCTCTCGTTTCCCGAAGGAAGGTGATGTACCCAACTTTGGTGCATCGCAATGTTCTGGTGGTGCTTAGCCAGACCCTCGTCCAGTTCTACGCGGAAACGATTGACAATCTGCTTCAGTTTGTCGCTGCTCATCCACTCTCAAGAAGTTTCTGCTTGCCTTATGTCGCAATGACGTTCGGAGCAAGGGGAGTCGCGAGACATTCGGTCCACGGACCAAGAAACGTTGTGACGATCGGTGGGGTTCTGCGTTGGAGATAGCCTACTCGACGCAACGCCCTGTCAACACATGTTGTAAGATGTATCTATGAAGTTGGACGTCAAAAGATGTCCAAAGATGTCGTGCACATTTTACACGCGAGCAATACAAAATCCACGTTTGCCGCAATTAGCCGTGATCTGCCCATGCTAGTTTGTGATGTCCATGCGGTGTCATGGAGGGAAGTAACAGGTGTGTCCTGGGTATCTGTATGTTCGTTGATCTTGATTGTGATGTGTTGCCGCCATAATGGCTTCCAAACGCCTTGCGATGCATCCAACTCTTCCATGCGGTCTATTCAACATGACAAAGGAAACACTTGGCTGTCGAAGCCTGACGTAATGTGCCTTTCTCCTGATGCATTCATTATGCAGCGCACTTCTCCTTCTCACTTCTCCTCTCCTCACGCTCTTGAACTGCCACCGTCGCCGGGATATGCTTCGCAGTACCGTCCTGCTCAATATTTTCCTGCGCAGCCGCCCTTTGATTCAGCAAACTCAGGTACGTCTGCCACCCGATTGCGATCACGCCTCCGAAGATGCTCCTGTACTGAATCGGGATATATGTGAAACTGAATGCTGTGATCGCGGGCCAGAGCTTGCAGCTGTTGATCCAGCTAGTTGGTACAGTGTTCTTGATGCGCTCTACAATCTCGTCGAACGAGGCGCCCGCAAGGAGGGTCTGCATGCCGAAGAAGTATGAGTTGAAGATGGGTGTGAAAAGAATCTGGTTGACAACGACCTGGATGATTGTTAGCATCCGTTTCAACTCCCGGAAGCCGTGCACGGAGGGCGACGTACCTTGGTTGTCAGACTCAGGATCTTGGAGGAGTAGTTGAAGTTCATGCTGAGCCACAGAAACCACTTGTAACTCGGTATACTGCTGAGTCCTCCAATGACCAGCGCTCTGCCTGTGCGTGCCCAATCGCGGTCTTCGCTCCACTGCTGCACCCATCCTCTTTCCTCCTCCTCCTCCTCCTCCTCTTCTTCTACGACCTCTTTCTCCTCTGGCGCAGCGATACTCTGAGCGACCAGGTCGCCCACGAAGTAGATCACCAGCGAGCTCACGAGCTGCGTTAGGTACGGTTTTCTTTGTTGAACACGCCCGTATGCGCGGAAGGGCTCAATGACGGGTTCGAGCCAGAGCCAGCTGGGACCGGGTATAGTTGTGGCAGTCGCAGGCGCCTTCTGACCTGGAGGCTTCGTTGCATTGTACCGGCGTAGTACATGCGTATGAGACGCTCGTTGTGCGACGAAGTCGAAATGCGTGGCATTTCCGGAAGCGTTGTTGGGGTTCCGAGGATAAGCGTGTCCGTTTTGTGCTGTGCGCCGTGAGCTTGCGCGAGCCCAGGCGCCAGTTGTGCGTATCATGGTGGCCGTTTGAGGTGAAGCAGTCTCATGGGTCGTGCCTGCAGGGAGGTTGTATAGGTGAGAGTTGCATTGTGGGCGTAGTGTTGAGGTCTGAAGTGCCGGGTCACTCGCCGTAGACTTCTGACACTGCAGTTCCGAGGCCGAGCTCGGAAAACAACGCCCTGTGGATGGAACACAGAGCAGATCCAGGGTCCAGACGCAGCGGGTAAGACGCCATCGAGCACGTGCTCTCCGCATCACCGGCCACCACTGTCACGCATGCATGCGTCAAAAGTATATCTCTGGATGGCTGAAATCAATCACCCGATGACAGGATCTGGTTCGAAATAGTCTATATATCCGTAGACCAAAGGACATCTCATCGTAAAAGTGAGTACGAATGCCGCTTGCTATGCCGCTGAAGATACCTCCATGAACGCCAGACCGTGTCTGCACTCCTCGCACCGAACCAGTTGTTCAATCCGCAAACGGGGTCATCATTGGATCAGCCAGTCTCTCTCGCTTTGGCGGAGACCCAGTGCGAGAGCAGCTTCGCTTCGAACTCCTGCCACGCATCTCCTGCGCTATAGCCGGTTGATGCTCGACCGAAGACAAAGATCCTCGGGCTATCGCATCGACTGTTTCAGCTCTGAAGCATCTAAGTTAGCAAAGCGATAGAGAAGGCATGGCCCCTTTGTGTAGGGACAAGCTCACGACTTCTCCAATCCTTCGATGACCTCAACGTTGTCGTACTCGATCTTCGATGCAGGCAAATCAGTCATCTCCACATCTTGATGTTCCCTCTCAGTCGTAATAGTCTCCGCCATGGTCATATATGGCTCTCGAACGACTGCTTGGGTCATGCGCTCGGCATGATCCTCTCTAACAAATACGATGCCTGTGCTGCCGGCAGCCAGAGCGCCGGGGCCGATCTTGAAGATATCCTCCTCAGCGTACGGCTTCACGGTCTCATCGTTATACTCGCGCCAGGTGTTATTTTGGAAGTCTTTGATATAGATCAAGTAATGACCCGAGCCGGTCCCACCTCGATGGACGAAAATGGCGTGCAAACGGTAGCCGTGATCACGGTACTCTCTGAACACGGTATCGATTTCCGACTCGAGTTGGCTCATGGAGGTCTTGATCTCTTCAAGCTCCGACTTTAGAGCTGTCGCTCGTTCATGCAAGTTGGCCGGAAGTTCTTCAGGTGGTGGTGTTGGCAACGAGTCAAACATCTGCTCCTCCACAGCTTTGAAGAAATCCTCTGTGAACGCTGCTGTCTCCTCCACAGCATCGGCAAGATCCATGTCTGGAACCTCGGTAACCTGTAGAACTTTGCATCTTGCTGCCAGGCGCTGGAGCTCTTGCTGCTTTGCCCACTGTGCTTGACGTAATTGTAGGAGTTCACCACCAGGTAGCCTCTTAGTCGCCTCAAGGTATCTGTCCAGGTAGAGAACGTCGTCCAGGCTGAGCTGAGCTGTATCGCGGACCTGTTGCTTCTTCTCTCTGTTAAATTGGAGTCGGCGCACATTGACAATCTGGAAAGGGGCAGGCTGCTCAATGTACTCAAACTTGGTCTCTCCGCCTTCAAGCTCACTGAGTCCGAAGTCATCGTCGAGGGCTGCGTAGAGGTGACGGTCGCGCCCACCTGCTGAGATCAAGTGGTGGTTCCTGAGCTCTTTTGTCTTCTCGACATTGTCCCTCGTATTCCGTACGATTGTTACGTCGCTGAAGAAGAGGTCCTTGATAAGATCCGCCTGCTCGCCATCACGCATGATCGAGTCTGGCTTGATTGCACATGAGATCAGGTCCATGATGTTTCCCATGACCTCGGCAGCATCCTGCTGTCTAGCACTTTCGGCAATGTGGTCGTCCTTGGACTTTTGCTGTTCTTGTGCTTTGGGTCGAGGGGGGATGGGAGGTGGTCGAGTTGGAGGTGGGGGCTTGTCGTTTGATTCAGGCAATCTGTCCACAGCTCGAGCAGAGCCGTCACCTTCTGCCTCACCATCATTAGCGTCGTTGTCTTCGCGCATGACCGTATCGGCGGCAGGAACGACTGCTTTGCTCGCTTCGATCAAGGCGGTCTCGGTGCCATTCGGTATCTCATTCTTGGCCAGACTTCCGGCATCAGGGGATTTTTCTTCAACTTCTGGACTGTCCGTCTTGCATAACGCTAGTTCAGCAAGATACTTCGTAGGCAGGATGTTGTCTGTGGGTGCTCGGATCATCTCCTGGAACAAGCTTTGTAGCTCGCGCACAAACTTCTGAGCAGTAACCACTCGTTCCGGCATGACGATGGCACGACCAACTTTCTTGTTCTTCAGCGCTTCTGGTGAAGGATCTTGTTCGTACTCTTCGAAGTTGAGAACCAGTTGGCGTAAGGGCGTGATAGTAAACAGGAACTGGAGGACACTGTTCAGATAGCAGGTGTTGCCGTTGTTGCGGCAGCCTACAGGCCAAGTCTCCAAGGGGAAGTCGTTCACGCGTGAGCCTGGCCCCTTGGGCTGTTCGTCCTTGTTGTCGTAGTTCTGAGCTTGGTCGTGTTGAACCAGGGCGAATGCTTTCTCGAGCTTGGCGACGTCGTTAGGCGGTGCGACGACCATCATGCTCTGTAGGACGGAAAGGTCGACATTCTTCCTGTCGTCCATTGCTGAGATGTCGAATAACGCGTAGGCTTCGCTCAGACCCATTTCTTCCTCAGGCATCGTTCCTTTGTGCAGAAATTGTCGAAGTCGGTCGCTGTTTCGATGTTCGGCGATGACGGATACTGCTTTTCGCGCAGACTCAATGCACGAAGGATCGTCGTTCGTCTAGGCAGCATCAGCAAAGGTGAAGATGAGAGCTCAGTCACGTTGGACCCACTTTGATGGTGAACATGGTCCGAATGAAGTCGTCAGGTTGGGATTGATCGAGGTCAAGCCAAGATAGAGCCTCGTCGTAGGTGTCGATCGATTCGCTAGCTTCTCGTTTGATCGATTCGCTGTCGCGCGCAACACCGATGATCCGTAGATTTCTGCGCAACTCTTGACGCTGCGGTGGGGAGATGTCAGGTAGGCGAGATCTAGCTTGGTCGATGATGAACTGGTCGCTGAGTGTAGTTCCGTGAGCTGGATCCAACCCAATGGACCGATATGCACTCTCCAAATCGCGTCTGTTGGGAACATCTTGAGAAGCGAGCATGGCGACTTCATACTGTAGCATATTGCTGTTTCGCCCAATGGCAATCTCCTGGAAGCATTCAAGGTAATAAGGCGCGTTGGGCGTATCGACGGCGCTCTGCCGCCTGTAAGCAAAACGTATGAGTGGGTCCACAAAATCTCCAACCGCGCCAAGGCTGGCATAATTTCTGCTCTTTATGTCAGTCGTCATTGTGGTAGCGTCTTATTTGACATACGGATGGTCTTCCTCAGTGGAGCTCGTACTGCGCGTTCGCCCAGGAACCTTGTCATCTACAGGCTTCATCAGTGGTTGAAACGACCACAAACCATAACGAACTTACAGTCGTGACAAGCCAAAATCCTCTCGATGTCGCCTTGTGAAGGAACAGGGTACATCGGCTGCTGTCTGATTTTCAGACGTTCGGGCTCAGGTATGGCCTGAATCATGCTGTTAAGCTCAAACCGAGCGTCATCGATGATGGTTCGCAAATTCGGCTCGAAAGGATCCTGTTGTGCTTCAGGCTTGGGAAGGCACCATTTTTCAACCTTGCCCTCATCCGCATCCTCGCTTTCCTCGACGACGTATTGGAAGCCTAATTTCTTCAAGATCGAGTCGCAGTCTCTCCAGAAGGTTTTTGCAAATTTCCTGTTCATCAAAGGCACTTGGGTCTTACCTGGGACAGGGTTAAGAGAGTCTCTGAGGAATGTGTCGAGGAAGTCAGGCCCGTCCACAGGTCGTGCCATGGTTTCGCCCTCGCGCTGCCCTATTAGCACTTGGGCATCCTGATGTCTCTTCCTCAGCTGTGCCTTGTTCATCATAAGCTGCTGGTCGTGCTCCGTGAAGCGCGGCGGCTTGAGGTCTATTTGCACCAAGGTTGAGCATTTGGGCGATGTGCAATGGAAGCCGAACGACCGGGGAGCTTGCTGACTGCCAATCCCGTTGCTCTCGCCCTTGCCATCGCTATCGAAGACGAAGTGGTGTAGCGGGTATTCCGTGTTCTGGCTCCCACAGGAAGCTTGCCGGCCTGCTTGATCTTTGACGGAGACAATGACGTCGATGTGCCAGCGACATTGCGTACAGTAAGACGCGACCTTGTGCACCAGACTGTCTTCGTTGCCGGGCGCTGGCAGGAAGGACTGCTCCTCCTTCTTCACAAGCGCGTGTCTGCAGTTCCCTCGAGGGACTGCGGGGATGCCGTTTCGATTCGGAGTGTGCTCGGGCGGGGCGCTGGTCAAGAGGTTGCGACCTGCGCGGTCTTCGCGGTGCGGATCATATGTGAGAAGGTCCTGGAGCAGCCGTGGCGCTGTCTTGCCTATGGTGATAGCCGTGGTTAGCAGTGCACACCAGCATGCACAGGAATACTGTACCAGGCGCCATGACTACGACAGCTAGGAATATGGTGTAGACAGTCGCTATGTGTGACGAATGCAGAAGCCCAGGCTATTTATGACGGGATGCAAAAGATGCGGGCACGGTGAAGGCGGTGAGAAGCTGAGTGTCAAATGGACAGCGTGCGACTGGAAGTGTCTAACGGGGTAGGCGCATGGCAGGCGGCATGCAGGCAGCGGGTGTTTTACTGTTCTAATGATCATGATACAGTACAAACGCAGTCTCAGTGTGTGACGAAACACGAGCATGCCCACTGCAAGCTTCAAGTGTCAAACAGCGAAACACCGGAAGTATGCAGCTTTCCAAGCTGTCTGCCTTGCGATCATCCAAGGCATGCAAGACATGACATACGGCGGCGATGATGCAGCGCGCCACCCAATCGGGCGTTAGCGCTGCCAAGGCCATATCCGGAGCCAACTTCAACGACATGCATGTCGATGTCGAGAGCTCCCAAGACGAGATCCCCACAGCCATTCTGCCCGCCATGGCCGACCAACACCCAGCCTACCACCCTCGGGATGCCCTCCACAACACCGGTAGCGTCATGTTCCAGACGACCATCGTCGGCGCCGTCGTCGCCGGTGTGCAGAACACACTCCGCAAGCAGAACGTCGGAGCCATGGGCATTCTCACACGGTCGGGAGGCGTAATCGCTCTTTTTGGTGCGCAAACACTCAGTTGGCAGATTTAGAGGTGCTGTGAAGCTAATTGAGTGGTAGCTGGTGCTGGAGGCGCATACCAGTTCACACTCGACGCGACTGCGAATATGCAACAAAAGGACGACTGCTACAACGAGTTCTATGCTGGCTTCGCTGCTGGTGCAGTCGCTGGAATCATGAGTACGTGCGAGTGATATTTTGGCACGGACAGGGCTAATATTGCTCAGGGCGCAGTCTGCCCTTCATGCTCGGTGCTGGTGCTGTGTTTGGAACCGGCATGACAGCTTACAGATACACCGCTGGTATGCGTGGCACAGTGTCTGGTGAGGTAGACGACGAGGAGGTCGAGCGAAGGGAGGCCATGAAGAAGCTTCGCCGACGACCATTGTCGGAGACTATTGAGCAATTGGGCGAGGGACGCGGTAAGTGTGGCCTGATGTCACGAGTTGGGGCTGTTGCTGATGTATCCAGGTATCTACGCCCCCGGATACGAGGAGAGGAGGCGACAGAGGATCCTGGAGAAGTATGGCATCGATGTAAAGGCGGCGCAGGCCTAGACGCAACACGCGATTTCCTTGGAGTTTACACCCGAAGCAGACATCGAATCACAAGAGTCGAGCACTTCGCAACACTTGTACATACCACTTGTCCCAAATCCGAAAATGACCAACATGAACAAGTTCAAGCACGCATTGCCGCCGTCTCTGCATCTTTAATACATTAGCCTTTGTAGCTGCGGCTAGCTCCTGTCAAGGTTTAGTCATCATGAACCTCAACTCGAAAACTGTACGGTTATAGATAAGTGAGTGTGTAAGATCGATAACGTATCAGTCAGCGGTGCTCTTGCGTGTTGCTTATGGACCTTCCAGGATGCAATTCGAGTCCAGCTTCACAGCAGCCTCCTGTCTTGGGTGTTGAATCGAGCTTCTAGTACTGACTTGTACTCCATGACTCTCCTCGAAGGACAAGGGGGCTCAGTAGATGCAAGCAATCAATTGGCTGGTTTATCAAGCCGTTCAATAGCAGATAATTAGTCGAAGTGTGACTGTGAGTAAGGTCAGATTCAAAAAATATATATACCAGAATCCGTTTCTAAATGAAGCCATAGCAGACTCGTTTCAACAGCTCAAGCTGCACACGCACGTGCACCCACACGTCACGAACGCGTCGAGAACTGAGATCCCTGTGACGTCTTGCGGGGTAGGCGACCACAAATTAAGCCGCCCACCCTGAACACGACCATCGATCGGCTGTTCTGTAAGACAATATCTCGCGCGTGAGCTCTGTCACTGCCTTCTTGCCTGAAGCGGATTGTCTCTGGGCGATTATTGCGATGGCGCTCTGCATGATGATGCATTTGATCTTCCTGTCGAGGGTCGACGCGCTGGTCGCGCTTTCCTCATGAATGTGCCCCGCCAAAGGTCAACATCCGATATATTACGCGCGACCACGCGCTTGACAATTTGAAATCTGCAACGTCGACTCAGGCTGCGATATAGACAGTGTTACTGCCTCCTCGAGCTCACCTGTCCTCTTCTTGATCCTGCTCATCGCAATGCAGGCAGCTCCACAAACACAGACCCAAGTCGACTCGAAAGACCGTTTCTTTCGTTACTTTCGCCATGAAGTTACAGGTAGTTATCCTGGCCATTGATATAGAGCCTCAAACTAAGTTTTGCAGCACTTCAAGAGCAGATGGATCGCCTGAATAGCCTGGCGGCTGACGGAGGCGAGCGCAATGACGCCGTGGACCACTGCCTTGCCGGGATAGATCGCCTGTCTCACGAGGTCAAAGACGCCTCGAGCTACATTCCAGCATACGACCAGCGAACATACAGTGAGGTACGCACCGCCGAAACGACTCCAAAGGCCCTGAACTTAAAATCCATAGGCAATCAAGGCCCTCTCCGAGAAGCTGCAGAACACCCGCCAAAGCTTCAACCCACCTAAAAAATTCGCCTTCAAGACCCGCAAGAATGCTTCCGCAGTCTCCATCTCAGACGCCGACGAAATCGCCGCTTCACGGGTCGTTGGCTCAGACACGTCCAATACAAATTCTTCCTTCGCGCCCACACCGCTCAACAGACTCTCACCCGGCGAGCGAAAAGAGCAAGAAGCAGCCTTGTCACCACAGAATAGCACACCGAAAGTGAGCGACGGCATCGATGACGCGAACGGCGGGGTGCGCCGACCCTCCTTCTCTGGGGTGACGAGTATACACATCAGCAACCACAACGCAGTAATCATCATTGCACACGCATCAGCCTCGCACGCCACAAGTTCTGGCACAGTCACAAATCTGATGAACTGCACCGTCGACCTCAGCGCTCCGACCACCGCGTCGCCCTTCTCAGCACTCTACCTCAAAAATATACTATCCAGCACGATCATCACCGGGCAAGTAAGCGGCGCAACGCACATTACCGACATTACGTCGTGCAAACTGTACGTCACGAGTCGGCAATTCCGGATGCACGGTGCGAAGAATGTAGACGTATATCTGCACTGCGCGTCGCGGCCGATTATCGAGGATTGCGAGGGCGTCAGGTTTGCGCCCCTGCCAGAGGAGCTAGTCAGCGATGAGCTGAAACCGGCGCAGAATCAGTGGGATCAAATTGACGACTTCAAGTGGTTGAAAGCAGAGCAGAGTCCGAACTGGAGTATCTTGCCAGAAGGAGAACGTGTGGCGCCAGTGGTGGAATTGTAGTGTGGTCTGAGCTATTGACATGGGATAATTTTGATCGTACGCGTCGATTAGATTACTGTCGTCTTGAGCAACTCCATCTCCCACTCATGTTTCAGCAAGCCATATACCACCATATCACTTGCTTCCCCATGCTTCTCCACCGCGCCCCTCAGCACACCCTCTCTCACATATCCGCACTTCTCGAAACACCTCATGCTCCCCTTGTTCTCCTGGAATATCCCTCCCCACAACCTCGTCCACCTCTTCCCCTGCTCCCCTGCCAACAAACTGTGAGGACTGCGAAACACCCAATCCGTCAACGCCCGCAACATCTCCGTGATGAGCCCCTTGCCCCAGTGCTCTTCACCGATCCAGTACCCGATCTCTGCGCAGTGCGACTGGACGTCGACTCCGGGTTTGAGACCGCAGCCACCGACCACGGTCTCCGGCGAAGACGATAGACAAATGGCCCAGTTCAAGATGGGCGGTGCCAGATTCATGTTAATCCAGTCATGGGCTGCTTCGAGCGTGTAGGGCGACGGGAAGCCGAGGGACATGTACTCCGTTACCTTGGGGTTGTCGGCGTGACGAGACATCGACGGCGCATCTTGAGGATGCAAGGGTCTGACGAGCAGGCGAGGTGCTGTGAATATTGGCTTGGGGAGAGGCGAGGCTGTGGTCGTTGCTGTTGTGGTCTGAGGGTCGGCTTGCGGTGAGACTTGGGCTGTCATGGCGGCGGGGTGGGCGGGAGTGGGCTGAGCTGCCATGTTGAGGATGACTTGCTGTTGAATGTGAAGCGTAGCGAGTCTCCGTGTTGTCTTGTTCTTGATACTGTGGTGAACTTGGATGAATGTAAAACCGGCTCAGCCGTCTTGTTTATCTGGTTTGAGTTTGTTGTGTGGACAATCACTGCATGCCGTATGCAGGCTGAGATCACGACGTGTATGTAAAGATATGTTATCTGAGTCATATATCTACCTTGTCGTACGGTTTGCATCCAGGTAGCATCGTAGTAAGCATTTACGCTGAGCACCTTCCGCATTTGCATAGCGCAACAGCTTTCTTCACAGTTGCACAGTCCACATGGTATGCGAGTTTAGTAGTCAATGTGTATTAGTGTATGAATTTCAGCCTCAGGGATGGTAGAGGGGCGATGTTTAGCGCCGTTTTGCCGACGCGTCGAGGACCAACACGCGACATGATCGTCTACATTGTTACTGGGTCGCGCCATCATGTTTCCTTCCACTAAGAAGTATGTAAAGTAGACATTTGCGATCGCAATACAGCTGACAGTCTTTCAGGAAAGTCGTGAGGACCTACTCGCGACAAACAAAACGGCCGCTCTACGATGAAGAACCACCCGCTAAGCGCAGACGCGTCGAGGACGCCGATGTCAAATCTACAACGCCAGCAATACCGGTGCCAGAAGCACCGGCCAAAACCACTTCGCCTACACGTACACGTTCTGCGCCCCTGAGCTCAAGTCCGCGACCATCACCACCGACCTTTTCAGATGCGCCAACACGATCGTCCCCTCCGTCGTCACCAGCGCTAGAGAGCTCCCCTCCTCCAGAAACGAAGAGACGGCCCATATTCTCGCTGTTCAAGAGGAAGCTGAAACACAGCGTTTCTGCGCCCGAGGGTTTGTCCGAACGCAGCCACAATGCTCAAAGCCCACCGAAACCCGCACCGGCCAAGAAGAAGCGCATGGTGCAGATGCAACTGGACCTAGTCGGGCAGCACCGCAAGGCCTGCAAGACCTGCGGCATGGAGTACATACCGTCAAATGTCGAGGATGTGGCCTTGCACAAGAAGTTCCACGCCATGAACTTCGGCGGTGTCGACTGCACCAAAGCCATGGTCGAGCGATTGCGACAGAAGCAGATCTGGAGTGGAGGCGAGGCGAGCTTCATAGCTGTTGTTGGGCGGAGAGATGCTCTTGCGCTGCGCAACAAGGCGAGTGACGTGCTGAAGGTTGTCAACACGGAGCTTGCGGCGGTGCCTATCACGGATGAGGAGCTCTGGAGTCAGACAATGCTATCTGCCAGCACGGAAGATGCCGGAGCAGATTCAGCGGCCAGCGAGTGGTGCGACAGATACAAGGTCTACATCCATATCCGGGGACAGAAATGCGTGGCTGCATGTCTGGCGGAGAGGATACAGGAAGCTTACGCTGTGTTGGCTCAGGATAAGGCGTCTGAGCAGCCAGCGCAGACCCTCGCCGAGTCCCAGAGCTCGTCCATCTCTATCAGCACAACGGCAGACAAGGTCCTTCTAGGCATCTCAAGGATTTGGGTATCCAGTCAGTTCCGAAAACAAGGCCTTGCGCGGAGATTACTAGAAAGCACAAGGAGTGACTTCATGTACGGCCTGAGTGTGGACAAGCATCTCATGGCTTTCAGCCAGCCAACAGAGAGTGGAGGGAAGCTGGCCCGCACGTACTTCGGGAGTGAAGCGGGCTGGCATGTGTACATGGACTAAGGAAGCGCTCGGAGCGAGGGTGAGCCGTGAGCCGAATTGCATGCGAGGCTTACGACGGTGATGTGGCGTTCGATTTGCGCGCATGGAGGCACTCACGGCATCGTAGCCACAACTTGGATCTGAAGACAGCAGAGACGAATCAAAGTGTGAAGCTGCCGCAACGCAACGTTACTCGCCAGACATGGTGTGATGGTGCGGCGTACAGGTCAAGGTGCAGATGAGATGGTGGGGTGTGTTCGCTGTCCCTCCGGATCTGCGCCAAAGCACGTCGGCGGACGATCGTCCAGGTCGCCCGAGCATCAGCAGCTGCAGCCTGCAGCACCGTTAAAGTTTAGCACTACACACACCGCTCCTCACGAGCTTCTCCCTGTACATAGAGCAATGCATTGTCCCTAATTGCATCATGTCTTCTGGGAATCCGTTTCGCACCTCGGTCGCACCCAACCAAGCTCCGCCCTCGCCCGTTCCGCGGACTTCCTTCATCACTCCCGAGACACGCAGGCCTGGGGCCGGAGGTAGTCACAACGATGGTATGCCGCTGCGTTGCGTTTCAAATTGCCTGGCAGTAGTAGAGTAATGGTTGCACAGTGCCTGTCGTCTCCCTACCGCCCAGGACAAAGAAGCATGTGCGCATAGAATCCACCACCATCTCCATCCCACCGCAAGCGGACATCTCCAGTCCAGATGACTCTCCCATCACGTCTTTTGCGCCACAGCTAGCCTCAGCCCAGTATGCAGGCTCGCCTTCTGCTGCACAGTATGCCGGCTATTCGACAACCTCTCCGGGGGCATATTCTCGAGAACCCGGGCGAAGCTACGATATGACGGCATCGGATGGCATGGCAAACTCAAACACAGCCCCTGGAAATCATTATCCGGCTCTGTCTCCATCAGCGGTGCCAGCGAACCCATTCGCAAAGACTCTTGCAAACATGGAGCCTCAGAGGGCAGGTGGGGAGGACCGGGCATCTGCGGAAGGAACGGCCCCAAGCAACAACAGAGCTTCCCTCGACGTGGAGAGCTTCAAAAACATGCTTCTCACGGGCAAGCCGTATCCGCGACCGGCCGCGCAAGCTCCACAGCTCCCTCCTGCACTGAGCTCTGCAAGTGCGGCTGTAATCGAGAGCGGGAGTAGCACAGACACGTCATCAATATCGCGGCAATCTCTACTTGAGCGTGCACAGGAGGCGCCAGCGGAGTCTCCCAGAACTTCGTACGAGATGGCGCGTTCGGACGACGACGAGGTGGCTGTATTGGTGCCGGAGCGGACAAGGTCGAAGAAGAAGCCACCGCCTGCGCCAGCACATCGCCACGGCAAGCGTGTGTCGCCGCGACAGCCGCAGACTGTGGCATTCGATAGCTTCGCAGTGTCTGGAGCAGCCCCGAGCAGACCTCGAAACACATCGGATACGAGCAGGCCGCTTCCGCCGACACCCGTTTTGTCAGCGCCGCCGCTGAACATTGATACTCCCGACAAGGCGCGAAGCAACACATCACCGCCGACTGAGAGGGTTGAAGAGCCGATGAGCAGATCCAACTCAATGCAACGAAAGAGAGCACCTCCACCTGTTCCTCTGGCCCGCAGACAGAGCCAGCTACGACAGTCATCGGCTGAGACGCGATCGAGAAGCAGTTCTTCCTTGACACTATCGTCGCAGCATTCTCTCGAGGCGCTGCCCGCTGGAGTTGTGCCTACCGCCGGCGAGGTTGCAAGCAATGCCACGACAACACCGAGCAATGCCACGACAACACCAAGCTTCAAGGCCCCACCTCCTCCACCGCCGTCAAGACACGGAGCACGTCTGTCCGAGATTGGCGCCAGACCGTCCTCGACCGAACTGCCTCAGCGATCCGCCTCGATCCGGACCACAGGTTCATCTCGAAGGAGCACGCTAGAAGGCGAGCCAGAAGTAGGGGTACTGCGCACAGCATCTACGGCGTCGAAGCGGGGCAGTGTGCGGGTCGCATCTGGCGAAAGCGGCAGTGGCGTGCGCCCGCCGCCTCCTCCGCCACGGCGAAGACCAGGATCCGGACGTTCAAGCCTCGACCAGGCACGGCCTTTGATAGGCGTCGACAAGCACAGGCGGGCGAGCGGGGCGAGCGAGCGCTCTGTGCGGCACGGGTATGCGCTAGTAGAGGACAAGAGGGCCGAGCAAGCGGTGTGGTCGGCGCGAGGAGAGACAGAGGATGGGGTGGCAAAGGCGGGCGCAGAGGCAAAGGCGGGCGCAGAGGCAAGAAAGGACTCGAGTAGCATCCTGGACGACATGGAGAAGTTCCAGCGCGAGATTGACGAGCTGCGCAACAGGTACAAGCAAGCGGGATAGTGCAGCGCCTGAGTGATGGTGGGGTGGAAGAGCGATGCAGGAATGGCATTTGCATTGTCACAGATGGTAGCTGTCAGGGTGTGGTAGCTAGGACAGCATTTGCATTGTCATGGACGGTAGCTGTCAGGATATAGTAGCTAGGACAGTATTTGCATTGTCACAGATGGTAGCTGTCAGGGTATGGTAGCCAGGAATGGCATTTGCATTGTCACGGACAGTAGCTGTCAGGGTGTGGTAGCTAGGAACGGATTTGCATTGTCACGGACGGTAGCTGTCAGGGTGTGGTAGCCAGGAATGGCATTTGCATTGTCACGGATGGTAGCTGTCAGGGTGTGGTAGCCAGGAACGGCATTTGCATTGTCACGGACGGTAGCTGTCACGCACGGTAGCTGTCACGGACGGTAGCTGTCACGGGATATGGTTGTGTGGTAGTAAGATTGCTGGCATTCGCAGCGTCATGGCCCTGGCCGAGCTACATAGGTCTGCAACTGCATGAGCAGCAATTCCACCGGCACATTGTGGCGCGCGCGCTTCATGACGACGCACTGGTGTGACGCATACTGGCTCTTTGCGCCGTTGATCAGCTCGTGCGCCCTGTCCTCGCCCAGCAGGTCCACGAGACTGTACACGGGCACGCGCCGCCCGCGCCACTCGGCGGTGCGGTACTCGAGCTCGGGGAACTGTATGCGGGGCTGCAGCCGCGGCACCAGCGGGGCGCTGTACCACGAAGGCGGTCGGTGCGTGACGCCAGCCTGCGCGTGGGGGTCCAAGTGCGGCCCGAAGCTCTGCGCAAAGTAGAGCGCCCACTTGTCCAGCTCGGCCGTGATGGCGTCGCAGCGGTCCTGGGCCACGTCGCCGCGGCTCCCCGCGCGCAGGCTGCCAAAGCACAGCACGCAGCTCACGTCGTCGAGCGCCTCGAGCGCGCCGCCGTGCGGCGACGCGACGGCCCTCAGACGGCCGCGGAACGCAAAGCTCCAGGCCAGCGCCGAGTGCAGGCGCGTCCGCAGCAGGCCCAGCAGCAGCGCGGGCATGTCCTCGCGCCAGACCAGCTTCGCCGCGCCGCCGGGCCCGAGCTGCTCAAACAGGCGCGGGTACAGCGCCCTCTCCCAGGCCTTTTTGGTGCCGAGCTGCGTCGCAATGGGCGCGCGCGTGTGGAAGCGCAGCGGCAGGCCGAGCTGCGAGTCGCGCGTCGTCAGGCTCACGGGGAGCAGCCACGGCGCCGCTGTGGTCGGGTGCGGCCGCATGTGCAGCGCGGTGAGCAGCGCCGACGGCTGGAGCGTCGCCGTGTAGCGGCACTCGCGGACGGGCGAGGCGAGGGCGTGCGCTGGAGAGTCAGCAGCTGCCGCGCGTATTGGTGGGTGTGGGCAGCGCACCGAACGGGCACTCCGACAGTCTGCGCTGGAAGGGCGTCAGGGCTGCGGCGTCTGGCTTTGCTTTCTTTGCTTCGTGCTGCGCGCGCTTTGCGAGCACCACCGGGTCGAGCAGCGGCGGCAGCGGGAGGGCCGCCTTGCCGTCTCTCCTCGTCCGCAGCGTGCGGTGCGCGTCGCGCTGCGTCGGACCCAGGTCGTCGCCCGTCAGCGGCGTGACATGCGCGGCGGGGCTCGGGCGGCGGCGAGCAGTCGGGCGCGCTTTCGCCTGGCGCGAACCTGGTCCCTGGCGCGAACACGGTCCCAGGCGCGCGGTCCACTGGCCTGGCATCAGTGGGAGGCGTTGCGGGACGGAGTGCCCAGCGTTGGAGTGACGAGCGCTGGAGTCGGACGCGCTGGACTGGAGGCGGACACGCTGGACTGGAAGTCGGACGCGCTGGGCTGGAGGCGGACGCGCCCGAGTCGGACGCGCCGCTGGACGCACCTCAGCGCGGGAGCTAGGCGCGTTACAGACAGCTCCCTCGGTGGAGAGCTTCTCCAGCCACACACCCACATCCACACCCACACCCACACCCAAACACACCCACACACCCACACACACCCACACACCCACACACACACACACATACATACACACACCCACGCACCCACACACACCCACACACACCGCATGGCTGCTTCATTACGGAGAGCAGCGCGGCCGAGTGCCTTTACGGGGTCGTGCAGGAATGGCTCGCGGGCCATGTCGAGCCAGTTCGGCTTTCCCACAGGCTTTGCGCCGCCGCCGCCGCAGCAGCATGCGCCGCGGGCCGCAGCCCTCCCCATACCCTACGTGACCGAGACAGTCGTACGTCTTCCCCGCCCCCGCCCCGCCACATTGGTCTGACTGCCCTAGGGCGGGGGGTGGAAGACGTCGGACATCTTCTCCCGCCTGCTGCAAGAGCGCATCATCTGCCTGAACGGCGAGGTCGAGGAATCCATGTCGGCCATGATCGTTGCGCAGCTGCTCTTCCTCGAGGCCGACAACCCGGAGAAGCCCATCTCGCTGTACATCAACTCGCCCGGCGGCAGCGTGAGCGCGGGGCTCGCCATCTACGACACCATGAACTACATCCGCAGCCCCGTCAGCACCATCTGCATGGGCCAGGCCGCCTCGATGGGCTCGCTGCTGCTGTGCGGCGGCAACCCAGGGCAGCGCTACATCCTGCCCCACGCGCGCGTCATGATCCACCAGCCCAGCGGCGGCTACTCGGGCAAGGCGAGCGACATTGCGGACCACGCCAAGGAGATCCTGCGCGTGAGGGAGCGCCTGAACAAGATCTACCAGGCCCACCTCACCAAGAAGAGGAGTCTGGACGAGATTGAGAAGCTCATGGTCGGCGACTACTTTATGGATGCGCAAGAGGCCGTCGACTTTGGCATTGTGGATAAGATCCTCGAGCGGAGAGAGCGTGTGCGGGATGAGTAGAGGGGGAGGCATGGCGTAGACCAGTCCAACCAGACCTATCCAACCAGACCAGTCCAACCAGACCAGTCCAACCAGACCAGTCCAACCAGACCAGTCCAACTAGACCAGTCCAACTAGACCAATCCAACTAGACAAGGGGAAACAGCACAGCGGGCATGGTAATGACCAATCCAATCATGAGGACGTGAAAAACTACACGCAGCGCATTGTGTATATTGACTGTGCAAACGGCTAACAAGCCACCTCTATTATTAACAGACCTAGCGATATCACGCACAGGAAGCATAGCAGTAGTAACCAGCATAGCCGTGTCCCAGCTTCCGGAACACGGCGGGCCTCCAGCTGCTCCGAGGTGCTCTCATTCACCTCCAAGCTCACTGCGCCGCTCAGCCCCGCGGCAACACAACAACCTTGCTAGCGCCGTGGCCTGAATCGTAATGCCCTGCAGCCGCGAGCAAACGCGCTCTTTACTCCGACCTGCGGTGCTTGTTCAGCCGCCTTTTTCTTCCTTCTCCCTTCAGCCGCCTTTTTCTTCCTTCTCCATTCAGCCGCCTTGCTTCGTTCTTCAGAGTCTTGTTCTTCGGCAGTCTTCCCACAACTTTGAATATGCCCGATTGAACGTCGATACGCCGCCGGTATGGATATCTTTGTTCACGATGTGGGTACAGCCGTCTGTTGATATCTGGCATTGCCAGCCTTCTGTTCTGCATGTGGTCTTGTCGTCAACTTGTTACGTGCTGCATCGACGTTGTCGTCAACTTGTTACGTGCTGCACCGACATTGTCGTCAACTTGTTACGTGCTGCACCGACATTGTCGTCAACTTGTTACGTGCTGCACCGACATTGTCCTCAACTTGTTACGTGCTGCACCGACATTGTCCTCGACTTGCTGCGTGCTGCACCGACATTGTCCTCAACTTGCTACGTGCTGCACCGACATTATCCTCAACTTGCTACGTGCTGCATCGACATTGTCGTTAATCATCATGTAGGTCCCCAGCGACGTCAACCATGTTCAGCTACGGCTCTTCCTCAAGCCAAAGATGGAGCTGTTCGACATCCTCGCGTTCGACATATTCAAAAAGTCTGGCAATCATTGGGCGCTCTTGACCGTAGCCAGCGAAGTGAATGGCAACCGTTTCATCAAGCACTTCCAGACCCAGGAACGTCTCGTGTACCAGGGTCGCCACCTCAAATGCAAAAAGAGCAACAAAAAGGCCGAAGCCCTCAAGATCATGTCGCTCTTGGACAAGGAGGACGAACTGAGGAAGAAGGCTGTCAAGCTGTCGAACCCCAGGCCCCAGCCGTCTCAGCCGCACTTCAGCTTCACCACCATGATGACTGGAGTGTGGGACTATGATGGCCTTGGCAACCTGGTCTTTGATCAAAAGTACAAGGACCCCCGTCGTGGCACCATCATCTTCGGCAAGACAGCGCTTGTCATCTATCTCGAGAGTTCAAAGGGCGCTGATACACAGGCCGACTGCAACTGCAGAATCGACATCCCGTACGGCATCCTGGAACACACCATTCCAGCGACCGACAAGGCAGGAGGTGGCTCGCTAACACTGACCCTGAAATCTCCACCAAAAATCTACAAAATCAATGCCACAGACAGCCTGCATCTATACACGGGCGGTGCCAGCGCCAACGCCATGGCACAAATGCCGTCTTGGGCTTTCAATGCCCTGTCTTTGGGAGCTGCGGCTGCGTCATCGCGGCAGCGTCAGTTGCATCGACTCTGCGCATTGCAGCGCCACTACTACAACACTACTGCACTATGCATGGTCTACAAGCTACGGTTCGCCAACGCCAAGACCATGCGCTATGCCTGGAACTTTATCAGTGATTTCGCGGTTTCTGGCGTAGATCCTTGGAGGACATCCATCGGTCGTGCCCGAACGTTGGCCATGGAGAAGGACTACGCAAACTTGGAGCTCGCTCTCACCAAGGTTGTCGGGCCATGCACCAGCTTTGGTGTCGCCTACCAGATGATGGCGCTTGTGCTCGAAGGCACCGTGCCGCCTAGAAACATGACGCAGCTGATACCGCGCATCTGCAATCTCACCGCGCGCCATGGTTCGACACGCACCGCTGCTGGCGTCAGAGAACTGGCCCAGCAAATCCCTACCCCTGCGCCAAACATCAACGGAGACAGCTACCGGCCGGAATCCCTCATCGATATGATTGACGCGAACGTCAACGAGAGCATTGCTGAAGCCGATGGCTCGTCGACCATCTCCAGGCAAGGAAAGTACCAACATCTCGCCTTGACTTACAAGGCAACTGTCACGCCTACTGGTCTTGTCCTGCGCGGTCCCGAGTGGGGTGTATCGAACCGGGTCCTCCGCAGGTACTCTGCGCACACGGAATACTTCATGAGAGTCTTCTTTGCAGATGAGGACGGTCTCTCTGTGTTTCATGACCCACGCTCCTCGCAGGAAGACGTTTACGATCGATTTCGACATGTGCTTCGCAACGGTATCTCGATTGCCGGTCGTACCTTTGAGTTCCTGGGCTTTTCCCATGCCTCGCTTCGTTACCATGCTGCCTGGTTCATGGCTCCATTCGAGGAGAACGACGTCCTTGTCCGCGCCAAGCATGTCATTGCAGCTCTAGGTGACTTCAGCAATATCCACTGCAGTGCCAAATGCGCGGCGCGGATCGGCCAGGCGTTCAGCGACACTGTCCACGCGATTCACGTTCCGCTCGATGCATACGTCGTAGAGACCAAGGAAGACATTGTCAGGAATGGCCGCACGTTCTCAGATGGTTGTGGCACAATATCGGAAGCCCTTCTCCAGAGGGTTTGGCGTTCGCTGCCACCAGACCGTAGGAGCAAGAGGCCGACCGTGCTGCAGATTCGTTACCGGGGCGCAAAGGGAGTGGTCTCACTCGACGACGCTCTGCTTGGTGAGCAGCTTCACATCCGCACGAGCATGACCAAATACGTCGCTCGTGAAGGCTGGCGAGACCTCGAGCTATGCGGCGCTGCGTACAGGCCCCTGACCATGTACCTCAACCACCAGTTTATCAAAATCCTCGAAGACCTCCGAGTCTCACTGCGAAACTTCTTCTCGGTACAGGACGATGCGCTCAAAACACTCGAGATGATGGTCAACCATCCTCTCAATGCTGCTTCGTTTTTGGGTATGTGGACACTGAGAACGAATTGAGTACCTCCAAGCTGACATCTGTTGTAGCAATCGCGCACACTGGTGTTTACGCAAAGGTCCCCAGGCTCATCACGCTCATGCACTACATTGGGCTCTCGTTCCAGGCAGACCGCTTCCTCACAGATGTTGTCGAAATCGCAGCCATGTCGAGCCTCCGAGACCTGAAGTATCGCGCACGCATACCCATTGACAAGGGCTGTCTCTTGTACGGTATCATGGATGAAACGAACACTTTACAGGAAGGAGAGGTATACATCGCGACGCAGCTCCCGGATGACCATGGTGAGTGGCAACACCGCGTCATCACTCATGACCGGCTTGTTGTGACTCGAGCACCCGCGTTGGTAAGTGTGACGTGTCGCCGCCTTCTGATCATGTACTGACTTCCTCTAGCATCCGGGGGATGTACAGACGGCAAAGGCTGTGGATGTTGAGCGCGGAAGCCCCCTCAAATCGCTACGCAACTGCATCGTCTTCTCTCAGAGAGGCGAGCGAGATCTGCCCTCGCAACTCAGCGGCGGTGACCTCGACGGCGATCTCTTCCACATCATCTGGGACGAACGACTCATACCTCCTATCACGAAAACTCCAGCCGACTACGCGCCCACCCCAGCTCGCGACCTTGGCAGGCCTGTTGAAGTGAACGACATTGTTGACTTCTTCATCGAATTCATGAACATGGATCGCTTGGGCGTCATTTCCAACAAGCACAAGATCAGAGCCGACCGCAAACCGGCAGGAACTCTAGACACGGAGTGTTTGATGCTTGCTCGGCTTGCATCTGATGCTGTTGATTTCAGCAAGTCGGGCAATCCTGTGAGTATCTCCAGCTCCACGCGTGGACATGGCTAACCAGAGCGCTCATTCAGGCCGATATGTCCCAAGTAAGCATTTTCCGTTCCAATGTTCATAAGAGACAAATGTGCTCTGAAGATTACAGCTACAAGTTACTGACCTCATTGGCAGATACCCCCGGGCGCGGACAGCGTCAGACCAGATTTCATGGCTCCGGGTCGTAGCTTGGTCATTAATGATCTGGGTACCGCGGAGCTCGACGAGCTTGAAGATGACGATGTGGATGATCCCGATAGCCTCAGCGTCCTCGATCCCGAAAAGTCTAGGTAAGCGCAGTGCCATCTCGCCTCATCACCTGCTGACTGTTCCAAAGGATACGATACTACAAGAGCCACAAAGCGCTCGGAGAGCTGTATCGCCGCATCGATGAGAAAAAGTTCTTCACGCAGATGAGGGACTCTTTCCAGACCGTGCAGACTGCATTGCATGGCGAGTCCTTGCTCGAAAAGCTCGAGAGATATGTTGACCGCGAAGCCATTGGCCTTCAATGGGAGCACCACCAGGCTTTCGCCACGGAGCTGCGCGAAGAGTACGCCCGCATTCAATCCCGACACGACCAATCTGCTGACAGTATTCAGATATGAAGACAACATGGTCGACATCATGTACTCCATGCGGCCCCACCGCGGCCAGCCTCTGACCGAGCTCGAGGTCTTCTCCGGCAACATCCTCGGTAAGAAGGAGAGATCGTCCACCCGCGCGATCCGCGAGGCAAACAAGGAGGTCCAGGAGCGCTTCGACCGCGACGTCAGCGACATTGCTAGACGCATTGCGCGCGGTGATGGAGGGTGGGACGGCCCAGACGATGCCGAGGCCCTGCCCCGGGCCATCGCGTGCTTCAAGGTCGCGTTAGAGACGGACGGGTGGGAGAATCAGGTCGTGCTCAGGAGCTGGAAGTACGTTGCCGCTGCGGTCTGCTTGGAGCAGTTGAACGTGTATCGATTGGGACAGTTGCGGCCACTGTGAAGTGCCGTCTGCCACGGGGGAGCCGCTACATAGGGTGGCGACGCGGGTAGATTGCGACGCCCACGAAGGCACCCAGCATCGCGAGGATAGTCTAGCCATTGCACATGGCAAGCCCGATCGGAATCCAAACCCAAGTCTCTCACGTGCGTTACTGAACGTCCTCGCCTTCTGCTTCCTTGGCCTCCTCCGCCTTCGGCCTCGCCTCCTGCTTTCTATACAGCTCCGCCAGCTCCTCCGCCTCGGTCGCCTCCTCAATCCCCTTGTCGTCTCTGACGCGCAGGAACCGCGGAAACCGCGTGCTCAGCCCGCGGTCCTCATGCACGAGCCCAATCGCCGCCGTGTACGTCGGGCTGAGCGTCAGATCCGCAAACGCCACCTCCCACACCTCGTGCGGCTCGAACCACACCGCGGGCCACCCGGCGCCGCCGCCGTACTCGACGAAATGCGGCTTGCCGCCGCGCAGCACGTTGGCGTTGTCCGCATCGTCCGGATCGTATTTCGCGCGGTTCGCGGCGTAAAAGGCGTCGGTGAAGCCCGACATGCACTTTGTCACGGCCGTCAGGGTGCCACTGCGCTCGTTGCGGATCGCGAGCAGGATGGGCGACCACCATGCTGCTTTGCGGCCGCTGCCGTGGAAGGCCGCGACAGGGATCAGATCGAGCGTTTCAGAGGTGGTGGAGTAGTCCTTTTTCACTTTGAGCCACGCGTCGAGTCGCTTGTCCGGCTCGTACGTCGCGGGGAGCGCTTTGCGGCGGCCGGACTTCTTGGGCTCGTCTGCGTCTGCGTCTGGGGTGGCGGTGTGCTTTTTGCCTTTGGGTTTTGTGGGATTTTTTTTCTTAGGCGTTGGGGGGAGCGAGGGCGCGTCGTCGGGGTGCAGCTCGTCGAGCAGATCAGGGTTTGGCAGGTTGTCGAGTACTTTGACCATTATGCCTTCGCATTTCAGCTCCAGTGCGCTCTTGAAGAAGGCTGACACCGTCTCGGTGTCGGCGGATGTCGCGTCCAGGCTCGTGACCCATGTGAAGGTGTGTGGGATCTCGACGAAGAGGCTGCGCAGCATATCGCGCCGTTCGCGGAAGGGACGGTTGAGGAGTTCTTCGCCGTTCAGGTACATCAGGTCGAAGGCGAAGAGGCAGACGTCGATTGTGACGGTGCCGATCAGGACGTCTTTGCGGGCGCGGTTGGCGAGCGTTTGGAACGTCTTCAGCTCACCGGACGAGCGGTCTACTGCTACGACTTCGCCCTCGAGGATGAAGCTGGACACGCCCTCGCCTCTGATTTGGGGCACCAGGGCGACGAGATCTGGGTACTTGTCTGTCATGACTTCGAGATGTCGCGAGAAGATGGTGACCTTGCCTTTGTCGTCGCAGTGCACCTGCGCTCGCTGCCCGTCGTACTTGTACTCGCAGCTGAAGTCGCGCCCTTGTAGCTTGGTCAGCATCTCGCCCAGGTCGCGTGTAATGCTGCCCAGCATGGGTCTGAGCGGTATGTGCAGAGCCAGCCCGCACCGCAGGAGCAGCTCTTCACCCACGCCGATCTCCAACAGCGCTGGTATGATGTCGTTATAGTTCGGTCTTCTGGCGAAGCATGCCTTGACAATCTCTTCATTCCGGCTGTAGATATCGACCAGGTCCTCCTTCTTGAGCTTCGCCAGATCTTTCGGATCTCGTGTTTCGAAGTCGGCGTTTGGCGGCTTCGATAGCAGGAACGCGCGTGATAGCGCGATTAGCATAGTCGTCTTCACAGCGCCTATCCTCAGATGCTGCACTAGCGTCCTGACGATGTACCGACTCTCTTCAGCGCCTCGTGCGTCTTGTATTAGCCTCTCTACGATTCTCTGCTTCGCTTCAACGCTGCCGTTCCCCTTGCTGTTGGCGATCTTGACTAGAGAGTCGAACACGCTCTTGATCGTGAGCGGCTTCGGCTTGCGGAGTGTGAACGACTGACGCTTCTTCGCCTCAAACGCCACATCTCCGGCGTCGCCGTACTTGTTGCTGAGTGTCTTCAACCCGGCATTGTCCAGTCCACACACCTTCTTCAGCGCCTTGGAGATTGCCGAACCGCCCAGACCGAGTTCAAGATCGATATATGGCGGCGAAATCGAGTTTGTAGCCAGCCATACTGCGGGCAGCAGACTATCGGGGTCACTCTCTATTATTGTGCGCAGCAGGTTGACAAGCGTGTCCACAATCTTGATACGACTTGTGGTGCTGTTGACCAAGATGAAGCATCTCGTCAGCAGCGCATATGTGGCACGTCCGCCATCAGCAGTCCAGTGTTTCCGCAGATCTGGTATGTATTTCGAAGGCTCAAATTCGAGCGGACTCTGGTCGAACGGAATGTTTGCGGTTACAGTGTCTTCTTCGGTCGCGGTTGATTGCAACGACAGCGTATTCGACTGTAGCTTTGGCGCTGCAGATCCTATGATGGATGTTGACACCCCATCAGTGACGGTGTTGCTCTTGTCTTCGGTACTGCGATTTACAGCGGTCCTTGTAGGCGGACTGGGATCTCTGTAGAGTTCATTCGAACTGAACAGATCCTCTTCTTTCCGCGGTTGCGCTGCGCCCTGGCCTTCCGCTCGAGCCTCTCGGTCCCATTCTTCCTGCAGCTTCCTGGCATACTCCTCATCCGTGAGGTTTGTTGGGTCTACTGCTTCCGGCGCCTTCGGTTCCGTGGTCTCGCTCGGCGGCGCATCGTTTGCCGCGGCGGCTTTGGCGGTCTGTTTGGCGAAAAAGAAGTCAAGTTTGCGCACCGGTTTGCTTGATCCATCGTTCTTCTTACGACGCTTCGAAGGACTATCCATTATCGCGAAGCAGACATGTTCATTGGCGATCGCTGGGAAGTCGCTGCTCTCGGCACATTCACGTCCATGACGTCGTAGCAGACGCTCGAGCTCGGACCAAGTCGCGTCGCGCGGTCACGCGTTGATTTGTTCATTTTGAGATGCTCCATAGACATTTGCACATGGTCACCGTCGTCAGAATGTTCCGCACGAGTACACTTCAGGTTCGTTTCAATAAGTGATTGACTACCTCTGCGGTCGTCTCGAGCGTGTCGTGCTCCTCGAACCGCCTAGCTCAGATGCTACTCAATGTTGTGTGGCTCCCTTCTTCAAAGCCTTTCTACTCGATTGCCCAGAACGAGGTACTAGACACCTCCTGATGAGATCCGTTCTGTGCTATAGGAGCGGCCAGATTCGTTCCCTCGGGGCTATCATGAATCACCGTCTCCATCATTTGATCGCCTTTCAGTTGTCATACCTGAGTCTGCCCTCCGGCTCACGCGACCCTAAATCCCGGTCCCAGTAATCGCCACGGCCATTATCCCTACGAGAGCGCTTATATGGCTGTCGATCTACTCGCGGTGCCGCCGGAGCTGAGAAGCTGGCACGGAGAAGGCTCGAAGTGTCGTCCTGGTCTTGGCTTGAGTCGGCCACCGCACTCTTCCACTCATGCAGTCCGAACACGCCATCACGCAGAGTTCCGCCTTGCTGTCCGAAAAGCTGGTCGCCGACGTTGTACTTGGCTGTAAGTCAAACCAGTACGCAGAAGTGAGAAAATGAGGGTATCACTCACTTAGCAAAAGCCCACTGTCAACGTGTAGCCCATGGACGATATCGCGTACGGCTGCGAGCGGACAGGCCGCAACTTCCTTGCGCAGGATCTTCGTCGCTTCGTTGAAGTTGCACACGAGCACCGCGGCGAACTTTGCTTCCGGCGCACTATATGCAACGACTACGTCTGGAACTGAGTCAGTACGGACGCAATGTGTCTTGCCGACATGACGAACCGTAGAACTTGAACTTCTCGGAGCCGTATATGATCTTCGCATTACCCAGGGCCATAACGCGGAGCTCGTGGAGCTGCTCAAGCTGCTGAAATTAGTATGCAGTCCACGCCAGCAACCGAAAAATTACTAACCTTGGCCTGGTTGTTCAACCAGCTGGCGCCTGAGAGACTTGTTCCTCCATTGAACTCCGCAAGACCATCTACTCCAACCGCTGCCGCTTGGACCATCATCTCGTTGGCGTTGTACATATTCGAGGAGGCCGGCAGTAGATCCTATTGCTGGACCCGTTGATCGGGTGGAGGTGTTGTGGTTGGGGGTGAGAAGAGCTCGCAAGTAAAGAGCTCGCAGGGTGATATACCCCGAAAGCTGGACGCTAGTCATTTGCAAACATCATCATACCCAGGTAAAGGTAATTGAAGAGGTCTCGATTGAAGACAGGATCAGCTGGTCTTGGTAGCAGAAACACCGATTCGGGCACGCACCGACATGCACCGCAGTATCTAAACATCCAAAGTGACAAGATGAAGGACTACAATTAATTGTCACATGCGGAAGGAGATTTGTATTCCTACGACGAAACCAGCGGGTCATATGCGTCTCGGCTATTGTACCTTGAGCGAAGGCTCTGCTCATGCGCGTGCTCTCTTTGGCATACTCAATTGGAACATCTCACGACTGTCCCGGAGGACCACTCACTTGACGTTGCGCATCCGTTGATGAACGTCGGGAGCTTATATTAGGTTCTGGAGAGCTCATCACAAGAATCCCGTTGCCATCGAACGGTGTTGGAGCATGGAACGACGGCGAACGCATTCCTTCCGTTGGAGGTGGAGGTGGAGGAAGCGGTGCGCGGTGCGCGGTGCGCATGGGGTAGCGTTGTAGCGTGAACGCAGTCCACCGGTGATGCAATACGGTACTTGGGCGACTGACAGGCATAGTTGGACGCCTGATCGTTGCGCAGAGGTCTTTGTCCGCTGCCAGAAGATGTTGGTGTCGGGTGCTGTGGCGCACTGTGCCTAAACGTGTGGTTTGGAGGTGTATCGTACGCGGGGGCCTCATACGGGGGGTCCTTCGTGCGTGGGTGTAACCTGCATATGTCGTGGAGGCATACCTCTAGTTTTCGGCGGTGGTGGTCTAGGTCTCGACAGTGGTGGCCCACGAGCAAGTCTTTGAACAACAAAATCATCAGGTCTTGGTGTGCCATGTATGGGTCTTTGAGAGCTGTCGGCGTAGCCTTGCGACCCGCTTGTTGGTCTGATTACTCCTCCGTACGGCCTCTGCGGTCCTCCTATGGGTCTATCAATCTGGCCCATGTGAATCCGGTTCTGATTCGAGAATCTCGTTGTCGAAGTGATCGGCTGGCCATCTGTCTCCCAAGGCTCTTGACATGAATTGTCAGCATGGTTTGCGAATTCCCATAGTGGCTTCTGCATCCAGTTAGTCTTTTCTCCTTCCATCAAGCAGCGCTTGATCTCTCAGAACTTCTCATATTCTTTATAGTCCGCGAAGTATTCTGCGCGATCCCATTCCACTAACTTTTCTTTGATCTTCTCCAGTGCCGCTTCGGACCTCCTCATGCTCTCTTTCAACTTGTCACAGGCGTAGAACTTTGCCTCTCGCTTGCTCCAGATCTCTACGTCGAGCGCATATCGCAATCGGATGATTTCACGCAACTCTCGGAGAAGTTCTGGCGTGAGGAGCGGTACCGGTTTTTGAGGGGTCTGTTCCGGTTTCGGTGTCTTTCGATCTGTCTCAATGACGAAAAGCTTTTGTGTCTGCTTAATCAACGGGGGCAACGGCGGGGGTGTCTCTCCGGAAGACCGTTTTACGTTCTTGAAGAATCATGTGCCAAGCTGTTGCCTGATGCATGGCTGCTTTAACTGCTCCCTCGTGAAATCAGCCACATGCGGAGAGATCACACCGATGAGGGGCAGAGATTAATTTGATCGTGGCAAATCTGACTCCATAGATGTACACCAGCTTCCAAATCGACTTAGTATCTTACTGAAGAGCTACCAAACGATTCTTCCCTACGCGCAAATTTGACCAACATACAATGGACCATCACGGCAACAGCTCCTTCTCACAAATTGATGGTAGAGCAACACGAGAAAGCTTTTACCCACAGGATATTCAGGAAACATGTTTGGTCATCGGACTAGACTGGCACCACATTTACTGGTACGTCTCGCTGAAAAGTCACGTTGTACGAGTTTCTCATCCATTCAGGAGTGGCTTATGCCACGCCATCGGGAGCGCATTGCTATCTTAATCAAATCGATGTCGTAACAGACTGGGGCCCGCAGATGGACAATCACGATAAGATGTCGAGTGTCATATCGTACTCGAAGTGCAGCTCAGCTGAGGAGCAGCACTGGGGCAGCGATTTGAGCCCGGATGCAGTATCCATGGTTCACACGAAACTAGAACTTGGGATACAAAGTGTACTTGGAGAACCGGATATGACATTTCAGGTCTTAGATGGTGTGATGAACCTCAATATCGGCGCAATCTTGGAGGCAACGAAAGACCAGGACACGCCGCCATACTCGCATCTCAGCCCAGGGGAGATCAGTACTGATTATATGACGAGAGTCTTCCAGTGGTATGAACAGGAGCTGGGGAAGTTCGATGACGAGTTCGGCATCAATACCTCAATGGACCTTGTCATCACAGTACCAACAGAATGGTCATAAAACATCGCCCTAGAAGTGGATAACTATAACGGCAAAAACACCATCGTCATGCACTTTTACTACGTGCAAGAACGGTCCGGGCAGTACTGGATGCTCGACGAGCAAAGCAATGGGAGTGTAAAGATCAGCAACTGTTACACAGGGCCGGACTTCTTCCTCGACATCGATGCGGACACGTTGAAACTGACGCTCAGGGCAGGTGATGGTGAGGGAACGCGGTGGACGCTGAACAGCCCAGGAGCAGCAGCGTTGTCGAGCGTCACGAGCACTGCGTCGTCTTTCGTACCGGCCACGACAATGAGCACTACCATATCGAGATCTGAGACTGCAGGCCCGATAAGCTCATGTACAAGTGCGTGCTCGACAGGTAGCACGGCTCCTAGCTCTGACGGCGGTTCGGACAAGCTTTCGACTGGAAAGATTGCAGCGATTGCAGTCGGGGCTGTTGCTGGCCTGGCTCTGGTCGGATTAGTGGTTTGGTATGCATTGAGGAAACACAGGGAGAGCAGAACTAAGGGTACTCCCTTCATTCGCGCGTAAGGGGGGTTGAAGTCTGCTTCTTTGTGTACAATTTTTGTTCAGTGATTCGTGGTTACGCAGTACTTGACTAGAACACGTGGTAATTGCCGATACCTCATCAATAGAACTCGTGAGAATGTTGTCAAGTCCCTCTTCAAGTAGGATGCCGAAATACTTGAGCTTGGTGATCGTCGAAAGCGTGTGAAAGCTGAACCTGCCACCGAAGCTGCCTTGCATTCATCTAGGGCCCTACCTATTATGCGCATGTCGGATCTTCTCGGTAAGAGCCGTGGAGGTTGAGAATAGCAAGGTTGTTGAGACCTCTTGACTTCTCGCCCAGACTCGGTCGCACAAGAAGGGCTTAGACAGGGAGGTTGAGCGTGTGACAACGGCGACCACGTGCGATTCGAGTAAGGAATATGTCACAAGTTTGATAGTACGGATTACCATGTGCTCAGACATGGCAACTTGGTTCCTGGGATCGTGATGTTGGTTGCGCGGCCAACCTCGAGTGCCAGCCTCCTCACCCCAGCCATCCAAAGAACGCCATTGGCGGCACTAGAAGAACTGAGCCTGTATGGACACAGGGAAGCTGCGCGCCCACGTTCCTTCTGACCCGGTTTCTTCGTCTCACAATACTGTCGACTTCATCGCTCCTTCCTCCGTCTGTGTGCATCAACATCGACAGTAAAATATCGATATCTCCGCGACGCTCCTCATTTCCTGCCCCGCGACGCATCGTCCCGCGAACAACGTCACTTGCTCGCGCCCGCTGCCGGCTGTACCACCGCAACGCGCCTCGACTTGAGCGCTGCAACGAGCGAACCAAGATATCTGAGAGCGTGTATGGAAGAGCAGGGTACAGATCGCAGAGGCAAATTACGGCTACACGGCTGCGTGCCAAGTTCATCTCACTATCAAGCGCATCCCGCGCGCTCATACCTCAGAGCCTCGACAACTTCGAGCCACCAATTTGTCTTTGAAGCACCAGAAGTCCTCTCAAATCACACACAATGGCACGCGCAGGTCACTCAGGGACAGTAGTCGGCTCGGCCGTCGTAGTACGTGAGAAGTACTACTGGCCTGACCTGCAGCTCAACATCTGGACGATTGTTATGCTGGCGACAGCGGGCACAATACTGGGCGTGAATGCGCAGTTCATGGCAATACAAGACCGCATGGGATTGGGCACACCCTGGTACGTCTACAACACACCACCTCCTGGTGTCTCTCTAGAGACCCTACAGCATTACAATGCTAACAGACACACCAGGATCATGCCCTACGGCGTGACTGTCGGCGCGCTCGCCATGATATTCATCATCATCGAAATCGTCTACATTGCGCAACGAAAGCTTCTCCCAGTCACTATGATGCTCCTTTCCTTCATCCTGCTCGTACTCTTCATTGCCGGCATAATCGGCACCGCGATACAGCTCTTCGCCGGGCCGAACATCAACAATCAATGCAACACTTATGTGTTTAGTGACGACGCAAGCGGGCCGAATGCGAATACGCTTGCGTTTCTGCAGCAGAAGAATATCTGTACGTACCTTTGGAAGCACAGCTTCAGATCCAAAATTTGAGTGAGATATGTGCTAACGAGCACCAGGTCAGTGCTGGCAAGCCGTCTTCGCATTCTGGATCGTCGGCTCCGTATTTCTCGTCTGGATGATGATCATGGCCAGCCAGGTCAACTCGAACCAGTACCGCGACTAAGCACCCCTCAATCGCGTACAAACTTTACTTCTCAGACTTTATATTACTGCATCTATAAGCATTTTACGAACAAGACCATGTGTATAGGATGATATGGCAAGAGGGATGGATTGGATATGTGATACCACTGCTTAGCAGCTACGGCGTTCGGGGTCAAGATCGTTGAGATGAGATACGGAGCATAGCACAGAATGGTCAACGTGCGAATGGTCAGCCAGTCGTCCGAGTCGAGAAGTGCACCATATGCAATGCAATTGCTGGTGTTACGGGACTACTCCTGATGCAATGACATAATTTCGCCTCTCCCATGCCAACGATGAGCATCTCGAAGATGTGCTGACAACATAGAGCCCCTACCAGTTCCTAGCGACCACCACGAAAACTCAGCCATGACCAGCATCACGATGCATGCAAACAGAACATATGGCAATCAATTCGACAGTCAGACAAGCGTCCATTATGCATTACAAAGCGTAGTCTACCCAAGAATGGTACAAAGAAGGTGCGCGCAACCAAAATGCTCGCTCAGCAAACCAACCATGCTCCGGTCCCAAATCCAGCGTGAATCGTACTCGTGCCTCGTCCAGGTCTTACTTCCTCTTGGAGATGATCTTGGTGATGGCGTGCCGGATGATGACGCCGGCTTTCTCCGTCTCCTTCTTCGTCAGCCCGCTGGTCACGCACACCTTCAGCGCTGGCACGGGCGCCCAGCCGGCGTCGCGGGGGTTGACGCCGAGGCCGAGCGGGAAGGCTTTGAGTCGTGTGATGAGCACGCCGTTTGCAAGACACTGTGCATGTTAGCTGTCTGTCACCGATGATGGGGATGGGGAAGTGCGGGAGGACGTACTTCGTCGACGACGTCGCGCAGGATCTGGTTCTGGTCGTCCAGACTGAAGTTTTTGGCTGCGATCACTTCGTCTTTGAGGACGAGGAGCATGATGGGGTTGTCCGCCGAGCTGGTGACTTTGACCCAGTCGCTCCTGGGGTCGAGCTGTCCGCGCATAGCCTCGATCCTTTCTCGCAGGCTTGTCAGGATCTCTGGCTGCTCCTGCAGGAGCGAGATAGTCTCGCTTGCCGTTGTCGAAAGAAGCGCCGGCAGGGCCGCAGAATATGTGTACGAAGCAGAAGAAATGCGCTGATGCTCTACGACCTCATCGTTACCGGCACAAAACCCTCCTGCGGCGCACAGAGGCCCTGATAAAGAGCCAACGATCATGTCAACTTCTGTTGCATCGACGTTCTGGGCTTCGGTAACACCGCGTCCAGTCCTGCCCAGGACGCCGTAGGACCAGCTCTCGTCAAGGATCAGGCGGAATTTGTACTTAAGCTTCAACTCAATCAGCTTGGGCAGGTCCACGACGTCGCCGATGTTTTCGAACAGGCCCTCGGTGATGATAAACCGGCGTGTGAGGGGCTTGCCAGCCTGCTCCTTGGTGACTCTTTGCAAAACCTTCTCCAAGTCGTTCATGTCGTTGTGCTCATACCAGCGCACCGTGCTCCTAGAGATCTGGATACCCTTGCGCACGGGAAAGTTGACGGCGTTGTCTGCGACGATGATGTCTCCGCGCTTGCAGAAGGAGGGGATGACGCTCGATATGGTGGAGAAAGCTTGCGCATAGATGATGCAGGCTGGCATGCCAAGGTGCGCAGCTACGTCCTGCTCTGTCTTCATGTGTACATCCTGTGTGCCGTAGAATCCGGGAGGACCGCAGGGGCCCACGCCGTAGGTGCGGAGGGTCTGGATGGCCTTTTCCTTGAGGGTCTCGTTTGCGACGAAGTTGTAGAAGTTCAAGGAAGCGAGGTTCGTGACGGTGCGGCCGTTGGAGAGCTTCGACTTGGGTCCTGTAGGCCTGCGCCTGGGTTAGCACTGCAGCATGCCAGCGGCCGGCGGATGAAGGCTGGGGTCGACATACCCAACGATAACGGGCCTCTTCTCATTGTCCAGCTCTTCGAACGGCGTGGGCGTGGCGACAAGCGGCTCGGGTGTCCAGTCCTCCACAAGTTCGTCGATCTCCTATCCTCCAGTCAGCGAAACTGCCCTCCCTGCCCGGTTTCGCAGCACAACATACCGCGTCTGTAAGGTGCACTTTCTTCTGTGTACTGTACTTGGGCGCAAGCAGGTACCGCACCGCGAAGAGGAACAGGAAAAGCTCGACTGCGCTTCTGACCGGGTCGTTCTGGTAGCTCGATTTGATGTAGCGCACCGCAATTGACGAGCCAGGTATCCTCTCCAGGTAGGCATTGGCGTCGTTCAGGAAGCGAACCGTTGCATTCTGCACTTCGTGGAGGTCCATCGTCGTGTCCGGTGATCTGCGTGCTGCGGCGACGCGGATTGCTGTTGGGTGTTGTGCCTCCAAGTTCGGGGGTTGCGGCGTTGCGCGGAGAGCAGCATTTCACTCACGTGTCTCTCGGGGCCACCATGTAATGTTAAATAAAAACCATGAAACATGTGATACATCCTCTTTACTGCCAACACGTGCAAGCTCCATGTCACAGCTCACGGGGAAGGCGGAAGAGCAGATTTGAACTGAAATCTTCATGTATTTAAAATGTAGCGCAATCTCTTCTAACATGTTCGCCATCCCAAGAACCAAAACGATCCCATCGTAGTATATGTGCAAAGCCTGCGCTTTAAACCAAGTGCATGTCCAGAAGGAGTGCTGAAGTGCATCTAGCTCCACTCAACACCCCATTCCCCTCACAAAAAAAAGATGCTAATTCAAATATTACAATCGTTATGGGACCGACCAGGTCTCCACGCTATGCTTCCGCCCATGTTTTAAAATGCAAAATGTCAAAGCTGCTGACCTGCGTCGATCTATTGGTCGGAAACTTTTAATAAGCCATGTAGCGACGGAAGCGACGCGCCGACGCGTCAGTCGTCGAGGCCGAGTCGCCAGTGGCCTCAGCATCACCACCTTGGTACGGCGGGCAATTGGCTTGAATACACGAGCCAGTGACCGACGACGATGTGTCGTTGTTGCTGTACCCTGTAGGCTGGAGGAGCTCCAAGGGCAGAGTGACGCCAAGCTTGATCTGCTTGCCGGCAACAATGGGGCCGACGACAAGAGCAAGGAAGACGACCAGGAGGACGAAGTAGAGGATGGCGTAGCGAACTACTCTGCGCTTGCGGAGCTTGGTCTGCTTGAGCGAGTAGATAGGAGGACGGATTTGACGACTAATTTTTGTTAGCAGGGACTACTTGGTAGACAGAACGTCGAAACATACCTGGGTCGCAGCCAGAACAGCATGACAGAGTGGAATTTGTCGGCGTAGGGGATCAACAGGATCGGAAGCATAAAGAAAAGGAGAACGTGTCCCAGAATAAAATCGGCAGCGAAGAAGCCAAGCTCAGTGATCTTGCAAAGGAACTCACGTCCGGGTTGAGACAGTGTGTGCCATCCCATGGTGTACCATTTACCAGTCCACCAAGCGATGTTGGAGGTATCAGCCTTGAACTCACGAGTGAGGGTAAGGGTGATGATAAGCTTGAATATGAAACGCTGGATAGCGACCACAGCGATCATACCAGCGAGAGCTCTAGGGAAGCTGAACCCTTCCAAGTACATCATTACGACGAAGAAGACCAGAAGCATGATGACAGCGATCGCGTGGGCAATAGCAGCAAGGACGGCACCAAACTTCTTGCAGCACATGCCGAGAAGAGGACCTGCGCAACAAGCCAGGGCGAAAAGACCACCGAGGACACCCGCATTGACGGCGATTGGACCGAAGGCGACAAGAGCGACGCGGACCAGAGCACCGGCAGCCTTGGGGGTTTGTCCGTCACTGAGAGTGGCGGAGTCGAGCGCGGTGTTACGGTTGCGCACACCAGTCTGGGCGTTGATGAACAGGTAAGGAATGACCGTGACAGCGACCAAGACTAGAGGGCCAAGAACCTCAGCCATGAAGATGTTGGAGAAAGCCGCGCGAGGAACGTCACCAGACAGCTTGGAAGACGGGTCTCCAAGAGCCTTGCGCTTGTAACCAGTGATACGAGTACGGGACAGACGGCAGTAACCGATCCAAGAGGCGCTGTGAGACCGAGTGTTGCCACGAGACAACCAGCGGAGGTATTCCCTGTAGTCGATGAAGAAGTCGTCCCAAGAGAACTGGTGGGGGTTGAATAAGAACGGCGCAAGGCAGAGAGACAACAAGGATGCCCAGAAGTAGATGAGCCATGGACCCCAGACGGTGATTGTCGCAAAGATCAACATCATCAAGGCACGAGCGCCCAAGTAGATGGAAGGTCCAGCGAAACGAGAGTAAAGGATACCGAAAGGAATGCGAGCAGTGGCGAAACCACGACCAGTACCAATGTAACGAGCTCCGCCGAAGGACAAGTTGGTCTGGAGCGAGTTGGCGTAGATCTGGGTGACGAAAACCTCGAAGAAAGGTGATCCAGACGAGAAGTGCTTGGCCAGACGCGTAGCAGCGCGCCAGAAACCACGCTCAGTAAGCTCCTGAACAACTAGAGGTACGAAGGCGATGAAGAAGACGATAAAGATGGACATGATACAACGAGCAACCCAGTCAAAGACGGGTTCCAAGTTGGCACAGCCATTAGGCCACTGTGGGTCGGTAATCGGGGTGTCCTTGTTGAACTGGCAGAGGATGGTCTCGTGGTTAAGGGCGCCCAGATGGAGGAGAACGAACATGAAGCACTGCACCGACAACATAATGAACATGTTGTTGATGTGGAAACCAGGATGGGCGTAGTAGAAGGACAAGAAACGGTCGAGAGGGAGCTGAGTACCCATGTAGTAGTACTCGCGAGACAGCATCTGCTCACCCATTCCAGTACCGATCTTGGTGGTGAAGTTGAGAACCGATCCGAAACCCAAATCGCGACCCTTACCACACTGGTAGTACTCGCAGTGCTTTATGCGACCACCGCGGAGGAGAGCGTTCATACCAGCGTAGATATCCTCGTTGAGATGGAGACCCTTCTGAGCCTTGGAAACACCGCCACGAGTTGTCATGAAGATACCATTGAGGAAATCAGGATGACCGTAGTGGAGCTTACCACCAATCTGAGCCAGGGTTCGAGCAAACATGGTACCGAACGTTTGTTCCTTTCCGGCAGCAATGTCGCCGAGAATACCGATGTTCTCGGAGAAAATATATTCACGGGCTCCGAGAATAGCAACAGGGTTGAACTTGGTGGTGGGAAGACCGGGTGTGTAGGGCGAAACGTTGTCGGTAGTCATCTCTTCGAACTCAGCAAGAACGCTGCGGATCTTCAAGCACTCCTCGAGGTAGTTGTCCTGATTGGCATCGATGAGCTGGATGTACTCTCCACGGTAGAAGATAATGGCGTGGTTCTGGTTGTCAGACTTGCCATCTCCAAGAATGGGGTTACCGGAAAGCTGGACACGGAATTTGGGGCGGCGGAGGCCATTGTCCATAATCTCGGAGTGGCCGTCAATCAGAGCAGAGTAGATGCGGGGCTCGTCACCCTCGTTGACAGGCGGCTCCTCGTCCAGGTAGGCAATCTGAAGGTCGGGGTAGGCGCGGAGCAAGAATTCGGTGTTCTCCATTTCTTCCTTAGAGAACTTGGCGTACCGCTGCATTGAGACACAGATCTTGTACTTGCGCCTGGCCATGCGCTCGAGCTCACGCTCCAGCTTGTCAGAGTTACCACCAAACATCTGCACGACCTCAGGGTTTTCAACGCGGTAAAGAAGCTTGATCGCACGGCTGTAGTTCATGAAACCAGAGATGGTGCGGTACAAAGTCTGAGAACGGAGCGAGGCCCAGATACGTGTTCGGAGTGTATACTCGGGAGCGGCAGACTTAAAACCAATGCAGTAGAAGGGGAGATCGTCGATCTTGCTCTTAGCGGTATCCTTCTCGTTCTTCTCGTCGTCTCCGTTGAACTGCGAAGTCTCATCGGCGAGAATCTTGGTGTCCTTGACGAAGCAGTCCCACTCGTGAGGGTGGAGCTGCTTGAGGTACTCAAGAAGTGTGACGCGGGAGTAGGGCTCGTCTTCGCGGATAATCTCACGGAGCGAGAGAAGAATCTTCTCTCCGTAGTGAGGGATCATGACAGTGAAAGTGGGCATATTGTCGACGGGCAGGGGCTCCGGAATAGGTGTGGACAGAGACTGGGCGAAGAAAGAAATACGTCGCTCGGCCTCACTCTGAGCCGGGAAGAACTCGGTCTTGAATGAATGGTCTTCCTGAGAAACGAAGAAGGTAGGAGCACGGAGAGTGCGCTTGCCCTCCTGCTCAGAAGGAACCTGGTGGTACAAAAGCTTCTGGACGTGATCGATAGCAAGAAGATGCTCACGGTACATCGAAATAACCACGGCGTTCCAAATCTGGGAGATGAGGACCTTAGGCTTGTACTTGATCTCCATGTCCGTGGTTGCGAGAATCTTCGAGTAGATACGCTTCGGAAGACGAGAGAAAATGTTCCTCCATGGGGTCCAGATGGACACACCGAGGTAGAAGGAGCGAGAGACGGAGAACAACATGTTGGCGATGATGTACCACAAGTAAGAATCCAGGAAGAAGAGGACCAGATCCATGAAGTACATGAGGCCGAGCAGGATCCTAGGCTGGTACTTGCAAAGGATGTCGCCGAAGATGGCATCACCCAGGCAGTCAGGCTTCTTCATGTGCGACAGGATACGAATAGGATCCTTGATCGACAGAGTCAAGAAGAAGTAAGACTCAGCGAGCTTAGCAGCGAAGACCAGAACCCAGAGACCATAGGACATCCACATGTCGTTGCCCTTGAGACGTGGGTAGCTCGCAGTGAAAGTCTGGCTGGCGACATACTTGCGTGAGTTGCGAGTAAGGTAGCTGCCAAAGAGACCACCGAGCGGCATGATCGAGAAGAAGATGTAGGTGATGAAAGCGATGGTCAGCTGGACGCCGCCCAGGATGTTAGCAATGGTGCCTTCCTGGTTAATAGCGAAGATGTAGACACTGGGTCCAACGTTGACTGCAAATACCACGAGGAGGAACATAAGACGCTTGGTCAAGTGCTGAGCACCAGCCCATCGGCGAGGAACGTAAGCCCATTCAACGCAGGTAGCGAGAATCTGTATCAATGAAGCGATCGCTCCACCAAGCGCAACAGCAGACATAGTAGCGGCCTTCTTCGGTCGGTTGTCCAACTGTTGCTGGTAGTTCTTGGTGTAGACGGGCTGAGAGTTGAAGACAGTGTAGAACCAGAAGGCTGACAAGTGGATGACCCAGATACGGTTGAAGTTAACCAGCATGTGGAACCACGAACGTCGCTCGTAATATGTCTTGAAGAAGACCTTCTTCCATACCACATCCTTCAGCTTCGCAAAGCGATCAGCCGGGGGAAGATCGACCATGCGAGACTTGTCCTCGAAGACAATGCGTTCGAGACCCTCTGGGTACCAGAAGAGTTGATTCATATCATCGTATCCAATGATGGAAGAGTGGTCGCGCTCACGGCGGATGTACTTGCCCTCCGAGATCTCGTAACCCTGGTCACGGCAGTACTGGTACAGCGGCGTGATGATGTCGTTCAGATATGTGAACTCCGCAATAGGCTCCGTCTGAGCCTGTCCAGCTGGCGAGTTGAGGTAGTCGTCTGCGCACTTGAAGATGAAGCAGAGCAACTCAGGCATGAAACGAACCTGGTTGGCCTCACCCCAGCAGAGAAGGTAGAGAGCAACCTGGCGAACGCGGTCGTGCTGCGACATACGGTTCATTCTTGTCTTCCAGCGGTACTCAGCAGCCTCGAGACTGTTGTCACCCTCGTACGCCTCGAGGGTCTCCGCCTCGTTGCCAGGATTCTCGCCAGCCTTCTTCTTCGCCGCCTTGCGGGCCTTACGCGTCCTACGGTTGGCCTTTCCAAGGTTCATGTTGGCGAAACCGACGGCATCATCGAGATCAAGATGAGCGGCAAAGTACCATCTGCGGTAGTTGGCGTTCTCTCCACCGATGTAGTCGGCGTGCAGGGACAGAAGAGCCTGGTTCGGTGACATGCGGGAAGCACGCGAGTCGAGCAGAGTCATGAAGTGGTCATACATATTCCTCATGCTGTCACGCTGGAAACCGAACTTGGCAGTAAGATCCATGAAGATATCCTCGATTTCCTCCTTGGTGCAAGGAATCTGTGCCTCGGTTGTCCAGGCTGGGTAGGGCTCGCGTGAACGCTGACCGGCAGGAAGAGCGTTCGAGTAGTCCATACCGTAGATGGGTGTCGATGCACCAGAGGAGCGATTGCCACCGTACGAGACCTGCGACGAAGGAGGGCGGTAACCGCGTTGGCCGTCGCCGTTGTAGCTGTTGTACCTTTCGTCGCCACGGCCGTAGTAATCCATGTCGGTGGCACGAGCCATGTCGGACCTCATTGTGAAGTCGCTAAAGGTCTCGGAGTCTTCTTCGGAGTCATGCTGGCGGCGTCTGGGCTGGCCACTCTGAGCGTTGTGTGCGTATCCGTCCTGTGCGCCACCCTGGTCGTAGTACTGGTCATTGTAGTATTCATCTTGGTAGCCCTGTTGCTGGCCGTGGTGGTCGTCATAGTATCCGCCGTTCTGCTGGTGGTTGGCGCCCTGCTGGCCGTCATAGTAGGCTCTGTTGTGATGTTAGCGTTTATCGCCATTAGAGCGAAAAGGTGGTGAGACGTACTGTTCGTCATAATAGGCGTCGTTGCCGTTCTGCTGGTAGTGACCCTGCTGGCCACGAACATCGTCGTGATACTGGCCGTATTGCTGGTCGTCGTGATAATACGAGTCCTGGCCTTGCGGCTGAGCCTGGCCCTGGTGGCCGTAGCCATCATCGTAGTGGCCTCCCTGCGGATGTCCGGACATCGTGGGGGAAGATTAGAGTTGCGATGTAGGAACTGTGTTATGCTGTCAACAAAGTGTCGTCGCGTGGGCGCGGGGCTGCGTCTGAAACACGGTGTGTCGCAGGCGAGGCGAGGGGGCGTGCGTACCTCAAACAATGGGCATTAGAGGCGGCGATGTCGAATTGATCGTATTAAATTGCCGCGACGTATGTCGATGGCTAATTGCTGCGGCGGTGCGCGAGCGTGGTGCGCACAGCAAGTGTTGTCGCCGGAGCGAGGGATGGGTGTGAGCGAGGGTGGAACGGAGCTCGAATGCCCCAGGAACGAGATCGAGATAACCTGTTTGGTGGAAAGAGGCCGGGGGGCGTTGTTGTGATGCTAACGAAGGTGAAGGCGCTGCTGCAGCTGCAGTCCGTTGTCGTTGCCAGAGGAGACGCGCGGCGAGTCGGCGCTTGCTTCTGCTGGGCGAATTAGGTGGGTGGTGGCGGCTTCCCTGAAAAGCTGGGAAGGGCCTCCGCGGACAATCAAACAACCTCAACGCAGAACGAGAGGCAGTGTGAAAGGACCTGAAAGGACCTGAAAGGGACAATGGGCAGCACCGCAATAGTCGGAGAGGGAGCGAGCGAGCGTGAGGAATGCGAGAGCGCCGGCAAAAGGCCTTTTGAGGAGTTTCCCCTGAAAATGAGAGGCTCACGCCAAGCTGGTCTAGCGCCGTGAAGGGCTATGCATGGGTACCCTCGCAGTGCTTCACGCCTAGCAATTGCAGTAAATGCCGTTGCCACTTGATATGATGAGGCCTTTTACGCCGTGCACGAGTGCGATATATCTACTACGTAGGTTCTTGCCCATGCGATGGTGGTGTTGCTGCTCTTCTTCCCTTCGTGTCCTGCACTGCCCTTCAGCCACTCACTGCAATGCACGCGAGCATGGCGGGAATGCTGGAGAAAACCGGTTCTAAAAAAACCATTGTGTTGGGATTCCCGATCGGCCGCAGTGCAAATCGTCAATTGACATACCCGAGCAAAGCCCCATGTGGTTTAACGGCTGCAGTTGAGACTGTCTCGTCTGGCACCCTGGCCGCACGCTCGATTGATCCTCGAAGGGCGCTGCATTGTTCTGCTTCACTGAGGGAGCTCTGCGCTCTCCCTGGCCGTCTGAACATCATCATTCCGCGGGCTGCACCATCTTGCATGCACCCACTCAACGACCGGCCGTCCACGTCACGACGCTGCAGCACCGCTGCACCAATGCGCACGGCAAATGGGCCCGCTCGTTGATCAAACCAAAACCAGCACGACCAGCGCTGGGATTGGTGCTGCTGCTATCGGCGCGATAAGGATAGGACGCTTCTTCCTGTCAACCTTGACCAATTGTATGGCGCGTGGCGCTGTTCCCGCTCGATCCCGGCCAACGGTGCGTCGCAACGCCAGAAGCAGGAAGGGGGCTGACAGCCAGCGATTCAGCGGAGTGGAAACCGGATGCTCCATGCCCGCCCCCTTCCGCTGCACTCGCACGCTTGACGGGCTTGTTTCTTCCTGTTGAAGCCGCTGTCACCCCGAACATTGAGTATTGACTGATTGCCTCCCCTGATTATTGCAAGGCAGGTGATTGAGGGTGCCTCAAAAGGTTTGCAGAATGACGAAATTGCCAACGGCAGCATGTACAATTCGGGCATGGGCCTGGGCCTGATAGCTGTGATATTAGACACTCCTGTTCCCACATGTCAAATTCGCGGTCCACGGCTGCGTTACAGAGAAAGCGAACAGCTTGGGACGCACGCCTAGTCTCGTTACCGGAACGGCATGATGAGACTCGAGATCATGATTGCGTTCACCACGCAATTTCCATGTTTCGCCCGGCTTTGGTATGTACTGGACGCAGAGCTAGCAGGAGCGACACGTCCAGCGGTACGTACAGCTTCACAGTAGGAATTCCATATAAAGAAACAGGCGACAGACTATCGTTGACTGCCATTTTTGCCGCGCACCAGCATCAGCTGTTGGAATAGTGACAGCCTGTCCAACCGCCACCTTTTGAAGTGCATCAGTCGAACTCGCCTGTCAAGAGCACCATGCGGACACAGTGTGCACCCGAGCTGGCTGTGCTCTTCCTCCACAACCATCGTCGTCCAATAGTGCAGTGCATACTATCATACGCGGTTGCAAGGCGAGAAGAGCTGGTAGCTCGGTATCGACCTCCTCGACACGGAGCTGGATTGGCCGCCTCGTTGCTTCGCCACGCCCGTTTCAGCTCCATGCGTGCAGGTACCGGTGTACCCGCGCCTGGTCTCAACTTCAGGCCTTCCTTGACGTGTCGGCCACCGTGTGTTACTGAGACGAGACCGACAACGACACGCATCTGTCAAAAACATCACGCACATACCGGGCGTGGCGTACCGAAAGTATTGTATTTTGTATCCGTCCCGACAGCACGTGAGGATGCCAGTCTCAGGTCAGATTTAGCACCATCTATCTGCAAGTGCTGCACTGGGTCACATCAGCCGCTAGGTGGGGTGCAGACGCGTATGCGCAATTTTCACCGTACCTGCGTCTCAAGCGCGCTGGCTTCGTTGGTTGGCGTCTGTTTTCATTGCACAAATATCCGCAACGTCAAGATGGATGGATTGCGTGCAAGGCGAGATGCCAGAACAGCAGCAGGGCGCTTCTAGAATTCCGAGACGCTTGGCAGCAATCAAGGTGGAGACTCGGGCCATGGTGAGTCCAAAATTATGAAACTGGCCTAGCCTCAGGGGTTACCCTCGCCCTCGCAGATCCGCCTTGGGGAAGCTTGGTCGACCTCTCACTTCTTCACCCAGGCTGCCTCAGTGCTGTTTCCAGTGCGAATTTTCTGTTTTACCAGTCACTCTTTACTTCACACCCTTAAAGCTGTTCTTGCATCCAGCGTTGTTTGCTGCTGCGTCATACTCTTTCACTCTTTTCGCGCCTTTCGAACACCATTTAGACGTGCCGTGACCTCAGGACCTCGGCGCCTCAAACCAAGCTCTGCCAATACCCTACGACATTTCTTGGACATTTCTTCGATCAAATAGATCATCATTATGCGAGGCCTTATTGCTGCGACCGCGCTGCTTGCCGGTGTGCAGGCCGCCGTTGATCCTATTGTCATCAAGGTACGCCGTTCCACGACAGCGGCTGGCGTAATGCAGGGTTCTAACAGTAACGCAGGGCTCAAAGTTCTTCTACAAGAACAATGGCACCCAGTTCTTCATGAAGGGTGTCGCTTACCAGCAGGAAGTCAACTCGAACACCTCATCCACCAACTCTGATGATCTGAACATCACCGACCCGCTTGCCGACAGCACATCTTGCAAGCGCGACATTGAGTACCTGAAGAAGCTCAAGACCAACACCATCCGTGTCTACGCTATCGACCCTGCGAAAGACCACAAGGATTGCATGAACGCGCTCGCTGATGCTGGTATCTACGTTGTTGCCGACCTGTCTGAGCCTGGCAACTCCATTAACCGTGATGATGCCGAGTGGACCACCACCCTCTACACCCGCTACACTAGCGTCATCGACGAGCTGATGAAGTACGACAACACTCTCGGGTTCTTCGCCGGTAACGAGGTCTCTAACCAGCCCAACAACACCCTGGCTTCTGCTTTCGTCAAGGCTGCTGTCCGTGACAGCAAGGCTTACATCAAGAGCAAGAGCTACCGCTCTGTCGGCGTCGGCTACGCCACCAACGACGATGCCGACATCCGCGAGAACCTTGCCAACTACTTTGACTGCGGGAACAGCGAGGATGCCATCGACTTCTGGGGCTACAACATCTACTCGTGGTGCGGTGACTCTTCCTTCAAGGAGTCCGGTTTCGATGTTCGCACCCAGGAGTTCGAGAAGTACAACGTTCCCGTCTTCTTTGCTGAGTATGGTTGCAACACTCCTCGTCCTCGTCTCTTCACCGAGGTCGGCGCTCTCTACGGCGATGAGATGACTGGTGTTTGGTCTGGTGGCATTGTCTACATGTACTTCGAAGAGGCCAATGAGTTCGGTCTCGCCACCGTCAGCAACGGCAAGGTCACCACCAACAAGGACTTCGACAACCTCTCCAAGGAGATCGCTAAGGCTACTCCTAGCAGTGTCAAGATGGCTGACTACACACCCACCAATACTGCTGCTGCTTCTTGCCCTACTGTCAAGGCTGGCAAGTGGGAGGCCGAGTCTGACCCTCTTCCTCCTGCCGCTAACGCCCAGCTCTGCTCCTGCATGATGGACACTGTCAGCTGTACCGTCGCCGACTCAGCCACAGAGGACGACTTTGGTGACATGTTTGGCTACATCTGCGGTCAGAAAAGCGGCAAATACTGCGTTGGCATCAACCGCAACGTCACCGCCGGCGCCTATGGTTCCTACGGCATGTGCACTGCCAAGGAGCAGCTTGCTTTCGCACTCAACGCCTACGTCAAGGACGTTCCCAGCGGCTGCAGCTTCAAGGGCAAGGCCACCTCCAAGTCGGCTACTGCTACTCCCACTGCTTCTGGCTGCAGCAGCCTCCTCAAGGAGGCGGGTACTGCTGGCACTGGCTCCGTCACCTCTGCCGCCAAGGCCTCTAGCTCCGGCTCCTCTGGCTCTTCCAACTCCACCGGCGCTGCCTCTGGCCTCGCGGTCCCTGCTCTCGGCATGGGCCTGAGCGCCTACATCTTTGGTGCTGTCGCCTCAGGCATGGCTATGATCCTCTTGTAAGAGGTGTAGCTAGCGAGGGGTTGAATTGTATTTAATTGCATTTGCATAGTTCGCGATAGACTAGGACGAGACGGCAATATTCCCCTTTGTTTGTGAGCTCGGTGGAGACTTGGATACGAGCTGGGTGTAATCTTTTCTTCCAATGTACACAAAAACGAAAGTAATCATTGCAGAATCTTGTTCGCTTTGTGCCCATCAGTATGCTCAACCCTGCAATATCTCGTCTAGTAATGCGTGTGTCTTCCGTCACATACCCGCGCACGATATGCATCTCACCATCCGCTCTTCCCGCCTCTTTAGGGAGGCCTCCATAACGCTCTTCGCACCACAGGTCATCAAACACGCTCTCCGACTTCTCACAGGGCCCCCATAGCTTTTCTCCTTTCGAACAGCTAATCCAGAGAACTTCGATTGCTTACAATTATCTCAGGCCTCCGCACCCCTGTGTGGCGACCCGCACCAACGGGGCTGTGCAAAGCACGCTACACGCGAACGGCTCACGGCCCTTTGGCGCATACACGAGCAATATCGAACACTGATCGAAACGGAGACCGAACGGAAATAGACACACGTCAATCGTTCCATGCGTGTTGATTGTGGGATGAGGGGATTGGGAATACGAGTGCGGAGATGATGGATACGATGAGTTCACGGGAACCAGCTCATGGGGAGCTTGAGGCACATTTTGATTGACTCCTGCGGTTGATAGCGTGATCGGGAAATATGCCTCGAGGGGGTTTGAGAGCGTTTGGGTGTTGGGTTGCGTGTGCGGGGTTTACTCAAGTGCTATGTGCCATGACCCATCTGGACGACCAGGTGGCAGTGTTGGAGAAGTTGAACGAGATCGGACTACAGTCTGATTCCCAAGACCAAAGAAGGAAATCAAAATCGATTATAGGGTTTCTAGGTCTCGATAGAGTGCCAGGAACAGATCATAAATCGTGCATGTCATTGGACGTTGTATCGCTGCATACTCGAAGCGCTGTACTTCTAAACGATAGCAGGACCTTGAGTGCAACGTTCACATTTGCAAATATACGCGCCGGCCTAGAAATTGAGAAGTCGTGAATCATCGACATCGTTACTATGTACTAGGGAAAACATACAAACGCAATCAATACCGCTCAATGAGCCACTCCCGCCTCTCCACCTCGCCCATCTTATCCAACATATCCTGCTCACAATCCTTCATCGTCAAGTAATCCCTCACCATCTCCGATCCCAACGCCTCCTTTAGTTCGCCATCAGCCTTGAGCCTAGCAAACGCCTCGTTGAAAGACTTTGGCATCTTTCTAGTCACCCCATACTTCGCCCTTCCCTCATCGTCAAGCGTTGAGGGGTTGACAGGGAGATCCAACTCCGTGTACCCTTGCTCACGCTCAGGAACTGGCTGCTGCAGCCTCTCCTCTCCATCCGCAAGGCCGACACCGCCGTGCTCTGTCGCGCCAGCGACACTCTGATCATATGTCTGCATTGGCGGCGCTGCAGCAGGCACAGAAGCCAGCCCCAGCATACCCGTCGCAACAATACCAGCCATGACGAAGTACATGTTCGCAAGGCCGTCAAGACATCTAATCTCCCAATGCCCGTCTTCAATACGCCGCAGTGGACACTCCCAGTTATGCGTGCCCCAGCTAACCCATGTGCCGCCCGTCCACTGGTCGTCTATGACTCGGCCGTAGCTCTGTGCATCGGGCATAGTGAACGCACACAAAGCGGGTAGATGATTCAACACGCCACCGACAAAGAATTCTCTATCGCGGGTTGGTGGTTGTATTGAGATCTGCGCGTGCGCTGCGCTGCCTGCACCTTTCTCGCCGAATGGCTTGGGATGCAGTGTCGCTCGTAGGCCGTATAGAGCTGCGATCTGAGCGATGACTTGTCTCGTTTGAATGAGTGTATCGATGGCGAGTAATGGAGGAGCTGGTGGCAGAATGAACTCGTACTGACCTGGTCCGGATTCGGCATGGAACTGCTGGAGATCGATGCCCATGTCGGAGAGAGATGTTGCGATCTCGGCGAGCATAGGCGTCTGGAGCCATTGTGTAGGTGTTAGGGTGGACCATGCATGTATAGTGGTGACTCCTTCGTAGGATTGCTGAGGGGGCTGAGAATTGAAGGGGTTGCGCGGTTTGTCTCCAACGAGGAAGGTGACTTCAATTTCGAAACCTACTTGGAGGGTTGTGTCATACTTGTATTGGAGTTCAGTGATGAGCGTTTCGAGATTGTTGCGCGGACATGCGGGCAGTGGGTGGCCATCTTCAGAGCGCCAGTAGCTTAGGACTGTCGCGGCTTTGAGAGGGTCCTTGTCGTGCGCTCGACGCAAGGAAAGCAAGTCCGGTTCTACGTAGATCTGCCCCTTTGTGTTGACAACGGGTGTTAACGAGTCGTTCTGCAGGGTCCCCATGTTGCCCTGCGATATGCCAATGCGCCCCCCTTCATGGATGATGCGAGTGAACTCCTTGATTGGAAGAATGCGGACGCGCATCGTTGCCGTGTAGTCTAGCCATTGGACGTAGACGAACTTGATACCCGAATTCTGCTGCATGAAATCAGTGAAATGAGCTACATCATAAAGTTGCGACGTGATCCCCGAGGGAGGTGGGAATGGAGATGCACTGTACGGACTAGCAGATCGATGACGAGGTGAGATCTGTGAGTCTGAGCGTGGCCCAACGCTTCTGTACGACGGTGAAGGCATTGCAATGGGCACCGGTGAAGGCTGTGATTGTGACCGTGACTGCGGTTCCCCTGTGCTTTTCGTATTGAAAGTCAGCTGCTTAGGTGCCTCTCGTGGTATCTCGCTGAACAGGGGCTCGTAGCCCAGTCTGTATAGCATGTTTGAGTTGTTGAACAGAATATCCTTGGTCATGCCAATCGCTTGGTGTGTCGTAAGATCAGTCTTCTCGACATACTCGATAAGAAGCTAGGCTTGTCAGTCAGCCCAGTACGGTCTATGCGATGGTCGAATACATACATCAAGCCAGACCTCTCTGAACTGCTTGTTGGCAAGCCAGAAGGTTTCCGGAAACCAGTGTCCATCACTCGAGTAGAGAAGCTTACTACCCGGTACTAACTCTAATGCTTGTCGCAGGATTGCTCTTTGCCCATCTCGACTAACCATTGGAAACACCTCGCCCAGATCGAGGTAAACATGCTTGTATACTGTTGCCAAGTACCCAGCCTCACGTGTGTATGGATAGGCTGAGTGGAGAATGACGAACGGAACGTTGGGGTAGTTTTCGATGAGTGGCTGGAGAAATGCAGGATTTGACAAGCTCAGGTCGATGTCGTTGTCGCCAAGTCCGGTATGCAGTTGCAATGGCTTGGAGAATCCGTCCGAGCGTGCAAGATCATCTGACAGAATCTCAAGAGTCCTCAACACCAGGTAATCGTTGAGTGCCTTCCGCTCGACTCTAAAGCTGCGCTTACGGACGCAACTCTTAACGTACCGCTCGAAAGGGTAACCGACTGCTTTCGCAGCGCGCTCGTAGTCTTCTTCGATGTCCAGTCCGGTCCTGTAGCAAATGACGGTCTTGAACCCCACGACTTCCGGATCATCGACAGCCTCTTGGATCTTGCGCTCGAAGTCATCCATGAATATAGTCCAGGTTTCGGTGTAGAAGTGCGTTCGTCCAAGGTCATCCTCGTCGGCGTCCTTCACAATGGCTTCCATTAAGCGCTCAGCAACAGTCTCGATGCGTACGATACGCTTGCTCGGTGCGTCTGTATAGCGATCATGCCAGTCGTACGGATGGGCCTTCCCAGGTCCAGCGAGGCCGTCATCGATAAGTAAGGCCGTGACACCTTCGAAGCAGCGCTGATTAAAACGCTCAGAATCAGAGCGAAGCCACTCTTCTCTTTGCTCGAGGATATCGCTCCAGTCCGCATCGTCGTCAAGCTGGTAGAGCTCACGCAACTGCCGTGCTGCCCTTAGGTGAGCAAGGGACTTGAAAGTATCTCGTAGAGCTCGACCCTGCGCCTCTGAAGTGATAGTCTCGAATGGGATTGTCTCCGCATGCGTCGGCAGGATGAGGTTATGAGCATGGTTGTCGATTATAGGGAAGTTGAGTGCGACATGTCGCAGCTGCTCGATGGATTGTGGTGGGGCAGTACTAGGCTCCATATCTTTCTTGACTTGTCGAACCTGACCGGATCTTTGATTGCCTTGAAGGTCTTGCAGCCACTTGATATATCGCCGAAGCTTACTGGCTCTTACGTCTATCGTTTATCGTAGCTCGCTGTCAACGCTAACAAAGTGGCATGCATGCAAAGCAGGTTGCTGAACTGATGACGTCGCTGGCGCGGAAGCTCGGGTGTTCTTTGCGACTCCAGTCCCGCAAGCAGAATGTTCTTGCACACTCCCAACCGCAAAAAGGATCACTATCGCATGAGTACGCTTGACCACGGAGTGGCTGGGATGGAGGGGTCACCCAATGATGGCTGGGCTGTGGTGGGGAAGTGTTGAAGAACTAGCCATCTTCAGTTAGCTGTATTAATACTGTTCAGTCAGCAACAGAGGGCAAGCCATGACACTAATCCGAACCCAATTTTTGTGTAATTCTAGCAAGGGTATATCGTCTTCTCTCAGTTGTCATAGAGGTCGTCCTACTTTTCTTTACATACTCATATTATTCCCAACCTCTTCATAGACCCGACGTGCGCCTTGCTGTGTTTGCTTCCACCGACACCAATGTAGGTGTCTTTAGCACGGCCGATGATGTCGCCTCGCTGTCTATGGAAAGTGTTTTCCAGTCGCGCAGCTACTGCATCACCTTCCACTCTTGCCACAAGGTGGCACACCCAGATCAGGCGTCTAGCGCTGATGAATCGATTCTCCATTAAAGGGCGAGTGATCGATACTTGAGTGACAGACTTCGTGAAAAGGGGGCCGAGCGGAAGTGAGTTCGATTCGAGATACTTGTACAAGTAGTAGACGCATCGCCATGCTGCGCGCTGTGTAAGGGATGTGTCCTTGGAGTAGTGGTGAGCAAGTTGGTGTACCAGAACAATGCGCTCAATCAAAGGCAAGTCTGTGGCGGCGTTGCGGCGGTCGATGGGCAGAGCGTGGTTGGCTCTTGCGTGAACCAGGACATTTTGGAATTGACGGACCTCTTCCGTCATTGCTGGTAGCGCGTAGCCGACTCGGCTCAAGGCTTTGATTAGCCTCTTGCAGGCTTGTAGAGTGAGGGCCCTCTCTCGTGCCTGAGGTTTCGAGAGGCTCGTAGTCGGGAGTTGAAGCTCGGCAAGCTCATCGACGATGATTGACGCGAAGTCTATCTGCGTTGACAGCGGCAGTCCCTTCTCTTCCATTGTTCGTAGGCATCGCAGAAGTGTGGCGGAGCCGGCATGGCGAGCAACGAGTAGCAAAGCCAAGTCAATGAAAGCAGTATATGCCTTAGGCTGTGCCTGCAGCTGAACTAGGACGTCGGCTACAGCGTTTTGGACTCGAGGCAATGTTCTCGCAGAATGTTGTATCTGCAAATCGATGCCTCGACAAAGAAGCACCGCTTTGACAAAGTATTTTGGGGAATCCGGATATGGCGACCACTTGCCGTTGCCGTGCACACCTAGTGTTCCTGCCAGCGAACTTAGAGCAGCATCCAGCAGCATCTTGCCAGTATCGCCTTTCCCGTCGACCTGGTGTACGAGACGTAGCCATGTTTCCATGTTGTGGCTTGTAATCCTTTTGGCAAGACGCAGTGTGATTGCGGGGACTACACTAAGCAATTGATGGCGTGGCATGTAGGACAAGGCACGCTCTGCACCTGCAAAGCCATCCGGTGCCGCAGCAACGTTGCGAACTGTGGAGAGAACGACTTCTTGGACTCGCTTTGTCTCGTCGAAATGGGACAGCAGCAAATTGTTCTCAGCACTCTCACTGAGATTCAGTGCAAGTCTGTGCAATGTCTTCAGCTCTGTGTGTGGAACGCGGTTGCCCATCCGTTCAATCAAATGCAGCAGGATGCAATCCTGCGCTTCTGTTGTTGACTTTCCCGCCTCTGTTGCCGATTGTGCCATGATTCTAAGGACACGATGAACGAACGGTTTCCTTCTCTTGTGTTCAGTCTCCCATACCATGTCGAGACTGTCCATAAATGCCGCGCAGTCACTTGGCCTCTGAAGTGGATTCAAGACGCGGAGTAACCGTCCATCGTCTTCAAGCAGAACTCGCAGCACAGGAACGGGGCTACCTCCAGCCGAGTCCAGATGTTGAAGTACCGCCGAAGAGTACTGGCATAAGTAGAGCGTAGAGGGTAAGTTCCGCTCAAAAAGCCCTTTCAAGAGTCCTTCCACCACCGGAGTGGAGCTGCCGCTTTGCGCGGCTGCAAAGCCGGCTTTGAAGCTGTCGAGACTTCGCTCAAGTTCGTTGCGGCTAATGCAGGCAGGCTCGGTCGTGGGTAGGTCCCATGACAGCATATCAATAGCACCAGAACTTTCATATTTATCTGCAAGCTGCGCAGATTGATGTGTGAGGGCTTGTGGGAGATTGCGGTCGGCAGAGTTCGGGTCGATGGCCGAGCATCGAGACTGCGCGTCTGCGGAGGGCGTATCGTCCCAGGCAGGTGAGACTGCGGTATGTTAGCCAGTGTACATAGTGTCTACTTCATAGTTCTGCACGACATACATGAGCTCACTCCTGGTAAATTCCTGGGTAACGATGGCGGCTCATATCTCCATGAAGTCTGCGGGTTCGACCGGTATCCGAACAGCGCCCCGAGGCTGAACAAGGTGGGGAAGCTATCCTGCGGGTAGTATCCAGCTGAGGCTGTCATGCGACGCTTCGCAGCTCTCTTCCTAGCCTCCAATGGCCCGGGAACATTGCTGCCATGGCGCCTTTGTTGTGGACAGGTGCTGTAGAAAAATCGATGTACCGCCAATGACAGGACCTCGTCAGGAACCCAGATGTGCTGCGGAGCGGGAGACTGGAGCGATTGCACTGCTCGCTGGCAGGCAATTGGCGGACGGCGCATCAAGCAGAGTGCTGGTCATGAGAGTGCTGCCATCCTATAGCTGCCGTGAGCACATGTCGCGTTGGAGCTCTTGGACGCGTTAGTGCAGATATCACGTGATTAAGTTTTGATTGGTCGAGATTCAAGCTCTCCGTCCAGCATCTCAAGATGAACCTCCTTGAGTGACGTCCAATCATGCAATGGAGCTTCCATGGTGACATACTCATGGTGACATACTCGAAGTATACTCACGTGCATGTGTATCATCGCTGCTCTTTCGGCTGCTGATTATCCCAATTCGGTAACATTTTGCCGTCGTTACACGGCTCGAAGTCAAGCAACCCAGTGACACCTGCCACTGTCTCTAGAATCAAGTGAAGCCAATGCATCATGCACGCTGTACAGGCGGCAGATTGGCGTTGGCAGTCACAGTGATGCAGTGATACACGATCGCAGCCGGGTTGAAAAGCTGCATTATTAGGAGGTGTTCAATCCGTCTGCAGGAGCAGTTCGGACGAGGTCATCTCCACATGACACAGGTCTTTCTGGCAGCCGGCCCGCAGGCCACCGGTCGAGATTATCGCTTCTACCGGCTCTGTGTGGAAGTCGTCGCGTTCATCGCAGGGGCTCGATGCGTCCCCACCGCCGTTCCTTGATGATCCATAGCAGCAGTCGTCTCCATCACGGAGAACATTCTCGACCGCGAACTATCCCTCGGAAGGGGCAGTGATGCACGTTTTGCGTGCAAAACTACACCTGGATACAGGCAACGTCAGCACCAGCGGCCACCAAAGTAAGCGCTCGCGCTGTGCAGAGGGCCGCGCGGTTGGCCGAGCGCCCGTCACGCCGGGCTTGGAGCTGGATGTGGCTTGAAGTTGAAACGAATGGCAGCAGTTGTGGAAAACGGCAGGGGAGGGCGGCCAATAGGCGCGGGAGAGGACCTGGTTAAGCCAGGAACCGTGGCATGGTGCCGTGGTGGACCGCTTGCGTCGCCCTCTCACGCACACAACACCGAGACGGCCGGGCACGCAGTCAAAGAAGGCGCTCGTTGTGTGCACACTCATTAATGGAGAGCTGTGTAAATCCCCCGATGCGGTCAAGGAGAGACAGGCTGCATTTTCAGCCAGGCACAGTGCTTTCAACACGCTCTACGGGCCTAGATACGCAATGGCCTGAGGCCCAACAAAGCAGGCCGGACTCAGGAATCCGTCGCGCGGCCACTTGGCAGGCTAGACACCATTCGCGCCAACCGCTTCGGGCGTTCACCCCTTCACGACGGGTCCACTTCACCGCGCGCCCAAGCCTCCTCGCTCCTCACACCCACCCAAGTCAGTCCTTGTAGTTCGCTGCTCGCCATCACACTCGTTTCTGCTTTGTTGTTTGTCCATCGACACTGCCCACTAACACACAGCGAGCGACCCGCGTTCCTTTCTTTGGCAGCTGCTCGACACCAAGGGGTAAATCCGAAACTTCATTCCGGGCCTCATTAACCGCGATTCCAACACGCTGCGTTTCAAATTTGGCAGTCGAGGGCATCGTTGAACGAGTCCACTGCATCGCAGCTGTCAACTGGGCCTGTCTTCCTTGCGACTCTACGACACTGGATCGAAGACACAAACAATCCACTCTACCCCATACTCGCTACCAGCACCTGAGCTTTCACCCGCACCCAGCCACCCACTCGCCCATCCACCGCCATCACCCGGACGGTCCCGTTGAGTGAAGCCCATCGGACGGCCTCACCCTCCTGCGACCTACCCCGGACGAACCTCACTGCCTGCGTACCCACGGCCTGTCGCTGACGCAGACGGCAGTCGATACGAGTCGCTCGTACAGTGCAACGTACGGCAGAACTCTCACCTCGCCGACACCTCGTCGACGCATCCCACAATGGTCTCCTTCAAGTTCACATCCGCGCTCATCGCGGCAGCCATGATGATGATGGCCTCCGCCGACTCCGATGACTTCTGGAGCACCGTAACAACACCCTCGGCCGTTGCGTCGCCGACCACCACCCTGGCTGCCAGTGCCATGTCGACGATCGGCTGCTTCGAGACCGGAACACCACTGTCCAACTATGGTTTCTACGAGTTCCAGAGTCCTGGTAACTGCCAGCTGGTCTGCATCGAGAACGGCAAGAACGTTCTCGGTCTTGCAAATGGTGTCGACTGCTGGTGTGGAGACAAGATCCCAGCAAAGGACTGGCAGGTCGATAACAGCACTTGTGGCACAACCTGCGGAGGAACAGATAAGGAATTATGTATGTGATCGGCCAGACACGGCTATGACGAACCTTTGCTAACTCTTGGCAGGCGGTGGAGCTAACAAGCTCTGGGTTATGCTTACCGGAAACACTCGCAATCAAGTCCCCTACTACGAGATCGCTTCGGACTCCTCGTCGTCAGGAAAGAAGTCATCAACTGCAGCACCCAGCTCAACCGCCGCCTCCTCTGCTACTGCCAGTCCGTCAAACTCTGCTTCCAGCGATAGCGATTCCGACAGCAAGCCCAACACAGCCGGCATTGCCGCCGGAGTGGTAGTCGGTGTCGTTGGATTGGCCGCGATCGTCGGAGGAGTATGGTTCTTCTTGCGACGCAGACGCCAGCGTCAGGCCGAAGAGGACTACCGCCGCAACGCAGCCGGCGTGAACGACTTCATTAACGGCGGCAAGACCAGCGCCTCTTCCATGAACGACTCGCGCATTGACCCCAGCTTCATGGACCGAAGGCAAAGCAATGGCAGCATTGCGGATAACGAAGACTACTCGAGGAGGATATTGAAGGTATGCCGTGACGTCGATGGTGCAAACAAGGGTCTGTACTAATGCGTGCTTAGGTCACCAATGTATGAGGGCAATGACGATGGCACCTGGCAACCTTACCCCATCGACTACATACCGCCAGCACGCATCTCCTTTCACGACTGAATTGGAGTTTACTTTGATGACTACTCAATACCCCGATAAAACTTCGCTAATCCTCACTACCTTCTCTTGTCTCGCATTTGCGGTGCGCGACCACGCTTGACGACGAGAGTAAGAAAATACTTCTGCATTTGAGCCCTTGTGATGGGCGTTGACTGCTCCCTTTGAACAACGGAATACCCAACGTTGGCTAGGGCATTTCCTCTGTTATATATCTCCGAGCTTTTCGAACCACAACTGGCGTTAAGGGTGTTAGATTATGGACAATCAAATGGGCGATACAGTATCTTAGCGGTGTTACGATTGGTACTTTTCCTATTCTCTTTTCTCGGATCGTGGTTTTGTCCATGCCAACGTGCCCTGCCTGCCTGCACCTTGCCATCTTCAAGATCCTCTGCCCCACGTCATCTCCTTCAACTTAGTCTCTCTTCCCACAGCTTCTGCCTATCTACTCCACCTGGCACACCAAAAGTCCCTGTTCTGTAGCGTTGTAGCGTCAATAAAGTGTCTGCCATCTCGACCCCCAAGGCCAATACCAATTCCAACAACTATGCTTTCTAGGTGACCTTCAGCTACCATGCTTACAACAGGAATCAAATGCCTTTCACAGTGTCCTCTCCCACAAGTACGCGAGCAGTATGGCCTCGCAATATTTATCCCGTCCAAATCCCGCCCAAGCCGAATCCGACCAGCCTGTGACAACACGACGCACGTGGCTGCAATAACGATCAGCACAGACGCGGAGGCGCGCATGTGCGATCGCCCGCATCCACGACATATGTCAAACACCCACAACCGACATCATACACACCGGCTGCAAAAGAAAGTTCTGCGTTGCTGGGCCACCAGATGTGCTGCTGAGGATTCAGGAGCGAAAAAGGCATTGTGCACGCAGTGTTTGAGATTTTCCAAGAATGCATTCTTTGTGCATGGGCATCTGGACTGGGCGTTTCGTGGCGAAGATCGCCACGGGTCGGTTGGAGCGCTGTGGTGTGGCTGGTGCTTGCAGCCGAAATGAGCATGCGCATAAAGTGAGGCGCAGCGTCGGGGGCGCAAGGAGAATTGTCTTGTTGCGGAGTGTGTATCTCCGGCGGGTTTTTATGTCGGCGATAGGAGATGGGCTGAAAGTGTGGGGATTTGTGAATGCTTTGGCAAGCTGCAGCTCCCTCGTCAGTACCTATAGTTCTTGGAAGGAGCTAGTGAGTGAATCAATTGCTTCGCAGTAGATGCGAGCTACAGCATTATGACACAGCGAGCAATATTGAAGTTCCAGAAAGAGGAGTTGATAGGAACAAGCGTTGTGTCTACTCTCCAGACTCTACAGGTAAAGCTTGCAACTGACCGGTAATACCACTTGCCTCCATTAACCGGATACTTGACCACCTTCATCCTTTTCGCGGTAGTACACTTCCGGTTGATCTTTAGTGATCGCTGTAGTGATCACAAAGCTCGGCACTGCTCCGAGCCCTGTGTCGGTCAAAGCGCCCCTTCACTGACAGTTCGAGACTCAACTTTGAATCAGTAGTCTATTCGATCTCGACACGTGTGCTGTCATTGTTATTACACACGTGTCTGTGCAGACACTAGTGCAGTTCATTACTGTATTGTATTAAAGGCATGCATGAGGTTTATGCGTGGCTTCATTGAACCACTCGATTGCACCAAATCGAGTGTTACCGACCTTGTAGGGTGGTGGCGGGTTAGGCATGTTCTTTATACTGATTTCGTTTCCCTCGTACTCCTTCAACGACTTGGTTTCGAGCTCTCTTGCTTCGGAGCCTAGCAAGAGCCTGATCTTCGCTCGTGCCCAGCATGAGATGTCTCAGAGTCAGAGATGTGAGATAAGCAACGCAATTTTCAGGGGGTCGTTGTGGACAGAGGAGAAGTTTGTTTGTTCGGCCAGTATGGTGTTGTGACTCAATTCCAGTCAAGTGTAAGGTACGGGAGAGTTGCAAGGCGGTAGCGTAGCCATTCACGGGAGGCGAATAGCTGGATGTTCAAACCGGTAAGTTCAAAGTTCGTGTCAATCACCAGCTCTGCGATGTTGTTAGAAGTGCTGAACAAGACGGAAATGACGACTTGGTAACCTCGCCATGCTTCTCAGGTTGCCCCCAAGTCACCTCAAATTCTTGAAGTGTCCCTGTGGAAAGTTCGTCTGGGTCGCCCTTTAAACCAGAACCAGGAAATTGGCATCTGGAACCCAGGGGGCAGGAAGTGAAAATTGGCGTGGAGAAGGTGGGAAAGAGAGATTTGATGCACAATGTCTTAGATGATACTCTTTCTCTCGAGGGTTGGAAGGGATATCCAGGCTAGAGTGGGCATATACACACCCTTCTCACATTATCATTTGTTGGTCACCGTAGAAGCTATTGTATAAACCGAAACACTCCTTTGACGACATACGCTTGATGCTGCCGCCCTAATGTTCTTGTGATCGAGCTAATCTACCATTCGTCCAAGTTGTCTGTCTGATCATTAATTTTATGGAGGGACTTTCAAAATATTCTTTCGCCTCCGCCTCCAAAGCAAACTTCCTCTCTAAGTCGGACTGCATCGGCTCTCGACAAGTTCATGCGCTGAAAGAAGTCCAGCCTGTCGTCCCATCTCACGGAGCTTGGCACGATACTTTCTTTCTTTGCGATGCAGCGGCAGGCGTCAATATTGAGTGCTATCTGGTGAAAGAAAGACGCGAGAGATCCAGAGGCTGACGAAATTGTGCACGGCGCGATTGAAGAGGCGCACCCTTTTCAGGTCTCGTTATGGTAGAGAATCATAGATGAGGCTTAACATGTTCACAGGATGTGAGATGAAGTTTATGATGAATGTTGGATGTTGTAAGAGTGATGTGCGGGGTGATTGTGTGAGGCGATGCTACCGGTATTGTTGCGGTATCAAGTGCAAATATAAAACGAGTGTATTCTGTTGTTCTGTGCTGTTGTTCTGCCTGTGTCTGGCCTGTCGAAGGCTGGCTGCGGGGTCTGTTTTGCATGACGTGTTTGTGATGCAGCTGAGGTAAGAGGTGCTCAGCAAAGCAGCACTAGACCACCGCCAACAAACACGTGATCTGCTTCTCCTCACAACCAATACAGGTATTCTGTGGCACAGAAAGCCAGCTTCAATGCAAATGAAGACGCCTCACTTTCGAGGAAATCGATCCTCTTGGTGATCCACAGGCTCATATTGTCGACCTCCAGTCATTGCTTGCTAGACTCGCGGCAACAGCAAGAAGCCAAGTACATACAACAGCGGGTATTTGCTAGTGGTCACCCATCTAACTACTAATCCGCTGATGCGTTGCCTGTATAGGGCTCAACGAACGAGAAGCGTTGTTATATCTTGCCTAGTGGACAAAAAGACACTGAAAAGTTCTGTTCACGGCCATTTGTAGTCTCTCTAGAAGCGAGACCCTACGGTTGGTTTGTGAGCATCCGCAAACAGAAATTAATAGTCATCAAGTTGTGCTACACTGCGTACTTGCAGGACGCCTTACCATAGGTAACGTGGCGTAAACTAATCCACTAGAGCATTACGCGCGGATAGCGACGCCACGCATATGAAGCGGCACTAACCAAAACAGGTCTGTAATCTCCTGCTCCTGGCTTCACGTCTTCAATGAGATCGCTTCTCCTTGCTCTGTTGCACAAATGGGACGGTGAGCTTAGTTCTCTCTATTCTGATGACTATAAACATTTCAAACTCTACCGTCTGTTGTGGCTTTGGTCAGGACACAGCTTCGAATACTGAGCATTTAGCTGCCTTGGACCTGAGTGCTTAGTGCAATCTCCACCAAGCAGGCACCGTGGCTTTGAAGGCCCTCCACTTCTTCCATGGCTAACTCAAGAAGCTTGCGATTGCTCTTCAAAACCATCGTGTTACTTACAGCTATCTTACTTCTCGTCCTTGGATTCGGTTTCGTCCGGTACAGCGACCGTGTGTTACGGACACAGCCCATTAGCACTGGGAACCTCAATCCTCCTCCAGAGGGTCGGTATTCCTTTGTTCGGTTGAATGATATGGAGAGCTTACGATTATTAGAGAAACCGGGTGGCGTGCATATTGCCATTTCGCCCGCCACAGTTCCAACCGGTCTGCCAAGGAAAGCAAATGACACTCTTCTCGCGCAATCACCAGCATATATCCAGGCCATCTTGAACACATCAGATTCACAATTTGCTCATCTGGAGTGTCCACAGCCGAATCTTGACCGTTATACTTACCTGAGATATCCACCGGATCTATCTGAAGCCTCCCAGCATCCCAGGTTTTTCTTCGCGCTTGATCTACATCAATGTGTCTACCTACTTCCACGATTGCTTGGTTCAATCGTAGAAACAATCAAGTTCCTCGGTCCGAAAAACTGCGTGCTTTCCATCGTAGAAGGCCGATCCAATGACGGCACCTTCGAAGTCCTTGACGAGCTTCGTCCCAGCTTGCAAGCCCTTGGTGTGAAGTACTCCTTGCAAACAAGCGATATCAATCCCACGGCTCTGGGACAAGACCGCATCGAAGCCCTCGCAGGCCTGCGGAACCTTGCCTTGCAGGACCTTCTCGCCTACCCAGCGCAATACGACCCGGACACCACCATCGTCTTCCTCAATGACATTGCGGTCTGCATGGAGGACATTTTAGAGCTCCTCCACCAGCGAAAATTGCAAGAGGCCGATCAGACATGTGCCATGGACTGGACGTATGTGGGCGACAACCCGACATTCTACGATGTCTGGATCGCGCGCGGTATGACGGGCGATACATTCTTCAAAATCCCCAAAGATGGGAGCTGGGATTCCGCCTGGAATCTCTTCTGGAACGACGATAAGGCGCGCGCGCGGCTTACTGCCGCAAAACCCTTCCAGGTGTTTGCGTGCTGGAACGGCGTCACCTCGTTCACTGCAAAGCCGCTGTTAGATGGGCGCATTAAGTTCAGGGCACGTGGGCCGGGTGAGTGCTTCCAGGGCGAGCCGAAGCTGTTTGCTAAGGATATGTGGGCGAAAGGATATGGCAGGATTGCGGTGGTGCCGAGTGTGAATGTGGAGTATAGTGATGAGGCGACGAGGAAGATCAAGGCGCTTAAGGGGTATGTGGCGAGACATGTTGCGAATGAAGGGGACGATGAGATAATTGAGTGGGAGACGAAGCCACCGGAGAAGGTGAAGTGTATGCCGGATTATCAGCACCAGACTTTTGTCGATTGGGATGAGGGACTGAGGCCGACAGTTCCGGAGGCAGAAAATGAGAGATAGTGCACACATGCATTTGCATAACATCCGCACAACGTCTGCATACTCAGTGCGGATGCTTTGTCCACGCTTGGTTGTTGAGCAGATGCAAGACATGAGTGACAGGTGTACGAAATTTGCACATTATTAACGTTAGCGACCGCCAGCCACGGACTCACCTTTCTGCCCCAATCGGTCATACTACCCTATTTCGCTCCTAGCGTATTATCGTCCTTAAAGTTGATTAGAGCTTGCGGATGGCAGAGACAGCAGATATGAGAGACGAAAGCAACAACAGATAATCGGCGGTCGCCGTCTTGATAACGACTCCAAGGGCTGTATCTTGTCATCCGGCTTAGTGTTCTTGTGAGTACAGAGCAAATAGATCAGTAGAAGGCGTGACTTGTTGGATGCGTGGATAGTGAGAACGGGGAGGCGTATCACGGCGTCCTCATGTGAAATAGAACAAGCTGTGGTGAGGCCGGGTCTGTACAATCGGGCAGGGACTAACCACCTGGCTTGCCACACTATGGTAGCAGAGAAGATTGGAGACGACAACACAATCATCATCAATATCATCAAAATGCATTAACTTGTATTCAACATACAATCTGACACCTTAATACAGTACCACGGCAGACGGCAGATTGGGAAGGAGAACCTGTTTCCAACGTCCTGTGGTCGTATGTGAAGTACTAGCACTGAGCAGGGTGTTACACATCAATTCGCACGCAAAATCAGTGTCGTATCCATGAGTAAAGATTTCGCCCGGCAGCGCAGTCTGAGCTGCACTTGTTGCATTCTTCATTCGTTCGTTACATCATTACTGTTTTACGTCCATCGGCAAAGCCCTTACTTACTAGATCCAGCCCCGCGTCGCAAGTGTCTTACTGCTAATGAGTGTGGGAGGCATGTCCGCCCTGGACACCCAAGTCGTGAGCGAGCTTGCTGCCAGCCTTGAAGGTACCGTCAGGGTTTCGGCCGTTGTCATCGCTGCTGCCACCGTGCTCGTGGGAAGCATGCCCGCCCTTGACGCCGAGATCGTGAGCGAGCTGGCTTCCGGCCTTGAAGGTGCCGTCGGGATTGCGCTGGAGGCTGTTAGCAGGAACCTTAAGATCTGAGGCGGCTCAAAGACTCTTACACCGCTGTCGTTGCTGTTGGCGCCGCCGGTAATGTCGTGGTGAGCAGCATGACCGCCCTGAGCGCCCAGCTCCTTCGCGAGCTCTGAGCCCTTGGTGAAGGTGCCGTCTGGGTTGCGGTCCGGGCGGTCGGAGTTGCCGAACTCGTGGTGATCACTTTGAGATGCGTGACCGCCCTTGGATGCGATCTCCTTCAGCTCATCTTTGGGAAGGTTGGCGAAGTTGGCTGGGTTGCTGGAGGCCATTTTTAAATGTGTTGTAGAAGGTTGAAAGTAGTTGAGGTTGAGTGTAGACGAAGCTGGAGGTTTCAAAGCAAGTTGGTATAGAGCTTTCAAGGTGAGAGAAACTCGACTGTAATATACCCCATGTTCACTCTTTCTCCACAAACTCTGACGTGATGCGGCCTGGCAATAACAAGCATCCAGTAGGCAAACAATGGTCTAGAAACACAGGGAACACACATATCGTCTGCCATTGCCTCTGATTCGATGAATAGAAAAGTTTTGGAGGGGCATCTTGATGTCAGGCCGTCGCAGCCTGTTCGTATCCCTGCTGTTGTTTGTTCACTCCAGTCAGGAGGCGTGACATCATCCTTGGTACCGGTAGCGACGCGAGAATCACGCGAAACGTGGGCGCGAGACCCCGTGCGATGAGGTTGAGCTAGCCTCTTACATCGATCCGGAGTCCACTCCGATATCGAACGTCACGGTTGCGCGTTGCTCCTCGCTGCTGTGCGACTGAACATTCCTCATTCAACTGTCTGCGATCGCAGGTACGCATAAGTCATTTAATCGAGACAGAATCCGTCCTCTGTTACCTCAAACCCTTCCATTCAGGCCTTCGACACGATACACTGCCGAAATGAGTCTCAAGCGCAAGGCTGCTGAGGCCGCGACCGACGCGACGAAGAAACCAAAGCCAAATGGAAGCATCACAGCCTTCTTTGGCGCACCAAAGCCTTCGCCAAATGCTAAAGCCGCATCTGCTGCAGCTGCAAAGTTTGACAGAGACGCGTGGGTCTCAAAACTCACAGAAGAGCAGAGGGAACTGTTACAACTGGAGCTCGATACCCTGCACGAGAGCTGGCTCCCATCTCTCAAAGATGTGCTTGTCAGCCCACAATTTCTAGAACTCAAGAGATTCCTGAAAAAAGAGCTCAGCAGCGGGAAGACGGTCTTCCCTCCCATGAAGGACGTGTACTCATGGTACGTTCTCCAAGTCGCGCTGTGCTGAAGTCATATGACTGAAACCGCTGCTTAGGTCACGACACACTCCTCTCAACACCGTCAAAGTCGTCATCACAGGGCAGGATCCCTATCACGGTCCAAATCAGGCTCACGGCCTCTCCTTTTCTGTTCGTCCTCCCACACCTGCGCCCCCGTCCCTCCAAAACATCTACAAGGCTCTGAAGAAGGACTACCCTGATTATCAGCCCCCGCCAAAGAAGGGGGGTCTTTTGACGCCATGGGCAGATCGAGGAGTCCTGCTGCTGAACACATGCTTGACTGTGCGCAAAGGAGAGGCGAATTCGCATCAGGGCAGAGGCTGGGAACTGCTGACACAGAAGATCATTGATACAGTCGTGAAGGTGCGCAGCAACGGTGTCGTATTCATGGCATGGGGCTCGCCGGCTCAGAAAAGAACTGTTGGCATTCCTGTGGATAAGCACTTGATTTTGAAGAGCGTGCACCCAAGTCCACTAAGCGCAATGAGGGGATTTGTGAGTTTGCATACCTGCAGTGTCGTATCATCCTACTGACCATATTCAGTTCGACTGTCATCATTTCACCAAGGCCAATGAGTGGCTGGTGCAGCGCTATGGCAAGGATGGCGGCATTGATTGGGACCTCAACGTGGACCCCAAGGACGTCGTCGAGCCTAGGAAGACCGGTCAGCCCACCAATCTAAAGGACAAAGCCGAGTCGAAAAATGACGCGAATGTGAAGGAGAACGAGGCACTGGTGCTGGACACGAAGACAGCGCAGGGCGAAGCCACTGAGAATGGTGCCAGTGATATGGTCGCTGACCCCGAGGCGGAAATCGATTCGGATGAGGAAGCCGCGCTAAGAGAAGCAGGACTCTGATCGCGAACCTATAGCAACTACAAGGAACCAACTATTTACAGCGAACCTCGCGCGAACAGATATTTCACAGAGGACGTGCTGTTTGCTATTGGAGGTGTCATCGCAGGAAACACAGGGTCAAGTGGTGCAGTGTACGCGCCCCCTCTCAGTACTGAGTTCCGACGAGTATCCGACAGTGGTTGTCTGGGTTGAAACCAAGGGCCAAGACTCGCCGCACACAAGGGTCCATTGACAACGGTATAAAACAACTACACTTCCATCCTCCAGATCAATTTCCCATCTACCCCTGAGTCTTGTTCAACATGAACAAGGCACTTGCAGACAAGAGTGCAGTGCTTTCAGATGGCGCCAGCAGCAAGAGCCTTGGGAGCGTTACATTTGAGAGGCGGAGACCTATACTGGCAGGAGCAAGATCGGCGTAGGTAAGAGCAATCTCGCCGTGAACAGCAGAGACTGCCAGCTTTGAAAGAGTAAGACGACCTCGTCGAACCTAGTTATATGAGATCGGAACGAGGAGTTGAGGGCGAGCTGCTAAGCCGCAGACAGTACAAAAGACGGTGTGTGGGCCCTGCCATGTAGGACTATAAGCATTGGGACTCAGAGAACAAGAGTTAGCTCCTCATATTGAGTACATCTACAAGACCACAAAGGGCCACTGTGCAACCAGACAGGTATTAAGCGACTGTTATGTATACTATTGCCGGCCATCGTCAATCCCTATGCGTAGTGCTATCCAAGACAACCGTTACCACCGCAAGTTCCTGCTCAACCTGGCCGACACACAGCCAGCAAGTGGTGTACTGCCGCACAACAGGCTGGAAACATACCACGAGGATGAGACGAGTTGGAGGATGTACCGGGGCGAGCCTGTCACGGAGACTAAGAGCATTGAGGAACCCTTGATTGACTTGCTGGGATGAATTCGGCATAAGTCAAAGCGCGACACTCGCAAATGTCTGTTACTACGAGAAAGACATGTAAGAGTTGATAAGAGGTCGGATGCATACATGAGAAGGGAAAAATCGCTCAACCCGTTGTCCCTTGCTTCGCAGCTTATTCTGCTTTCCCCTCAGAGCCTCCAAGAAAGCTCTCTTTGGTGACATGTACTTCAACTCCATCCCCTCGCCACGGTTGCCGCACAATGATTCCCACACTCTCTTTTTCAAACAGTCTCGAGAACACATCGGCCGCATGATACGTAGCTGGGTCCCAGACGTTAAGACACAACCACCTGAACCGAGGTAAGTGATCTCGGATGTACGCGCCCAGCCCCGCATACGACTCCCCAATTTCGGTGATGCTGCAGTCCTCTTCATACGGCTGTAATAGCAAACTCAGGACCTACACATTCGCCCGTGCCGTCAGATTCAGGTGCTTGAGCCATTTGAGAGTCGCGTACGACTGGTATCTGCCTCTTGGACATGGACCGGCAAGGAAGAAGAAGTCGCGTTCACGGTATAGGAAGGGAAGTGCCTCTTCGTGAACTTGTTTGCAGACTCGTAGTATTGCTGCTGAGGGGTGGTCAAAGATCTCGTCTTCCGTGGCAGGCCGGAGGATGTTGAACTGCCCATGGGCCGCATGTAGGATCAATAGTCCTTCGCGAGGCGGTTTGAAGTGGACTTCTGGACCTAGACGTCGGAATCATGTGTAGATGTGTGATTTGTGTTGATCGTCTTCATCATTGACGTCCTCGCTGGCTTCTTCGCTTACTTCGTCCCAAGGGCAGGTGTAAAAGTCAATCTGCGTTAGCCCAGCGAACGTGGTGTTGCCTGGGTTCTCCAAATATAGCCAGTCTAGTGCGTAGTTGATGGTCGTAACGTCCTCTTCGAGATGCGATAGAAGGAGGTAGGCATATATTCGCTCACGTATCGAGATTGGAAGGTTGAGAAACCCGAGGTTTGAAGTTTTCTGTACGTGAGATGGCCACCCGAATCCTGCACATGAACGGCGACTACAAGCCCCTAGGTCAACTATGGATACCCCACTTCATTGCCCGCAACCCACGCGTCGCATCTATATTCGGTCAAACAACCAAGAGCGCAAGGACTACAGCAGCTAATAAGGACACAATACAAGCCTTTCTTGAGCTGTTTGAGCGGACAAGAATAGAGCTAGGCATACAGTATGAAGATATATGGAATATGGATGAGACTGGGGTAGCACTAGGGGTATGTACGAACGCCCGGGTGCTTGCAAGCTCTGCAAAGAAGAAGGCTCATATCCAATCCCCAGAGGATCGCGAATAGGTATTAATTATTGAGACCGTCTCAGCCGTCAGCGTCAACCTTCAATGCATGGTCATCTTCAAAGGCAAGCATCTACAATAAACGTGGTTTCCAGCAGAAGGTGCTCCTAGTTGGCTCTATACAACCTCAGAGAATGGCTGGACGTCCAACTCTGGATATGAATAGTTGCAGCGTAATTTTAAACCAAACACTTCACCATCCTCTGGCGGCTATCGACTACTCCTTCTTAATGGCTATGGCTCTCATGTTCCTGTTAACTTCGTGTGGCTCTGCAAGGTTAACAATATACACCTCTTGTATCTCCCAGCTCATGCTTCACAACTGCAGCAGCCTCTGGATCTTACTCCTTTCTATGTTCTTAAAACACGCTATCGCAACGAGATCCAAGCTCTCTCTGCACTTGATGACGCAGCACCTCTCAAGAAGGACCTCTTTGTTATATCATATAACAAGGCAAGAGAAGAAGCTCTATCAGAGCGGGTTATACGAGCTGGCTGGCGTGCTGCTGGCCTTTGCCATTCAACCCAAATCTAGTACTGCTCTCATCCCAAGTAACTGGCCGGCCAGTTACTCCACTAGCAGCTAGTCAGGCCTTAACTACATCAGAACAAGTCTTAACACCCTTCAGAGCTCATAGGCTCTATACAAGGCCCAAATTCTGCTGCTGTTGTCAGAATCTCTCTCACGAAGCACCCAAATAGTGCTTGACAAGGCAGGCAAGGCAATTGCAAAGGCAAATACTCGAGCTGCCCAGCTTGAGGCTGAGAATCAACAACTCAAACATCAACTATATCACCGTCAGGTTACTCGTACAAGAAAGCGCGTTCAAGTTGATCTTAATGAGCGATTCAGCAACATTGAGAGTATACAGGCTGCTATTGACCGAGCAGCAGCTCTACAGGCTCAACAGGCAAGCACTTCAGCAGAAAAAGAAGCTCAAAAAGCTACTGCTGCTGCTGCTGCTCGTACTTTCAGTTCTATATGTACACAGCGGCAAACATAATCGTTGTTGCTAAGAAATCACCACTCTTTGTTGTGTAGCTGATTTGGGTGGCTGAACACTATATGGCCGAGCTTATATGGCGCCGCGTTCGTCACGAGAACAGCCGGCTCACCGGGCACCACACCTAGAATAGCATGGCGTGCAGACCGCCTTACATGTGAGGACGGCGACGAGCGTACAAATTCATATATTCGACCCAATAAGGCAATGCGCTCGCCTGACTGTGGTGGAAGCTGGAATGTGTGAGACCAGCTCACGCTTCGTGCTGACTGTGATACTTGGCCACTGGCTAGCCTCAACGCAAGCCCGCAACAAGGATCTACGCAGCGCGCAGAGTTCGAACAGCGCAACAGTGCACCAGTCGTATCGACGAACGAGCGCAATCCTGATGCAGTTGTTGCTGGCGCACACACCCTTCGCAAGCAACATATACAACAAATCACAGGGGGACAAAGGTATGTACCGTCCATTTTATTTACCTTCGCTCCACCAGGTTAAAAACCACGAAGAGAAGGGGGTAAGCAGACGCAATATGCTCTAACCTCCGTTTTCCCCTCCATCATCCTCATTTAAACGAAGAGCAGAGTGAATACGAAGGTTTTCAGTTTATGTAAAGAGGAACAAAAGTTGCAAGAGCCGCGCGGAAGTTGGAGAAACCGAGATTTGCGATGACTAACCAACGCTACGCCGCTTTGGGTGGCATCCAATCAGTGAGTTGGAGATGCATTTGCGAGCGTGATGATGGTGGGGCTGAAATGGTGGGGTTGGGACTTGTTTGTAAAGGTAGCAAGACTGGAACTGTGACTCTTGCATCAAAAAGTAGGCCTTTCCGTGCGATTTGCTGAAAGGTATGCAGTGAATCAAGGATCCATAAAATCTAAGTCGTGAATTCTAACGCCGAAGTTTTCGTTTCCTACAAAACCCCTCCGCTACCAAAATCCAATCGTACAACACCAAACAAAGCACAACACACGACCACCGATACACCCACCACTCGGCCTCACACACGAGTACAAGTAGACACACGTCGCCCTAAACCGCCTTCTACACATCACGCGCACCGTCACCATGTCTTCAGCACGCGGTCGCGGTGGCAAATTCAACAAGGCGAAGCGCGGAGGCGGCAAGCACTTCTCGAGAGATCTGCAGCCACTGAACGCAGAGGGCGAGGTCATGGGCATGTGGGGCGTACGTATCACACAGCGTCCATGGACGAAGCACGATAATTAACAAACACAGGAGCAGCCCGAGAAGGTCGATAGGGAGTCGAGCGATGAGGACTCCTCCGAGGAGGAATCTAGCGAGGACGAGGACGGCGAGCCAAAGCAGCAGGAAGAGCTCACCCGCGAGCAACGCCGCGAACAGGCCAAAGCCCGCAAGCAGGCAGCGATAGCAAAGAAGAACCAGAAGGTCCCTGAGGCTGGTGACCTGCCCTCATCAGACGAAGAGAGCAGCGACGACGACAACATGCCCGCGAACCCCAACCACACCGCCAAAGCCCGCACTCAGGCCGCGAAAGCTCCTGTCGACCCTGAAGCCGCACCAGCCGCCGCCACCGCCAAGGGCAAGGGCAAGCAGGACACCTCTCAGCTGTCTCGTCGCGAGCGCGAGGCTTTCGAGAAGCAACAGGCGAAGGAGCGCTATGAAAAGCTGCACGCCGAGGGCAAGACTGACCAGGCGCGTGCTGATCTCGAGCGTCTTAAGCTTGTCCGGGAGCGTCGTGAGGGCGAGGCTGCGCGCAAGAAGGCTGAGGCCGAGGAGCGTGCGGAGCTCGACAAGGAGAAGGCTGAGCTTATGGCGCGCGAGGCTCGCAGGAGAGAACAGGCTATGGGCAAGGCCAACCGCCTTGCCAAGGGTGGAAAGAAGAAGTAAACTCTTGTTGAGGTTTACTCGACTTTGAGTGTGTATGTACACCAACTAGTGGTTGTGTATGTACTTGGGTTGGTACATTCTCTTTGCATAGCCAGCGAGTGGATTGGTTCACTGCTTTCGCAGCTGCTAGTAGTCCTCTATGAGCACATGGAAGATATGGACGAGAAGAGTTCCTGCCACATCTTTACCAGCTGCCAACTTGCGGTCAACAGGGCAGGTATGTCGAGATCAACGAGCAACTCACGTGTCTGCCAGCCCAATGTTCCTCGAAACCCGTATTTCATCTTGCGCCCTTCTGACATAATCTACACCTGTGCAGCGCACATCTCATAATAGGACTGAACGAAATGCAGCTTGAGCGATGTAATGTATTCGATCTGGAAGGGTTCAATGGCCGCGACTTCCTCGTACAACGGGTTTAGAAAGCCACGAACGCCCTCAGCCTTGCAGCCCCACCGGCCGGTGGCGCCCTAGATCTTCGACCTCAAACCATCGTCATCATCCACTCCAGCACATGAACACCGACATGCCTCCGTCGATACTCACCACCACGCGCCTACCATCTTGTCTGACACTGTCGAAGCCCGACAAAGACCATGGCTGAAGTCATATTCGCCGAGGAACAGTCCAACTATGAGACCTTCCGCGACTGTATGAGCGAACCAATCATGAAGGCACTTGCCCTGCCAGAGCAGAAAGAGAGAAACAAGAAGAAGCGAATAGCCAAGAAACGCGCCAAATACAAGCCTGTAGGCATTTTCGCGCCTGCAAGACTCCAAGTCGAAGCCCCTGAGACTGACAGCGCGCCTTCAGCAACAGATGCGGAGGACCTGGGCGAATTCATTGCGGTACAATTACAGCACATCTCAATGCTTGCACATTCAGCTGATAATACGAAGTATCTCAGCAGTCTTATATTCCCTTGCCTTCCTCTAGAGCTGCGCACGCTCTTGTATCCTCAATTCCGCGACTCGACCACCCTCCAAGAAGCTTATACAACGCCTCTGTCAGCCTCTACGTACGAGCACCTTCTCTCGACCGTCCCACCCGACGCGGTTGACAGCCTCGAATCCTACGCCCTGCTTCCCGCCAACAGCGACACGCACGACGCGAACCTTCTGCTCACGCCGGTCTTCACAGCATACTGCGCCGCCGTCACACTGCCCCCTCCGATATGGGCCACCACGCGCACCACAGAGTGCGAACTGTGCGAGCGGGACTGGGTGCCGTTGACGTACCACCACCTGATACCGAAGAGTACACACGATCGGGTTAGGAAGAGGGGGTGGCACGATGAGGATGTGCTGAACAGCGTTGCGTGGCTATGCCGGGCGTGTCATAGCTTTGTGCATAGACTGGCGAGTAATGAGGAGTTGGGCAGATATTACTATACCATGGATTTGATCAGGGAGGGAGGGGTAGACGGGGATGAGGAAAGGGCAAAGGAGGTTGAGGGATGGGTGAGGTGGGTCGGGGGCGTGAGGTGGAAGAGCAGATAGCAGGGAGAGAGGCGATGAGAAGATCGATGGCCTGGAGGAGGCGAGAACGAAGTTGCGCTCTTGTTCTGATCATGACTTAGCGGTGTTGATTCGCGCATATGGAGGGTGCGATCGCTGCAAATGTTTGGACAGGTGTGTACTTCGGCGACGACATCCAGTATATGGCCTGTCTCTGGGCGTGTGAGTCTTCGACTGCTGGCAATCAACAATTTCTTCCCCGCTCGTGTTCCTCACCAGGTGCCTATGGCGCATCTAACTGCCGAGTGCTGCATTCTCCATACTCATTACTCCGGTTTCGTACGCATAGCTAGCGATCACGCTTATGCACGTTTCTTTCGGACTCTGCAAACTCAAGTTCTTAGTCGTCAACTTCGCGGCGTAAGCCACTGCATGCCTTGACCAATTTCTTCGTTCAACTGGCGTTGTTCCCGTCAGGACAGCAAACACATTATGGGCGAAGTAGTCTATGAGAGGACCACGCGGACTCAGGTGCGGCTTGAACTAGTCTCAGAGACCGTAGAGGCAGTCGGTAAAAGTATCGAGCTTTGAGAGTTCTTGCTATTCGGCACCTCAGACTAAGGCGGTGTCTATGCGATCGGAAGTTAACGATAATCGCCATCAACGCGTCAGCATGTTGGTGTTGAGGTCAGTCTGGAGGTCCCCAATTGGCTCACCATGTTCCGAGTACGAACTGGATTACGACCCCAAGGGCAAAAGACTAGCTGTGGGCACTTGCAAATGAAGAGGGAATGAAGGGTGTAGAAGGTCTGATCGATAATCTATGTAATCGCCATACTTCCACTTCCAGGATCGCATGCCATGCTGAAAGCTTTCAATGACTTGCAGCCGCCGTAAACAAAAATCAAGAGCAAAATATCCCAAATTCTCCACCACCAGGTCTGACGTGTCGCTGAAGCTCGACTGTTGACATGCAGAGTACCACCATCGAAGTGCAAACCCACTCGGCCATCCATGACGTAAAAATAACCCGTGAAGATAGTCAGAACCATATCATAGCCACCCGGAACCTGAAAGCTATCGTCGACAGCTTAGATGTACCACATCACATCCTTCAGACCACGGGAGTTGTGGATGCGCATGAGAGGAGGGACCTCGACGTTGCGGTTGGAGGAGCCCGTGTCAGAGGTACGATCAGCGTGCGACTCCTTCTTACCCGATGAGACAGGGCTGTCGTTCAGGTGAGCGCGTGCTCGGTCGGCAGCCAAGTGGGCATAGTAGACAGCGGGATGCATGGAGACCGGAGTGGTCGAGCGGACATATTGGTAGGAGTGCTCAAAAATAAACTGCTGAAGTTCGGCAGCCTGCCAGTCACCCTCATTGAGAATGCACTGGTAGTGAATCGGACGAGCAGTACCCTTGATAGCGACATGTGAGCACAAATAAAAGTCGAACTCGAATGGGTGTGTGCAGCCAGTCTCGACGAGAGTACCAGGAAGAGGGTTGCCGTTGCGGTCACCCTTGCCAGCGTCGGGGAAGAAGCGGATGTGATGGCGCTTGCCGGCGATGACAACCGTGAACTTGGGCATAGTGCCGCCAAGCTGGCTAAAGAAAGCCTTCATGTCGCGGACTTCCTCTTCGAGGACAGCAGCATACTGGCCCTCAGAAACACCGTCACGGATGAAGAGGACACGCTGTGGTGCCTTACCTTGGCCAAGACGCTGCATCCAGTTCTTGGCCATAGGACCGAAGTGTTCCTGGATGTTGGAGGAGGTGATCATCTCAACGCGGTTGCCGTTGGTCTGGACATCAGCCCAATACTTGGCGAAGAAGGGGTCGGCAGAGACGGTGATGGCGGCGAATGAGGCGGCCTGGTCGGAACCGGCACCGGGAGCAGGGTGAGAAACGTCGGCACCAACGACCATGGTAGGGGTGGAGGCGGCCTTGGGGTTGAGCTTGGGGACTGGCGAATGTTAGCATGCTATCGTAATGGTGAGGGCGAGTGCAAGGGGAGAAACTCACTAAGACCGCTCTTCGCAACGCAGGTGGCACCACCTAACTTGGCGTTGATCTTCATACAGACGTTCGAGATGTACTGGGGAGAGGCCGACATGACGTGCTTGGCCTGAAGAACCTGGGAAGCAACACCGAAGCGGATGTCACAAGACTTCTTGATGCGGCGGTACACATCGACATTGCGATCGTTGACCACAAAAAGGAGCAGATTCGGCATGGTATTGTAGCGGTTACCAGTCTGGTTCCAGGCCTTAGCGACTGCAGTATGTTAGCGAAATATCGATACGCAAATGTGAGGTCAAAGATGTGACTTACCAAGTTCACCGCCATCGGCAAGGTTGCCGTAGCCCATCCAGGGCTTTTTTCCATGCTGGGGATGAGCGGCGAAGACACCGCCGTGGCTCTCGTAGATTTGTATGAACTTCTGAACAAAGCCCTCGACAGCGGCTTGAGGAGGAGCTCGATTGTGATTGATAACGCAGACACCCCAGCCCTTGATTGGGCGTTCCTTGTTGTTCATGGCAAACTTACGGCCGCTTCACAGAAAGATTAGCTGATCAAATGTGGAGACAGTGAAGAAGGAGACATACTCAAGACGCCATCGGCCAGCCACCATGTCCTGGGGCTTGATGGTGGCCTCCTTTGAGCCGTTACCGAACTGGACGATTGGAGAGGGCAAAATGCGAGCCTTGACCTTTGAAGCGCTGTGAAGGTGTTAGTAGTGGTCAAAAGACGGGGAAGCAGAACATCGGTGTACTTACTTCTGTGAGATGTTGAGCCCATAGTGCTGCAAGTAAGGATCGTTACCCCAGTTCAGCAGACGGACACCTTGCTGTACAGCAGCCCAGCGCTCCTTTGGCAAGGTAACAGCGAACTTGATCATGCTAGACGTCTGAAAATCGCTTAGCTTTGTGTTGTAACGCTGATTAGCGTCAATCCGGAGGACATCCATAGGCAAGTAAACAGGAGAGCCGCGGATCTTTTTTGTCATCTTGACAACTGGAATGCCAGCAATAAGGTTCAGGTTGTACTTCTTCTTGAAGTACTGGGCGACAGAAATCTTCTTGCGCTGTGCATCGGGGATACCAGGACGGCGGTCATTAGGGTCGGGGAACATGCACTGGTTGGCATCCTCTTTGTGAATTTCGTCAATGGTCCACTGGGTATTAGGGGTGGTATGGGTAGAGGTGACACCGACCCTCCTGAAGGCGCCGAAGTCTCTGCGCAGCATGGACTTGCGCCAGTCACGCTGAGCTTCCTTGAAGCGCTGAGTGAGCTGAGGGGGAGAGCAGTTGAAAACCTGGCTAACAGCCTGCGAAAGTTAGCAATAGTGCTATAACAATATGTGTTAGAACTTACGCGAGTGAGCTCCTGAGAGCGCCAGAAGGTGCCGTTGGCTACATCGACATTGACGGACAAAGATTTGACGAACTTGTCATCAAGGACAGGGCGAAGAGAGGTAAAGATGCCCTTGAAAGCCTCAATACCTCCACCAAGGTCGTAGCGCTGCTCGCCGCGCTGAAAGAACGACTTCTTGATCTGCGTATACTGCTGAGAAGGGTACTCACGCATAAGGTGATCCAAGAAGTTGATGGTGTCGATGCACTCGGGAGACCACGTCGCTTGGCCGTTGAGGAAGGCTGAGAGACCACTGAAGTCCACTTGACGAGTAAAGCGGACATGAACGGTGTGCTTGTTGCCGCGTGCGCCTTCCCTGGTAGGCTTGCCCTCTTCAGCATCGAGATCGACGGTGATGCGAGTGTCGTCACGCTCAAGGCGCTTGCCAGACCTAAAATATGTTAGAAATTTAAGCGTAGGGGAGTACAAGATACTCACCAAGCAAGCTTATGGCTGTCCCAGACCCAGTACTCCTGCTTGCCAAGCTCGGCCTGGACTGGCCTCGACCTCCAGATCTTCTCCAGCAGCTTGCGCTTGGTATAGTCCTTGGAGTCACCAGAGTAGGCGACGTCATACTGAAAGACTTCCCTGGAGGGGGCCTTGATGACGTTGAAGGTGTTGAGAGTAACCGCAGTCTCCTTGCCGTACGAGTTGATATTCTTTGGGCGCTGAGGAAGTGCGGAAGGGATGGTATGCTGTGAATCGTGTGAGTCAAAGATCATGTTGGCATGTCTGGGGCGATAGGAGTAGATGTCCTGATACATTTGCAAAATGCGTCTGTCGGAAGACATGATGAAGGCTCTCAGAGAGATGGTCAAAGACACAGCTTGATTTACAACGACAGCATGAAAAGTGGGCAAGGATGGAGGGGAGTCAAATTTCGAAAAGAATCAGTGGATGTGGGAGTGCGATGAAGAAGTCAGAATGGATGGAGGCAGTGGGTACTTATGCCATGCATCCATGCCATGCGAGGCCGGCGCTCGAGAGCTCGACATTCGCATGTTGTGGATGCATGACAAGTGTTTGCTTGCATGCGTGCATATGCGGGCTCAGACATGGGCTTTTGCACTTACTCCACGAGCTGCGTACCAGCCGGCAATACCGAGGAACTCGGACAGGTTCTTCAAGTCATTGGCCCTGGTGTAGTCCATGACGCCAGCGCCATGACCATGAGGATCCTTGTTGCCATCGAACTTGTTGATGGAACGCTGGGTCGGATCGCGAGATGACGAGGAGTTGTCGGAGGACCGAGCAGCCTGCTGCTGCTGCTTCTGAGTGATGGAGCGTTGCTTCGCTGGGCCAGCCATCGAGAAATCTGCAATATGTTAGCGGTGTGCTGAAAATGGATGTGGGGTTACACTGTCACAGGGTACATGCAAGAAGCCGTTTGACCGCCTCCGCGCTGCGGATAGCTGTGAATATGACGAGTTGCAAATAACGTGACTTACTAAAGCTGCAAGAGCTGACGTACCTTGGTGCCGGATCGAAGAGCCCGTGGAGAAGAGGGCGTCGGTTGCGTTTGTGGGCGGATCGCTGATCGGCCTGGGTGTGGTCAGTGAGAATTCTTGAAACCAGAAGATGAGCACCCATGTGCTCATGTGTAAAGTATGTAATCGTAAAGACTCAAGGAGGAGTGAGACCAGGTATGTGAGTAGGGTAAGCGTACCAAAAGGTGCGCCGATGTGTGAAGCGGTTGGGGTAAGAAAATGGTGGAGGGGGAGTGGTGTGATGAGTAAGTTCAAATAGAGAGCAGATGTGGGGCATGTGGTGTAAAATCAGAATGGGTGAGTGCGCATGGGCGCCATGGTGACGCTGAGGTTCGCCCCAAAAAGCATGAACCGGTCGCCAAGTGGGTGCCAGCTTTGATGGTGAACCTAACGAGCAGTCAATAGGTTTAGGTAATGGGAGTGTGGTTGGGCATAAGCAATCAGTGCATACCTTGAAATCTTGAGCGGAGGTCTGGCCTGCAGTGGTGAGTTGACTGTACTGCCTGCAGTGGTGCTTGTCGAGCCTGCTCGTGTGTTGTTGAAGTAGAGGAGTGATGGCGCTGTATTAGTGTAGTGCAGGGCTGTTGGAGAGCTCAAGTGAAATCCAAATCGAGTAGCTGACTGTGGAGTTGAGTCTTGTTGTGAGGTGGAGAAAGCAAGTTGGAGACCTCGTATGAACTGCTTATATCCCCCAGTACCAACCCTGGCAAGCGCTAGATAGCTAGTGGCGCGTGTCTCGAGGCGTGGAGCTGGTGAGAGAAGCTTTTCTGGTGGTCAGGTTGAGCCTACTGAGAGAGCGGAGCATGGTGTGGGCGGTGATGGTGGTGACGAGCCAGCAGTTGAGATGACAGGGGTGAGAGCCAGACTTGGAGAAGTATACCACCAAGGCGAACAACAAAGGTGGAACTACCAGCGGTACAGCGCAAAAGCTATGGGCGCATGACATAAGAGAACTGAGTAGCTGAGCGCCAATGCCACGAGGCCATGATCTCGCAGGACGTTGCGGAGCAGCCATCGCCGGCGTCCATCACAAACACCGTCGAGTTTCGTTTAGCAAAGGGTTGCCAAATGATACACCCTAAACTCCATCTTCGATAAGCAAGACATTCTCAGTTCATCAGCCTCTATCCAGGTTCGGAAGGACAAACTCATGCTCGAACAACAGGCTGTTGGAAGATTGGAGTCAGAACAATATATGGTTTGTTTGAGCAAGGCATCTGGGCGTGGCTCCAAGCTTCAAACACATATACTGACTCTTGCACTCTCCAGGACCCTCAGCAGCATGCAGAGTCTCCGGCACTGGAAGCTCTTCTCGTTCGGCTATGTATCTCCAGGTCTAGATACAGACATAAGCCATGGGATCCTATGTGCAGTACCGCTTCGATAGGCTCAGAAAACGCAAATGTCGCAATATCCCAGCTCTTCTTGCCGCACCGCCACGACTGTCCCCATCCCGTGACACAGCGTTCTCGCCATCGAGCAGAGCATCCATCCGGGCTCCAGATCATTTCCAGTATACAGAAGATCCAGCAGCATGACAGCTCGGTCCTGGTATTGGAACATGGGGATGTTTCGGGCATGTGTATGTTTAGACGGAAAACTTGAGGCTGAGTCCAACCTCGCTTGCAGCACGCGCCATCAACCAATGGTAAATACGAGCTCAGGTGGACCGGCACCTCGACGCATGATGGAACACACAAGGGAAATTGGTCGCGTCTAGATACCAGGGCAGTCAAGTGGGATGAACATAATTAGCGAACATCATTGCATGCAAGGTCGTAGCTGTACGAAGAAGGGTCGCGCTGCACATGGCTACCTCTGTCACACGGAAGTAAGTGTGGATGACGAAGCACATCTGTCACAAAACACAGGGCACAGAATATTCAGGGTTCGGATTCATTCAAGTGATAAATGACTACCCCAATCCCTAAAGGCCCACCCAAACTAGGCGCAGGCTTGAAAAACATCGTTTCTGTTCTGTCCAACCCCTGTCCAATCTGCAGGACGAGTGGAGTGCGCCGACGCCAAAAATGCAATATCGATGTCTCATCCACGGCGGTGTTAATTTTATGCAGATTGATCAGCGGTACCCTGTGGCCCTGTCGGCCAAAAGTGCGAGCTGCTGCAGCCGCAGTCGTTTTTCCCTTCAAGAGTCCTGCGTAATTGCTTCTGCCACGCGGACGCTGCACCACTCAGCAATGATGTCGTACCATTCTACTGCGGCCAAGCATGTCCACCGGGAGGAGGCTGCATACCCTGGTTGCCGTACTTCTCCTGGATACTTTGAAGCTGCTGTGCCGTTGTCGCAGTCGTGCCCCATCGCTGCGATGGAGGCACCTGGGTGTGGCCAGGAAGTGCGGGTATGGGAATGGCGGTGATGTTGCGTAGCATGTTGACAAGGCCTTCGGGCTTGAAGCGCGTCTCACGGTAGGTATGCGCAGCGGGAATAATGCCGAGGAGGAAGTTGATTTCACGTGGTAGAGGTGCTGGGCCTTGGGGCAGGCCGATAGGTGTGCTGCCGCTGGCGGCCATGTTGCGGCGTGCAGCATCGAGGCGGCGACCTGCAGCGCCCTTGAGGGGCGACTCGCCACGGGCAAGCTTGCGGGGTGGCGCGCTGTCGTCAGCGTCCTCGAGCGGGCGCTTGGGCGAGTTGGTAGTCATTGGCAGGTTTGTGAAGTGGGGAGAGTTGACGTTGGGTGCGGGAGAGGCGATGCGTTGCTCCTGCACCTGAACTTGGGAAGGCGCGTTGGGCATAGTCTCTTCAATGGAAGGCCTGATGCTCGGCATGATAGGCATAACCGGCTTCATCTGTGTCCTAGGCGAGATGATGGGGCGTACAGTCATAGGATCGAACGTCGGGCTTGCGAATCGTCGGGAGAAGCGCTGCAGCTGAGGGTCCTCGGGGAAGAGGGTGGCCATGCGCTGTTCCATCTTCGTGATCTGAGCCAGCTCACCGAAGCGTGCCTCATACTCGTGGAAGAACAGGAATAGCGGCTTAGTCCTTGGGACATTCTCAGGCTTTGCCGTCAGTTTGCCAACAATGGTCTCGAAGACAGCTCGTGCGTCTGTGGAGGTTAGTACGAGACCGTCGCCCAAGTTTCATGTATACATACTCGTAGAGTCGTTCAGCGTAATAAGGTGCTTGATGTACTCCAATGCGAACTGCTCATCCTCAGGGAACAGCTTCATGCCACGCTCGAAGATCTTTCCTGCAGCAGGGTCCTGGTAACAGTGGTGCTCGATCTGCGCGCTGGCAACATATGCTTCGCTAAGCAACTTGCCCTTCCTTCGCGCCTCTGTGAAGATACCACGGAAGCCAGTAACCTCAGAGTTATTCCCGCCCTTGCCCTGCACGCGCCTGGTTGCTTGCATCAGGGCAATCCAAGCAAATGTTAGAGTCTTCTTGAGTGTGAGGGTTTGTGCATTGTATCCTGCCGAGATAGCATGCACTTGCGCGTTGAAAGCTGCCTCCTTCTCCTGAGCCCGTCTCGTTGCTTCAGCTTCGTCGTCCTCATCGGCGTCTTCAGCGTTATTCTGCACAATAGCCCGCGCTGCGTCGTCAGCGGCCTTCTGAGCATCAAACGCTTCTCTGGCACGAGCAACGGAGTGCTCTTCCCGCTTCTTCGTCTTCGCAGTAAGATCGTAGAGAGTGTTGAGCAAGTCCATGTATGGCTTCTTGACAGCATTACCTTTAGCAACGAGGCCTGCCTGGCCCTCCTCAAAGTCAGTACTGAGCTCGACTTGATTTCCTTTCTTGAAAGCCAGCAAACAGCTCTCAGGGTTGGCTTTGATGCCATCATCCAGGAATTTGTCACCGTCTGCCTGCAGACTACTTTCGTAGCACCACTCCGCTGCTTCGTACCAAAGCTCTGGCCAGAAGCGGAGCGACCTCAGTGCACCTCTGTAGATGTGAAGCACACGCTTGTTGTAAAGCGCACGATCGTCAATTGCGCACTCAAGCGGGTCGCTCTTCTCCCACTGAATCCATTGCTTCCACAGCTTGACTTGATTCGTGTACTCGTCGTAGCCATCGAACCCTGGTGCTGGCGGCAGCCTCGGTAATGTTGTCTTGTTGATCCCCCGTGTGATGTTGTTATCCAGAACGTTGATGGCGCTTCGTGCGGTCATGTAAGACGGAGACTTCTCCTGAAGGTTCTTGCGTCCCTGTATGCTTGTCAGTTCCTGTTATGAAAGTCTGGCATGAGGCCTTACCGTGACCTTGTTGAGGCCCATCTCGAACCGATCGTAGTCCCGCCAGATCTCCAGTGTTGCTCCTGTAGGTATCGAGACTGCTCGCTGGTACAGCTTGCGTAGAGTATCCATCTTCTGCATGTCCTGCCAATTTGTACCGCCGAGTACGCCAGGTGCGCTTTTCTGCAACTCTATGTAGTCGATCCAGAGCTTGCCAGCATCCGTGTCGATGCCCACCTGGTCCAGCACGAATTCGTAGGCCATGACAATTGTCTCCCGACTCTTGCCGGAGGCATCGTTTGTGAGGTTAAACCGACGACGAACGAAGTCGATGTATGACTGGAAGACGGGTACGTAGGCGCCATTCTGGACTGCTTTGCCGAACAGCTGCTCCACCCTCGGAAGCTCGTCAAGCTCTGTCTCGAAGTTGATGTAGTCGACCCAAACTTCGCCCTGAATTTGTCAGCCGCATGCACGCAGACTAAGCTCATCAATGCGTACCGCTGTGGGGAACTGCTCCAAGAAACGGTTGAAGACGTCGCGTGCCTCGTCGTGCTTGTGTCGTTTGCGTTGCTCGTTGATCAAATTCAACCATGCCTCGATGTCACCACGTGGGTCTTCTTGAACACGATCGTTGAGAATGCCAATGGTGTCCTGAGGCAAGCGAGCCTTGGGTAGTGAAGCAGATAAAGGCGCGGGAGTAACAGAAGCAGTCGCCTGGCGAGCAGCATCGATAGTCAGAAGATCTGCTGGCTTAGTAGCGTCTGGAACAGGAGTTGTGCCATTGACTGGAACAGAAGCAATAGAGGGAGCAGGCTCATTGACAGCGACAGAAGCAGAGACGGATGAAGCACCCTGATCTTGTGCACTATGTAACTGTACATCTGGTGTGGGAAGTGTATTGTTTGGAGTGTTTGTAACTGAACGCTGCGGTGTTTCTGCAGCCTCAGAGGCGCGCAGTGGTGCAGTGGCTGCCATCTTAGGCGCCGCAACAGGCTCCTCTTCCTCATCCTCGCTCTCGTCGACAAACCCACCAATGGTGCGCGGCTGCTTCGCTGGGGTTGGCGCAGCAGATGTCTCCGCAGAAACGGGTTTTACACCGTTCTCACCCTGGTTGTCAGCCGAGGGAGGTAAATTGGCTGCTGACTCAGGCATCGATGCCGACTGCTCGGACTGAGCGGGCTCTTGTGCGGTGTCGACGTTGGCGGGATCGTACTCTTCTTCAGCGCTGTCGGCGGGCGCCTGCTCGTCAGCTGCAGGCCAGGCCGCAGAAGGGTCGTACTCCTGCTCTTGCGACCTGATGAAGGCAAGCTCTGCGTCGTCGGCCATGATAGAGGTAGAAAGAAAATATAGGAAAGCTGCTGTGTATTAGAGTTGACCGTTGATGGCGATAAATAATGTACGTCGCGCGACAAGAGCTGAGTCGCAGACAATGAGCTCTTTGTCGCGTGGGTCTCGGCAGGAAGGCGGAGTTGTGCGCGTCTGAGGAAGATGCAATTCACGTTGCAACTACAACCCGGGTTTGGAGAGGCAGTTGAAGCTACGGGCGAGATGCGCGAGGGCGGTGTTGCTGTTGCGTGCGCAGTGCTCCGGGGGTGGTGCGAGGACAAGAAAGAGCAAAGGTTGTTGCACGTTCGGCGTTCGGCCCTTCGATCTTGGCCATGTGGCTGGTGCTGGCGATATCATTGACAGGCACAGGACAACATTGCGATTTCACTCGATAATTCGACACTTGAAGCAGCTGGAGTATCGCCGACAGCATAGCTTGCTACTCAGGTATTCTATCAGCATTTCGGCACCGTCATCGATAATAGCCTGAGCTTCCTTGGACGATCTCGTGCCTACAGCCATCTCGCGCGTGCTGGACCTCGACGGGCGCACACACAATGAATCCGCAGATACAGCTTCCACGGCCGAATGGCGGCCCTTCAAACTTCGGTTCGACGCCATCGACACGGCGGAATGAGGTGCGAATGCCGCGCTTCTTCAAGCGCCTATTCAAGTTTCCTCAGATGGACTTCGAGATGGCCATATGGGAGATCATGAGCTTGATCATAGCACCGAAGAAGGTCTTCAGGCAAATATACTACCATGTATGGCGAACTGCTCTATCTCAGCACGTATCTGAGGCTGACACCTGCAGAAACAAACCACCAAAACCTACCATCGACCAGATCCATCCTTCACGTACCTGCTGTCATTCTTCCTCACATTGACCTCTCTCGCCTGGGGGCTCGCATACGCCGACGGCTTCACACAAACACTACACATTACGCTGGTCTTTATCTTCGTACACTTTCTCCTACTGTCGTTGGTCACAGCGACACTGTTCTATTTCCTGGTCGGCCGGCTGCTGGGGCCTGGAAACTCCCTGCTACCTGGGCGCAGGCGAGGTCTGTACAACTTGGAAGTTGGTGAGAGCAAAGAAGAGCTGGAATTTGGATACTGTTGGGATGTGGCAATACGCGCATTCGTGCCGGTTTGGGTGTTCCTCTACGTGGTGCAGTTCTTGTGCATGCCACTGGTGGGAACGAACCATTGGTAAGTATACCCAGCAGGAGAAACACGTAATAGCTAACAATTGCTCACAGGGTTTCGCTACTCCTTGGAAACACCCTCTACGTTTTCGCACTCACCTACTACTTCATTATCACTTTCCTCGGCTACAACGCGCTACCATTCCTGCACCATACCGAGCTTTTGCTTGTGCCAGTCGCAGTGGCTACGATACTGTGGTTTGCATCACTATTCGGATTCAACATGGCAAAGCATTTCGCGCCAGTCCTGTGGGCAGGTGCTCGACTACGAAAGACAGTTGGCTAAGCGCATTCTAACATGTGAAGACAATCAAAAGCATGTGCCATGTGAGACAATGTGAAGGGTGTCAATTCAACATCTTAGCGGCGTAATGCATTGCTCGCGGGGTCTGTACATAGCGGCGTTGGTAACACATCTGTTCATCTGCAAGCATGTACTTACCGAGGTCGAGATCGAGCTACTCAGCGCTCCGTGAGCGTTGATTTGGCGACTGACGTCACTCTATCCAGAACTTAGTGGAGTGGAGCGTAACAGCTATCTTCAGAAGGTATCGCCATTCTTCCCGGAATGCCTTCCTTCTGGTAGTATATTTGATCAGCCGCAATCGTCCTGGAGATCTGAATTGCTCTGAGATAACGCACCTCCAGAAATCCTGCACCATGGTACTTACAGTCCACCACCTCGGCATCTCGCAAAGCGAGCGTATCCTCTTCCTCTGCGAAGAGCTAGCAATCGACTACAAAATCATTCACCACACGCGCGACCCAATCGGGGCTCCTGAATCCCTCAAAAGCGTTCCCGGAAACTCCACCGGCAAAGCACCCTTCATCGAAGACCCAGAAGCCGGTATCACAATGTCCGAAAGCGCCGCGATCTGTGACTACCTCCTCGCCAAGAACGCCGCAGGAGAACTAGGAAGCCAGAATCTCGAGAAGAATCTCGAGAAGAATCTCGCGAAATCCTATGGCGAGCCCGGATACATTGACTTCGTCTACTGGTACCATTTCTCGAACGGCACATTGCAGGCGATGTTGACTCGCTTCACCTTTTTCGAGATCGGGCAGATCCCTGAAGACAACGCGGCGCAGAAGTTCTCCATGCTTGGCCTGCACGAGACGCTCAGGGTTATGGACGAGCGGCTCAAGAACAGCAAGTGGCTCGCTGGAGAGGACTTTACGGTCGCAGATATCATGAGCGTGTACTCCCTTACATCGAAACGGTACTTTGGGCCGCTGGTCAGCTACAAGGACTACCCAAACATCGTGAGGTACTTGAAAGACATTGGGGATAGGCCGGCGTACCAAAAAGCTATGGAGAAGGGCGACCCGCAGATGAAGCTGTTGTTAGGCGCGGAACCACCGGGAAAGACACTGATACAGGCTGGTGGTGTGGAGTCGGATTTCTGGAGGAAGGAGAGCCATATATAATCAAGCAAACAAACTCGACATGTAAAGGACACGGAACGAGGAGTGTTGGTGTACATTTGTTCTTCTCGAGATCTAAGCAGCAGTAGGTACCTGTTTCGCAGCTCCCACGCTCTCTTTGCTCTCCTGCAGCTTCCTCAACCGCTCCTCCTCCTCCATCTTCATCCTCTCCTGAATCTTTACGCGCTCGGGCACAATCCTCTGCCTCTCGGCCGTGATTTTCCACCCCTCAAGCCTCTCCTTCCCCAACGCAGCCAACGTCTTCCGCTCGACCGCACTATAATTCCCATCCTCTCGATCAAACACGAATGGCTCCCTGACCGAAACAGGCGGATTTGTAATGACCCTCACCTTCCTTAGCATATTATTCGACGCACTATGCAGCATGAGCGGATGCAACAAGAACACATCGCCCACCACACCCGTAACCTCGACAAAGGCCTCATCCGGCATCGTCTTTGCAAGACCAGTATACCATTCCAATCCCTGCTCTTGCGTGAACCCAGGATTCTCGCTTCTCGGCGTCATCCTCGGACTTACGCCCTCGAGATTCTCGTACAGATGCTTCGCCACATGCGGAATCGCAGCGGGGCAAATCATCGTGCCGCCGCCTCCGGACACAATGTCTGTCCAGAGCGGGATTACGAGCAGCGCCTGCTCAGGCGAGTCAAGGTAGTGCACGAAGAAGTCGCCGTCGACGTGCCAGTTATCCAACTCTTGCGGCTTGACGAGCTTGTGGTGCTTCTCCGGCGTCCCGAGGTTGACGATAAAACTGTCTTTCCAGAGGGAGACTTCGGAGTCGACGTCGACTCTCTCAATGCCGCCGACGAGGCCGCAGATTCCGCCCCAGGCGCGCGGCGCGAAGGAGGCGACTTGAAATTCTTTCCAGTGCGGCATGTTGGTGCGCTCGGTGTGCCTTTGAATTATTAGTACTTGTTGTAAATAGGGGTGGGTAAGGTTGGAGATGGACCATGTTGACATATCATTCGGATCCATACCCAGTCTCGTCCACAGTGTAGACTGAAGATCATTTGCTTGCTCTTTTGTGAAGCAATTGCTGAGCTTGAGCCAGCCGTTGCCGACGAAGAAGTCGAGCTGCTCCGGGGTGAGCTGATAATCCTTTTCCGCATCTGCCATTCTAATGTCTTCTGTAGTGTTTCGATTCGAGAGTCAACTCTGGAAAAGGTCAAATTCCAAAGTTTGGAAGGATCAGATGGATATATCTACAAGCGTGTATGTATTTAAGCCTTTTCTCGCTGCGTGATCTGCAGCTCATATCGAGATGCCGTCCAACTACGGCTGTTCGTCCCTTTAACCGGTGGATGGAGCTGCACAATTCCACGTGGAGGACGCCGCACATTGCGAGGTGTCCAATTGCGGCACTCCATGGGGCAAAACATGACGATGTCGTCGCGTCCGCGGAGCTCATGTCGCAGTGTACAAAGGCTCAAGAGCGTAGTCGTGGTGGTGTGAGGGCGCACCACGAGCCATTCGCTCTGTTTGTCAGCGGGAACCGAGTATTTGGGAATATGCACTAGCTATTGGAGATAGTTAAGGGGTGCTTAGTACAATCACAGTATAGTACATTCCTGTCATTACTATATACATTTAAACTCTTCTCTTCATAGTCATTATCTTATGGGTGGGCACTTATATACAAGTCTCGTGCCTAGTCGCCACGTTTCAAACACCCGCGACGGGCTTAATATCCAGGCCACCAGACGTAGTTGTTAGTCTCGTCTGGCGTGTCGAAGATAAGCTCAGAGCTGGAGTTGGCAGGGCGATCAGGGAAGGCGTTGGCGCTGATCTCCCATGTCTTGAGGTCTGAAATTTGAACGGTGGAGTTATCGCCAACGTAGATACCGTAATTGACACTGTCGAGGCGCGCGGGATAGATGCGCGTTGTCAGCCAGAAGCGGTCCTAGAATTCGTTAATAACATGTAAATTTAGGATGATGGTGCTAGACTTACGTTAACGTAGACCTCGACGAGCGAGCCATCGACGAAGATGTCCATGTGTAGCGACTCAGTGGTACCATTGGAGAAGGTGTATGGGTAGAAATAACCGAGCATGGTGTAGTTGGCGTACTCAATAATGGTCGAAGAGTGCGAGCGGTCGACGTTGATGGTGTAGTTGGAGGGGTCGTAATAGATGTGAGTGTACTCCTCGCCGCCGGCGCTGGCAGCGATGGTGACACCGGCAGGTCCTGTGCAGTTGCTGAGAGTGACAGCAAGCTCCATGTGGGCGCTGCCCTTGCCAACAAGCATGCTTTCTGTCCAGTTCGAGATAGCATCGACGGGGACCGCCTCGCCGCGAAGAGCGTCAACAACGTCAGGCAGAGCGCGAGCACCGAGAGTGTAGCCGGTGAAGGTACCGTTGCTGTGCTCGATAACGCGGGTGTTGCCCTTTGTTGTCAAGCCGCCATTGGCGTTCACGAGGTCGTGGGTCTTGATGACGTACATCTCACGAGGAAGAGCCAAGGCACCCTGATAACCGCTTTGAAGGATACCGAAGCCATTGTTCTCCTCATTGGCCCAGCCCCACTGGACACGGCGATTGTTCTTGGTGTCGTTGAAGCTGGTGACAGCATAGAGAAGACCAGAGTCGATGACGCCACCAGAGACAGGAGTGAATTCAGCAGATCCATTCTCGCGCCTGGTGACCTGACCCTCGTTCCACAGACCCCACTGAGCGCGAGGGTGCCAGGTAAGGTTGCCACCCTCGGTACCCATGAGAGCATAGTAATGAACGTCGTTGTCCTCGTCAATCAGAGAGAAGAAGTTGGAGACTTCGAAGTTGAAGCCATATGTACCGGTCTCGAGCAACGAGCCCAGTGTCTGGTTGGCTTTGGGCTCCCAAAGAGCGCCGAGGAAGGTCCAGTTTGTCAAATTGGACTGAGGAGCAGAGTAAAAAGGAATTCGGCCACCACCGTTCGCACCTTTGATACCGGAGCCAAGCACCATGTACCAGTGGGGATCATCCTCATGCCCAAGGATGGCGTCCATCTCAGGCCAGGGCTCAACGAAGGGATCACGCCAGCCGGTAACGTTCCAGCCTTCAGGGTGATCGGAGATGATCGGGTTGCCTTCGTACTGCTCCCAAGTCTCACCACCATCATTGGATATCACAATGGCCTGCTTCTCCGTACCGTTTATGTAGGGAAGAGCCCAGTTGGTGGGAAGATGCTGAACCGCAGTGTAGAATGCAATGAGAGTGCCATCCTGGCCACCTGTAAGGTTGTATGGTTGAGCAGAACCTGAGAAGATTCCTAAACCGTAATAGGATTCGTTTCTGGAGGTAGGGTCGGGTCCCGTACCAACAGACTGTGCCTGGTCATTCTCCCAGCCTCCGACGTCAGTCCATGTCACGAGGTCCTTAGACGTGGCGTGCCTAAGTGCGTTAGCAAAAAGTTACTCAGTATCTTGAACCTGACCTACCCCCATGAAATGTTACCCCAGTTGACGTGGTTAGGGTGAAACTGGTAGTGGAGATGGTATGTGTCTGTAGTAGGGTCGTACAACATACCACATGGGTCCTGGAGTCTGTCAGCTTGATATGAGATGTTCTTCGTTTGGGTAGACTTGCGTTCATCCAGCCAGCAGGCGAAATGAAGTGGTATGTAGGTCGCCACCTGTTGAACAGGGTGTTGTTGCCCATGCTCGAGACCATGTCCGCGGTGAGGACATCAGGACCCATATTGGGTGCCGTGGTGTTGTAACTAGAGCTTGAAGCCTGGGCAAGGGCAGACCCGAGCCCATAGCTCAATACAGCAACTGACCAATGCATTGTTTTTGAAGTCGTAATGAAGTCCGCTTGAAGCTGGCGATCAGCAAGACGGGAGCACCAAGGGCTTTATGTAGTCGTTCCCGGGGCCAAAGCAGGATCTTCCTGATCGTAGCACGTACGCATCATGACCCAGGACAGAGCTTGGACACCGACCACCTGGACCTGGGCTTTGCTTACTGCAAGAAGGAGATGCATGGCTGGGGCCGGGGATGCAGTAGCGCTTGTCATAGATGGTATAGATCCCCACAAACCCCTCATAGTACCCCACAATGGATGCAAGCGTTGGCGTACATCATCGTTCTCGAACGCGTATAGAAAGGCTGAAATCCAGCCTCTCAAGTCTGCGATCGAGGGCTGCTGACGGATGGCGCGGTACTCACCAGGCTTCTGGCAGCGGAGAATCCTCCGGGAAGCTTGCACCAGTAGACTCAGTAGGTAGACGACGGCGTCAACGAAGAATTTTCAAAGAAATCGCCCGAATTGAGGCCATCTTGGAAAGCTTGCCTCCCTAATTACCGGAAAGGGCCCAGCGCTGAATCGTGAGGCTCAATTGCGTACGTGCACACACCATCATGAACTTCCCGAGCGTGCAACACATGGCCGACAAACCTCCCGAGCGCGCACGATCCAGCGCAGGCACGATCTGTCAGGCACAACAACAGCGGACGACAGATGCCGGGGGGTTAAGAAAGACAGGACCTGGACCTGCGCCAAACGGTGTGTGGCCATGGACCTGATACCAAAGTCAAACATTCGAGAAGATTCGCTGCGGCAAAGTTTTCGAGGCGAAAGACCTCATGTTTACAATACTACGTAACTAGTAGTTCGACGAATACTGAAGCTTGAAGGATGCCGGGTCAAGCGAATTGCGGAGGTTCGCCGCAGCTGATGTCATCTATCGTTATCTTCACGTGAGATAGAGCTCGAAACGTGGCAGCTTGCTCCAACACCAACGAGAACTATTGCAGACCGCGACGAGCCCTTTCACTATTACAGACAGCAATGATAATTACTTCTTGAGCTCCTTGACATCGAGTCAACACACCATGGGCCGCCTTCAGCTCTATGTAACGGTATGTCAACCACAACAAGGGTCCCGCTCACGATGTTGACACCGTCAGGGCTCGGCCGTTATGGCCAACGTCGTACTCGCGCGCGCATACTACGAGCGCCCAAACTTCTACTCTGCCGCTGTCTACATTTCGCAGAGCACCGGCTCTCTCATGTTCCTGGTCAACTTGATGCTCATTGTCGCAACAAGCTTCGGATATGGACTTCAGCGCCTCTTCTATGGACCACTTCGCCCAATTGAAACCGAGCAGCTGTACGACAAGGCATGGTTTGCTGTCAGCGAGACACTGTTGGCGATGACCATCTTCAGGGATGATATCGGGCTGTGGTTCTTCACTATGTTCCTTTGCCTCCTCGCTGGCAAGGTATGGCAGTGGATTGGGGAGGGGAGGGTCGAGTTCCTCGAGCAGCAGCCACCAGCCAATCCACGACTCTTTCACACCCGGCTCGCCAGCTCTCTTCTCCTTTCCGTGTTCTTCGACGTCTATATGACGCAATACTGCGTGTCCTCGATCCTCTCAGCAGCTCGACCGGGCGTTATGGTCATGTTCGGCTTCGAATATGTTCTCCTCGCAATCGCATCGATATCGACTCTTATACGCTACATTCTGTCACTAGTCGAGATTGTCATCACACAACGTCAAGAGAGAGCGACAGACGAGGCTCAGAGGATCGCAAGGGAACAGGCTCGCCAACAAGCGGCGGCTGAGGGTGCAGAAGCTCCTGCTGAGGAAGAGGACGAAGCCGATGAGATTGACGTGCCTGGATGGGAAGAGAAGGGCCGCTGGATTTTCTACTTGGATCTGGCCACCGATTTCGTGAAGGCCTCAGTCTACATGGGATTCTTCACGGTCCTTATGACATTCTACGGTATCCCTATTCACATCATGCGGGATCTGTTCATGTCTGTTCGCTCGCTGATCAAGCGTATCAACGACTTCATCAAGTACCGCAACGCAACTCGCGATATGAATACTCGCTACCCGGATGCCACTGGAGACGATCTGAGCCGCGAGAACATTTGCATTGTTTGCCGTGAGGAGATGCGACCGTGGAACCCACCTGTTGCTGAAGGAGCGCAGCCGGGGCGCAGGATGGACGAACGACAAAGGCCGAAGAAGCTGCCGTGTGGGCATATTCTGCATTTCAGCTGCCTCAGAAGCTGGCTCGAACGACAACAAGTGTGCCCGACCTGTCGACGACCTGTACTAGGAGAGCCCACACCTCAACCTGCGCAACCCAACAACCAGGCAAATCCAGCAGCATTTAATCAGCCAAATCATAATCAGCCAAATCAGCCGAACGCACAGGTTCAAGGGGGTCTTCGCGGTTTCTTGCCAGGAAATGCGCAACAACCTCCTGCGAACCAAGCCCAACCTGGCGTACCAGCACCACAAGGTGCGCAACCGAACAGACCAAACGGCAACATGCGCATCTTCAACTTTGGGCCCTTTCGGCTTGCACTTGGAAACCTTCGTCTACCCGCAGAACAGGCAGGCAACGCCAACAACGTCAGAAATGCCATCGATCAGCTGCGCCAACAGGCTGTTGTGGGGCATGCACCTCAGATGCCTACTCAGTTACCACAAGGTCAGTTTCCGACTCACCAGCCGTTACTCTCCAATGCCGTACCTGCTGTACCAGCTGATCAAATGGGTGCGGCCCTTGCGCAACAACCCATGGACATCCGCTACGACATCTTGCGCATTCAGCAGCACATAACACAACAGCTTCGTCAACTTAATGTGCAGAACGAGCAGCTGGAGGTGACGTCCAGACTTCTTGTCGAGCTCAATCGTCTGAATACGTTATCTGCGGTTGGTCAGCAAGCAGCCGGTGTCTCCCCTGTGGATGCGTACAATATCAGCTCGTTCTCTCCACAAGCATACTTTGCCAGAGACCAGGTCCTAAGACAGGGCGATGCTGAAATACCTGAGGGGTTGACTCTTCCAGAAGGATGGACGTTGCGTCCTATGGCATTGGCAGCGCAGTCAGCCCAAACAAGCGCACCGGCTCCATCGCCGCTGTCGTCGCTGTCGACGTCACAACCTGCAGCACCAGTGGCTGATCCAGCGCCTGTGATACTAGAAGCGCAACCAATAGTGGCACAGCCACAAGCAGACTCAGCACCAGTGCAGCCTTCCCCATCCGCAACACCGACACCTGCAGGTCCAACATCGAGCTCATCACCCAAGCCTGGCGCACCTAGCTCACTTGAATCAAGTTGGAGCTTTGGTGACCTTCCTGAGCGGAATGAGGCGGAAGGATTGAGCTCCGCGGTTGCAGGAGGCAGCGCTGGCGGGCAGAACGTAACCAAGCCGGCAGTCACGGTGGAAGATGCCGAAGACAACGAACAGTAGATACATGAACATTGCATTGCATAGCGTGGCGTTTAGGTTTGGTAGCAACGAGTGAGCGATGCGCCTCGGTAACAGAGTACATAGATACCCACACATGGAATCGTAATATGTACGCTCGGTCCTCCGATTCGATCCCCACGTGCTGCAAAACGAGGCACATCTACCCAACCACCTCAACATTCGCTGTTCGTAGAGTTTTTGATGCGCAGTGCTGCAACTCTATCTTCCTGTCCACTCATGTACTTCCAGCCTCGCAGGAGCCCACTTTATCGCAGCCCACTCGACAACTCTTGTCTGGTCTCACCGCATGCACTTTATGCGGGGAGCTCGCCAGTATGCGGTGGTCCCGCCTAGCCCGTCCACTTGCAGGGATACGAAGACCACGTCAGCCACTAGGATTCACAATCACGTCCAAGACATGGCCTCGAGGCGACTATATGCGTCCACGAGTAGTGTCCGCGCAGCACAAGCTTGAAACGGTGCGAGCCTGAAAGGTAACACCCAGTCAAAGATGCAGGAACAGCGGCGAGGCGAAATCGCGTTGGAGCTATCTGGGCCAGGATGGAGGTCACGGATAAGTGACCAGGCCTGCCTGCGCTTTGGCGCGCTTTGAGGATGACTCTTTTACACTCGCTAAGACCTCGACAGCAGAACACCTACATATTCGAATATTCCCGTCGCTTTTCTCCTTGTACTTCTGTTTCCTCTGCCAATGCATCCAACAGCGATCTGAAGTCATGGCGGTGCGAACACAAGAGAAGCCTCACAAGGCCGAGGATGAGGGCGATGTCTCGCACTGCGTACACAATCTAATAGAAGCATTCACAAATGGACTCAACATATTTAAGCGCTTGCGCGAAAGAAGAACAAAACACAAAGCACGTAAAGAAATCCAAGCCCCAGAGCCCATCAACAGTGCAGAGCTGCAGCTGTCCAACTCATTGCGTAGAGGACCACAAGACCTATCGGAGAGGTATGAAGACTGCTATGGACAGAGGGGCATGGGGTCCAGATTCGCAAAGGGAGATTGTATGTCCAGCTCTCGTTGTCGCACACTGTTCTCATTACTGATCTAAATCAGCAATCGCTCATGCATCTCTTGCCGAAATATTGATGAGGCTCAATACAGGCCTCGTAGGCATTATCACCGCTTTCTTGCACCATGAACAAAAAGGCACCCACGGGCACATGAAGATGAACTACAAGTCTTTGACAGATCTATCCGAGGCCTCAAGGCGAGATGCGCTGACGAGTATGAGCCAACTGTACCAGCGACTGAGCCATTCGCAATTGCAAATCCACCCGGCGCTGAGGACCAAAACACCACTATATGTTGAGTCCTCAGGCAACAGCTCCGACTCCAGCAAGGATACCAAAAAGTCTACTGCATCAAAGCGCCGCCCAAGCGGCTCGCACGTGACGAAGATGGCCACCAAGAGCTCCAGCCAACCTCAGCTTTGCATGGTCCGGTCCAAGTCAAGAAACACGACGAGAAGAGACAGCACATCCAAGTCCAGCACCTCGAAGCCCAGTTCAAAGTCGACCTCGCCCCACGCATCGCCATACATTTCGCCCTTGCAATCGCCAGTGCCCGAATACGCCGTGCTAGACCCTATGATATTCAACAGACCAGACATGAAGAGCGGGCCACAAGCGCCTCTCCCGCTTTCCCATAGCGATCGCAAGCGCATCGACTCCCTCGACGTCGTCTGCCCAGCTGCTTGGTCACCCTACGCGCAACCCTACGACTACTTCAGCTTCATGCCTGAGCAGAGTCACCAACCGACCCCTAAACTCCCAGATTTCACCTCCACCCCACGACGCCCCTCAACATCTAATCCCAAAAACTCGACCTCGTCCCCTAAGAAACAGCAACCACCACCTGTCCCCGCCAAGCCGTCCGCGCTCAGCAACAGCAAGCTCGACGCCATGTCTGTCGCATCCGCGATACCATCACCACTACACCCAACGCCCATGAAAAGACGACTCGATAAAATGACGCTGAGCTCGTACACTTTTGCCAGCGATAGCACGAAGTTGGGCGAGATTCCGGAGACGAGGTGGGCGAAGCCCTGGGATTACGAGAGAGCGGAAATGCTAAACAACATGGCGGCTGCGGCGGCGAAGGTAAGGGTTCCAAGCCCGGCACAGGAAGAGAAGGGGAAGAGCAGAGACAAGGAGAGGGAGAAGAAGGGGTTAAAGTTTTGGAAGAGGGGAGAGATGGTTTAGGGTTGAGAGGACATGGATGCGAGAGATGGAGAGGTTTTATTTGACTTTCTGTAAGGTGTTGGCGCTCTGCCTTTTCTGTTTCTCGGATGCTCGGTGTTCTGTTTCGGATGTATCCTGTTTTGATTTACTGCGCTCGTGATTCACGTTTTTGATGACTGACGATTTAACGGCCTGTGGCATGAGCGATATATACCCGCATCGTTGTAGTGAGCGTTCTAGCATAGTTATTTGTACATCAATATTGATTTCGTTCTTCACTCGGGCTTACTTCCGCCGATCATCAAGCGTGCCACATCCCTCCATCTCTTCTAGCCAGCCCAACACCCAGCTCACTGAGCTTCCAATGGCTGTGCATCTTCGTCCTCCAACCCCACCCTCCGAGCCTGCCAAGACATACACTCAGCCCCACAACACACTCTTCATCGCTCACAACCCTACTATACTGCTGGTTTCGGTTTCCCTCGCCCCAGTGGCATTCCCTGCCTTTGATCGTCTTGAGCTTGATAGCTCTAAATTCCTCACTGACATGTACTTCACTGACTTCCTCACCGCCAGGACCGTCTATGTCAAAGTGAGCCACGTACTTCTCATCTTAGGGCTGGAACTCGTCGGAAAGCGCAAGATCGCTCGGATTCAGCGGCACTACTGGCTTGCCCTCTTTATTAACCCATTTCTTAGAGCCATACCAACCCTCTCCATTCCAATCTGGACTTTGACTCCGCACGGGTCCAAATGCGCCTACCTGCTGTGCTGCACGCTCTTTGCCTAAGCGGAAAGATGCGAAGCCTAGCAGATCGGGAATGGGCCAGTGATCGGTACCGCTGCTGCAAAATCCTGCTTCAATGGCAAACGAGGATATGCGGCGTACCATTTTGAGCTCTCCAGGATTTTGGCCCCAGAGGAGAAGGTGATGTGGTAGCATGGCAGAGGGCAAGTCTCCGCCGTCGTACCCATACCGGGCCGGAGGTAAAGGTGTGCAGGTTGTACAAGTTGTTGTGCCAGATTGGATTGCAGGAATGAGAGCCAGCACCGGGGTATAGGTGCAGCGCAGAAAGTGCTCAGAGAGTTGTTTGAGCTGGTGTGTAAGAGGATTTTGGCGTATGTGGGCTATGCTCTGGATGGTATGATTTTAAGAGGCCGAGGCGAGATATCATGCCATTCTAGAGGTCGATTGTCGGTTGAGTTTAGTTTGGAGAGGGATCTGGCAGAAGAACGGGGGCGATTTGGCCTGTGAGGCCGATGAGATACATGTCTGGCAGTACGACGAAAGGACGTGTGTTGAGACCATGAGTCTGAACGACCTTAGATCTTCCCGATGTCAAAATGAGCTAGCACATTCAGTTGCATCTAATACTTTTTCTATGATTGACCTGCTCACCTCCATGCCTTCGATGAAGCTTTGTCCCGCTTCGCTTGCATTCTTATCCAAGGCTGTTCTGTAGTGGCTTCGATCAACATTTTCTTGTAACATGTCGCAGTCTTTCAAAGATACTCTTATCTCCCGAATCCACTCGTGTGCATCGATGTGTAGTGTTACACCTCGCTTGCCTTCCGTACTACCCAACACTCTTTGAATGGTACCAAACGTAGCCGCGAGGCCCATTAGTGCCCCATTGACACTCCAGTACGTATCAAAGTCGCAGGCACGATGCCCTATCTCGTGCCACGAGCGGATGGGTTGTGCCGATACGGTTGTCGCCCCTTTTGGCAGGGGATGAAGTACGACGGGCATATGGAAACTTTCCGCACGGTCGAAGAGATTTTCTGCTTCTTGATTCTCGTGCGCTACGTGTGAAGTAGGAGGGGTCGTATGCTCTTACATGGGCAAAAGTGGCTGACACGCGTTCCAGATACGGTGGCGGTTGGCGATACCCGTGAAGGGGCCCTCCAGTCCATATCCCGGAGCTGTGACATGATAAACCCAGATGAAGAGGCCCTTGTATTGAAAGCCCTCTGGGAGTGTTATCTTATCTAGGTGAGTTCCTAGTTCCCAAAACCATGGGAGCACGCGCCACCGCAGCATGAGCATCTTCTCTGTAATATATTAGATCATAATTTAAATACTGTAGCTCCATTCCATCAATCAATATCCGTTATGGTCTAGTGGCTAGGATACATCGCTCTCATATGCAAGCGCCGATGTGGCCGGGGTTCGATTCCCCGTGACGGAAAAGATATTTTTGAGCTTCCAGGTCTCCTGCAAGCGGATACGTGATCGTGCTGGACCTGTTGCATATGAGAAGTATTTTTGCTGGTGTTACCCTACGTGATCTACCGCCCAATCACAACCACAGGGCTGCCACAAGCGCGTTGTTTCCCATGTGCACAGTCGTGTCGCGTGGCCTCGTGGGAACACGACTTTCCCTCTGCCTGAACTGGGCGCTGTGCTGCAACTGAAGTGGTGATTAAAGCTTGCCGGTGTTCTCTGTCTGCCCATTATGAGAATTCGCATTAGGAAGACTTCCAAGTGCAATGTGAAATTTAGTGAATAAGTTCGTCATAGTGTCGAGAACTGCTTTCACAAGGGTATTGAAGCATACAACAACTCCCGCAAGACAACTCTTACAAGACAACTCCCCTAAAACAACTCCAGTAAAACTCCCACAAAACCCCCACTTCCCGCGATCATTATACTCGAAGCTTCGGCGCCACAAAGTTCGGCCTGCTTGCAGGCAGCGTCTTTGTGCAGTCCCTCAAGTCTTTCAGGTTTGTCACACCTGTCAGGCTCATCCTAATGTACGCTTTTGAGTAGTCCTCGTTCCAGTGTTGCTGGTTGCCGACGAACTGCTTCCACTCGCCGTTGACCTTAGGATGTACGCTCAGCACCTTATCAGAGGGAAGTACAAAGATCTTGTCGTTGGGCATCGTCGGTTGGTTCAGCGTGTCGTTGTAGAATTCGACGTCCCAGACAGTGGGGGTGGTGTCAAGCGGCTTTCCGGCCTGAGATACGTCGACGAAACGTTGCTTCGCTGTTGCGTGGGCACCGACGAGTGCGGCGAGATCATGGGCGGAGAACCCTTTGCGTTCGAAGAGAGCGATGAGGTTGTCTGCGCTGTCACGTACATCTGGCAGCAGACCAGTAGGCGCAGCTTTTGTTGCATCCTTGCGGCCGACGAAGGTCCTGATGCGTGGTCCCTTCGGACAGGTGACAGTTGCGTGGTTGTGGGCGTACTGAACAAGGTCGGCGTATCCGACTCTGTACTTCTGTTGTACACCTTGAAGTACTCCACGAATACTCTGTAAACCGTTGTTCTCAGGTCGGTCTATCTCGCCAAAGTTCATCAAGAGAGATCCATCAGCGCCGCCATTGGGCGAAGTCTTGTCCCAGGCACCGGCGTCGTGGAAGCCAAATCGCACGGCAGCACGAGCATTGTCGTTGCACCCGCCGTCTGCTTGCAAGAACAGTTTTGTGAGCTCAGCTGAAACATCGTACCCTTGTGATGAGGTCAGTACTGTCTTTCGAAAAGAGACTGTGTGAACATACATGCACAGCAAGAGTCGATCATTGATGAGCAGAGGGGCGGCTTGTTCGATTTAGCGTTGTCGATGCCCGATGTCGTGCCAGCAAGCACGTTTTTGATAAGCTGTGAAACACCCGAGAGAATGCCCGTCAACAAGTTATCAATCAGCCCAGGTATACTCTGGCGTTCCTCCAGAGGGCTGGCCAGGGCGAGGAAGGTGAGCGAAAGAAGGGGCAATGCTAATATGAGCTTGTGGAACATCTTGAATGATAGATCGGGGGTTTGGGTGCTCGAGGGCTTTACTTCTATCTGGGAAGCGTCAAAAGAAGAGGGCTGATGGTTCCTAGCAAGGTACCGGAAGGCGCCTTTTATGTTCCTCCATCGTTGAGGACCAGTCTCTCCCCACGATGATAGACCGCTGAGGCTTTGCCACTTGGAGTCCTCGTGTTTCGCGTAGTCCCGGTCGGTGCGGTGCCTGGGTTAGCGAGTCGAAGCTTCCCCAGCTCGCTCGCCCCGATTAGACTTCGTTTAGCCGTTTCGAGCGCACGATACCTGCCAAGTCAGCCTAAGAGCATCGATCAGCCAATCCGAAGGGATCCAGTAGTCAGGAAGTGGCCAATTCAGTACACATGAGTCGGCAATCCGCTGCCGTCGCGCATGGGCTGGCGCAAGCTGGCCCCAAATCTACCCGAACATAGGCGTCTCAGCCTTACGCCGGCATGGCGAGGAGGGCTTCGGCTCAAGAAGGAGCTAGCGCTGTAGTCGAATTGGGCATTCTGTCGGCTCCGAGCTGGCAGACTTGATTCGTCTAAACGTTTTTATAAACCTCAAAGACCGCTGGTTTGTCGACTCCACGAGCATCAGTCAATGAAAGGGATGGACAGCGAGGTTCTGGCTGCAGAGGCAGAACAAGTGCTGGCGATGAGGCTTGCTAACTGCAGGAACATCGTCCAGCTGCCATGCCGCTAAATGCGGGCCGTCAGCAAGATCAGCCCTGCGCTTACATCTTTCGTATCCCTTTTTGCTTGCCCAGAACATTGAGTTTCGCTTAATCGCTCAAAACAGCATCGTACACGGTGTTGTCATTGCATATCTGGACCCTGCAAGCTAACATGGTACCAGAACATGGTCGAGGTTGAGGATCTTTGCGAGTCTGACAAAGGGAATTTGTCTTCTGCCAGCACAAGACATAGTCGCCTACACCCGCGGGTGTACCATGGGCCGCGAACGAGAGTATGTCTGGAAGACGGTGGGGCTGACACGTGAGTGTTGAGCGCTGAAAGACAGGCTGTGCCACATTAGGCATCAATCAAGTCAATTAAGCTTAGCCTCCCGACTTGACTTAACTTCACTCCTTGCACAGATGTAACAAATCGATATGCTTAGCCGGGCAATGACTGCTAGCTTAACTTAATCTAGTTCAGTAATGTGTAGGTGACATGTCTATACCCATTGAAACATGCTGTAAATCACGTGACGTGGTGTAGATCAGGGGCCTTCTGATCGCCCCCCGTCCAGCAGATAAGTTGAGCGAGCAATTTTACGCTGTAGACATGATATGATTCGCTTCCATACCGTATCCCTAGCTTTAGTCAAACAAGTCAATCAAGCTAATCAGGCGTGGTTGTTTGGGATTCTAGGCTGTGCGGCCTGTGCCTGTGCGGGGAGTCGCCAATAGTTCGATACCCTAGCGTTCAGCCTCACCCACAGTGCATGCTTTGTACCATGCTCTAAAATAATGTGGTCAAACATACTTCCCAGAAGGCCAAGCCAGCAGTGAAGATACTTTGCAGCTTTCCGGTGGGCTAGAAGACCTCCAAGCGGAGTTACTCGTGGCTGCGGTCGAAGAGTCACCGAAGAATCGCTCGGTGGCTTGCAAGCTACAGATCGATAACTTCGTGCAGGCTTGGAAATCGTGCAGCTGAAGCGAGCAATTGATAGTCATGTGGGCCTGTATTTGTCCGTAGGCGTAGTGCGTGACAAGAAGCAACTCAAAGCATCAGTGTACCTGTGCTCAATGTATTGATAGAGCTGGACCGGGCATTGGAAACTAATGGTGAAGATGATATACTCCGTAGTATCCAGCACGTTATTGTTGCCTGCTTACTCACCTGCTCTTAGAGTCCGACGGATGACCGGATGGAGATGGTTGAAACCACCTGAGATCTGACTTCTCGAGTGATATGTCTATAAGTGTGACGTGGTGCATCTTCCCATGGATTGAATGCATATATGCATGCTTCTGCTCAGATCTTCTTCATTATCGATGTCGGTAACACTGCCGCTCGCTCGTAAGGCTTTTCCTGCGTGACATGCTGCGACGGCTTGATAGATCTTGGATCCTACCATGGACGAGATCGCAAATGACAAAACAAGGTGCCGGGTGGCAAAGCATGGATGACATGCGTCCGTCACCTCGTGGCGCGAACGCGTCTTCAGCTCGTTAGCTCTAGCGCTAGTCGCCAACGCGTCTATCTCGTTCGCCATCTCGTCCCTTCCACCACGTTCTACACCCTCAGCACGGAGCTTCGCTCATTTACGGCTGCGCTGCGCATATGCGCACCGTTATCATGCCTCTAGGCTTCGAGCGAATCAACGAGCGCACCCAGCGACCGAATGCCTCAATCAACTTCATTCGCACAATCCCAGGCCCGACTTCAATGACCGCCGAACAGATTCTGAATCGAGTCGCCGCGATATGCTACCCATTCATGAAAGCAAACATGATACTAGTACAAGCACTCGAGGAATTTCCCTACAACAACGAATTTGTTGGTCGCAACTTCAACTGCGGCGAGGTCATTCAGCTTGTGCTGCGAGATCGCAACGGGCGGTGGCTCCCTCAGCGTATGGTTGAGATGGTCATGGTGCATGAGCTGGCACATTGCAAGCAAATGAACCACTCCAAGGCATTTTGGAAGGTCAGAGATGCATATGCAGTTGACCTGCGGGCGCTGTGGGTGAAGGGCTACACTGGAGAAGGTATTTGGGGTCGAGGCAGAGGATTGGAGACAGGCAATATCCAATCGAGCAAGGTCGATGCAAGCGACATGCCTGAGCATTTATGTGGTGGCACATACGGTCGCAGGTTACAGAAAAGGGGGAGGGGCGGCAAGGAGAAAGAGACGCTCTCTTATGCTGAGAGGAAACAGCGACGTATTCTGAAGAAGTTTGGTGCTGGCGGCCAGTCATTGGGTGCAGATGACGATACCAAGATCAAGCTCGAAGGTGGTGTACCGAAGAAAGGCAAGCCAAGGGTAGCAGGCAGCGCACGAGGCCGAGAACTCAGGGCTGCAGCTGCACTGGCTCGGTTTGAGCCCGTGAAAAGGGAAGCAGAAGGAATCATCATCAAGAAAGAAGATATCTCGGACAGCGGGACAGAAGACGAGATTGACCTGGCTGACGCGGCGCTCGACGTGGATGGATCGAAGCTCGTCGATTGTAAGGGTCGCGCCCTGATCAAGATCTGCGAGGACGATGTTGACAAGGATGGCGATGCACGACGCGAGATGGATGAGATTCAAAATATCACGCCTCGTTACAAGCCTTCTGCATACATGCCTACCTCCAAGGTCACTTCTACACGTCCGAATACTACGGAACAAACCATTGAAGCCGAGCAAACTACCAAGAAACACGACCGGCTCGTCATCGGGGCAGGTCGTACATATGAAGTATTCAAGAGACGCTCCGATGCTGCAGCAAGTGCTGCAGTCGCAAAGTCTAGAACTCCACGAGCGGCCGCGCCGGTGTCGTGCAAAGTCTGCTCTCTTTCGAACGAGCCCGGGTTGTTGATCTGCGCTGTCTGCTTCAACGTGCTCAATCCAGACCTCATGAACCATTGGAAGTGCAAGAGCGAATCCTGTAAGAGAAGCAACTACATGAACGCGGGTAATGTTGGAGCATGCGGCGCATGCGGTCAACCGAAGGCAGCCCAGTGATTTCTCGGAGCAGCACGATTTACGAACCTCATAATGTGATACCCCATAATTTAGCATAGAATCAATAGTGATTGTTACAGCGTGCACAAGCAACGACCCAGGAGCTGTCTCGGCGGAAGGTTATTAGCGCCGCTTTACCGGTAGTGGAGCATGTCGTCACCATTTTGAGTATGAAGTGCTGTCACCACACCCGTTCCACGATTCAACCTGTGGTCTCGATTGAGTGTCTACATACATGAATCACGATGACTCCCTACAGCGATAGCGACGAACAATCTCTAAGACATTCACGACTGCTCCAGCTTCCACGCGAACTGAGGGAACTCATTTATGAGCATGCGATTATCCGCGACACAATACCTATCGACTGTGCCGTTGTCAAAGGACCTGGATACCGCAAGCATACCGGCTATCCATATGCTTCTTCTCCTCAACTGCATGAGGCCTATCCGCTGAGTCACGACGTGGCTTATCGAAGGATTTGGTCTTTACCTATCTACGACCTCAACGTCGATATTCAAGGCGGTACATGGATGGAACCCAAGCGAGCTCAGATGACCTATCAGCTTGGAGCAACGTGTCGAAGGCCAGATTATGCACATTGTCACGACAAAGCTGCCATTCAATTACTGCAAGTCTGTCGGATGGTGCACGATGAGGCACGACCTCTATTCTACAAGAAGAACATATTCAGTTTTACCGGTAGATTTTCCGTATCTACTGCCCTCGCATTCATCCAGGACCTCTCCACAACGGCACTGCCTCTTCTCTCGTCGATTGAGATAGTATTGACAGAAGGCAACAACATGAGAGGCACTGCGGAGGCTCACTACCCACCTACTACCAGGTCGTCGGACTGTTTGGTGCTGCAGCACGCTTTCCACTACTTTACGGACCTCTGTGCCCTGCTAGCATCGTCGACTGTTCAGCTGCGACACCTCTATTTGACGATTGAGTCACAATCTGGTTATGGTGACAGTCAGCCACAGGCTTTGTCAGAATGCATAGCATGGGAGGTCGAGAAGAGTAGTTCTCCTCGCCCTTGGGTTGCCTCCTGGATTCAACCGTTGCTCAAGATACAAGGCTTGGAGTCCATCAAAGTCTACTGGATATCTGATCGGCCCAGGCTGCGGAGGATGTCAGACACGCTGTCGACTATGCAACAATCGATGCTCAAGCGGGCTGATCTCCAGAGAGCAGACAGTGGAACAGGTGGCGAAATGCACAATGTTCAGGGTCATGAGCTCGAGTTCAGCATCCTCAAGAGCCACTGCGATCGCATCGTAACCACACTCATCGTCAATCCACAGACCCAAGAACTGATATCGGGGGAGTGCTCCTGTGAGGATCAGTGTACCGGTCTTGAGCATACTACACGAGGTCTTCCGGGGCCAATTAGCTCGCTCTACAGATGCGGAATAGCCACATGGAAAGAGCACCAGGCGTCCTTCACTGGGTTCAGTGACGCATACACGGCGTATTGTGAGCTTACCAGTATACATACTTCAAGTTCAGGTCGCCGGAAGTCGTCCAATTGCGCGGTGCATCTCAACGACTGAGCCTCAACGTTCGCGGTGTACAAGTTCATGCGCTACAGGCTACAGCTCGTGGCATTGTACTACCGGCCAACTCCACAAAGCAAGTACGGCAACTGGATTCGATATATCCGAGGACGTCGGCAATGTGGTCTGTATTGATGCAGTAACCGGCTACTACGGGATCAGGATCAAGCATGTAAACGAAGTTGAGATCCGAGGGTATTGTTAGCGTCAATATCAGCCACATCGGGCCTACCACATGGCTCGGAAGCAGAGTCCATGTTTACTTCGTAGTTATACGGTAGCCAATCGCGAACCTCATGAGACGCATTTGACTGGATGGTGTTTGCTTGCTACCAGCAACGTCAGTAAACGCAGACTCTCGCTCAGCGTCGCGGAGAACGACTCGTTGCAGCTACTTCGTGTCATCGTACGGTTTGAAATCTGGCCCCTTGATCTCCTACGTTCTCGGGACTGTACAGACCTGGTCTTGTAGCAGGTATCCTTAAGTGGACAGTCAGCCACCTCATAATTGTAGCGAAACGGATATACTCCCGTGATCCTTCGTCACCCAGGCACCCACCTGCCCCAGAACCTGCCCCGCATCCGGACGAACCGCTTACGAAATATGCCTACGCCACTATTGATTCAACATCAGGATCTTTCACCAGTCATGCAAGTGTTACAATCGCGAATCTCGACAACTTCGGGATACACACTGACAACAACGAGCACCCTGGCAGACGCGCATGAGCGCACGCCGTGCCGCCCTCCAAGACTGTGGAAATGTCTGATACCCGATACGCGAAATGTGCCGATCCACAAGGATCCCGCCAGCTAACTCAATTAGGGTCGCGACATGGCGCCTTTAAATTCACCGATAGCGAGTCGAGTTCTACGACTTCTCAAGTGGGACCAATCAGAAATGCTCATTTAAGTTGAGGATATTCCCAGATGGCAATCGTGCATCCATACGCACACGCTTGAGCAAGGGTTCAGACTCCAGTCCAGGTATCAGGCCCGATTAGGACCGCGCTGGACTCGTGCTGTGATATATAAGATCACGGAGGACGGTGATGGATTCCTTCACCGCTGCTTGGCCTCGGCTCGTTCTGACCTACTTCGTTACATACCTTCAGGCCACTTGCGGCCCCAGTTCTGCTTCGACATCTTCAATTACATCGAGCACAAAATATTCGACGATATGGCGAAGCTCGTCGACCCCGTCGGGATCGCAAACAGCCCGCCTGTGCTTGCTTCTCTCGGTCTCATTACACATCTACTTCTACACCGAGATGAGTGGGACAACGATATGTCCATCTGGCTTGGAGCGTGGCTGTTCGGAATCGCTGGAATCGCTGTGACCGAGTACACTCGAGCAAACTCTATCGGCAATGTAGTAAAGGTCACAGCAACTGCAGCAGCAATCTACTTCGGCGTATTGGCGGCGAGCATTCTCGCTCATCGAGTGCTATTCCATCGATTGCGAAAGGCAAGTCCCAATAGTCGCGTCTCAAGGCTGTAGCTAACTAACAACACACAGTTCCCTGGACCTTTCGTTGCGCGCTTCTCTAAGTTTCACGCCGTCTTTGCTGGTGTGCTTCCCGACTACCAGTACTACAAGTACAGCGAAGCATTACAGAAGAAATACCAAGCAGACCTCATTCGAACGGGCCCCCGCGAGCTTGCTGTGTATCGCGCCGATGCCGTTCCACTTATTCACGGGCCTATGTCACGGTGCCGGAAGGGCCCCTGGTACAACAATGCGAATCACTTAGGTGGCGCATCCACACATACCACGCGCGACAAGCAGGACCATAAGCAGCGACGCAAGGCTTGGGACCACGCTTTCAACGCAAAGGCATTGCGCGAATACGAACCCAGACTGAACCGACACGCGCTCGCGCTCATGACAAAGCTAAAGGAGGAGGCCAATAACCCCTCTATTCGAATTACTAACTGGGTCAACTTCTACAGCTTTGACGTCATGGGCGACATCGGGTTCAGTCGCAGTTTTGGTATGCTAGAGAAAGGTGAAGAAGACCCTATGATCAAGCTCCTACACGCCAGCATGGAACCGTTGTCCGTTTTTGGGCAATTTCCTTGGGCGCTAAACTTGATCACCCGTACATCATTCGGTGCTAAACCACTCATTGAGCATATCGAGTGGACTGCGAAGGTTTTGAAGGAGAGGACGGCGGTACGTAGGCCATGATTGCTCTAAGCCCGATCGCTACTAACGTCTGCGCAGATCACGCCAAAGGAAAATGACGTCGTCAGCTGGCTGCTTGATCCCAGCAGCTCAAAGGTAACACGTGAGCTTAATGCTGACTCTCGTCTCCTTATCGTTGCCGGAAGGTAAGCCAGTCCGCAGTTGCGCATCTCTTCTGGGCATGGGACTAATCTTCCATACAGCGACACCACAGCCGCAACACTGTCTTTCATCAGCTACGAGCTCTGCAAGCACGCTGGTGTTCAGGCCAAATTACGCAAAGCAGTTGATGCTGCCGCCAATGGCAAGAATCACCTTGATGTTGAGGATGTGCAAAACATTCCGTACCTAGATGGTGTCATTAATGAAGTTCTTCGTCTCCACCCGGCTGTATGTTCTGAGCGACTACCACTTCTCTAGTACAAGCTGACTGACATTTCCAGGTCCCTTCCGGCGTCCAGCGCGAAACCCCATCCGAAGGTATGACGCTCCCCGACGGCACCTATATTCCCGGTAACATCCTCGTCTGGATGCCTATTCACTGCCTCCAACGCGATCCCCGATACTGGGCTAAGCCCTTGACCTTCATGCCCGAACGCTGGACCGACGAGCAGCCCGAGGCCATCATCGACAAGCGCGCGTTCATGCCTTTCAGCACTGGTGTGTACAGCTGCGTTGGCCAGAAGCTGGCGATGATGCAGTTGAGGAGCGTCACGGCGAATCTGATCAGGACGTTTGATATAAGCTTTGCGGAGGGTGAGGACGGGAGTGCAGTCGAGAAGCAGAGTAGGGATTGCTTTACTACGAATGTGGGCAAGTTGGACGTCAGGCTCGAGCCTAGGTACAAGGCATGAAGATGAGACAGAATAGTTGATAAACACAGATATGAAACATGCTTCAGAGTGAATCGCTCTGCAGGACCACAACATCTCCTGCCCATACGTATATTGATCATGCCAGCAGCCAAATGAGGTCGAACACGTCTACCTCGGATGATCGACCAGTGCCCCACACCCAGCCCCTCTCTTTCCGACCTACGTCGTTCCAAGTTCTGTATAGCAAGGCTGACTAGATAGCTCAGCCTTCCATCGACTACCAAACCACATAACCCCCAAGCCGCACTGCCGCACCCTCAAAATGACAGCCCAGCCGCTTCCAGACTCCAGCATATCCCTTACATACACCACTCCCGAATCCCCACCCCATCTACACCATGCCCCCCTCCCGGTCCCCGGCCCCAACCAAATTCTCGTCAAAATCCATGCCGCAGCCATAAATCCCGTCGACATTCAGCTCTGGGGCAATCCGCTGCTGGGGCTGCTCGCCGGACGCCGAGAAAAAGGACTTGGCCGCGACTACGCCGGCACAGTCGCAGGGATCGGGTCCGCGTTGCGCAAATCCTCGCAATGGCAGCTCGGCGAGCGCGTGTTCGGGCTCTGCAATCGGCCCACAGGTGAGGGCACGTTCGCGGAGTACCTCTGCGTGACGCCCGCGAGCGAGCCTGTGGCGAAGATGCCGCAGGCGTGGGGCTTTGAGGAGGCCGCTGCTGTGCCGCTAGTTGTGCTTACGGCGTTTGCGTGTCTGGCTTGGTTGCCTGCTGAGACGGAGAGTCCGAATGGCGCGGCGAGGAGAGTGGTGGTTGGTGGTGCGAGTGGAGGCGTGGGGATGTGGGTTGTGCAGCTCGCGAAGGTGTACGGGTGCCATCTTACGGGCGTCTGCTCGGGGAAGAATGCGGAGTTTGTGAGGGGCTTAGGGGCGGATGATGTGGTTGATTATAATAGGCAGGATGTTGCGGAGACACTTTTGGCCTCGAGGCCCGAGGGTAGGAAGTATGATTTGTATGTTGACTGTGTTGGTGGGACAGAAATGTTTGAGCATTGGTATGATTTGCTGCATAAAAATGCGGCGTATATCACGATTGTGGGGGACAAGACAAGCCGGACTGCGATGGGTGGGCCGTTCACGTACTTGACGTACCCGTCGCAGATTTGGAGGCACGTCTATGGGTTTTTCTTCGGCCCTAGATACGCGAATGTGCTTCTGTATCAGAAGAGTGAGTTGCTGGAGCAGGTTGCGAAGTTGGCAGACGAAAAAGGCGTGCAGATCGTGGTGCAGGATGTGGTGAAGGGTATACTGAGTGAGCCAGGCCACGTTGATGCTTGGGATAAGGTCAAGGGGTATATGGTAGAAGGGAGGGTGCGCGGGAAGATTGTTGTCAGCATCCCATAAGGCTGCCCTCGAGTTTGCAATGGATTCGTAAGACTATTTCATAGGTTTCCGTTTCCCTCATTATTGTACTACTACCAATTAATCAAGGACGTTATCCGCAGCCAATGTCACGGCGATCATAACTATCCACCAAATACTGGATCTGAGCGTACGCACCACGTGTCTAGATATGGTATATCTTGCCACTATCCCTCAAAAAGTGCTACCACTGGTTAAATTCATTTGGCTCCAGCGCCACCACGCTCTCAAGGACATCTACAGCAAACGCCTTCGGCATCTCCAACAAAAAATCGAAGTCGAACTTCTCGGCATCGTCAACGACGATGAAGGCATACATGTCAGCAAGTAGTTGTTGCATGAGACAATACCCAGGCGTATCTTCGTACACAAGCTCGACCACGGAGCTTACGCAAGCCAGTGCGTACGGACTTGTATCGTGATGAAGGCATCTATGATGTCGTTTTGTTAACAGCCACCATCAATTGTTTGACCAACGATGTACTCTTGGACTAGGCGCACGAGAACAGTACTGATTATGCGCTCGTTGCTTACATCGATTATTGCGGTCGGGAGGTTGCTGTTGTAGAGCCAGTGTATGTAGGTCGGGCTCACTCTGGCAAAATCCGCTACAGGGCGCCAACGGAGAATGCTGACGGTATCAGGGACCCAAAATTGTCGTGGGTTCTTCTTTAACGCTTCCTCCCACATCTTCTTGAAGAGGAGATTCTGGTCTAGAACGCGTCGGTGGACGTTGTAGATTGTGCCATCGTTGGTCTGTACCTCGACAAGTTCACCGTAGTCGCTGTTCGTTTCGTTAGCTACTTTTGAGGCATCTAGGTGTTATACTTACTTGTTGGTCTGTCGACGAATCTTATCGAAGCGCGAGAAAGTATGGTGGTCGAGTGGTGGGAGGAAGGGAAGTCCGCTGGAGTTCTTAGCCTTCTGCTGTTGCCAGCTGTTACTAGAATGGCCCCTGAACGGTTGATGATAGAACGACCATGCGGACACCAAAGGCGCTAGCTTGAGCCTTTGCTTGGTATCGACCTTGCTGTTCTTGGGATTTGTCTTGGTGTCAGCCTTTGCCGGCTGCGGGGTGATTAAGATTTCCGACACCAAAGGCACCAGCTGGAGCTTTGCCTTTGCAGCCTTCTTGATTTTGGAGGAGCTTGCCGCCATCGGATCCTTCGCATTCTTTACAGCGCTGCTAGGGTGCAGGAAGCGATTGAGTACCTGGCTGTCAGCGACGTTAGCCTCCGTCAGATCGCGATTCGACACAGGTGCCTCTGTGATGCCTACAGCGTCTATAGCAGGCACTTCCTGCTTGCGAACATCTAGAGTCTCGACTTCGGTGGCGTCTGATACTGCAATGTCGGCGAATTCCAGTTCAGAGTCCCAACGACGAAGGGAACTGGTCCCATCCTTGTTCTTTGGGACTTTAGTTTCGGCTTTATTCGAGATCGACCGGCTCGGACATCGCTTGCTTCTTCTTGCTCTTCTTGCCCTTGCGATCCTTCATATCCAGCATGCTTGCAGTTTGGTAGGCAAACTTGCTTCTTGATCAGGAGCTCCCAGTAGACGTGCGCAGTGGTTGAGCGGAGCATGCGTGGGCGTGTGATCGAGAAGACTGTGTCCTGTGGCCTCGTGAGCATCATAAAGGACATGGATGATCTTGCAGTGAACAACCTGTCGGCTCGCGTTGACTCCGTTCCATTTCACTGTGCTTCAAGAGGAGCTGATATGTAGTGCCCGGATTAGTGAAAAGAATCTCCACCAAGGCCGTTGCGCGTTTTGGGCAGGTACCATGGAAAGCTGTAGACAGGTTTTTGTATGTGGAATATAAGTTACAAGAAGCGCCCGCATATTAGTCCAATAGGTCTACCAGGTAGATTGCGCCTGTTCGTGGGGAACACGGGCCTAGCCCTGGTGAAGGTTAAGCTCCAGGCCTACACCGCTCCATGATTGTGGCTCAGAGAAAGAAGCGGATTCACCATCGCAGGGCCGCAGATTATCAGTCTGAGTCCGGGTGAGGCGAGAGTTGCGCATTTCCTGGGTCGGCAGCTGTGCAAGCTGCATACTCACCCAGCCTTTGTTGATGGACACTGTCGTCTTCGACGTATGCTAGGTTCTCCTTACAGACGACGCTTTTGCCGTTTTCTAGTGCAGAGCTGTAGGTGGAACGACATGCAGCAACGCCATGTCTTGAAACAGATACTCAGTAACTCATTCGTGGAGACACTGGTGTGCCGGGTTGGCTTTTCTGAGAGCTTGCCTGCTAGTTGTGCCTGAAACTGGAAGTTAGATGGAGAAACAGCGTTGGAGGTACCTCGGCTTACCATTACCGTAAGTGACCCGCTGCTAGCCTCGAGCTACTGAAGTACCCCAGACAATGCGTATGAAACTGAACAGAACTCTTGCCTTTACCTTTCCGCTCCCCAACGACTCAGTTGACAGGCAGACTACATACAGGAGATGTCAGCCTTACTGCGACCCACCGCGAGACTCATCGCACGCCCAATCCAGCGATGTGCATACTCGAGCGCGCCGTCACCCGTAATCAACGTCTTCAACTACCCTGCGCCGCACTCTGGAAACATACGAATCCTCTCTCTGAACCGTCCCGCCGCTCGCAATGCCATATCGAGACAGTTGCTCGCCGAGCTGACCCAACAGATCACTAGCATACACAATGAGGGCCAAACAGGGCAAACAAGAGCTCTCATTCTCGCTAGTGAGGTCGACACAAGCTTCTGCGCAGGCGCAGATCTGAAGGAAAGAGCTACGTTCACACAAGAAGAGTACGCTCCAGCACTGTATTTGTTTCATGGGAAACCCAGCTGACCTGCTCCAGCACCGCCAACTTCCTCACCTCCCTCCGCTCCACCCTCTCCTCGATCCAAGCCCTCCCGATCCCCACAATCTCCGCCCTTGCCGCGCCCGCATTCGGTGGAGGCCTCGAGCTCGCCCTCACAACTCACATGCGCGTCTTCGGCAGCACTACCACCGTCGCGCTCCCCGAGACACGTCTAGCCATCATCCCGGGCGCAGGCGGTACCTACCGTCTCCCTGCTCTGATCGGACTGGCACGCGCGCGCGACATGATCCTCACAGGCCGCCGCGTGGGCGCGCCAGAAGCCTACTTCCTGGGCCTGTGCGACAGGCTGGTGGAGATTACGCCCGAGGAGCAGAAGGAGGAGGGCGCGGCGAGGAAGAAGGTACTGAACGAGGCTGTGCAGCTGGCTATCACGATTTGCGAGGGTGGACCGATTGCGATTAAGGCTGCGCTCGCTGCGGTAGAGGGGTGCGCGTTGGGCGAGAAGGCAGAGAATGCGGCGTATGAGCTGGTTGTAAGGACAAAGGACAGGGACGAGGCGCTGGCAGCATTTAGAGAGAAGAGGAAGGCTGTCTTCAAGGGCGAGTAACATCACGCTGTGGTAACTAGCATGGTTTTCATGGGTCTGGCAGCAATGCAATGATTCAGGAGCTCATCCGGCTACGTGTTCCGCTCCGACCACGCCGTCTTTAACAGACTCAAGCTTTGGCGAGCGAGGATGTCATTGAACAATTGAGATGCTCCGCACTTCCATTTCATGGGCGGATATTCTTGACAACAGGCTCGAGCTGTGGCTCAATCAACTCCGCACTCAAACCAGCAATCGCCCAGAGCGTCTCCCTTCCATTCCTCCATCGCGCACCTACCCAAGCCGCTCTACATCTTACTCTTGATCTCCTCGAGCAGCTTCTTCAGTTCCGCCGGATCCGCCTTCTGCGTCGGCCACTCAACACCCAGCCCCTCCTGCTTGTTCGGCTTCGGGATCAAGTGGAAGTGCACATGATCGACCTCCTGATGCGCAATGCGCCCGTTATTCTGCAGGATGTTGTAGTCCTCGACGCCCTGCGCGATGGCGATTTTCTTCGTCACGGACAGCACTTCGGACAGCTGGTCGTCGGGGATGTCGTGCAGCTTGGCGCCGTGGTGTTTGGGGATGATCAGCTGGAGAAGCGCTTGTCAGCATACGGTGTAGATGATGTCGGCTTGGAGGATTGTGGGTTTGTGGGCAGCCACGTACGGAGTGCCCTTTGCTTAGCGGCCCGATGTCGAGGAAGGCGAGCGTCTTGTCTGACTCGAAGATCTTCAGGGACGGGATTTCTCCTGTGGCGCGTCAATTGCGTGTTGGGTGTGCTGATTGGTCGGGTGGTACCCTTGATTATCTTGCAGAATATGCAGGCGGCCATTGTGGTGCTCACTGTGGTGCTCGGTGCTGTGGTGGGTGTGACGTGAACGAGAGTCGGTGGGCTGTGGATGGGCACTTGACCCGAGCTTCAAGGCGTGGTGGGGCGAGGCGGGGTAGCTTCCGAGCGATTTGACTTGAATTGGGAATTGTCGATTCATGTTCGATATTTTAGTGTGGATGTCTGAAGATCCTCTGGCTTCTCTCTGAAGTCTTTCAAGTCGGATCGTCGTCCTGTCATGATGATGTTGCCCATTTCCATGCATCGCACTCGAAGTTCGCATACGTCCTGAACTCGTTGCTCAGCCCTTTGGCGTGCTTGATGTCGTAGTCTGTGGTCTTGACGCCAGCTTTGCCGTACAGCTTTCCAGTGATGATGCTCTCCATTCGTTCTCCTGTACAGGCGATAATGCGCACAGTCTCAGATGTCCATCCCTTGGCCAGCCACCGTACTGTCAGAGTAGCTGTACTCGTCAGTGGACCTCTCATGTATTGAGAACGGAGTTTTGCTGACCTTTGGTTTGACAGTCATCACTCAAGAAGGGTGGGTCGACGATGATGCGGTCAAACGAGCCCTTTAGCTCAGGAGGTAATTGCAGAGACTTCTCAAAGTCGTAGTGTACGAATTCTTTGAAAACATTGAACCGCTCGTCGATCTCAAGAAGCTTGATCTGCGGTCTGCACTTGTACTCCCCAGAAGCCTGCACCCGATCAGCCTTAGGACCTAGTCACACGCCAGCTTCACGACTTACCAGCAGATTCTTCAACTGAATAAATGCACTTGGCGCGCTCACAACCGCAATCCTCGTCTCGTCCGTCGCGCCATCAAGCAGCTGTTTCGCCAGCACAGTCGCAGTCCCGTCGCTGTACCAGAACTGGCTCACATTCCAGTCTTCCGTAAACGCATCCATGGACAATTTGCCCTCAAAGTCATCTTCGGCCTGGCTCTTGAGCGCCTCAAACTGCTTGTGCCGCGCATCGCGCTCGCCGTAAAATTCTTTCAGCGCGGAAAGAGCGTCGCCTGAGAGCTGTCTTCGCTGCTTAGCAAATTGTCATGACCAAACAGAGCAAGAACGTACGGCATATCATCGTCGGAATCCATCTTGAATATGCAAGGCGATCTGGGTGCTGCCTCGAAAAGTGTTAGTCTAAACTCCAGGCTTACATTTCGTCATTTTTGGCGGAAGCACGCTACCGGTGCCATGTCCGTGCGCGTGATGCGCATCCCAAGTTCCCAACTACTGTTAGGGAATTCTATGCACTCCTATTAGTTACCCCACTCTGCAATGCCTATAAAGAAAGTCCTTACAGAGCATAACGTAGATTATCACCGAGCCAGCCATATCACTAAACTAGCCACTTTCTCTTAGCACAACCACCTTTTACCCCCCCCCCCCCCCCTTTTTTTACTGTCTTTTAGATTTAGCAGCTGTAATATAAGAGCTACAAGGAAAACTTATATAAGGGAAATAAACGAAATGTAATTCTCGTTAAAACGTGCCCTTATTCGCCTAAATTGGCCTAGTATTAGCTAAGTTAGGGGGGGGGGGGGTACCCAAACAGGACTTTAGAGCATACCCATCCGCCAGCCCAGCAAGAAGGGAGATATCCGGAACAGGTGTGAATCCGCTACGAGACATATGGGAGTGCTGGGATGATAAGAACACCAGGATATATTCTCTACACCTATAGGTCTTGTACGAAAGGATACAGAAAAACTACTCTACTATGCTACAGTTCCTGGCTCCTTATATAGGGAGGTTTGGAGGCAGTTTGGTGCGAACTCATGCCATGCGACAAGGGCCATGGTCATGAGTCACTGGACCGTAAACCTAGTTGTATCAGGTCATTGTTAGCAGCGCGTTGTTACATTATTGCTATTGAACAAGGAGCCTACGTAAGTCGTGCTCGCATCTAATTTAGAAGACGACCTAGCATCTATTTTGCATGTTCTTGCGTTGTGCCTAGTCCTGCCGCAGTTCCCACAGCGCTGTTAAGCTGGTTGGGCTGTTTTGTAATTACTAACTTACCACCACAAGCCTTCTTTGATCGCTGAGCTGCTGTCAGGACCGGGCTCCGCCCACTCGGCCATGCAAGCAACCTTGCAAAAGGCTCGTCAATGCTCATTCAGATAGTGAGCATCTAGGCGGAACAGTACATATCGTCGTTGCATCTCAGGTCAGAGGTGGCCATGTGGCCACATGTCCAAGCATGCCTGACAGCTGCTACAGACGCAGTAGCACCATTTATGGAATAACATAGTTAGTTACAAGGCGTTGCAGGGAGAGATTCGCATCTTGTTTGAGAGCCTTTATTGCAAGCTGTATCCTAGGTTCTTTGAAAGGCCTTTTGAGAGGTTGTTCTTGAGGCATCGCGTAGGGAGAGGGAGGTTTGGTGTGGTCTTGGCAGAGTGTCTCGCTCACCCGTGTGGCTCGCTCACCCGTGAGGTATGTTATACATTATAGTGTCAGGCATGCTCGGGCATGTGGCCTGACCAAAGGCCAACTCTGACTTGAGTCGACGATATGTACTGTTCCGCGCAGGTGCTTACTATCAGAGTGAGCATTGAACACCTTTTGCTGCTTGCATGGCCGAGTGGGCGGAGCCCGGTCCTGGCATATAGATTGTAAAGAGAAAAAATTCCTGCTGAAGTAGATAATGAAACAATCCCGCGATGTACTACTGTCTTCTCTAAGGGCTATCTGTCAGCCGTGTACCCCGCCAGCATGGCCGGGTAGGCCTGACACGAACATGTGCATCACGCGCACAGATACGGTAAGATACCTAGGTACAGTAACCACGTGCCGAGGCAGCGATTATGAGAAGCCGGCACAACCTTAGGTGAACATGTCCCCGCGCATCCTTTGTACCGTGAGATTCACGAACCGGAGACTGTATTTCAAGATGTCCGAGCCCTTTGCAGCGCTCCCCGCGGTCGAGAAGCTCAGCGACCGGGTGATACGGGTCTTGGGCGGGAATCCATCGAAGGTAACGTTACGCAGCACCAGGACCGAGAGGTTGCAGGTCTAACAGCACAGTTCACGCTGCAAGGCACAAACACATACATAGTTGGCACAGGCTCCAGGCGCTTATTGATCGACACCGGCGAGGGCAGGGAAGCATGGATCGCCTCTCTCACGTCCACGCTCGCGCAGCACAACATCACAATCGACAAAGCGCTGCTCTCGCACTGGCATCCAGACCACATCCGGGGCGTCCCGGATCTGCTGTCCCACAGCCCAGAAACACAGGTGTTCAAGAACCACTCCGACGGCAATGAGGACTGGCGTGATATATCCGATGGCCAGGTATTCTCCATCGAGGGCGCGACACTACGAGCCTTCCACTGTCCGGGGCACACTACTGATCATATCGCCTTTGTACTGGAGGAAGAAGACGCCATGTTCACTGCCGACAATGTTTTGGGCCATGGCACGGCTGTCTACGAGGATCTCGCAACGTACTTGAGGAGCCTGGAAGGAATGCGCAAGCAGTTCTCCGGCCGTGCGTATCCGGGCCACGGACCTGTTATCGAGGACGGGCCGGCGAAGATTAGTGAGTATATCAAGCATCGGAGACAGCGAGAGCAGCAGGTTCTGGATGTCCTTGGCAAGGAGGCGGCAGACGGGTGGACGAGTATGGAGATTGTGAAGGTTATCTACAAAGATTATCCGCAGAATCTCTGGGAGCCGGCGGAAAGAGGCGTCGTCCAGATTCTGGAGAAGTTGAAGGGTGAAGGCAAAGTTGTGGAGAGTGAAGAGGGGAGATGGTCACTCAGCGGGAAGGCGAGTTTGTAAGCTCTTAAATCTGGGGCTGTGAGAACTTTGACATGCAGATTCTCGAGGGCTTGATGGTATGTTGAAAGTGGCTGGAGTGGAATAAAGGGAGATGCTCGTCGAGCTGCAAAGCGAGTCTTGCCGCGGCCAATGAAAGCTGACGGCTCGTAGCGCCATTGAAACGTCAATGAGCTGCCCCACGTCTATTTTTGAATCTCAAAGGGGCGTTTCACTGACATCCCCATTCGGACCACAGCTTTGGAGGTCAGCAATTTGGGACATATTTTATTCAACTCGTTAGAACTTTTATCGATGTTGGTCGCAGTGCCAGAGTGGTTAATGGGTTAGACTTGAACTTCCATATTCATGTCATCTAATGGCTTCGGCCTCGCAGGTTCGAATCCTGTCTGCGACGCATACGTGCGTTGATGTAACCGATTCTTTTTGTTCGCGTGGTGATCGGATGCGTGGCCATGAAGTTATAAATAAGCTCGGCCATATACTTTCCAGCCACTCAAAGCAGCCACACAGTATAGAGTCGTGATTTTCTTAACAACGATTATATCTGCCACTGTGTATACATAGAATTGAGAGTACGAGCTAATGCAGCAGCTGCAGCCTTTTCTGCTTCTTTTTCTGCTGAAGTGCTTGCCTGTTGAACCTGTAGAGCTGCTGCTCGGTCGATAGCAGCCTGTATACTCTCAACGTTGCTGAATCGCTCATTTGGATTAACTTGAACTCGCTTTCTCGTACAAGTAATTTTACAGTGATCTAGTTGATATTTGAGTTGTTGATTCTCAGCCTTGAGCTGGGCGGCTCTGGTATTTGCCTCTGTAATAGCCTCGCCTGCCTTGCCAAGCACTATCCGGGTGCTTCGCGAGAGAGATTCTGACAACAGCAGCTGCTGCTGGGCCTTGTTTAGAGCTTGTGAGCTCTGAGGGGTGTTGAAGACTTGCTCTGATGTAGTCAAGGCCTGACTAGCTGCTAGTGGAGTAACTGGCCGGCCAGTTACTTGGGATGAGAGCAGTACTAGATTTGGGTTGAATGAGCAAAGGCCAGCAGCGCGCCAGCCTGCTCTTATAAGTCGCTCTGATAGAGCTTCTTCTCTTGCCTTGTTATATGATACAACAAAGCGCTCCTTCCTGATAGGTGCTGCGTCATCAAGGACAGAGAGAGCTCGGATCTCATTGCGATAGCGTGTTTTAAGAACAGAGAAAGGAGCAAGATCATGTGGCCGGAAATATATGGCCGAGCTTAGTGGCATGAAGGGTTGGAAACCTTTTGTTCAGAGAACACGAAAACCAAGAGATGTTGAAGACAAACTGGCCTTTGGCTTATCACAACCACTTATTCGTTTGCTTCGTCCTTGTTCTTTAGTGTGATAGTGTTGGCCACCTCATCTCGCTGCTGACACACGGTTTCGGTAAGTAGCAGATGCCCGCTTGGCGACTCATACGGCTCCCTATTCCTAAAGCTTTTCTGGGTCGCGCTACGCATGCGTCACACGATTTGGGTTCGTGTCATGGAAACACGCAGCAGCGGTCCACACTGCCCTGAGCGATGGCATGAGGCCCATGCCTATGGCATGTCCAGCTGTCGATGCAACAAAAGTGCTCAAATGAGTGGTAATGCGCAGAAGTCGGCATTCCAAATAGATAAAGTCTCACAACGCGCTAAGTGAGCGTATAGGTATGGGCAAGCCTTCATCCAGTTGGGCCAAGATTCGCCGGCATTGTGACTGAAGACATTTTACATTGCTGAGTGGGGTATCATATTGTAGCGGCATGTCGCTGTTGCTTTTACGCGATCCTGTGTTTCGCTTCCTCATTTGCCAAGCGCTCGAGATACGCTCTGAGAAGCGCTTGTGTGCTCTCTGGGTCATCTCTTTCTTTCCTCTCATCGTAGTGTCTCCAAAACTCCAACACTACTTCCACAGCAATGAGCGCAATGATAGCCCATTCAAGTCTGAGCCCGTGCTTCTCGCTCAGCTGCTCGCGCAACACGCTGGCAATCTCTTGCGCGAACCCGATCTTCTCGTTCAGCACCTTAATCCTGACACCGACATCTAGGGCGCGCCCAACGTCATCGTAGTAGCCGCCCAAGCCTAGCTCGTGTCGTGAGTCCCAAAAAAGATCTGGCATACTGTCTGTGAGCTCAGAGTAGAGATTGAGCTGAGCACGAATCGAGAGCAGCTCGCCGGTTTTGCGCAGAATGAACGAGCGTGTGAACGGCGAGCGATTGTGCTTTGCAGCTAGCATGTTGGGAATTTCGCGAGTCGAGTGTTGATAATTGGAGAGAAGAGTCTCGAGTACGGCGAGCTTTGTAGAGCGTGCCAGGCCAGACGAGAAAGCGATCTTGGCGAGGACAGTGTCAACTTCTGAAGACGTTGGGCCAGTCTCTGACTGAAAAGAAGGTGACTCTGACGCCTGTTCAGGCTTTGTACCTAGCACGATGGTGTCTCCAACAACCTCGCTGCTCTCACGTGAGCCATCTTCGAGGTATTCAAGGTCCTCTGTCTCGAGCAACTCCAGATGTGAGCCTTCAGCTGCTGCAGGTAGCACCTGTTGAACGAGCTTCAGGGCTTCGCGCTCACGAACATTCCATGTTACGACTGTACCTGAGGGAAAGATGAAGATGTCACCCTGCTGGAAGTCTTTGACTTCCGACGGCCGGTCACTGGTCTGTATGTGGATGACTTGTGGGTAGAGGCCTGTCTGGAAGGGATCGAGTTCGTAGCCCTGTGCCTTGATGAGGCGTGCGGCAACTGTGATATCGTACATCTCGGCGGCGCAGTAGGCGGTGACGGTCTTAGTTTCAGCGTCTGGGTCGATAAAGCGCGTTCGGCCACGCGACTTGACGAATGTTCGTGATCGTTGTGCTTCAACAGCAACACTGCGCAAAGACGACGTCTTCCCCGCAGTCTTCCGAGACGCTTGTTTTAGCTGCTCAGATTTGCCGTTCGTCTCCTCTAGCTTTTTCTGTAATCTTGCGCCTGCAGTGAACGCTCGTGCTGGGGCTTGTGATGATGGTGAGGTATTATGTAGTGTTCGAGGTATTCGCTGTGTGCACCTGGCAGCGCACCCGATTAAGGCGGAAGGCGCACTCGATGCGAAGGAAGCCATCGCCGGCGGTGTAATAACGTGTCTGAGTGGTCGAAGGGCATCGTGGATGGATGAAGGTCAGTGCATGCGGCGTCAAAAGAGTTTCGGTGGAGCTTGTGTGGAGATCCCTGCACAATTCGGAGGGTCCAGGTCATTGGCCCACTCACGTCACGTCGAGCTACACCTCGCAGCCCAAGCTTCGAGCTTCACAGCACTCCCGCACGCCCACCGCAGCCTATGTCCATGTCGCCAGCATGGCTGCGGATCCGACCGACGACGAACAGCAGCCGGTGACAACGGGAGACGCTGGCAACGGCAGAGATACCGCCCAGCACGTCGACGACCACGACGCCGGCGACGATGACGACGAGGAAGAGGACGACGCGGACGAAGAGCCCAAGCTCAAGTACAGCCGTCTGACGAGCAGCCTGGGGCCTGTGTATCGCAATGGCGACGCGACCAGCTCCTTCCTGGTCGCAGGTGACAAGATGGTATGATTGTTGGTCAAGCTCCACGAGAGCTGCCGCATGTCGCGCATCGTGTACTAAGCTTTACGCAGATTGTTGGCACGCACAACGGCAACATAGTAAGTTTAATCATTCCATGTTGGCCATCGAAAACAGCTGACATCACTAGCACACTCTATCCATCCCATCTTTCCAGATACTGCGCACGTACAACGCCCATCCGTCTGCCTCAGTCACCGCTCTTTCCGTTTCGCCCCTCCCGCGCACGCAGTCTTTCGTCAATCAAGTTGGCTCGCCGACCCGAGCGCCAGATGATGCAACCGCGAGAAAGCCTACGCCGCATGCCAGCCGTGACCCTCGCAGACCACAGCAGAATCCCGTGCCAAACACTTCCTCGAACCAGATCTACATTGGCTCTGCGTCCATCGACGGCCATGTTTGTGTATCCTCGTTGATCGATCCCAAGGATGTCACTCTGCGCAACTTTGCGCGCCCCGTACAAGCTGTGGCACTTTCACCAGACTACAAGAATGATCGATCATATCTGTCAGGTGGTCTGGCTGGCGAGCTCATTCTGACTAGTGGTGGACCAATAGGCATTCGCGCGACTGCGAACACGAGCTCAGCATCTCAGGCGGCCCATGGCTGGCTTGGAGCTATAGGACTTGGTGGAAGCAGCGGCCGAGATACGATTTTACACTCTGGAGAAGGATCAATCAGCACCATCAAATGGTCACTATCCGGGCGATACGTTGTGTGGGTCAATGAGGAGGGCATTCGATTTATGCGCACCAACCTGTTCCTGGACAGCGCAGACTCGCAACTGGCGTGGAAGAGGATAGGATTCGTTGGGAAACCCAATCGTCGCGTCTGGCAAGACATGGCTGCGCTATGGAAAGCCAGAATCGAGTGGGTTGACGATCAGTCGCTAGAGTCCGATGACGATGCCATTATGAGCATGAACGACCATGGACGACACAACAAGGCCGAGTCGACTTTGCCTCACCACCGCAGACACAAGTCAGGAAAGGGGATCAAGCAAGAAAAGGTCGAGAAGCTGGTTGTAGGCTGGGGAGACTCAGCCTGGATCATTCACGTCATTCCTGGAGAAGTCTTTGGCAATGGCAGAACTGGCGAACGGTCTCCCGGCAGCATCGAAGTTCCTCATCAGTACGTTTTTTATCTTCATTGCTCACAACAATTCTCAAGCTAACATCTTATTAGTCTCAAGTTCGACGATTGTATTGTTTCTGGCATCTCGCTTTATACCCCTTCCCTACTTCTCGTGCTTGCGTATCGAACCCACGACGATGACGACAATCCAGTTGAGACGACTCCTCGAAGAGGTATGCATCGGCGTGCAAACGGCTTATCTCCTGAGCTCAAGCTCATCGATGCGGTTAGCCAGGAAGAAGTTGAGGTCGACTCTTTAACAGTCAGCAGATACGAAACTCTCTCGGCGGCCGACTACCATCTAGGAACACTATACATTCCCCATCCAAAGGCTATGACACCTGCACAGAAAAGCGCACTTGAGGCCATTGGAGGAGGGATATGGGACGCTGGTGTCAGCGCGACCAGGATCTTCAGTTCTGGTGCCAGCGTTCTCAACCTTCCAATAGGCGGCCCAGAGTCCAAGCCAGGATCGTTGTCATCTACGAATGGCACGATACCGTCGACGGCGGCTCGTGGAAGACAAACACCAGTATTCCCTAATGCTGCGACAGCTGGCCTCAAGGTCTTTATGCATAGTCCGTATGACTGCGTGCTAGCTATAAAGCGAGACCTTGCAGACCACTTTACCTGGGAGCTGGAGCATGAAAACTACAAAGATGCTTGGGAGGTCTTGGAAGATCACCCCGAAGTCATCAACTCCGCCAGTCAGTCGGTGGCCGAAACTTCACCAGCCAGCACGCCGATTCAGAAGCAAGGAAGCCTGCAGGACTTCTTTGCTGATGAGAGTGCATCTCAGGATACCGTATCTGCCGCAAGAGCAAACCAGAACATCGCTGTGGAGAAAGAAAAACGCCGAGTTGGCGATCTCTGGGTACAACAGCTAGTGAACGCAGGTGACTGGAAAGAAGCGGGAAAAGTCGCTGGTCGAGTCCTGGGCACATCGTCCCGGTGGGAGCACTGGGTCTGGAAGTTCGCACAAACGAATCACTTCAACGAAATCTCTCCCTATATACCCACCAAGCAGATGCAGCCGCCGCTGCCATCGATGGTATACGAAGTCATACTTGGTCACTACATCATAAACGACCGGATCAGATTCAAGCATCTGCTCGAGGCATGGGACCCCGATCTCTTCGACATCAACAGTGTAATTGAGGCTATCAAATCCAAGCTAAACGCTGGCGACGTCAGCGAGGACTCAATAGAGGGTAACGAACAAGGCCGAGACTGGCGAATACTGCAAGATGGTCTTGCTAAGCTGTACCTTGCAAGCGGTCGCCAAAGAGAAGCATTGCGCTGCTATATACGTCTGCAGAACGCTGATGCTGCTATGAGCATTATCCGGGACTTGCATCTTGTGGAGGCTGTCAGAGACGATATACCGGGCTTCATCCTATTGCGTGTGTCGAGGGAACAGATGGCATCTGCACCCTTACAAGAGCTGGAGGAAGCATCATCGGAGACTATTGAAGTGCTTGTTGAGGAGGGCTGTCGCAGGACAATCCCTGCTGACGATGTTGTCACACAACTCCAAACGAGCAAGAAGAGAGACTCCTTCCAGCCTTTCCTGTTCTTCTACCTTCGACGACTGTGGAAGCCAGAGCTGCACGAACGTAAGGCCAGAACGGCGAAGGAAAGAGTTGCAGAAGACCGCCTTGCCGCAGATGGCAAGATTGTGGCAGAAGGTTTCTCCGACCTTATGGTTGAGCTGTTCGCGGAGTATGATCGCCCATTGTTGATGGAGTTCCTTCGCAAGTCACAAAGCTTCGACCTGAGCAAGGCAACGGCTGTCTGCGAGGGCAGAGAGTACATTCCAGAGCTCGTGTAGGCACCAACTCTTGTCATATCGTACTCATTGACTAACGTTTGCAGACACATCCTCTCGAAGACCGGCCAGACTAAGCGTGCCCTATACCTCATTATTGAGAAGCTTTCAGATGTTAGCTTCGCAATTTCTTTTGCCAAGGAACAAGACGATCCTGACCTTTGGAACGATCTGCTTGACTACTCCATGGACAAACCGCAATTTATCCGAGGGCTGCTAGCAGAGGTCGGCACAGCCATCGATCCTATCCAACTTGTTCGTCGTATTCCCGAAGGTCTCGAGATCGAAGGGCTCAGAGACGGCATTGGCCGTATGGTCCGCGAATATGAGATACAACACTCGATATCAGAAGGCGTAGCCAAGGTACTGCGCGGTGAAGTTGCAACTGGCATGGACACACTTCGCGCAGGCCAGAAGCGGGGTGTCAAGTTCGAAGTCATACCCTGCGATGACGAATCAAACGAGAAGTTGTCTGGTGCACAGAACGGACTTCCAAAAGGCAAAGAGCTTGATATACGGCCCAAGGGAGTGGATCCTAAGACCGCAGCGAAAGTCCTCAGTAGCGGCAATACCACGGCAGCCATGTCCACGAATGCTGCGCCAGTCGCTGATCCAGCACCAGCAGAGGATCCTAAAGCAGAAGCACCACCTGGACATTGTACAGGCTGCCACGAACCTTTCACATTACCCACCGCTGAAGAGGAAGAAGTCATGGACATGCCTCTCCCCAAGTCTCGCGATACGCTCGTGGGTTTTGCATGCGGTCACGTCTTTCACCTTAGCTGCCTATTGCCAAAGACGAGCGCCAGCGCTAGTGTTGCGGCGACGCTACAACAGCAGCTTGCGAATGATGCGCTTGAAAGCGGAGGAAGATGGAGCAGGAGTGTCGGTGCGAAGGTTGCGCATGCGCATGTCATTAAGAGCGCGATTGGACGTGGATGTGTCGTATGCAGAGAAAGGGACGGTATGGTGGGCGACGACTAGCAAGGCGAGCTGTGCACACAGAAGATATCAAACTTCTTGGATATGAAGCAGGCTTGGGGACGTTCAGCGCTGTGTTAGTAAGAAACAATTCAAGAGAAGTGGCAATCAATTGCACGTGAGATTATACTAGAACTGAAAGTAAATGCCTGTGTCTGCAGTTGAGGAAAGTTCCCTGGCGCCTAATACCGCTCCTTCCTCCATCCAATGCTTTATTCAGCCCCATAGGATTGGCCACCACTTGAACATAAATCTCGCTCTGGATCACAATCGCTACGATATCGCACTACTTCTCCTTAATCACGATGTCGACCCCGGAGCTACATCCCAATGAATTTGGTGATTGAATGCAACAGATTTGACCTCATGAAGCTACTGCTTGAGTACGCGGCCAATACCAACGCTCGCGATTATGGTGGAACTGGTATCACGGCACTTGATCACGCAGTCAATCGATCTAATGATTTTCTCGCGAGCGTACAGTTTCTCATCGAGCATAGCACTAAACTTCTCGGAACTTGCACCCATATGGTTCCGAGAACCTGGAAAAGGCTAGGGAGTACTATCATAATCGCACAGGTGAGACTCACCGGAGATGATTGGCGATCATTCTGGCAGACTGAACGGGACGGCCTATTGAAGAACTCATGACTTATGTACGAACACATCATCATGAGGACTCTCAATAACACTCCGCATAAACGAGAGAGTACAACAAACCCAGACGCGGCAGAGGAATCTTGGGCTGAGTCTTGAGACAGCCTTATCTGAATTGACGCTGAAGACGTCAGCCGAGTCTTCCACAGTGTTCGAAACACTGTTCCACTCCGAGATGTCTCGGGCGCATAAGAAGATACTCGCTCATTATGTTCCAACCAGTGCTTTTCGAACCATATACAGATACACTCTTGTCGATCAACAATCAACTGTCAATCCTATCAATCGCGGACTATCAACGCAACCCACTCAACAACATGGCTTCACCATGCCCCTCGGTACAAATCAAGAAATCGACATCAGAACTCATAATCGAGATCAACAATGCAAAATTCATGATCTGCAAAAAGCTTGCGCCCAAAGGTTCTATTATCGACACCGCTCTGACATTTGTTGCTTCGTCGTTTATGAACAACCCTCTGCGATATGTCTTACGTATACCGTAGGTTCCAGAAATGCATCACCGGAGGCCGCTATTAAAGGGGCCGCATATCCGACAGTGCACTCTCTCGATTACGATTCAACTTTCATCACCATCATTGAAAGTTTGACTCCAACATGACCGCGATGACTTATGGGCAAAAATTATGGGATTAATCATGCAGAAATGAACTGATATCTCGAGTGCCTCGGAGCACGCCTCAGCGGCTCAAAACGACACAACTGACCTGTCTACCACAATTAGCTCCGCTCCAAATGACTTGAATCTTGTTTCCAACCCATAGGTCATTTCTCTAGAAGTACTTATGTCGCGGCAGACGCAGCCACTGTATGTATCGATGGAAAACTGCGCTGAGTTGCTTGCTAGCTAGGAGGCGACCATATATATATGTCCTGACACGTGCTAGTCCAAGATAGTCAACAGAGGTGATGATCAAGGCTTATAGGACCGACTTACACCGCAACAACTTAGCGCGGAGTTACTCGTCGTTTATTTTGGCTGGTTGAGCACGGGCAAGTTGACACTACCAGTCGCAAACGATGACGGATGGCTGCTCAACATCTTGCATCTCCTCCTGCTAAGTCGCAAGAACCGAGAGCGTGCGTTTGAGGAGGTGTTGTGGCTCGAGCTCCCCATAGCCGCCCGGTGTCGTGGTCGAGTACTACTAAACGGGCTCCGAGAGATAGAGAGGGAGAGTGTGGAGGACGAATGGCTGGAAGCCATGAGTGCGGTCATACTATACAAGAATGTGCGGTCGGGCAGGGCGAAGAAGATTGGTTCATAGATACAGTGCCTGAGATATTCCGGATCTGTTTGAAATGCTCTAGTGAGTACTTCATGGAAACAGTATTAGTGATCACTCAATTACCGTTCTATCTTCGTCCCACGAGATATACAGCTACCTGCCCGCTCGCCTGGTGCGCATCTTTGAAGACATGATCCCCTCTTCCACTCTGTATGGCAAGCACACACTCAAAAAGGGTTCCGCACGCACGCTCAACTACGCAACATCTTTGTCAGAGGGATAATGAAGCAAGCATACCAAAGAAGTCACAGCGCATAATCCTAGCCCCGAGTTTGGTCGTGTCGTGTGTCTACTATCTAGTTCAAAGGGAAAGCGAATATGTGAATGGAAAATCGAGATTGATATCATACGTGAACACCAAAAGACAGCCTCCAGCAAACCATCTGTACAAGCAGCCGAAGCCCAAACTCCAAATGTCGGCAGGTGAACATATAATCTAGAAGCCAAAGGGCATACCTCCACCCTGGAATTTGAAGCTGCCGCCACCACCGGGGAAGCCGCCACCCTGCTTGAACATGAACTGCTGTCCTCCGAACGGAGAGCCGTGGAAGGGATTACCGCCCTGCTGCTGCTCAGGGTTGTTCGGGTCGTCGCCGCGGTCGAATCGTTCCTTGAGTTCGGGATCAGAGAGGACTTCGTATGCTTCGTTGACGGCGGCCATCTTCTTCTGCGCCTCGTCGGGCGTCATGTCCTGCGCGCCAGCCTTATCGGGGTGGTACATCTTCGTCGCCTTGCGCCAAGCCTTTTTTATCTCGCGCTCGTCAGCGTCGCGCGTCAGGCCGAGGACCTTGTAGTAGTCCTTTGTCTTTGAGCGCTTGAGCAGGGTTTGTGCTTTTTGGAGGAGTTCTTGGATGCGCTGATGCTGGTGGTGTTCCTTTGCATGTTCGAGTGTGCGCACTGCCTCTTCGAATTGATCCTTCGCGAGTTCGAGCTGGGCGCGATTGAGAAGGCCGTGAAGCGAGTCTGGGTTGAGGGTCAGGGCTTCGGTGCAGTAGGGTGTGCCTTTCTTGAGGTTGTTCATCTCGTTGTAGGCTTCGCAGGTCATTTCGAGAAGCTGCTTGAAGAGCCCTGACGGTGAGTTCTTGTAGATGTAGCCCGCTTCGATGTAATCTTGGAAGTCTTGCTTGACCTCCTTCAATAGGCCGGGTTCGTCCTCCCCACGGTCGATCAGGAGCTTCGATGCGGTTGCGAACTGCCGCCTCTCGAAGTTGTTCTTGAGTTTCTTGATGTCCTTCTCCAGGTTCTTCTCTCGTCTCCTGAGCTTCATGCATGCCTTGGAGTCTGGATCAGACTGCAGACATTGCGCAATGTGCTTGAGACCCTTATCTGTCTCGCCAAGGGAGTAGAAGGCCATGGCTGAGCTCTGGAGATGGGGCTCGACTACGCCCTTGTTGATCTGCAGAAGGTGCTGCAGGTCTGCAATTCCCTCGACAACCTCGCCCTTCTCAAATCGACATCTGGCCCTGGTCTTGCGGATGTCGTAGGCTCCACCAGCTACCACAATGGCCGTGCCTGCCTGCTGGATGCAAGCATCCCATTCGCCCTTCTCAGCCGCCTCTTGTGCAATGACAGCGGCGCCCTGTGCCTCGTCGAGCTGTGCGATCTCATCTGACTTGTTTGCTGCCTCGTAGTCCTTGCGCGCAGCCACCCAATCGGCCTTCCTGGCCTTTATCTTGGCCCTCTGTAACAGCGCCCCCTCGAATCCAGGCTTCAGGTCGAGCACTTTGTTGAAGTCATGCTCAGCCTGCTGTGTCCTGCCGAGGGACAGGTATGCGGCGCCGCGCCTGAAGAAGGTGAGGTAGTTCTTGGGGTCTCGCTGGATGGCAACGTCGAAATAGGTGAGCGCATCTTGGGTGTTTCCGGTAGCAAGCTTGACGCCGGCGTCCTTGATCAGCTGCGACACAGGGATGTCGGCGGGAATGTCAGCGGGAGACAGTGCGCTTGCGAGAGGGAGCAGGCCCAGGGCTAGAGAGGATAGTGATAGTCGGATGATCATTGTGGCGAGTCGTGGAAGTGTAATGAGTAAAGGCGGAAGTGGACGTTGGAAGATAAGAAAGTGGGGAAACACAATGGTGCGAGCATACTAGGGCATGAGCGGCGGGTTTGGTGTCTTATATGAGGGCTCGTTGATTATTGCGACAGGTGAAAGTTGTCCTCTCACTGAGAATATGCAGGGATATCCCTGTCAAGCGCGCCGTGCGATGACGCCTCATAGACACCGCAGCACCAAGACCTGCTAGACATTGAAGACTGCCGCATAGCCTGTTCAAATCGTCCTCTTCACTCGTACCGTCTCTGTTTTTGTTTTGATACTCCCACATAGCCATGTCGCAAATGAGACTGCGCGTCGACGGGCGGACGTTCCGCGATCCCCAGAATCGTGAGGTCACACTCCACGGCATCAATTGCGCCGCGGACGCGAAGCTCCCCGCAACCCCAGATTTGCCGTCGCACATTTCTGAGAAGTTCTTTGACGGCGATAACGTATCGTTCGTCAACCGACCATTCTCTCTGGAAGACGCTGGCACGCACTTTTCACGGCTAAGGAGCTGGGGCTACAATACTCTCCGGTACATCTTCACCTGGGAGGCAATAGAGCATGTGGGGCCGGGGAGGTACGACGAGGAGTGGATAGACCACACAATATCGGTCTTAAGGAAAGCGAAGGAGTATGGATTCTACATCTTCATGGACCCGCACCAGGATGTGGTGAGTACTTTGTCCCGCGGTCTGAGCCTTTCCCTAACAGGTCACAGTGGTCAAGATTCTCCGGAGGTTCTGGGGCGCCCATGTGGACACTCTATGCGTGTGGTCTCAATCCGCAACATTTCGCCATCACCGAGGCGTCGCTCGTTCAGAACACCTACCCAGAGCCGGACAAGTTCCCTAAGATGATTTGGGCGACCAACTATACACGACTTGCGTGTCAGGTTCTCTTCACATTGTTCTTTGGTGGACGGGACTTTGCGCCAAAAGCTATCATCGACGGCAAGAACATCCAAGACTACCTCACAGATCATTACATCGGTGCAATCGAACACCTCGCCAAGCGCATTCACGAGGCAGGCGACCTCGAGTACGACCCCATTGTCGGTTGGGAAAGCCTGAACGAACCAAACAAGGGCTTGATTAGCTACGAGGACATTACTGTCGTCCCCAAGGAGCAGCAGCTCAAGAAGGGCACGACACCTACAGCGTGGCAAGCCATACTAACCGGATCTGGTCGGGCTTGCGAGGTTGAGACTTGGGACTTCGGTGGCATGGGACCCTACAAGTCAGGGACAGCGTTGATCGACCCTGAGGGTAAGACAGCATGGCTATCGAAAGACTACGAGGAAAGCCATTACGGATGGAAACGAGACCCTGGTTGGAAGCTTGGCGAATGCATCTGGGCGCAGCATGGTGTCTGGGACCCGACCACTGACACCGTTCTCAAGAAGGATCATTTCGGAATAGACCCCAAAAACGGTGCTAAGATTGACACCGAGTACTTCACGAATCACTACTGGATGGCGCACTACCGCGCGTACAGCAAGATGATCAAGTCAGTCTTCCCTGACTCGCTTATGTTCTTCCAGCCTCCGGTCCTCGAGATACCACCCAGGATCAAGGGCACTCCAGACGATGATCCAAACCTCGTCTTCTCGCCACATTTCTACGATGGCATCACACTGCTGACCAAAAAGTGGAACAGAGTGTGGAACATTGACGTCTTTGGTGTACTGCGAGGGAAGTACCTGACACCTGCGTTTGCTATCAAGATTGGAGAGAATGCTATCAGGAACTGCTTCGCCCACCAGCTGACAGCCATCCGCGAAGAAGGAGCAGAGTACACGGGTGTACATCCTTGCATCTTTACTGAGATCGGCATCCCTTATGACATGGATGAAAAGTATGCGTACAAGACTGGCAACTACAGCAGTCAAATTGCTGCGCTCGATGCCAACCACTTCGCGCTTGAGGAAAGTCACGCAAATGGGTTCGCCCTCTGGACCTATGTCGCAACTGTAAGCCATTCATTCTCCGTGCACGTCTGTGGGCTAACGATCTTTAGAATAACCACTACTGGGGCGACCAGTGGAACGGCGAAGACCTTTCAATTTTCTCACAGAACGACAAAGCTGTACCTGCCGGTGCCTTCTCCCAATCGGACTCCCGTGCGTCACTCGACCCGGACTCTCCTTCCTTTTCAAGAGCTCAAGCATCATCAGATAATCTCAGCGTGACGCCGAGCACGCTCAAGAAGACCATCACGGAAGAGCGCATGAGCTCGAGCAAGAGAGAGGGCGATGTGGCAGGCCTGCGCGCAGCTGAAGCATTCATTCGTCCTACACCGGTCGCAGTACATGGAGACGTTTCATCGTACGGCTTCGACTTGAAGTCATGTACTTTCAAGCTTGCGCTGCACGCACCAAGCTCAACGCCAGAGGATGCACCTACAGTCATCTACCTACCAGAGTTCCATTTCCCCACATCAACGGTTGAAGTTTCGGGTGGAACCTGGGAGATCAGCTCAGACGACAAAGACGGCGTCCAGAAGCAAACTCTGCGATGGCGGCACGCCGAAGGTGATCAGACGATCAGTGTGAAGGGCGTGGTGAGGAAGCAGGGCGGTGCGCTAGGTACAGAAGAGGACGAGGGGTATCTGCAGCAGTGTCAGAAGCAGAACTGCGCAGTTATGTAGGTGCCAAGCATTCACAATGATCATCAGGAGATGGTTACACGAGTTTCCCCGCGAAAGAAGTCCCCGTCATGTGCAGATACAGATACTTGGGTCGACGGCCGGCTATCGATGGTGTGCATGTCTTTGTTGAGGTCTGGCCAATGGCCGCCCGCTCTGATGTAATGGTCGTTCCACCCTCAGGTCACGCTGGTCAGCTCTTTTGCACGCAAATTGCTCGGACGTATTGTCGCACCCAATACTCACCGTACTCATCAAGCCGTGGCGTAGTCAGTCGACGGCGGAATGTATATAGAACCTGGTGTTGCGCGGTGGACCTGGAAACGAGTCGTCATCAAATCTGCGTGCTAGGCAGCTGACACCGCGCCCATTCGACGCGTACCTACCTGCTCGACGCGTCTGTGAGACGGCGACGTGAAACATGAGTCTTGTCTTCTCACCGCACATTGCACACGGCAGCGCGCCATGTTTGTGGAAGCTTTAACCGTGTGCTAACGCGCTGCACCGACCGACTTTTGGGTTGAGCGGTGACGGCGTGCTGCGCCAAAGCTTCGAAAGGTCTTCCACCAAAGTTGTGCCTGCATTCTTTCTCGCAGTTAGTTTGCCCGAACGCACCCCGCGCCGCAGCCTTCAGAGCTCCCGCAGCCTGCATCACCACGATCTGCATCCGTCATCGTATTAATCAAGGCACAGGACGTCTTTCAAGGGCTCGGCCTAGCCCCGCGCAAGCTGCACACCTCGGCAGCCGCCTGCATGATGAACGCTGCGGTCGACGGACCGCCAGTCCTCCAAAACGGCGGCGGCGCTGCACCGCAGAGCAACGGCCATGCCTCCGACTTCTCACAGGTGCTTGAGGCCATACAGGCCGTGTATGCACCTACCAGCAGCAACGAGACCCGCCGTCAAGCCACCGAATACCTCGAGCAGGCTAGGCGGGACCCCCATGCACCCTCACATGGCTACACACTGGCCACTGACCAGTCGCTGCTGGTGCACGTCCGATACTACGGCCTCGGTCTGCTGGAGTATTCCATCAAGTACAGCTGGGACGATTTCACCGTCGACCAGGGCACCGTGCTGAAGGACTACGTGCTGAAACTTGCGAGGAATGTCACTGAGAACGACCAGGTGTACTTCAGGAACAAAGTCGCGCAGCTATGGACCGAAGTCGCCAAACGAAACTGGGGTGCTGAGTGGCTGAACATGGACGAGCAGCTGGTCTCTCTCTGGACGACCTCCCTCCACCACCAAGCCATCGTTCTCTACGTCCTCGAAACGCTGTCCGAGGAGGTCTTCAACCGTGAAGATGCCACTGCGGGCCTGCGAGGCAGTGATCTGGGTCGTGCGTGCGTTGAGATCTTCACACCGCTGCAAGTGCTGCAGGAGCAGCTGCCTACACGAGACAAGAGTCTGGACGTACGGTTCGGCGACGAAGGGTGGCTGCAGAGGCTATGCGATAACTTGGGCTGGTGTTTGGGACAAGACTACCAGAACCAGGAGGCAATTCGGACGTCTGGCGTCAAGACGATGAATGCGCTGCGAGCTGCCATGCCCTGGATCATCCCAAAGGCGATAGCTGCGACGGGCGTCATTGAGGCAGTCTGCAAGGCGCTCTCGGTACCTGTGGTAGAGCTGCAGCTGGTACGGAACACTTCGAAACAGAGCACAGTACATACTAACACATCTAGGCCGCCGTCGAAGTCCTGCAAGCCATCTACAGCCGAAGCCACCTCAACGATGACGAGTTTCAGGAGCTTGTGTGCCCAATGTTCACACCTGGCAGCATCTCGTTACTGCGCGAGGTGTACAACTGGGCGATATCTGACATGAACATCGATGACCTAGACGACCAGAAATACACGCTGTGCAAGAAGCTGTCAGAGGTATCCTTCCGCTGCCAAGTCTCCATTACCCCTGAGATCTTACTAATACTGCTCTAGCTGGCGAATAGTCTCGGTCTGTTCATCGAACAGAAGCCCCAAAGCATTCCTGACAGCAGTGATCTGTCCGGCATCTTCGGCTTCCTCTACGACATCCTACGAAATCCCAGCCTCGTCATCTCGATACCTGTCCTTCATTGTTGGACCAAGCTTCTGCGGTCACGCATGGTCCGAGATTCCGATGTCGTCAACTCGATGGTTGGCGGCCTGCTGGAGACATGCTGTGCACGTCTGATCCGCTACGAATCGTTGCCTGAAGACACTGAAGACGTGACCCTGCAATTCTTGAATGAAGACATCGACACAGTCCCAGAGCGGCATGCCTTCCTGGGCAACTACCGCAGGTTTTGTGCCGATGTTGTCGAGGTACTCGTCCGGAGAACACCAGTCGATGCCATGCAACACATCCTTGCTCAAGCCGCAAGCATGCTCTCAAACTTGTACAGCGACAAGCCCGCTTTCCAGCAACAGACATTCTCCAAGAACTCTGCTGCGGTCTTGCAAGTTGATGCTCAGGTCACAGTCATCGAAGCGGCGATCAAGGGCTACCTAAAGTGGCTCAACACACAAGGTGAAGACATGCAAGCAGATGAGCGGAAGCGCGCGACTTTGGAGAACTCGTTCGAGGACTGGGGACGGCAAATACTCCAAGCACGGTTTGAGGATCCTGAAATCGCAAAGAAGATCATCTCGCTCATGTCTACATTCTCCACAAAAGCATTACCAGACCGCTCTGCCTTTGCACTGAGTTTCCTTGAGTACATGCTCACGATTCGACTTGCCGACAATCCCAACTTTGCCCAGTACTCTGATGCAGTCAAGGATCTTGAGCGCATTTGCAGTCTGGAGATGCAAAAGCTGGCGATGAAGTTCGCCGATGACTTTATGAACGTATACGACCAACTAGAGAACAAGGTCAACGAGATGATCGCTGATCCCACGACCGACGAACGTCAGCGGATGGCATACTCCGCTTTCCTTTTCATTATCATTCATAGATGTACGACATTAGACAAGTCGACGCAAGAGCAGCGCATGAGGCAGATGTTGAACCAAGTCAAGGACGCGTGGGCCAACGATAGTTTCTCCAAGTCCATTTCAGAGTTCCAGTCTTTCTGCGGTATTCTCGGCATGGGTCAGCTGCCCGAGTTCCTTGCCGCCAACAATTTCCGTGGTGTGCAAGACTGGTCGAGTCAGCCGCTTGGAAGCGATGGTCAGGCTCTCCAGGCTGCGGTCCTGGAGCGGTCGCAACAGCTGCCGTTGCGATTAACCAAGACCATGCTCGCAGCTTCGACTGAGAAACTGCGAGACGGCTCCCCGGCGTATGAAACTGCCGCTGCACTCTGGGCAGAGGCGATCCCAACACTCCTTCCAAATCTTCTACAGCTTATCAGCCACGCCCAAGCATTCAACGACATCGACAGCAACTGGTCACACCTACCACCTGAGCTTCAACAGGTCATTCGTAGGGTGTTGACAGACCGCTTCTGGCAGGCAGGTATCTCGACAGAGAGCAGGGATGACTTCTTCGCAAGAGTTAGTGGCTCCAAGTCCACCTACGAAGGCTTTGCATCGACTATTAGGGGCACGGTGCGACAGATCAGGGAGAGCTCATACTACATCTTGTACTCTCTGACAAAGTTTCGAGACCATTTCTATGGTATCTCAGAGCTTCCTGGGCCGCTCAGTCAAGCACTCTTTGGGCACGCTCACGCTCTGACAGCACATCATTTGTCCGTTCTGCTCACAGTCTCGACACATCTGATCGAGGGTTGTCCAGCACATCTTCGATCACACTTCTTGCCACCCATGGTTCAAGGCCTGTTCAGGGAGCTGGATAGGAAGATCTGTACTGAGTGGGACGAGGTCGCTCGTCAGGTGGCGGAGTCGGGGGAGAACGACAACTTGACTGATGAGATGAAGACGGAGAGCATTCTTCGCCAACTTACGTACTCATCCGTCTCGCTGGTCGCCGTCCTCCTTGATTCGAGACAAGGTACGTCAGAGACTCAAGAATCCACTCCCGTTTTGCGGATTCATTGCAGGTGATAGATGAAACTAACAAACCACAGAATTCGGGCGCTCAGAAGACACCCCACGCGACCCTAGCGGTCCCCCAATGTGCGACTTCCTCCTCTTGACCCCCTCCGTCCTCGAACCTATCCTCATGTTCTGCAACTCCACGATCCGTGTCCGCGACACCCGCTCTGTGGTAGTTATCGTCCGCGTCCTGCGCAACCTCCTTCCACGCTTCAAAGAGAAGTCTCCCATCCGCGACTACTTCTGTAACGACATCCTCAAGTCCGCCATAACGTCCCTCCACGAACCCTACTTTGTCGACTGTCAAAAAGAACTCGCCAGCCTCATAGCAGGTATAATCCATATCGACGACGAGATCCCCAGATCTATCATCTTGAGTTTGCCTGGAATGGGCGACTACAGTCGCGTCGACCGCCGTCTCGCGAAGCTGCGCAGCGCAAACCGCAGCGACGAGCGTATGCAACGCTCCATCGTGCTCGATCTGCTGAGCTCTATCAAGGGCGTGAGTATCCATGAGCAGGGCAAGATCCAGCGCAGCGCGCCCAAGAAGCGGTCCGCAGCCATGGAGCAGTACATGGCTGTCGATCAAGCGCCTAGTATCGTTCGCGGCACGAGTCCGGGTTTGGCGGGCGTCGCGGATATGTTCGACGAGTCCTAGGAGGACGCGAGGATCGACACGGGGATCCCCACCAAGAGCGATTGGAAACCGGGACTCTGGAGGGCGTGCACGCACCAGCCGGGCGAGGAGAGCTGCTCGCATAGAGGGGAACGTGCCTATGGGAAGTGTTTGGTCGAGCGCGAGTCTCCCACGTCGTCCGAGTTGGAGGCTCCGAGTTCGTCGGAGATGGAGGGGTGACTTGCATAGCGGGGCCTTCTTTGGGTGTTTGTAGGTCGTTTGGTATTGGCAACGGAAGCATGGTAGAGTGTAGATCTCATTTGGTGCATTAGATCACAAGCTTAGAGGTTGTCATTAATATCTACATTCATGCATGGTTCTCTTGCTGGCATCAAAGACACCCCACCGCTAGCCCTCAGGTTACTTTGCTATCGTACGAATTACCCAGGAGATACTCCTTCGCCTATCCATCGCGCTTCCGAGCCCGAGTTGGCCTTGCGTTGCCTACTTCCGAGCTTCCTCCACAAGCTGCATCGGGGTACAGGCTGCATCTATCTCCGCATCGCCATCCCACGCTCCACCACCCATCGAGCCTGCCCTATCATCGTTATGGCTGCGGTATATCTGATGCGTAGCCGGGTTAAAGAAGCCGCAGAGGGAACACTTCCAGGTCCCTTCGTTGGCGAGGGGGCCGGGGTCGCTGTAGTCCCATTTTTGTCTGCTTCTTTGAGGCAGGAACAGTGGTCTTCTCTAATGCATCACCGGTCAGGTCTATGTTGCTGGTTTTCTCGAGGTTGAGATGGCTGAAGCCTGTTATATGGCACTTTCGAGGACGCTCTTTCGGCTTGCTTGGCGCCGTGTTGGATGGCGTGGAGGGAGGCGTGGAGGGAGGCACCTCTTCGACGCTGGGCGAGGGTACTGGCACAGACTCGCTGAAGAGATGCGGCTTAGTAGCCGAGATTGGTGGCTCGGGGACAAGCAGCGAGGAGGTAGTCGGTGTGATGATGGTGGACGGTCGCCCGTCATCGTGGGGGTCAAGAGCAGACACGGCTGCTTCATGTCAGCCAGAGACTCGCTTCGAATCATTGCGCCACCTAAGTTCTTGCTGTCCGTTGTGGACGTCCATTTCCTTGAGGACAAAGTCGACTTCGGCGTCGGACAACTGCATCAACAGCATCATGCTGCAACACGCGCCAAACAGACTGAGCAATGCGCGTGACTTTCTTCCTGATCTCATCGACCTTGAGCACATAATTTCTCCCTATTTCTTCGATCCTATGTCCGACTACCTTGACATGCACCCAGTACTCTCTACTCCTGACGACGCCTTTCCTCCTCATCTTCCGCCTCGTGCCCAGTGCCACGGGGGAAATCTGCTCCGCAATCCGCTCTTTCAAGTGCAGCAGTGCGACTACGTCTTCCAGAAGTGCTGCCTCCAGCTCGTACGCATCTTGCTCCACTATCTTGCGCACATTTGTGTACAAAATCCTGACGACTTCGAGCTCTTCTGGATCGCGCGACTTGAGTCTCTGTAGTGAACTCAGACCGAGCTCTCCAAGCTCAGCTGCGGCTGAGGGTGCGACATGCGGGATGCTGGCATTTTGCGAGGGAAGTGTGGTGTTCGAGGCGGTCGGGGCAGTGGCCATGATGTGTGTGTCGTTGCTGGCAGGTCGCAGATGGAACGCTCGCCTATTGAGTACAAAGATGGATTGAGTAGAGAAGGAGCCGGCGTTTTGATGGGATATGGGGGATCAGACGCGTTACTGTTGATAACAAGGCAAACGGGTCGCAGCTATGCTGCCTTCACTTTACCGTGAGTCACCTGTTGTCATCGAAACTGTCTATGATAATACCGCTATCGAGTCTTCGCTGCGCAAGCTCATCGTGCATTGCTGGTCGGGGTCGTTTATCGAAGGATCAAAACGAGATTTCTCAGAGACACCTACTGAATTTTAGCATGACCTTAATGGTGCTAGTCAGGAGCGTACCGAGGGACTCAGCCGGGATTTCAAGCGCTGGGTAAGTGTTTCTCAAGGATAGATACTGGCAATGCTAAGTTTGGCGTAGATTTAGAACTTTATCTCGATCCCGATGCGCAAGAACTTGATTGTATTGGCGCTAGACGCCACGGTGAAGAGAAAGCAATAAGGAATGGGTACATCAAGATTCTAGGAGCACACTGTGCCAGTCATGCATACTGATCAGGTCTTACTGCCACTCCGTATTTAACGTAAGGGTAGCTAGGTAGCCTATAATTTGATGGTGGCTTCCTTACGAGTCGCCTCATTAATTCTCAGCCTTGTAGGTGTACCTTCGTCATTGTTGTTACTTCCCCAAATTTTCTAGGCGCGCACCCCTCACATTGTCGCCGCGGCCGTGTGCCGTCAGATGTGATCCATGTGGTATTCTACCATGTGGTATTCTACCATGTGGTATTCTAGAATTGCACATGCTTCGTTTCACTCACTACACGGTAAATGAAGAGATACTGTGCAATTGACTATCGGCCAGAATAGCGCTGCTGCAATACGACTGACTTAGTGACATCAGCAAGGCCACGGCGACGTCCACTGTTCCGCAAGCTTGGCTCCCGAGACATAAAGCTTAGCACTGGCACGATGGTGGCGCATCGACTCCGCCCATCCGTCTGTAACGACTCCCGTCTCGTTTCGAAGCATTCGCCAAGTGCTGATGCAACACTGCCTGTCTGGAGCCGTTCATGCACAGAGATTGTGGCCTGATAGACGTGTGGCCTCACTTTGCAAACACACTTGATTTCAAACTCATCTTCTTGTTACCGGTCTATGGTATCGTAAAGTGCCGGGTGCCGAAGCTGCACACAGTGCGAGCGTGCACCCGGTGAAAGCAAAACAGATCCACCGCCAATTGAGTACAATAGTAATAGTTTGCGATACGCGTGATATCATCCAGTCAATAACGTGCTGTGTACTTCTGCGCCAGCAGTACGTACCCCCCAGAATGCGTCTAGAAGTTCTCCTTGCCCCACACAAAACTGAATCCAGGCTCACTCCATTTATTGCACTTGACGTGCAGTGTGCTTCCCAAGCCCTTAGGACCACAGAAGAACACACCTGCCTCAGCGGGCGAGTGGATCTTGCGAATAGACTTGAAGATCATGTCCCAGTTGGGACGACCGAAATTTGTTGGTGCGCGCAGACCAGTGATGGCGTCTTGTTCGGCATTGGCGTCGTTGATCATGATGTTTGTTGCGTCATCGGCCTTGATCTTAGCAGTTAGGTACTGTTGCGTGTTAGTGACTGTTCATAAGTGTTGTAAGATGTGCTTACGGTGTGGATCTCAATGTGATCCTCCAAATCCTGGGCTTCGATAGCGAGTAGCAGAGAGCGGAACCATTCGAAGGACCCGAAGTCACGGCAAATCCAGAAGAAGTACACCTTCCTTAGTCTTGTACGGCTCTGAGGATAGTTCATGCGGTACCAGATGCTCTTGAGGATGGAGGCGAAGGGAGTGACACCGATACCGGCACCGACAAGCACAGCGACTTCAAACTTAAAAACATCCTCAGATGCAGAGCCGAAAGGACCGTCGATGTAGACACGAGGTAGGATCTGGCGCATGGCAACCTCCTCGGAGCCCTGGTCCTTCTCGCCTCCAGCCTTCTTGTCGAGATTGCATCCAAGCGCTTGTCCGAGCTTGCGGGTGAAGTCACCGACCATACGAACGTGAACAGAGATGTAGTCCTCCTCAGGAGCGGAGGTAAGTGTGAAGGGGTGATACTGCCAGATCGAAACCTCGGGGCAGCAGAGGAAGATGTATTGACCAGCGCGTGTTGTCGTATGTTCCTTCTTGATCTGAATTTCGCAGACATTGCTAGGGTGGTGGATAACCTTAGATACGTAGGTCTTGTGACGTCCGCGCACTTCACGTGCAATACGCTCAGCAAGGTAGGCAAATCCACCATACATCCAGTACTCCCAGAAGACACCAATGCCGTCGCAGAAGGGCGCAAAGTCGGGCTGGATCATACAGAAGGCACCGTGGATGGACCAGAACACAAAGAAGACGATGAACATGTGGTGGGTGTACCAGAAGCGCTCGAAGTTGGCGCGACGAGGCTTCTCAGCAGCTGTGATGGCAATGGACATCAGAGCGAATAGCATGACGTATCCACTCCAACCCGGGCCTGTAGCGAGGTTGGCGAGGATGAAACCCATGAATCCGAGTTCGTTGAATGCGGCAAATCGAGCGAGGTTGTTCCAATGCGCAATAGTGTGGACCCAGGAGAAGAAGACGATAGCCCAGGCGACCAGCTTGTGAAAGGTGATGTTCTTGTCGAAGGGAATGATGTCGTTCAGTGGCGTGCGACGGGCCATCGAGATGAGGTTCCTGCATACGGGGAACAAAATGAAGGCTACATCAACGTGCAGTGTCAAAGCTGCTGAACGGGCTATAGGAAACGTCACGCCGAACTTCGCTCGTGTGCCGATCGAGTTGTCCTGTGGAAAGTGAGCTGTCGCTCTTTCACAGAATGTGTGAATCCTACCTTCAAGCCGTAGTTCATCATACCGAAAACGAAGACCATGACGTGCAATACCGCGAACGTGAAGACGAACAGTCGTCGATACCCTTCGTTGACCATCCACACGTCGAATTTCTCTTTGCGAGTCAACTGACGGCCCTTCTCTTCCGACATCTCACCGGACATGAGCATTCGTGTAAGAGGCGGCCATCTTGATCGCTCTCGGCCTGTGAGGGAGGTGGTATAGGACATGGTGAATAAAGATTGGGTGCGTGAAGGGCGAAAGTGCCAAATTAGATGTCCCTGCTATTCAGAGCCTGCTGAAGATGGCTGTGGTTAACAGTAATGGCAAGTAATGACAATGTATCTACACATCTGTTAGACTGGCGATGATCATCGCGGGCGACGACAGCCGACTTACTATAGGTGCCTGCACGAATGAACAAAAAAAAGGGTGTCTTCGGTCACCCGGTTAAAGAAGCACCGGCATGAAAACGGAGATTCTTGGGCGAAGGGTAAACAAAAGTCTATAAGCACGCGCAAAGCGAAATAGGCACAGCGAGGGAAGGGGACCGGCTCTTAGTCTATCAAAGCGAGGGCATGTGGGTATCGGTCAGGACGCGCGGAGACACCAGCAAAGCTTAACACAAGCAGCGAAACGGCAGCAGGAATCGTACCACCTTGGTGCGTTCACGGTCCAAAGCTGCGACGCAGCAGGGTGCGCAGCCTACGGGGGCGCCTCATACAGGCAAGGTGCGGCGCCCAAAGCCGCGCAAAGCCTCGCACGGGCGAATAGCATGCTGAGTATAGCTGACACGAGGCTACGGCAAGTGGGAAGGTAGTGCCATGAAACCCGAATGGGTAGGGCGTTTTGGTGTTCTCTCAGTGGGTGGAAGTGTGAGGTGTTTGAGATTCGTCGCGGAGGCTGGTCTCAAACGCTTGGCTGGTTCGCATTGGCGCTTGCCGCCCGCTCGAGGTTAGCCGTCGATCCTCATAGTCCTTTTCTTATCAATGGCTTCACGGCAGTTCCTGAGGCACACAGAGATACTGAGAATGGCCCAGACAAGAAGCGGGGACACATCGATGAGGCTTGGAAGTGACAGCTGTAACCGCCAGATGACTAGATTCCCGATATCCTCCGAACCCCGAGACTGTGATGTCCAAGAACGTCTGGACTCGGACATACTGCTTACTTCGTACCGGTACACCGGAGCTCAGCTTCGTCTTGCTTACACGGATTATGGAAAGAAGTTCAGTCGTGCACGTAATTGCCCGGCCTCACACCATAAAATTCTGTATTTGATCTCGGCTTCTAGTCAGCGCAACTTCCGTTCCAAACATCTGAAGTCTTGGAACTCAAACGGCTTCCAGGGAACCACTGGTACAAACATACATCAGAAACAACGACAGCAGTCAAACGCCTTCACAACATCATGAATCCGCCTGAAGCGGAGATAATCTGTCCCGAGACCCATTTCGAATCCTCGCTCGCCAGTCAGCACACAGGTCGCGCGATGTAATCAGCTGCACGTCGACGATGCCCTTATGCACGTCGTCCAGCATCTCTAACTCGACAGGTCCGGGGGCAATGGCATTCACTGTGTACCCTGCGTCTCCGATCTCCTGGGCTAAGATTTTTGTCATGCCCTCGATGGCCTCCCTGGACGTGGCGTACAGTGATATCTTGGATGGGCCAATACGCGCTCCAACCGATGACATGTTGATGGCTCTGCCAGACTTTCGAAGATGAGGCATGACGGCTTTAATCAATGGTAGTAGTGCGCAAACATTGACGTCGAAGATGCCAGCGTAGTCTGCTAGTGTCTCTTCGATAGGGTTGGCCCGAAGGACGCTTGCATTGTTCACCAAAAATGTCGATCTTGTCCCCGAAATGTCATCTTGTCGAGGATATGATCTTTCTGGTGCTTCGAACTGCTTCAGATCTGCTTGAACGATGTGTATTTTCCTGTCATTCTTCAAAGCTTCGATATTCGAAGTAATATTCTTAGCTTTGTTCTCGCTCTTGGGTGAAGTGAGCACACATTTAGTCTACATTGGACTAGACTGCATGCGTTTGCACCTCTCCAAACATGTTCAATCGCCAAGCCGGCGCCAATGCCTCGCGAAGCACTCGTGAAGTTGACATTGAGGCAGTTGACATGATGTATATTCACCGAAGAATTATAGGTATGCTGGGAAATGGTGCGAGCTTCAGCGCCTGCTTGCTCCTCCAGTGTATGGCAACAGCGTGGCGAGTGTGTGAACGGCGTTTGAAGATAATCATATCACTCTGTTCAGCATCATGCTGTATGTGTTCATTGAGCGTTAACGGGTATCTAAGTCAACAGTGAGCACTTTCAGAATAATGGTGAACATCCCGAACGCTATCGGCTGCGCCTTTAATGTTGACAATAGACTGTAGGATGTGTATCCATTGAATTAGCTAACTTTGTGGGCGTAACGCGTGGGGCTGACTCTAAGCACTCCGAATGCGCTAAAGATGGCCGATGTATCTCGGGCACCGAACTTCAGCAGCAACACACATTGACAGTACACATTGGTCCAGCTGTGATAGGCAATGCTTCTCTTTCCATTATGATACGTGGGTATCGTCTTATAGTCTTGTAGACGGTTTTTCAAAGCCAGAATCAGATGCTCGTCATTCTTGCAAAACCACGCAGCGCTCTAAGAGAGTGTTAGTTTTGGGTTCAAAGGTGGTGCAACTCATTCTTACCCTATGTGCACAAACATTCGTCTACTACGGCGACTTCCCCCACCTCGGCTGATCGATCACTTCTTGCCGAAACCCAGGAAGCCACCCTTCTTCTCTACTTTCTTCTTGGGGTACGCTTTCCCAGTAACGAAGCTGATGTAGAAACATACGCCGACGAATGAAGACAGGCCGATAATGACAAGGAGTAGGGTGAGCAGCGGTCGAGCATCTGCCTGGACGGAGCGCAGGGCCGTCGGTGTAAGGATCGGTGCGAGGAACTCCCAGGCCATGATGCTGATTGTCGAGGTGTACGTGAAAAAGTCGAAAGATCGATACTGACAGCCAGCTGCCACCGTGACCAAGTCAAATGATCGAAATGAAAGGTAAAGAGAGTGACTGCTTGGCGCTGCGAAAGGACTGGAAGAACAGGACCAACGGGATCTAGGGTGAAGGGGGAGCACGACTGCTAAGTAGGGCGCATAAGCAGCGCGTTCGCAAACAGAAAGCGTCGGACATTTGACCTGACCTCCATTGCTTCTTGATACAGGAGGCAAAATGTTTATGGGCACCTCCAGTCACGAAATCCGAAGCGCCATCATCAGCCTGATCAGCCAATCCGGTGCCGTAAGCGTTTCATAGACGAGGCAGATGAGACACGTCGGAGACTCGGCACAACGCACGGCGTTCGCAGACATCGAACGAGAGGCCAAGTCGTCCGCTCGGGCCTGCGGTGCCGGCGCCGATTTTGGGTCAAAAAAACGGAGAAATCGAAAAATCGGCGCCAAAGTAGACAGGCCCCAAGTCGTCCGCTCGGGCTTGCGGTGAGCGAAGCCACACGTCCGGCTCGGTGATCGAGCACCATCACGTGGCCTCGGTAGAACCTGCCGTCAGTGTGGCGGCCTAATAGGTAATCCACAACGCGCCGATGCTGAAAGGGCCGGACTCGAGAAAAGACTTCTCACAAGCAGCGCTCTTCATCGTCCTTACTCGGACCTCCTGTAGCTATCACCGACTCTGTTGTTATATATCGGTGTGTATTGCGCGTCGACTGAACCCTAACACTGCAGATTTTGCACTTGCAAAAATTCAAAGCTGCAGCCCACCCTGAGCCAGTCGAATACATACATCGAAAGGCCATACGCGACTTCGCTCGGTGCAGCTGTATATTGCATCACCATCCATCCATCTCTCAACATGGTTGGATCTCTTCAGCCAGAAGACTCCCCAGAGAGGGCATCGTCCCGAGACTCTCCCGAGCGGGCTAAGAAGCGCGCAAGTACGTCGTAATCCCAGTCTGGCGCATCGTCGCCTGGACACTGCTCCTGCCCATCCAACATGGCGCATACTGACCCAGCTTCTCCGCCTGCAGGAACCCAGTCGATGCCACCTCCCGAGCTGCCTAGGCTCGTTGCTGAACAGCATCAACCAATTCCCACCAACGACAAGGATTCGCAGCGCCTCATTGTCGTGCTGTGCAATGCCACGCTCGAGACATACAAGGCGTCGCATGGCTCCGGCCGTGGGCCCGGTGGCAGGGAGGACAAATACAATCTTCTCAATAGCGACGATCACATAGGTGTGATGCGCAAGATGGGCCGTGATATCAGTGAGGCGCGCCCAGATATCACACATCAGGTACGTCGTGAAGTGGCAGCTGCAGGGTTTTTTTGGACTAACGTTGCGCCACAGTGTCTGCTCACTCTCCTCGACTCGCCTATCAATAAGGCAGGCAAGCTCCAGATCTACATCCAGACTGCACGCAACGTCCTCATCAGGGTCAGCCCCACTGTGCGCATTCCGCGTACATTCAAGCGCTTCGCTGGATTGATGGTGCAGCTCCTGCACAGACATCAAATTCGATCAACATCATCTCAGGAGAAGCTGATCGAGGTGATCAAGAATCCCATCACCGATCACCTGCCACCAAACTGCCGCAAGGTCACCCTCAGTTTCGACGCCGAGGTCGTACGCCTGAGCGACTACATTGGAAGCCTCAACAAGAACGAGAGTATTGCAGTCTTCGTTGGTGCTATGGCGAAGGGTAACGATGACTTCGCGGACGCCATCAAGGACGACAGCATCGGTATCAGTAACTTCAACCTCAGTGCCAGCGTTGCCTGTAGCAAGTTCTGCCACGCCGCAGAAGACGTCTGGGGCATCTTCTAGACGCAACAAAGGACCAAACACGTCGTCACACTGCATATTGCATATGCCTCTTAGTCCACGAAGACTATTGGCCCACCATCGACACTCAAGAAAGAGGAGGAAACGAAAAGCACGAAAAATTTAGGCAGCAGGACACGCAGTTGGCCAAGATCACAACATCGACAGCCTCTGCGCTAGTGCTATTGATTTTGAGCGTCTGCTTGAGTTTTCTTTTACAACAAAACAAAACCTCTGGCTCAACGTCCAAACATCGTTCTTCACTGAAGAATTGCGGAGCGCTTCAACTTGCTCCGTACCACCTGTGTTTTCTTTGTCATCTGCGCTACACTCTGTGTAGATGCGAACCGTAAGTGTCGTCTCGTCACTGTGACAGAACGTAGATCCAGTGACGTTCTGGTCCAGCCTATCTGGTCCCACCTTGGTCCCAAAAGTGTACAGCTTGTTGCGGCTCCGACGGAGCCTCAGCTCCTTAATATAGATTAGCTCGTGAGTCTTCCGAATTCACTCGAATAGAAAGAGATAGTCACGCATGGACACAACCTTTTGACATGCTGGACTCGTATTACAAGCATCTTCCTGGTTGTACATCTGTCACTATGCTTTTCAAGGCTAATGGAGGGTTATGTCGCGTGTCGCGCCTGCATCGGGAGAGGGACGGAAGGATCCAGCGACTGGGAAGCTGCGCCGATCTTCCATGATATCGAGAGAACGTATCAAAAAGCAACACGCCATACTAACTGATCTCTTTTATACAACGAACTCTCTTCCCAGTAGCTTGGAAGTGCAAAGGTGGTCCTCTGGACGCACGCCCTACGGTACGGTGATAACAACATGGCCATAGTGCGTCACAGCTCCTAGCCCCATGGGGACAGTGAACCTGATGCATGACGATGCCTGCCTTGGCCTCATTGACCATTCACTTGGCCTCATCGCGGGCCTCAATTTACGAAGACGTCACCCCATAACGATCGTGCAGCGCGGCGATATGTGGCAGATCCAGACCGCAGACAATAATAGCGGATGCGGCGGTCGAAATTCAGGATGGAGGTCTGCATGGCGGCTCAGCGAATTACAAAGTGTGAAGCGGAACTAATATTTACTAACGGGTCCGGCCCGCTGCCCAGATCAAATCAGACTCCCTTCCTGCTCGCTTACACTGCCACTACCTTAGCTGCAGCTGCAGGACATGTGGCAGCACGAGGGCAGACTTTGACATCGGCCTCCCTGATATCTAACGGGAGAGCGGGGCTTGCTGGGAGCGGCCTTTCCGTAAGGGTTTGGAACTGCCTCGCGATTCCGTTATCCTGTTCACGATACATCGAGATGCTGCAGCCGAATGGGGCTCTGATATAAACCTCAAAGTCGTGCCTGTACTCCTCTCCCCAACCCATCGTCGTGCATTTCGCCGGGCTTGCATTGCAACTTGTGTGTTGTTGAGCATAGCTCTTCTTTTTGATACTGTCGTTGTCTTGTATTACTATCATCTTTTGTTGTTTTCACCTACGCTAGCTGCGTGACCATGCCTGTCTCTCACATTGGTCTCACGGTCTCGCATCTTCCGACTTCATCCTCGTTCTTTCTGTCTGCCCTTCAGCCACTTGGCTATCGCTACCTTGGACAGCAAGGCCATCAGGTCGGCTTTGGGATACGCGAAGCAGACTTCTTTCTGTGCCAGGAGACCCCCGGGTGAGCTTGCCGATCCATGTTCCAGCACACCGCAACTGACTACAGCCCAGAATCAAAGCCGGCGCAGCACACATCGCATTCACCGCTACAAGTCGCGCAGCCGTTCGAGACTTTTACTCAGCCGCACTGAATGCTGGAGGGAGACCCAATGGATCGCCAGCATGTCGCACTGGCGATGACAGCCACTTCAACGCTGCAATTCTCGACTTCGACGGCAACAGCATCGAAGTCGTGTACAGCGGTGCACCGGATTATCGAGACGACGGGACTGTGATTTCACATAGCAGGGTCATCACTTGGGAGCGCACAGTGTCGCAGAGCATGCGCGACGATGCCAGTGTTATCAGCTCACGCACAGCTAAATCCGTTGCGCAGACCACGACTGATGTGTCGAAGGCACCGTCGGTTGCTTCGAAGGCACCAAGCCTCGTATCGCAAGCACCAAGTGTAGCCAGGAGTATCTCAGAGCCTGCTGCCGTTCCTCAGGTCGCCCCACCAGTGGCCAGTAGGAGCGGCGATGCTGCCACAACTCTCGTTGGCACGCTCCTTGGTGCAGCAGCTGGCGCAGCAGTGGCGTACGCCTTCGTGCGCAGCGAACGAGATAGCGCAAAGAAAGAGGCAGATTTCAGCGCGTTCATGGAGGCGAAGGATACGGTCAGGGCAGCTGTGGGCCAGCTCGCTCAGGCCTCACCACCTCCCCAGCCACCCCAGCAGGACCCACCGCCAGCATACGAACCAGCCCCCTCCATGACCAGATCAGTCGCATCAGTACACCGCAACGATGACGCAGGGTCCGTCGTCTCCGCTTCACCGTCTCGGGCGTCGCAAGTCCCCAGGACGCGTAGCCCGAGGCAGATCGAGGCAGCGCCTGCCAGTTACTATGCACCTGCACCCTCACAGGTATCCTTGTCGCGATCGCAGACCGCAGAGCCTCTCCAGATCGAGTATGCACCCGCGCGCTCCGTTGCTGGATCTGACTTGCGATCGCGGTTCAGCTCTTCTCGCTCAATGACAAGTCCTGAGTTGCGGACCATCGAGGCGGCTAGAAGCATTGCATCAGTGTCCACCGCCAGACCTGAAAGCAGGGCTCCTTCACGCGCCCAGAGCGTTGCCCACAGCACAGCACCCAGCTCTTTGATATCATCTTTCGTGCCTGATCATGTCTCCAGAAAGCCTGAGGGTAGCGCTTACTCGCATCACTCCAGCAGGTCCAAGGCGAAGTCGTCCCACACCGAGGCATCGAAAAATAGCTCGCACTTGAGAAACACAAGTAAACGCAGCAAGGAGGAAGAGTCGTCTGCCTCGCCTCCGCTGCCAGCCTCAGAAGCTCCCTCGAAGAAGCCTTCGAAGGCGGCGTCTGTCATCAGCAGCCTCTTTAGTCGTGATAAGGATAAGAAGTCATCGGCCGACAGTGACTTCATTGATGATTTGGACATAGACGATCTTACTGAAGACGACTATGAGACTGTAGTTCCTAGTGACAGCATCAGTCAAGCCGGCTCCTCACGCCGCTCGCACCGCCGCAAGCATCGCAGCAGAACGGACGAGCTCAAAGACGAGGCCGGAACAACGGTCAGCAAGTCCTCGCACCGCTCTCACCGGTCCCACCGCTCGCACAAATCGCGCTCGCACCACGACGACTCGGACTCCGATCACTCGACCGAGTCGAGGCGCAGACACCACAGCAGCCGCCCAACTATTGTATCCGAGCCCAGCGATATGAGCACCGTCAAGCCTGTCAAGAGCTCCTCTCGAGACAAGGAGAGGCGTAAGGATTCGGTTACCGAGAGCAGCAAATATGATAATCTGTTCGATCAGGTGCAATATGGGCACGGCTCTGTTCCTGTGAGGGGCATTACGCCCAGTATGATCGATGCGTCGACTAACCACAAGAACAGAAGCGCTATCAGCTTCGCGTTAGGGCAGAAGATGAAGGTATTTGAGAGGTGACATGCATCGAGAGAGCTGGAGATTTAGAGACGGAGCATCTGACGGCGTTATGGAAAGGGTAGTTACTTATCATCTTTGAATATATATCGGTCGAGCTTACGACCACTTCATCACGCAATTTGCTGCGAGACGTTCGTGTTGTACAACGTGCTGCTGTCATGCTCAAAGAGTGAAGAGTCGCGGGGCTGCACTAGTGGTCTGCCGCGTCTGCCGGACTCACCCACGCACAGGAGGGAATTTCTTGCACCTGCCGGCACCTTTGGACACTCCCAACTATACACCACCATGGGCGCCGCATTCGACTTTGCGCCGGAACGGCCAGAGCACATCCAGGTCATTCTCGATGGCCTGGACAGATATAACCCCGAGACGACGGGCACCTTCCAGGACTATGTCATGAACCAGTGCGAGAGCCAGACGTACGACTGCTACGCGAACCTGGCCCTGCTGAAGCTGTACGTATGCCCCTTGATGTTATCACTGTTGCATGATGAGCAAACAACCACAATGTTTCCTATTACCCGAGGTCAGGAGATTGAATCCCTCCCCCGCTGAAGTTTATCATATTAGCTCTATCTGAACGCAGCATCCCGCTCCTTTCTGTTTATGCAGTTTCTTTGCTGGCCATGACTGACCGCGACATTGCAGCTACCAGTTCAACCCACACCTTGCTCGCGATGAGACCATCACCAATGTCCTCGTCAAGGCCCTCACCGTCTTTCCCAGCCCCGACTTCTCCCTCTGCCTGTCGCTCCTGCCCGTCCACGCCCTCGCGCCCCTCTCCTCCTCAGCACACAACCCGGCCGCCGGCGACGCCCCGCTCTCCGAAGCCGTCCAGAAGCTCAATGAGCTAAAGAACCTGCTCGAGGGTGCTGACTACGCCACCTTCTGGTCGACGTTGGACTCAGACGATCTGTACGCCGACTTGATCGCCGATGTGTCTGGCTTCGAGGAGCTGATGCGCGTGCGCATCGCCACCACCGTCAGCCAGGCTGTGCGCGAGGTCGATCAGAGCATCCTCGAGTCGTGGCTAAACCTGTCTGGCGACGAATTCCAGCACTTCGTCGGCAGCGTGTGTGGATGGGCTGTTGAGAGCGGCAAGGTCAAGGTGCCCATCAACAAGGACAACGAGGCCAAGGGCACCGTTGTGAGGGAGAACGTCAAGTTCGACCGTAAGTTGCACCCTGGATGTTGTACTGCTACACGTTCTAACAGGTCGACAGAGTTTGCACGCGTCATCAAGAGAGCGTACGAGCAGCCTGCATGAGCAACTAACGCACTATATGACGATACGAGACGATGGACATTAGCTCTACACAGAGCGCGCGCTCGGCGAAGCATGCAGCAGAGCATGGATGGGCGTTGAGGGACGTGGCTGCAGCAGCCTGCACAGAGGACGCACTAGTCACTCTAGCCACAGCAATGGACTTGAGCTTGTATATACCCCAGCGATCGACAGTACACTGCCTTGACCTCGATTGTGCAGTCACCAAAGCCGATACAGAGGCTGATGCCGAGGACCGCTGTTGAGGTCAGGTAGACGATGAAAATATCAAAACTAACACCACATTCAAGACGTATCCCCTTCAAACCACTGTGATGACACAGAGATCTGCCCCTTGATTTTGGAACATTTTATTATCTGACGTAGCCGCAAATCTGTGTGAAGGCGACTCCGGGGACATCACTGGACTAAAATCCACAACGGTACCTACAGGTCGGCATTTCGCAACTTCCTCACAAGCACAGCATTGCAGATCACCGGCTCCTCACTAACACCGGCAAACTCGCAAGTCAGCACATGCACAATAGCAGCGCAGTCGACGCGATAGCCGATATACAAATCATCGACTTCAGCACGCATTCCAGCCCAGATTCTCAACAAGATAAGATCGCTACAGCGACGGAGACCGACAATGCCTTCCAGAGTAAGGGATTTTTATATCTCCAGAACCATGATGTGCGAAAGCAGCGAGTAGACGAATGGTTCGCCTGGGTGTGGTATCATTCTTGATATATCGCCGCACACTACATGCACTCCACGACCATATCACCCTATTTCATCGAAATCCGTCCAGATATTCGCCATCAGAGCAAGTGCTTCTTCGACCTGCCCTCGAGATAGGGAATCTCGCTCCCATCCTCCAAGAGGCTCGCACCTTGCGAAGCATCCTCAGTGGTCCTGGGCGGAGGGGGTAGTGGAGCCAGTAGGAGGCGGAGCGTCGGAAGACGGAGCCGCCATGAACGCGGAGAGGCCAACAGCCCCACAGGAGCACCGAGGCAGCAAGCGAGCGAGAGTTTTGGAATTGTCAGTATAGTGCCACTCTCTGCGAATTGATGTTGTGGAGATGTTGTGGAAGGCAAGCACGACGCGGTTCACGTTCGCGGGCCCTCCTCCACTTACAATGTCACTGACGTCCTATCCATCTTAGCCTCTGCAGCTATCTAGTAATCTGAACCGTATGAAAATAACTTAATGCGGGCGCTGTGCAGTTTCACAGTGATTTGTAGTCCTCTACATCGCAGCAAGCATCGTTGCGCTCACTTGTCGTTCAGTAGGTAGACCTGAGAAATTGGCAATCTCAGCCAGTGTATACTCGACTGCCTCCAAACTCGGGCGGCAGAGCTTGAACCTTTAAATTGGCGAGTCCAGGTCTTGATCTGGCGGGAGCCAGAGTGCAGACTTGGGTGTCCAGTCAAGCTCTCGCTGTGCTCGAGGGCCTCCAGGCTACATAATGGCTACTCATGATCATTCAGGCCCCGTCGAAGATCTTGACAAACCTGTCTTCGTCCACTCTTTGACGTCCCTCAGATCCATCACTTTGCCATCAGCGCCATACCTTCCCTGTGAGTGCCACCAATCCCGGCCCACCGCGGTCTCTGGTCTCCATCTCAACATCATCTTAATACGCTCCTCGATCTCGCCCTTAGGCTCTAGAATATCAGCCACCAGCACACCAATAGCCGGACATATCATGAACTCATTGCCAGAGCCACCAACAGCCACAATCAGGTTCTCAATGTCGGAATGCTTGTCAATCAAGAACCTGCGATCAACCGTATCCGCATCCCAGCACATGCGCGCAAAGCTGAACTCCCGTTCCGCAAGCTGTGACATCGTCTCGCGAAGGAGGAGACGCATGCGTGCTTCGGCCTCGACGGGGATCTGATGGCGTGCGAAAGGTACAGAGCAGAACTTGCCATTCTCGATGACAGGGTCGATGTAGCCAGGATGCTCATCGCAGAGCTTCATCCTGTGCTTCGCGGCGTCTGGTTCGATGAAGAAGTCTCGGTCAACGCCATACAAAACTGGGAGGTTTTTGTACAGCGCTGCTTCTTTCTCAGACAGCGGGATGTGTGCGAGTGCCCGGGCTGTGGGTCGAAGCTGGTTCTTAAGTCAAGGAGGCGGTCGCTGTTGGCGCTTGCGGAGAGTATTGTGCGATTTGCCATGTGTGAGACGCCGTCAGCGGTGCGTGCACCCACCACCGCCTTCGAATTGCTGTAGAGTAGTGTCTCGACTCTGCCCTCCCGATCACCAGTTACTAACTGTACCCTCAGCTCCACGGCTCCAGCGTGCATGGCTTTCAGGGTGCCGCTCGCAAAGACCCAGCCTGCACCGGCTTGCTTCCAGAACCCCTGCCACCCGGGGAAGTCGCCCTGCAGAACACCTTCTGGCATTGTCTTCTGGAAGTCTTCCTTCGTCTTCAAGGCCACCAATTGGACATCCTCACCTTCCGCATACTCGACGCAGCGCTGATATGCATTATCGCTCACAGCAAGCATCAATGAAGCCCGTGGGATGGCAGAACGGCTTGAACACAGGATCATGTTTCCAAGCTTTCATGGCAATCTGACGCACACGATGCCAGAAGTAGTCATCATCGGGTCATATTGGGAAGGCTCGTTGGCCTCTTCGCCAATCTTGTTGAGGTCGTTGCCCGCGGAGATGGCGGAGGGGAAGGAGCTACCACCAAGGACCTTGATGTTGGTATGGCCGCATCTGGTAAGCTTGAGCGCAACGGAACAGCCCCATGTTCCTGCCCCGATGATCAGGATGTTGCTGTCTGTCTGTGCGGCCATTAAGATGTGGTGTAGAGGAAGTGCGTTTTGGCTGGCGCCATGGTGGGTGGAGTAGGCGAAGCCTTCCTTCCTGATCCAGCGCTCCTAGATCAATGGAGTGCCTCAACTCGTTCAGCAATTGATGTCAGACCTTCCTTAGGCGAGTCCTGCTTCATCGTAGACGCATTGCAGATGGAAGGAAGGATACGCTGTTCCGAAAGGGGCTTAGTCCCGGCTTCTCCGCGATGAACGAGCGCGTTGCCATTTATTGTGCAGCGACACTCACCACCCGCCCTCATGATCCGCAAATCGATGGTGCGCCCATCGTTGCCGCCCCTAAACTTAGTTCCTACGAGGTCGAGAATAGTTCCTGGAAAGGCGGCCACGACGGTCAGGCTGCTCACAGATGGATCGAGGAACACGCGGACGGGCATAAAAATGCATTGGAATACTGAGACGCTGAGGACGACGGAAAAGTATCCGCTGTCGCTCAAATTGCATGAGAAGGTCAATCCAATCACAGAAGAGGCTCGCGACCGGAGAGAAAGACAGGGAGTCAAATCGAGGCGGAAGACTGCCACCACTCGCTACGCGAGAACCCAGATTGTAAGTCCCGACCTATGTGGTACGTTGAGTCCGGAGCTGTAGCTGGCCGCTGTCATATGCGTGCTGACGAGTATCCTCATAGACGACGTCTTGAAGTACTACGGGAAAAGCCTCGAAATCCACAGAGGATGCGACATCCTCGACATAAACCCCGGCGCCGGGCTCTGGTCGCAGAAGCTGCACGACTTCCTCCAACCGCGTCGCCATGTGCTCATGGAACCGGCTTACGAGCGATTCAAATCGTTCCTCGACCCCCTCCTCGATGCGCCGAGTTCAACGTATAAGCTGGTCCAGAAACCGACCACCAGTTTGGACCACTTCACTGCGTTGATCAACGAGAACATGTTCCCGGAGCAGACCCACGTCAATCCCGAGGACACGACCGGACAGGACCTGAACACAACTCTACTGGTGACGGGCATGCTGGTGTGGGACCCAACGTTGCCCGGCCTGGCATTCGATTCCATGGCAAAGCAGCTGTACAACCTCTTCTCTTCGGCTGTTCGGTCAAACGACTACTTCCATAGCTATGGACGCGTACGCACTCTGTTCTGGGTGTTATCAGCCGACTTCGATGCAGTCATTGCCAAGACCTCGGCTAGGTTTATGAAAAACAACGCCCTGCTGGAGATGACCCAGAGCATGGAGCTAATAGTGGATGGACCTCGTGCGCCTAGAGCGACTGGCAAAGGCTCGCCTGGGCGCGGCCCGCAGTACGAGCTTGAGGGCACGGTGCGCGCAATGCAGAGAGCAAGAGAAAACGGCATGTCGCTGCCCGAACACCGCAGAGACAAGGTGCACAATCTCGCCGCCGAGATCGAGGACATCTCCGAAGGAACCGGCCGTGTCCAGTACGGGTGGCTCCACGACTTCTTGCTGACAAAACACAAGGAGGGCAACACACCCACCGGCCTGCTCAGCGACCCTCAATTCCGGCACTACGACGATCTCCTCGCGCTGCAGGCAAAATACCCCGACGTGGATTTCGAAGCCATGGGCAACGCAGCAGATGGTAGGAAGAAGAAGACGGCCTCGTTCTGGAAGGGACGAGAAGACCACCCCGCGCGCGAAGAGGCACACAGCTTCTCCCTCACCAAATCCGCTGACCGCGCCCTCATCGCCAAGCACCAGAGACTAGAAGACATCGCCGACATCGGCGAGGAAATGTACAAGCTCGAATGCGCCGCGCTGCGCCTCGCAGACGGCACGCCCGAACGGGACGCGCTCCTCACGCAGATCGCGGACTTGGACAAACAGTGGGAAAGCGCGCTCGGACGCGTCGCCACAAACTTCAGAGCTGTCCCGCTCGCCATCCTCGACGACCGCATCTCACTCCGCTACCCGCCGCATCCCCGCCTGCAGTGGGACCGGCGCGCATTCGAGCCGCTGACCATGCAGCCCGACGAGGTCTGGCCCCCGACGCGCCTGTCGCTCATCAGCTCGACGCCGTACGCGCGCCCGCCCGGCCAGACGGCGGACTGGTACGAGTGGGTTCACGACTTCGTGTACGCCTTGTTCGCCAGCCCGTCAGTGTGCCTGCCCGACGCGCTGGACAAGATGCAGCACGGCGCTGCGCAGATCATGGACAAGTGTCCCGCGCTCACGGATCCGGATCGCGGCGGCAGGCTGCAGATGAAGCATTTCCGCGTGCGCCTGGTCACGGGCGAGATGGTCGAGCAGCTCGTGCAGGCGTATCGCGACTGGCCATTCAAGGAGCCCGGGAGCGATCACAACAAGTACTTCCGGTGGAAAGGGATGAGTGCTGGGAACGAGTCCAGGGCGTAGGCGCGTGTGCTGTAGAATAGATTGTATTGTACATGTTTGGTAATACACGGGGTTGGTATACTACCGTCCTCTGTCCATCCTCCTTTGTGCGCGCTGCGCCATGTAGGCTGTGTATTGCGCCTCCATCGCCGAGGCTCTTGATGCGGATCTTGATGCGGATCTTGATGCAGATCTTGTCGCCTCTCGTCCTGCCTTTCTGGCTAGGTCGCTGAAGTGCGATGCTTGCTAGGCGTAGTACCGCGGCTCGTTGAAGACGTGGTACCTGTGTCCTCGCACGCCCTCGCCCTTGAACAGATCTGGGAAGCGCAGCCCAGGCGCAACCTGGTCTTCGGGGATGACATCGTTTCCGTTCTCTGGCTGGTCGACGACAAACTTGCCAACCTGACTGTGTCAGTACTGATTCAAAACCTCATCAATCAAAAACATGGGTAGCTTACCTGCAGCTCCGTGTCTGTAATCGTGTGCCTGCTGACCCTCGCATAGCCTGTGCGCTTCAACCCCTTGTACAGGATGTACTCGCACCACCTATCCCAGTCGCTGGGGTCGATATCCTTCATCCCGCTCTTTTCGCCCACATATGTGTTGTAGTTGCCCTCGCCAGGCTTGATGACGAGATAAGACAGCAGAATCGCGGGGCGGGGGGTAGCCTTCATGAGCGCAGCGAGGTACTCGCTCTGCAGGCGGCGATCCTCGGGATCCTCTTCCTGGCCCGAGTGGAACACGAACACGTCGACGAGCGTGCCGTAGGCGTTGATTGTGGCTTCGATGGCGGGCGCGAGTTCGCCGACGGGGCTGGGGAGGAGGTGGTGTGTTGAGTTTACGATTGGGAATTTGGAGAGCAGAGCAGAGCCCCAGGTGTGCTTGTTGGGGCCGGGGCCGAAGTCGACATACATGCCCAGATCCTCGGCGAGGAACTGCGTCGTGTCCCTGTTGCCCATGATGATGCGCTGCAGGTCGGATTCTAGCAGCCCTATTACGTCAACCTCGAGTTCCTTTATCAAATCGCGCATGCGGTGCTCCGAAGACCACATATCGTTGTCGAGGGAGAAGTGGATCGTCCAGATGCCGGCGGTGATGGACTTGGTCTCCGGGTGGTAGGGGGTGTAGTCGTAGGTTGGAAAGCGAAGGTAGGCGGTCGCGATGGCGAGGAGTTCGAGGAAGCCCAGAACGTACAGGTAGTATGAGCGCTGTCTGCTAGCGGCGGCAGTGACTGTTGGCTTACCCTTGTAGCTCTTCAGAGCTGCAGGCTGGGCCGAGACGCTGAAGACACCTGCACCAATGAGGAGCATCATTGTGGTCATGACCCAGTCAGTGCGCTCACGGACAAGAGGACCACCGGGCACGAAAGCGTACGCGACGACCCAAACGTGGAACAAGACCATGAAATTGTAAACCAGGAAGCCAAGACCGAAAGTCTTAGCTGGAGAGTGGCGAGCTGCCTGAGAGATCAGGGCAGGTGCAACTGCCATGGTGTAGATGGCAATGACCAGGGCCCCGTAGTAACCAGTCCAGTGCTTGGACGTGGTCAAGACAGCAGCTCCAATGGATCCTACTCCATAGAACGCCCATGAGCGCGAGACGTTTGGCGCAAGCAGACCAATAAAGAGACCAAAACCCATGGCGAGCAGAGTGACTGCACCGTGGGGAACGGCGAGCGGGCCTCGAACTGGATAGCCTTCCCATACCCACGAAATCATAGTGCTGGAGTCAGACAGCAGAGAGTGCATAGCGAAGAAGAGGCCAGCGATACCGAAAGCGGACAGTGTAGAGGAACCCTTGGTAGGGCCAGGAGCTGGGATGTCGGCGCCAGAGCTGGCAGTCGACCTTGTCGACCTCAGAATGGCAAGGACAGCAACGACAAGACCGGTCTTGTTCCAGCCACCGTTAGCCTCGTGCATGATGGGCCAGATGGGGTTGTTTGTGTAGAAGGCGAACTTTGCAATGCTAGATGCGATCAGACCCAGTGAGAAAGCAGAAATGCGTGCCTCCAGACGGTGTGGCTGCGACCTCTCCCCATAGAACGTCGCGGTCCAGGACAAGCAGGCCATCCATACACCGAATCCAGCAGAGAAGAGGCGGTTCTCGGGTGTTTCGGCGCGGAAGGAGAGCAGACCGGAGAGTGACAAGAGATGGCAGATGCGGACGTGGCGAACGACGAGGAAGCGCAGCGATCGCACGCAGAGCAAGAAAGGAGAAATGGTGCACATGACCATGACCTCGTAACCAGAGATGCCCATATGCCAGAGTGGGAAGTCTGGGTAGTTAGCTCAGAATCTTGACCTGCGACGATAACACTTACACCAGACGCACACTCCGAGAGCAGTCAGCATGGACCAGAAGACAAACTGCTATGGTTAGTGGTGCTTCTCGAGCATAGTCATGTGATGGGACATACTCCAGTGTAGACGTCAGCAGCAGCATCAATGAAGCCAACCCAGGAGAAGGCTCCAGAGAAGACAGCGCCGATGTCCTTCTCCTTTCTACATGTCGGTCAGACTATGGTTGTGGACTTTGCTGACGGATGACGTACTCTTTTTCGAGGACAGCGTCAGAGACGGCTTTGTTGGCAGCACTAAAGACGCAGCGGATCAGAAAGTGGTCGTTGAATATTTGTATTCACGGCGGGGCGTCTATCTAGATTGGGAGCCGTGGAACGTACCCGCGAGATACACCTCGGACATCCTTCACAACAATCTCAAAGTTGGCAAACTCGATCATTGTGACTGCGTCGAATGCAACATCGAGCAGAACGAGCGACCACTCGAAGAAGGCGTAGATTGTGTACGCTAGGGAGTTCAGTGACGGATCGATGCGGGACGGAGTTTCGACATACCTCCAGGGATGCGGTGCACCTTGTGCTGGATAAAGAAGTAGACCAAGGGTACGAGGGTCGCAAAGAAGGACCCGGCGAAAAGCTTCCTGTACCTGATGGCGATAGGGTTGCGCGGGCTCAAGGCAAAGCAGCCAAGCGTCCAGGGCAGAGTAGCCACCAAATACGAGATCATGAATATGTCGTGCCAGTCATGGTCATCAGTCGACGTGACGTAAGTCCATCCTCCACAGGTCAGTGTTCGGAAGACGCCAACACCGGCAACAAACTTGGGGAGGGTCGAGTTGGGACGGCGAGTCAAGATGTACCAGAGACCGACGAGAGCCAGGCGAGGACCTAAAGCCAGTCAGACCGTGTCTTGTGACTGCAATGCCGAGGCGTACCAGATGTGAGGGCGATGAAGAGCATGAAGACGGACCGCTCCGGGTAGCGGTCGCCAATGGTGGCAGAGACGGAGGGAAACCACTCCTCTGGGTAGCCCTGCAGTTGAGGTCAGCATGGCGGCTGTAATCGCGATTGACTTGGGATACTGACGGCAATCTCATTCTGGACGATCTTGTGGTAGTGGAGCGATCTGGCTGTGTTCAGTCGCGCTCGCGGTCTGGCGGTGGAGGGGCAGATTTACATGCCAACAACGAGGGCGCCGACGAAGGCAGCTGGAGGTTGTCAGGATAGTCTGGGTTTGGAGAGGCGAGCCGGTGCATACCGTAGGCCATGGCCGTGTGCGCGTACGAGACCCATTTTCCATTAAACTGCCTGCTGTGAGCTTGCGGGGAGCTGCGGAGGTGTGGGAGCGCCTACAGATGCAACTGTGTCGCCGTCTCTGGATTTGGGCGCCATCACTAATCAATTGGGAGCGCTGCACGAGTGTCCCCCTGGGCTGAAGAGAAGGGAGCAACGGAAGTGCCGGAAGCAAACGAAGCAAACGAAGCAAAGAAACGAGTGTGAGGCTCGGCGGACACGCGACGGCTCTCCTGAGAAGCGCGTTGCATGTGAGGTCAGTCCCGGGCCCTGACTGCGGGCCAAGCCGGCATCGTGATTGGCTGGTGGGGCGTCTGCGGCTCTGGATTTTGGATTTGGAGCTCCACCCAACTTTTTTCCACGGCAACTTTGCGCAGAACGACGACACCGCAGACATGGCCGGACCCAGTGACAAGGCGCGCTTCTACCTGGAGCAGAGCGCGACAGAGCTGAACGAGCTCGAGCGCAAGAAGATCTTCACACGCGTGAGGAACTTACCTTCACACTGCATTTACCTCTGCTAACAATTCCAGGATGAGATCAGGTCGATCGCCAAGAAGCGCTCAGACTTCGAGCACATTATCAATGCCCGCGGCTCGCACCCCAGCGACTACATGCGCTACATCGAATTCGAGAAGAACATCGACGCCCTCCGCCAGAAGCGCGTAAAGCGACTCGGCATCCGGCACAAGGGCACTGGCCAGCGCAGCATCTACTTCCTCTACAACCGCGCAACAAAGAAGTTCTCGGGAGACCTGACACTATGGCTGCACTTCATCGACTTTGCGCGCAGGGACAAGGCATACCGGCGCCTGGGCGACATCTTCACATCCGTCGTCCGTCTGCACCCCACAAAACCTGAACTCTGGACCCTTGCCGCGAACTACTTCATGGACACGCAGGCCGACATCACCAATGCCCGGAGCTATATGCAGCGGGGTCTGAGGTTTTGCAAAAATTCAGAGGACATCTGGCTGGACTACGCCAAGCTGGAGACCATCTACGTCGGCAAGATCGCAGGAAGAAGGAAGATCCTAGGTCTGGACGTTGATCGCACCAAGAAGCAACAGACCGACGACGAGGATACAGACATGATCGCGCTACCCGACGTGACAGCAGAGGATATCAATCCGAGCTTGAAGCAGGACGACGGTGTGGACGAGGTGGCTCTGCAAAACCTGGCTTCGGCGCCGGTCTTGACAGGAGCAATTCCCGAGGCCATCTTTGATGCAGCCATGAAGCAGTTCCAGAACAGGCCAAAGATCGTCGAGAAGTTCTTTGATATGTTCGCCGAGTTCGACCAATTGGCATGCATCCCGCGCATCCTGCAGCATGTGCTGGATTACCTGCAGCAAACCCATCCCAAGGCAGTGGAGAATGCCATCTGCAGCTTCCATATGCAGCTTTTCAACCAATACCCCGGCAGCCCAGAGTTCCCCGGCGTGCTTGGAGACGCCTTTGACATTGTCAGCGCAGCTATCGATAGTTACCCAAGTGAAGGTACTCGGCTGGCGGAGGTCGCTGTTCGTCAGCTTCTGACTATTCAGCGCTCGACAGCGGACATTGACCCGGCTCTGCAGAAAGCCATCAGGTCGACGCTCCGCAAGTACATGAAGGCGCTGGGCGGCGTTGATGGCGATAAAGTCGCGAGCTTGGCCAGATCACTGGTGCAGGAAGGGAAAGGCGACGATGCAAGAGCGTTGCTTTCGTTGAGTATCAAGGCGTGGTCTACGAATGAAGAGCTGTCGGAGCTCAGATCCACTCTAGAAACATGAAAGAGGGGAGAGTCAGAAGACTCGGCACACTAAGCATAACCCTGCATGCTCTCACTTCGTTAAGTGATCGGACCGCGCGCCACGGCTTCACCGCTGCTGCTACACGAGTAACATCGTCGGTCACGACGGCAGTCATTGTACAGCGCTTGACCACGTCACCTGTGCGAAGCTATAGACCTACGACCGACGAGTCGAAAAGGCACTTCACCATTCGTGGTCAATATATCCCTTGGGCCACGTCCTGGGCCACTTCAATCGTCTCCACAGCTTCTTCTCGCACTCTTCTTGGCGCTCTGTTGCTTCTTAAACTTTATTCGGCGCTCGTTGTCAGCTTTTTGTCTGTAGTATGGTCAGCAGTTGAACTGTGTGCCGGCTCCAGCCTCAGCTTGCTACCCACAGATGCTTGACATGGCGCTGCTGCTCCGCGGATGTTTCATTAGGGACTGCGTTCCGCCCCGCCTCAACAATGGCATCGTACAGTCGCTTGTAGCAAGCATGCGCATTGTCGTTCTGCTTGCGACTGTCGTCGGCTTGGATTATGATATCGCTCGACTTGGCCGCAACGTAGCGGGAGCGGCTCAGCTCCGCATGGAGAGCTGTGGGTACATGGTTCAGGAGAGCTCCGAGGGGTACTCTCAAAGTAGCTTTAGAATTTACTCTTGTTTACACGTTCAGTATAGCGCGCCGTTTTCTGCTCGGGTCGTGATCGGTCTCACTTATTCACATTCTGCCCGCCCGGGCCGGACGACCTGCTGAAGCTCAATGCGCCAATCGTCTTGAGAGGGATCCCCTCTGCATGTAGCGCAGCGAGCCACGCCCTGGCCTTCTGCAGCTCCTCCTCGTCGACATCACTGCCGTTGCCACTGCGAGCTGACGACCAGCGATGTTGCACAGCTTGCGGGGTCTTGCCACCGGTAACAAGTGCGAGCGCTGGGCGACAGCGGAAAAGTTGCATGTTTGCTGGTCATGATTTCACGTTTGCGACGGAGCTCCATGCGTCAGCCACTAGCGCATCTCGTGATCTCCGTGGCTCTGGAAGCATTGGAGCGAGGAAAAGCCCTGTGAAGAAAGACGTGCGCCATATCCATCCCCACTCGGTGCTTCCCCAACAGCTGCTGCATCGCGCCTTCCTACTCGCATCCTCGCTCTTGCCACACCATATGACTGCTCTGCGCCCGTCGCCCTTCTCTGACGCCCGCTGCTCTACCCTAGTAACCTTATCTCTGCACGTCTAGCTACCTCCAGCCCCACCTTTGCAACAGCTTCATTCAGCAAGCATTTCGACGCCAGTTGCAGATTCTTCTGGAGTTGCACCACCGCCAGCGCTGTCAGCCTCTGCGCGACTGTGCCTGTGTATGCCCTTGAGCTGATTTCCCATACAAACCCTCATCTGTGCTGCGGCAGTACGCGCTTGCTCGCATACATGACATACAGTCCACCACAGCAAGCAGAGCACATCCGTCATCAACAATTGACCCCAGAGTCGCCGCGCCCCCAGCAGGTCCCCTCGCCCGCGAACATCCCCATCCTGAGTCTTGATAAGCAGATGGACCCCGTCTTTGACGAGTCTGCCTACAATACCCAGCATGCAACGCCCGCGCCGCAGTATCCGTCCGCCGCGTCGCATACACTGAGCGTCCCCTCGAACGCCGCATCGCATTTCGCCGACCAGTCGCACGTATCAGGCTCTCAAGCTGTAGGGGCGCAGTCTGCGGGGAATTATGCGCTGACGGGAGGGCCTTCAGCAGCATACGGCGGCGCAACGGATACGCAGACGCAAGATACCTCTTCAATCCAGAACTTTTCTGCGCGCCACACTGGGGCATCATCCTCCTATGATGCGCAAGCTGCATCTTCTCAGAACAACTCTGCGTACCCATTTGCCCATAACAATGCGTACGCCGTCCAGCCGGCTCCCATCCAGTCTGCCCAAGGCGCTCACTATCAGACTGAGGCCACTGCTGGCGGCAACATTGACGTACAAGCCTTGTTGGATTCTTTGACGCCGTCTGCAATCAATGCGATGCCCGGCCACTATGCATCTCAGTTCTCAACCCAGTCTGCGCAGCCGCAAGGCAGCGCCCCAGCCTCATTGCCCCAGCCGGCGTCCAACCTCCCTCCTCGACCGCCTGCGCAGGAGAAGCCTACCACACACCCCAACTATGACCCGAGCGATGATATCAGGTCATATCATCCCGGCAGCTCTATGCCTTCTAACACACAGCAGCGCGGCAACGGGCAACTGCAAGCTCCCAATGCGGGAGGCCAGCCATCGTCAACAGCAGCTCGAACAGCTCAGAGCTCGCCTGTGGCAGGCGCCAGTGGGGCACAGGCTCAACGGAGCACCTCACCGGGCGGCGACGATGAGGACATTCGATGGGGGCCGGAAGTGAACAGGCTGTACGAGGCGTTCCTGGATCAGGAAAGGAAGTTTGTGACGGAAGGACAATGGGACCAGTTTCCAATGGGCTCACGCCTTTTCATTGGTGAGAGCACCTCAACATAGCGTCTTTGAGTATTGCTAACCAGCGGTAGGCAATCTTCCCACCGAGAAGGTCACCAAGCGCGATATATTCCACCGATTCTACCGGCACGGCAAGCTCGCACAGATCTCGATCAAACAGGCATACGGCTTTGTTCAATTCTTGGATTCCGACTCATGCCGACGAGCATTGGACACGGAGCAGGGACAGGCAGTGCGTGGTAGAAAGATGCGTAAGTTCGGCTAAAACCGTAGGGTGGGCTTCTACTAACGACAACAGACCTTGAGATCTCCAAGCCACAACGCAACACAAAGAAGGCAGCAGAGTCGTCAGTCAATAATGCCGCTCGCCGACGATCAAGGTCACCTGACTACAACAGAGGTGCTGGAGGACCATCGCGAGATGGTCGATATGGTGGACCTCAGAATTCGATGTCGCCGAGAGACCGTGACAGGCGGTTCCGCGAGAGGGATGACTATCGTCCCATGCGCTCGCCGTCTCCTCGTGGCCCGCCTCGCGGTAGGCGTTCCAGAGACAGGAGTCGAGACAGGTACGAGGGCCGGTACCGTAGTAGATCGCGGACTCCACCTCGTCGATACAGAAGTCCATCGCCACAGCGCGATCTGGATGATGATCTGGGTCTGCCTCGCAGACCTTCCCATGAAGTTCCTGACATACAGGTCCTTGTTCTCAGCGAAGGCCTGCCTCGGTGAGTACATCTGACTATCTCTGGTTACATACCACTGACCTCTCCAGTGACTTCATTCGATATGTGGAAGATACGTTCCGCACTCAGAACCTGCGCGTCAATGTTCTCATCATGAGTCCTCGCCTCTCCGAGGCAGCAGTTGTTCGTAGGCAGATCATTGAGGGTGTTCTGGCCATCGTCAGGCTTGATACAAGTTCACTCGCAAAGGGCAAGATCAACGTTCAAATATTTGATCGACGACTGGGCGCCGGTAACGTTCAGTTCAATGGTGAGTGCTGCGTGGACTGCGATTTTTTGCATCGCTGATATTGTCCAGAATACGCCGATCTTGACCTTGTGACAGCTGCCATGCTTGTCAACAACTCAAAGCAGACGGCTCAAGCTGCCCAACCACCTGCGCCGGCCTACGGCTACAACCCACCCATGTCTCAGTACACCCAGCCAGCCCCGAACCCTTTCCAGCCTGCACCAGCCGCCCAACCCAACAACATCTCCAACATGATCTCGTCGCTCGATCCAGCCACGCTTTCGCAGCTGCTTGGCGCCATGTCGCAACAAAACAACATGCCCCAAACCCCGCAGCCTACTGCCGGACTGAACCTCGACCTAGCTCGCCTGCTAGCTCAAGTTTCAAGTCCCAGCCACACTCCCGGAGTCACCTCCCCTGCCCAGCTACAACTCCCTCAGCTTGGTCAGCCGCAGTACAACGCTCTCGCCGCCATGCTTGGTGGTCAGGTCCAGTCAGCCGCTCCTGTCCAACTGCCAGCGCAACAGCCCGGAGGCGCTCCCGATATGAACGAGATCATGGCACAGTTGGCCAAGTACCAGCGTTGACCGCTATATCTTTTGCATATCGATCGACCCTTTCTAGGATAGATCCCCCTGGTGCACTCTTTTTGCTCATCAAGATCCCGAAAGTCCTGTCAGCTCCAGACCTCGAGGCAAGTCTCTTCAAGAACGACGGCCAACGGCATCCCTCTAGGGTAGTCTGATGAGGTGCCGGCGGTATCCTTTGCAGACTCGGCTACCTACTTGGGCGGAGAGCCCTCCCAGCTTCGCCCGCTACAACACAAACACTCGGCCATACCTTTCGTCGCTCGACCTCGCTCAACATCTTATTATCTTCCGGCGCTCGGTCAAAGTCTTCTGTCTGGCATTGTCGCTAGTCTGTTTGACATTTGCGCGGGCGTCGTGCTTCGCTAGATATTGTATTTCGCTGTTTTGCGTTCGCTGTAAGGCATGGCATCGCTTGCTGCATTCTGCAAGGCGTTGTCGGCAATTACAGCCTAGTTTTGGGAGCATGCATCGTGATGGCGTTCTGTTTGTTTCCATCTTTAGCGATTGCTCAGCGGTTTTGAAAGCGTGTACAGCCATACTATATAGAACATTGTAAGTCCCTTGTAGGCGAATCGGAGTCGGTACCATCAGCACACCTCCACCTCTGTTCAAAGTGATGCACGATTCGACTCGCACGCACGTCGCCAAGAACAGGGACGCGTGGGCTCGATTCAGCCTAGTGCGTGCTCGAGGTGTGATGACATGGCGCCGCGGAAGGATCGTTGCAGGGATTCGGGCCTTTCTGCAAGTCGCGAATCGAGACGTCACTCATTCTCGCGTCGCGCATTGCTCTTCGTCGCTCTTTTCCAATCTCGCTCGTGTGGCATTCCTCCTTTCAACATAAATAATGAAACCACGGCCAATGCTTTCCTCCTTGGTTGTTTCAAAGGCAATCAGCAGTTCGCTCGCGCCGAGCTACGTGTTCGCGCGGGCGAGCACACATTGTCGCAGGAGCATGTATGCGCAGAGCACTGCATTGGGTTTACGCACACAATGGCGGGGGGAGAGATGGAATGCAGGAACACAAGGAACACGCGCTGCATCCACGACCACCGCATCGAAACCTCGCCATGGCACACCGCGACCGCCTACCAAACCCCAATCCACAAAACCCGTCGCGGCGAAGACATCGAAGCCCACCGCCCCCGCAAGCCTCCACACAGCGTCGGCAGCGAAAAAACGCACCGCGCCCGTGCCCGCCTCGACAGCGAACGCCCTCACGGGTCAAGCCGACAAACTCAACCCCCCGCCCTTCACATACGCGCCTGCGCTCTCGGTCCCCCCGCGCAAGGACGGCCAGAACTACGCCTCCTACCTCTTCGGCTGCGGAAAAGCATACCTCGCCTTCTACAAGACAGGCATAGGCCACACGCGGCAGACGCTCAAGCTCGCGAAGGCGATCCGCGCCCGCCTCGCCGAGCAGGGCAAAGGCGTCTCTGCCGACGTCGCAGGCGCGGGCGTCCTGAGCCGAGCCGAGTGGCAGGTCCTGCGGCGCAGCAGGCGCGACATGCTCCGCCTACCCGTCATGGGCTTCCTGATCCTGGCCCTCGGCGAGTGGCTGCCACTCGTCGTCGTATACCTGACCCCCGTGATACCGGAGCAGTGCCGCATCCCCGCGCAAGTCGCGCGCGCGCTGAAGAACAGAGAAACCGCGCGCCTCAACAGACTCGACAGACTCGCCACCCACGCCCGCCGCCTGCAGGCCCTGGACCGCACGCCGCGCACCGACCGCGACGGGCTGCGTCTCGCCGCCGCCGCAGAGGGCGTGTTGAGCCCCGCGACCAAGGTCGGGAAAGAGGGCGGCTTGGCTATGGCGCGCGCCATCATCCCGCCCGAGGCCAGCTCCGACCTGAGTCTGTTCCACCTGCTGCTGCTCTCGGCGCGGCTGCACTGCCACCCTAGAATCTTGGATCGCCTGTGGATCCAGCCCCCGAAGTGGCTGCTGCAGCGCAACGTTGGCAACGCGCTGGCGTATCTGACCAAGGACGATGAGTTGATTAGACGAGATGGCGGGAGTCAGAAACTCGACAAGGCGGAGTTGGAGAGGGCGTGTGTGGAGAGGGGGATCGATGTCAGGGGGAAGAGCGAGGCGGAGCAGAGGAGGAGTTTGGGGCTGTGGTATGATATGTAAGAGTCTGTCACATCTTGGGTTTGTTTGACTGCGGACTTGGTCATGTGGGTGGGTGTCTTGTGCACGTCGACGTATGCCCTTGAAGAGCTTCAGAGATGGGTTTGCATATATGGCGTTGTGGAGATACGATTTGATAGATGGCGCTGCGGGTGCGCTTACCTGGCGCCTGTACAACATGTATAGAAGAGACACTTGATCCATAGCCCGGGGTTCACTTCTTCAGCCCGTCGTCTTCCGAGAGAGTCGTACTGTTGTGACCTGTCCGGACTGCAGTTGAAGGACACGGTCACAGATGTCGAAGCCGATATCGAAGTCAGTGCTTACATCAGCACCGTGGTCTACTGTAATGAAGAAAGAGCGTTGTCGCGTGTACGTCTTGGTGCCTTCGACGTTCTACTCAGTCAACACGTCGACGTTGGACTTGACGAGGCATCAAGGCCGATCGGTCACGACGGGGTGCTGACATCGGTAGGCTGCAGTCCAGATTGAGCCATGGGCGCGAAGACATTGTGAATCTTTGGCTCGGATGCTTTACCGAGCGTGTTAATAGCTGGAGTCGTGCAGTCCTAGCGGCGATTTGTGACGACTAGTGCCAAGACCTCCAGGATCGAGGGATCGAAAGAGAAGCTATGGATCAGAAGTTGAGAAAATGCTTGACTGTCGATATGCGATGGGATGCTGGAGCAGCGTCAAGGTCTCTGTGCTTGTCAGCGTGGCATGGAGATTCGTGACGGTCGTTTCTCCGGACCGGAGTGAGGAGATGCTCTGCAGAGGAGATTCTTCTTTCGTGAAAGGGTCTACCGAGTGCAGTATCTGGGTCGGGCCTTCTGCTTCGAACACGGTTCGGCTCCGGCGGGCTCGTGCTTCGTCGCCACCAATCCCTGTCACTCAGGGTCCATCCTGCCCTGGTGATAATCGCCACTAAGATGGTAGCTCGCTCGAAACTTCGACATGCTGGACGGCCGGTGTATCCTGATGAATAGCTTGTCAGCTGCTACAGCCAACGTGGGATGTTCTTGCGTGTCATTTCAACGGGGTTTTTGTCCTCGGCAGGTCCGCATGAAGGAAGTGGTCTTCCATAGAATTCCTTAATGTGGTGCCATACATCCACCTCATGCCGTCGAGTGGGGTCTGTCAAAAGGCACGAAACGATTCGTCAAGGTTGAGAGTGCGAGATCGGAATCGACCAGATGATACGAGGCACTGTCGGTGTACCCTCAGAAGGCAGCAGCTTGAGCATTGAAGGGCGACATTTCCAATTTCAGCACGATCGAAGGTAAAGATCCGCCGAATAGGACGAGGCGCGTCGAGCGGATGTCGGATAAGGCGACTGTCGTGTGTTTTGCGTTTCCTGAAAGGTGCCGAAGACTAACTGTTCTCAGCCCTGTGCGTGGTGAATCGGCGATCGCGCTCCAGTCCAGGGTGAAAACCTGATCTGCGGTCGCGTTGAGCGGCTTGGTAAATGCTTAGTCAAAAGTGGGACATTTGTCGAAAGAGAGGTTGACAAACTTAAGAGACCTGGGGTTGCAGGTGTCAGACGTGTCTGATACCCCGGCGGTGCTTTCTTCCCGGGAGTATCCCGTGGCGTAAGAGGAGGATTTTCGAAAACAATTTTTCAAGGTCGAAGTGAGTTGTTAGGGTCCAGAATGAGGACTCCGAGAAGCACCATTCCAGTACCCCACCTGTCGAGGGTTCATGTTGGCCGTTGCTCGTTCAGTCAGGTCCCGAAACTCGTCACTAAGTCCTTCAGCCACAACAGAACGCCAAACCAAATCTCGACGCCAATACGACGACACAGTCAAGCCCGCGACCCTTTTCGAGACTTCAGCTTGGGGGATTTTGGGCACACCCATGGTCAGCAGACGTCTTTGAAGGTCCATCGACCGCGCCAACGATACATACATTCGCGACCATGTCATGCTACGACCTCCCACACCAACACATACTTCCTCACCCTCGATATTAGTCAGTAAAGCTGCATGAGTGTTGTCTGAGATTCGTTTGCTTGGCGCTCCGGGTTATTAGACTCCACCTACCGTACACGTAGCCGTAGGGAAGAGCGCCTGCAAGTCTCATCAGAATACGATTGCCGGCTTGGGAAGAGAGTTTTTCGAAAAGGGCGAGATTACTACCTTGCTGGAAAAAATAGTCGTGGGGTTCGACAGGATCAAAGAACCAGGGATGTGCACCAACTTCACACTCAAGCACGTCACCTGCAGTCATCGTTTCTGGGTCAAGCGCCTCTGTCATCGTGGCGCGGATTGTAACCTTCAGACTGAGATGAACAGCGCGAAAGGTGGAGAGTGTTGGGAGTGCGATCCTGGGCAGGCGCCACCTGCTGCTATCTTCTCGGATGGAAAGAAGATCGAAGTGGTTTGGAGGAGGGTCAAGCTGAAGAGCAGAAGCTCACCGAGGGTTACGGGGTCGGCATAAGGCAGACGCGGGAGATCCGAAAGAGATGTGGTGGATAAAAGCTACGGAAGTCATTACCAGTCTTCCTGTTTTCATTATAACTGAAACCTCACCCAGGACTCGTACGAGTGCGCGGATGTGGAGATCAAGGTGAAGGGTGAAGGGTGAAGATGAGCGACTGCGTTGGCGTTTGCACACCTGGTTTGGAAGTTTGCCGGCATACACTGTGTATAGACGCCTCTGATGTTTTGTGCCTTTCACAGTGAGGCCCTAAGCAAAAGACTGTTTGCAAACAGTCCACATTTGTCAAAGCGTGACTCGTGAGCAAGGGTCTCGAAGTTACAGACGGCCTGCAGGCTTATATCATCTTCCTAAACTGATCTTCACCTACCCCTCTCCACATCTTTCACATTCGCGAGCAGCACAACTGCGAAGGGACCCACACGGCGGACACCCACGAGCACGATGACGAAGAGATCAGCTGATACGATGACCATATCCCGAAGCAAGAGACTGAAGTGAGCACGAGCCTCCAATCTTGATGAAGACTTTGCAAGCTGACACCAGGTACTTTCAGATTCGACGATCCCGTTCAGATCCTTGTGGTTGCGGCAAACGTAGCCGCTGTATATCGATGGAAAACTGCGCTGAGTTGCTTGCTAGCTAGGAGGCGACCATATATACATGCCCTGAGACGTGCTAGTCCAAGGTAGTCAACAGAGGTGACGATCAAGGCCTGTCGGACCGACTTGCACCGCAACACTTGTGGGCACTGGCGAAGACGCGAGAATATTCACCGTCCCTGAAGCATGTCTCAGCTCGCGCTCACTCTTCTTCAAAAAGGTGTTGTCTGGCAATTGGAAGGAAGCAGAAGACCGCACGATCAAGCTGCCAGGGGACGACGGTGACACCCTCGAGCTGTACCTGTGCTGCGTGTTCGGTCACAGACTGCCTGTGGAACCCGACCCCACACCCGCCATCGATACAGGCCAAGAAGAGCGGCTAAGCCTGGCCAAGCTATACGTGTTCGGTGAAAATATTCAAGATGTGCGAGTAAAGAACGTGTGTATCAAGACTTTCCTCCAAAGTAATTGGAAGATTCGCCACAACAACATCTGGTGGAGACCAAATGAAAACATCGTCAATGTTATCTACAAAGGGACGGAAGTGGGGTCTCCGATGTGTCGCTTGCTTTTCGACATCCTTGCACACGCTGTCACCAACCCGGTGTCCGACATTGACGGCTATCGAAGCGAGTTCCTTGCCAATGTGGTGGTCGAGATGATCAAGACTCGCCTTGCTAGCCCACCTACAAAACACTACCTCAGAAAGGGAGAAGAAGCTTGAGAATACTTGGAGTTAGAAGGAGAAGATATTGAGTAGCTCAAACCACGCAAGTGCAACCGCTTGCGGTGCTTAGAATTGACAGTACAACATGTACCATTCGAATGTATATTCTACAGAGCGGCGTCTTCTGTGCTCAGACTCTGCTAGCCTATCATTCTGGAGCTTATAATGATAGAGAATGAATAATCAAAATACACATCCTCTTTTCAAGCATGTGTAGTGCCATTCCACTTCATTCCACACCTCTCATAACGCGCCTTCATACCCTGCGCGAATGCTGCCGTAATGCTGCCATAAAACTCCGTAGTTTTGGCGTTGTTTAAGAATTCTGGGTATCCCTGACCAGCCCTGAGCAGCTCCGGGTCCTCCACAAACAAATTCTGACTCATGCGGCTGACACCAGGGTCCCCACTCGACAGAGCAGCCATGAACACAGCAGGCTCGCAGTTGTCGTTGAAATCGTATTGAATCGAGCCTTGCGGCCGGACGGTACCCTGGTACAGGCCGATGGTGGCGAGCACGGGCTGGTCGAAGCCATCTTCGAGGACGAAGCCAGTGTAGAGGGATTTCCCGGCGACGAGAAGGACGATTTCGGTTGCACGGTTGTGGATGTGGAAGGAGTCGAGACCACCTGCGTGAATCGTTAATGGACCCATTATGACCACGAGGATCCTATTGACTTACAGGGATTCAAGTACCGAATGGCCATACTGAGTCCTGTGTTCAGCAACAACACAGGAAAGCTTGAAGCTTGGGCCAGATAGCCTTGTCCGCCCAGGCCATTACCAGCGTTACTGATAAAGCCTTCGGGTGTGAATTCAAACTTGAAGTAGTCGTCGCTGTCGCCAAGGCTCCGGATGTACTTCCGTTTGTCAACCTCAGTGTATGTGAGCTTAATTTCGTTGAGCTGATCCTTGGTGTACGTTGGATTGAGGCGACCGTACGTGGCATATGGGCTGTCGCCGGGTGTAGTTTGTGTTTGCCGTCTGTCGAGAGGGTTCCTGAAGGTATTTCCTTTTGGTGGATTGGGAAGTGGACTGGGCAGTGCAGAAGCGGAGAGAGGGAGCGATGCCGCGAGGACTGTAACAATGGACCTGTGTGATACTGAGACTGTATGATCTGACTTAGGTACGTGCGATTTGTTGAAAATGCTTTCAGTGCGGACGCAACGGCTCATATACCAGAGCAACGCTGCTCAGATAACCTTTCATATTATAAACCTAGAACGCTCTCCGCCCATCTTGATCAATATGCTTGTCTGTATGGGTACGATTCTGTAGATAAATTCACGGGATGTACTTCTTAAGACTAGCGTCGGCATCTGATTGGGCTGGGTACCTGAATGTTACTCGAAGATCAAGATGTCTAAGTTTAGCGCCTAAGATCTAGAGCCGCCATGCAGCATAGAAATACCTTGTTAACCGAGACACAGAGGTTGCAAGCTCCTGCAGACAGTAATCGGACCTATAGGAGTCAAAACCTGCGTTGCAGCCCGGCCAATGTGCTGCTCTCGCGCGGGTTGATAACGCGGGGATCTTCGTGGGAGATCGGGTCTGGTTGTCGTAAGTATGGCTAAGAGAAGATGATACGCAGGAGGACGTTCTACTCAAACAATGACATCCAAAAATTGCGGGGTTCTCTCATATAGCTATGGCACAAAGCGCTCATCCACCGTTTCGTTCAATTTGAGCATCTGCAATAGTCCGAGCCTTACCCGGGGAATCCACCTCTTGCCATCTTTTTGTCTCGCTGAGCCTTGCGGTTATGGTTCGCACTCGAGCCCTTGTTAGCCTCTTTCCGCTGTCTCGAAATTTGCGTGCTCTTGTCATCGGAAGGACCTGCGACACTGCCTCCTCGTCCACCTCCATGGCCACCACGTCCTCGACCTCTACCGCGCCCCCTCCCGCCAAATCCCCCTCTACCTCCGTCCCCACTGGCTTCATCCCCTGACCCATTAGGGTTGTTCTTCCATGATGTAGATTTTAGATCTCTCTGCTGGCCTTGGAAGGTTGAGTACTTGGCTTCCAGACGACGTAGTCGCTTTGGATCCCGTGCAATCATGACGCTCCAGCCTTCGATCGCTTCGTCGGTCATTCCAGTCTCGCTCTTCAATGCCGCACGAGCCCTGCTACGTCTCGTCTCTGAGTCGCGAGCGAAACCATCGGAGCTAATCGTCCACGCGCGGAACAATGCTTCCTCATTCTTGTCTGATAGATCTGTATTGGTGTCGCCATCCGGAGCAGCGGTGTCGACCGACGCGCCAACATCCTCAAAGTCATACGTATCATCTCTCTCATCATCATCAGAATCAAATGCTGCTAGTGCGGCGAGGATGTGAGACTTTGCGGGGGCTTTGCTTCGATCTGAGAGGACTTTGTCTGCTGTCAGGTCTTGATTTTTTCGGCCAATGTGAAGGCGTGAAGTTTCGACGGCAAGCTTGTCAAACTCATCGTCGTCGAAAACGTTTCGTCGTTCTGGCAGATACTGACTCGACCTAGAAGGCAGTTGTGACTGCGGCTCTGATGTGGACGTGCGCCTAGTGATAATGTCAGCATGTCTTCAATCACTGTGGATGATACACGTACAATTGCTCGCTTCGATCAGCTTCGGCAAGATAAGGCGGTAACGAATCGTCTAGTAGATGTGCAGTGGCTTCTTCGACATTATCGTTGTACGTATCCAGCAGCTTCACGACGAAGCCAGCACCAAGATCCGGGAAGAGGTCTTGTATTTGGGTGATGACACTCATACGATGAATGTGAACCTCGCCAGTGAAAGCTCTGTGGCCATGATTGTCCTCTTGTGCTTTGCTCTTACCCTTTTCAACTTTCCTGCGGACCAGCCGCTTTGGTCGAACAAGGCCTGCTTGCCGAAAGGCGCAGAGCGAAGCTGCTGTATTTCGTACCCTTGCTGCTTCAGAGGCGGTAGTCGTATCTCTGATCTTCTCGAGCAAAGGTGTGTTGGTGACTAAGTCAGCGACAAATGTCTTCTTTCCTGGTTCTGTCTTTTGCTCCTGTTCTTCGCTGGATTTGAGCGAATAGAGATGGTCGGATAACAGTGAGTAGTTTGGGTTCGATCCTTCTAGCGTAGCGGTGAGGCCTATATAGGCAGTCGTGACAAGCTTCTTTTGCATTGATATTGGTACTTTCGAGTAGGCGCTAGAGAGTGAATCGAGGAAGTCTGAACCAGTAAGCATGTATGTGCTTGCGTCTGCAGAGGCTTTCAACAGCGGCGCTATTCGGTTCAGAGTGCTTTCTGCTGCTTCGGGGCGTTTCGAGTCCAGATTGCGTATCAACGACGTCTTTGCTGTCTGCATTGACTTCTCGATTGCCCCACCTTTCCGCTTCCACAATGCTTGTAGTAGTCTTCGAAACTGCTCACTCTTGGTGAAAGCATGGCAGATATCCGCCAGCACTGGCCAGTTGAGAAAGGCGTCTTCAACATCCTGCCCAGTCCATATTCTGTGGAGTAGCAGAAACGACTTTTTGCGCAAAAAGATGACCCGTGGTGTAAGGCTATCATCGCCTGCTAGCTCATGGAAGAATGAGATCAGGAACAATCCCAGCGAATCAACGTCCTTGCGCACTTCTGCAAACTGCTGATCGTCCAGGCGCAGATAGAGATCTGTAAGTGACGCCCAAGACTCCAGGTACGACTGCCATTCGTCTGTCCGAATGCTCTGTCGAACCCTGGCATCAGGAAATGGTGCGAACTGGGGCAGAGACATGGTCGTTTGATCGCGCAGCTGTAAGGTTGAGAGAGACAGCTTTGCCGTTCATGCGCTTTCGTTTTCTCGATATATGACGACGTCAAGGCCCCACACCGCGTTGGAGACAATCACAATGGCTCATGCTTGCAGGTGCGGGACGCGATGGTTCTAACGCTCAACGATTAGCGTCGCCGCAGAGGCAAGCGCAACCATACCGCCTGCCTCTCTGACCAATGATAAGCCTGGAAGGAGGTACCCGCTAAGCGAGGAAAGCGCAGCCCACTCGAAATTTCGAACATTGAAGAAATCGAACTGCACGATACGCCGTCGCTAAAGCCAAACTACGCCAGTCATCACATTACCGTGATCCCCGCTCGATCCAGGTCGTGACTGCCATTTGATTCAATCAACACCACACTCCAACATCAATCACCATGTCTTACAGTCCGTTGTCCCCACGCGCGCTCAATGCGCCTGCTAACAAAGCGCAGACAAGCCTGAGAAGGACTTCGGCGAGGGCCCCAAGATCCACAAGATTCGCATCACCCTCACCTCCCGCAACGTCAAGTCCCTCGAGAAGGTCTGCCAGGAGCTCATCGACCGTGCCAAGAACAAGGAGCTCCGCGTCAAGGGCCCTGTCCGTCTCCCCACCAAGGTCCTCAAGGTCACCACCCGTAAGACCCCTAACGGTGAGGGTTCTAAGACCTGGGACACCTTCGAGATGCGCATCCACAAACGTAAGTTATTCTAGAGCTGTGTGCGACAACAGGCCATTAACAGAGCGCAGGCCTCATCGACCTCCACGCCCCTACCGAGGTCGTCAAGCAGATCATCATCAACATCGAGGCCGGTGTTGAGGTTGAGGTCACCATCGCCGCATAAGTGCTTAGCTGGGACATAGGAGGAATGGTTAAATCTGAACAAATACATGGTTATGACAGCTTAAATGCTGGTCATGGAATGGAACGATTCAGGACCAACATACGTTGCTCTCATTGCTGCTATGATTGTGTGAGACATTTGGACAACTGATGAAGGGCATACACGAGCGAGTGGTCACTCGATCACCTTGCGGTCGTGCTCGTTCGATCAGTCCACTTCATGCAAGCAACTTCGACTCGTCGGATGAGGCGAATACAGCAAATGACCTCTCTACCCAAGGAAGCTTTTAGGTTTATCAGACACTCCCAGGGATCGCAGTACTTCGAAGTAATTGACTGCTGTGCTCACGTCTGTCGTGTAACACTTGTTGATCGAAGCCCACTAGACTTGCTTGATCGGGCTCACGATGCATGAGCATGATCTTGTCGCTCAGATCGATTGCACGGTGCAATGCATTTCCTTGGTGGAATTATCAAGCTGACCTGGAATTATCAAGCTGACCTATGTAGAAGCACGACATTACAGGGTTTTGCTTATCTTCTACCGATGTTGGGAGGACTGGGCATGATCTGGTTTGCCACGATAAGAGTCTCGCAGCATCGTAGCAGCAATCGAGTCCCACATGAGTACAGCCCGATGAATGCCACGAGTGAAGCTGTCGTGCTCTGCAAAATGTCGTACTAACTAGGCGCGCCATCGCCAAGTAAAAAAGAATACCTTTGCGCCATCGGAGAATCAAGTGAGAAGTCATTTCATCAAAGATATCATAGATTCCCATGCGGGACCGCCAGACATGATAGGAGAGCAATAGGTAATGGAGGTTCGATGAAGCTGAACTCGTTAGCGCCGCGCGCTAGCTCTCTCCAAATTCCGCAGAGTGCGCCTTTCTCATCATCGACTCGAGGCGCGTCAACGTATCAGCGCATCTGCACCCGCACAAGCGACAAGAAATGGCCGACTCTGCCCCAGCCAAAAGGAAGTCCGAGTCGGACGCACACGGTAATGGCGATGCTAAGCGATCTAAAGTAAGACCATCCCAAACACTTTACCGAACACATGATTTTAGGACCACAGTCTCTAAACGCATATGCAACTTTGCCGTGCTGCATGATGCTAATGCTGTTTTGAAGGGTAAAAAGAGGTGGGAGATGCCAAGACGAGGAAATGCTGAGGTTCGACAAATCAACCCTGGTGATGTGGGTATCTGGGCTACATGTGCTATGAAGAAAGAAGCACCTACGGTCGCAGACCTGCGAGATCTGTTTCAGGGAGTGAGTTGGAAATTATTGCCGAATGCAGTTGCAGTCTTCACGATCGATATACATTGCTGACAAGCTTGAAGTACGCTACAAAGCTTTATGGCGAGCAAACCGCCAACGGGACAGCTGACGAGGAGGACTCTGACGCTGGCGGTGATATCGAGGCTGAAATCAACAAAGAGCTTGCCGAAATTCGTAAGCCAACCGTAAAGCCTCTCTTCACATCAGTGAAGCTGGATACTCAGTGCTGTAAGCAGTTCCTTCGTTAACCGTCCGCGATAAGCGTCAACCTAACTAGTGTAGTGGTGTTCTTCAAGACACGAGCGCCAGTAGATCCTGTCTCATTTGTTCACAAGATCTGCCTAGACACCGCAGACGGTGTTCAGCATAAAAATTGCCGTTTCGTCAAACGACTGACCCCAATCACGGGTATCGAGAAAGCCAACCAAAAGGGCCTCGAGACCATCGCAGAGCAGGTGCTTGCGCCGCATTTTCACGGGCAAGAGAACGCGGGGAAAAAGGTAAGATCGAAACGTCCAACCGCTGATGTCAGATGGTGGACCTAAGCACATTTCGGCTCGCTAACATGCTGTGAAACTAAAGTTCGCGATCCGACCCACGATCCGGAATAACAAAGACTTCAAGAGGGACGATGTTATCAAAACAGTCGCGGCTGCAGTGGGACCCGGTCACAAGGTCGATTTACACGGTTACGACTTGCTCATCTTTGTGGAGATATACAAGGTACAAGATGCCGCCCGATCCTGCATGCTGGTGACACGGAGGCTTGGCTTAGTCTTGACAGGTGCTGACGAGATCCAGAACATTATCGGTATGAGTGTCGTCGGCCCTGACTACGACAAGCTCAAGCGATACAACATCGAGGAGCTCCGTCAAGGACCGAGCGCGCAGACCACAGAAGCGGGCGTACCGCCCACACCTACGGAAAGTACCTGAGATGATTTGGAGTCGCAGCGACAACATTAATAGCTCTCAATTCTGAGGCTGCCGAATGTGCGGGTCTCGGTCCATTTGTTTGCAGCTAACGGTTGTGCTTGCGATGGAGCAAAGCGAATCTCGCTCGTCATAATCTTGAGAAACGACAAGATACCGTGCTTCTTACTACCTAGCATCCGCTCAGATGCATGGTCCGCGGTGCTGGAACCGAGGCGAGGCTTACATGGGTATCTTCCGGCTCCACTACGTTTGCAGCCTGCCAACTCGGAGGATGCTGCAAAGAAACGATTCGGTCTGGCCAGATGGGGAGTTTGCTAGAAGCCAGTGAGACGCTGAATGCACATCTCAATTCCGCTCATCCTGGTCGTGCCCGCACGCGTGCCCGCACGCGTGCCACACGCCACCCCCTGCTTGCTAGATGAAGCACATGCGCTCACTCACCGTTTGTTCAGGTTTTATCGCCTTGCCCTATCGTCGAGACGTCGAGTTTCAAGATCGGACTGGCTTCTCTTTGTTCAATGTGACCTATCAGAGCGCACAATAGCCGACCGATACCTCGGGGGGTCTAACCCAACACGGAGACCCTTGACGAACGGTGACTGCGCCGCTCCCATACCATGGACGCCTCTCGCATCTTCAACCTTGCCTTGGTTCTCGAGGAAGTACTATTCGCCGCAAAGTAGATCCTGGGTCTAAATCCAGCTGCACGCGTAATGTGCCCTTACCGAGCGTGGCTGACCAAATGCTTCATGATGCGAATGGGGCGTGTACCTCATTCAAACCATTCGAGGTCATAGGCATAATGCAATGCGTTGGCAGTGGTGCCTAATGCGTATGCAACGATTATGATAGCGTTGCTCTGGACTGTACATCGGTCGGACTTGTTCGGCATACTTGGAATCGATCTACGAAACATTCCTTTAACTGAAGACCGTGGATGCTGTCGAGGCTGTTTCAGCTGCAAGAAAACGACACTGCTAACTCTTGACTTTGTTCTTCACAGCATAAGAGGATCTCAAACCAACGGGCCGGCCCTGACCTGCAGCTAGCGAACTCTCCTCCAAGCCAGAATCTCGCTAAAAGATCCGTCTTACCGTGTCCGCTGCCCCAACCCAAGCCTTCATAATGCTCTTGCCCCCACTGGACGTCGTAGTATACCCAGCCTTCGCCATGAGTCGCGGAGCTGGAACCTACGCAAGTCGTCCACCACGACCGTCTTCTACAGTCTCATCAACATCCTCATCCTCGTCGACATCATCTCGAGCATATAGCGCATCGCCAGACTTCCTGAGTATTCAAAAGCTTGTCCATACTATCTTCCGGTCTTCGAAGATCACAGTACAGCAAGCCGAACGGTTACGAAGCCGCATTCACCAAGTTTACTTGACCAAGCTCGCAGGCGACGGTTCGCTCGTACTCAAGTGCTTGCCAGCAGGGAGCACAAGACTATTGCGCCATGAAAGACATACCCTTGATACCGAAGTCAAGACGATCGAAACGTTACATGAATACACCCAGCTCCCAGTACCTCGAATCATCAAGTACGACAACCATGGGGGACTGTTCGGCTCGCCATTCCTCATCATGACCCACCTCCCGGGACGCAGACTTTCAGAGTTAGCACCACATCTCACAACTATCGAACGTAATACAATTGACCGCACTCTGGGCTCATATGTCCGCAGCTTATCGTCACTCTCAGCAACACAGTTCGGTATGACACACCGAGTCTTCGAGCGCAAAGGCTGCAAGTCTTGGCGTGAGGCTTTCCTTGCTCTCTTGGAGGGCGCATTAAGAGATGGCGAAGATATGCTCGTCACAGTACCGTACGACAGTATCCGCTACTACGTTGCGAAGTACGCACATGTCTTGGAGGAGGTCACAGAACCGAGACTTGTCGCCCTAGACGTCTGCAGGCCAGACAACATTCTTGTCGACGAGTACACAAAGCGAGTGACCGGTCTTGTCGGTTTCTCAAACGTCATCTGGGGCGATCCGCTTCTGAGTGGAGGTATTGCAAATGGCAGTGATGCGTTCTTCGAAGGGTTTGGCGAGTGCCCTGTGCGAACCGGCGGTGTCAAGACCAGGATGTTGATGTAAGTCCTTACCTCACATCAGCCGATGTATTCACATGTACTGACTTCATCATAGGTACACAGTCTACCGGTCGATAATTACGATTGTTGCGCACCACTACCGTCCTCATACCACAATCGATGAGCTAGGAGTACGGCGCGAGCTCGTGTGCGCACTGAACGAACTTGCACGGATGTGAGCAGATGTTTACATTGCGATCACGTGTCTGCACAACATCGCATCGGCACTCATCAAACTTGCACGTTCAACAATATCTGCGACATCCTCCAAACGCACGCAACATCCATCGACTACTTCCTTTATCCAACATCACTCACGGTCACGTTGTTATGATACCACGAGCACAATTTCAAGGCCGGCGTAGATCTGGGCAGCACTGGCGTACGGCGTTACTTCCCTTTTCAGCGTACAGGTTGCTGCAGGCGCTCCTGAGTGCAAGCCACTTTGCTCAGGGTCGTGACTTCGTGTATCGATCCTGCTAGTACCATCGGTACTCCAAAGCGTTCTAGAAACATCTAGCGAATCTCCAGAATGCACACACAATCAGATATAAACTTGAAACCGACAATTGTTGTATGGTGACCTACTAGTTTCCTGCATACTGTTCTAGCAGAACTATAAAGGGACCCTCGTCCCTACCATACATACAGCATACCCATGCACAGTGTGATGCCTCGACGTGATACCAGTAGCATAAAATCATCAGAAATCTCGCAAGCATCGACCTCTAACCTTCGCTCCAAAGCGAGTACGAAGCATGCACACGTCATCACCGCAAACATCAAATCATATTCAGCAAGCATACATTACTCGCATGGACTGGGTGAAGCGATAGTGCGTGGATCAAGCGAGACAGTCGCACCCTGCGGCGCTTCCTGCTTCGCTTTACAGCAAGATCAGGCTGATTGCGCTCTACGTTCTCACTGCACGTGTTTGGGTACGCACACGCGGCCCCACGCCCGCGTTTGCGTCCTTCACTGCGCCGCCCGTCTCGTCAGCTGCGGAAGCGCTGCCTTTCGGACCGCGGACCCGCTTCTCCCAGCGAAACGAGTGCGTCTCCACTCCCACCATACTGCCCACCCGCCGTATGCAGACCCCATCGTCTTCATTTACCCATCCACTCCCCATCCCATGTCGATGATGGTTAAGGTGGATATAATACTCGCCAACCCATGCGCCCGTTAGCACCCAAATGCTCCTTTCGCTCACCCCTGCTCTTCGCGCCTGCTTCCAGAACACTCGCTCCCGCCTCGCTGACTCGTCCAACCAGAGCGCGAGGAAGCCTGTCCTTCGCTACTTATGTCCAAACACAGCCTAGCTCCAACAGGGATACACCACCACACGTGAGATGTCGCTGACCATGCTTTCAAGGCGCGTCGCTTGTTGATACAGATTAGGACGTCAGATGGGGCGCAGCTACGCCAGGTACGCGGGAGCGGGGCGTTGTGGAGATGTGAGGTTACATCTCTACACTGCGGGTCGATACGTACCCAGAGTTTCGCTTCCTTCTCGCCTACCCCGGCTGTGGTACTTGTGTATCCATGTACCTCTATAATGCGTTGTAATTTCACTATCGCGAGGAATATGTGAGCACTATCTAGACTTGGTGTTGACACTGGAGCAACTTCCAGATACTCGTCTGACGTGCGCAAGTGTGTATACAGACCAGAGTGTTGGGTCTGGACTCGAACATTGAGTGTAGATGATCTTACGCGGCTATCGAGATATAGGCTTGTTCTCCTGTGATCTCCATGCATGTATAAAGTTTCCGTAGACAGGAAGCAGGCGTTGGGGACACAGGGGTCGCGGGATTGTGGAGTGGTTCGACCATCACAGGTTGCAGAGTAAGAAGCCTGTCTTGGAGACGAAGTTATAGATCAGGAGTTTTAAGCCTGAGGACAAGGCTCGAGAGCTGTGTGTGATACTGTTCTATGTTTGTGATTAAACATTACATATGTGCGGTCAATCAACAACGCAACGCCCCAGTCACGCATACTCCTTTGACTCCACTCACAATGGGTCATCGCCAAGCCAGTCATCGGGATCCTGCTCTGGATATCTAGGCCCTGGAATATCCTTTCTCGGATGACCCTCACACTTCATAGTCCGCGCCAGCTGCCGCCTTGTTTGGCTTTCAAGAATGTCGCGCAGAAACGCATCTGTGCTTCTGCATCTAATGACATAGGATCCCCTCCTCTTGATTCTCTCATGCTGCTCCGCAGTCGAAGTATGTGTTAATGAATGCGTACTCTCTTTTGAATACATTATCGGCGACCATTTCGTGACTTGCGGTTCCGCCGTGCGGGTCCTGGATATTGGCTCAAGGAGGACAGGTGGTTGGTCTCGCGTCGTTCTTGGCTTCCGCTGGAGCTTGCATGTCTTGATCCTGACTGCTTCATCTACTGCTGCTTGGGCTTCCTCAACGTTATCCGTGAGATTACCCTGTTCGTTGAAGACTGTTTCGAGGTGGTATCTAAGGTCCATAGCGCAGCAACTGTCTCGGTCAACCACTTGTGAGGGGTCAGGAGCCCATTGCTCCACTAAATACTCGGAAGAGCCAACTGCTCTGGTCTCGAAGTAGTCAAGGACATGGTTACGATCGTACTTGGAAGTGAGGAAGAGAATGCGATCCTTGTTGCTGTAGTCCACTTCGAACCTCGGTGAGGAATGTAAAGTGAAGTCGACAAGCTGACCAGGATGAGCTTCTGGCGCCCCAACTCCGCTGGAGAATGATCTTGATATCGGCGTAGTAGGCTGAGACCGCTGCATTGGAATAGGTGAGCTCATAGTAGAGTATCGATCGTGTGGAGACTCTCTTGCCACATCGGGATTGGAAGAGTCGTGACGCTGGCGCTTTAACGATTTGCTATGAGTATTTGTGAAGGCCTTTGAAAGTGAGTGACAGGAAGAATGAGGACTCAGAGGTCTGCAATAGTCGTCGTCATCGTCACCCTGCGTCTTGGGCCCAAAGTCGAAGTCTTTCCTGAACAGCTTGTCAGGCCCGGGGTATCTCTCCCGCCAATTCCTCGCCAGATCCTTGATGTAGGCTGGGACGTCCTCCAATCTCTTCTTTTTCACCGCCATAGCCCTCTCTTGTTTTGCCTTTTCCTTCTCCTGCTCTTTCCGTCTTCGCTCTTTCCTCTCATCGACTTCACGCTTCTCATTTTGGTTTCGTATATAGTCCGCTTGCGCCAGATTTCTTGCAATCTCATCACGTAGGAACCCTTCGGTCAAGTACGATACCAGAGAATGCTTGCGAGTGTCTGTCTTCTCAGCCTTCCGGGAGGTAAATTGGTCGTCCAAAACCTCGCAAGTAGGACGAGGGGATAGCGATCCCGTCGCTGAGCGCAAGTTGAGCTGCCTCAATTTTTGAATCGGCGGTCGTGAACCTATTCGTTCACCCGTGTGCTGCGACTGTGGTAAAGGGGATTTTGGTGGAAGTTTAAGTGCGTCGGGAGTTGGAGATGGTGTCACTTGATACCATAGCGGGTGCACTGCAGGCGCCTCAATTGACGACGTTGACCGCTCCCACGGTCTCACATTGCGTGCTGGGTATTTGTCGGTCGCTGCTAACTCGTTTCCAACCCTTGGGTATTTGCGGTCCCAATCGACAACGCGTTGAGCAATGTCCATGTCATCTCCACGCTGAAGACAGGAGAGGTATGTCGCTCTACCATCATAAATCCCTATGTTCGGATAGGCCGTATCGTACTTGCGCAACTCTGGGTCTCGTGCTGACACCGATCTGCCTGTTACGGGATCTGCACCGTTTTTTGGACAGCGTTGAGTGGTGACTATGGGTATGCCCAGGAGCTTCCTATACTGGACTGCTTGCGCAGTGCGGATCTCATTGTCGAGTGTCATGGGGTTGGTAAAACGTGAGTCGGTAATGCTTGCAACGTAAAGTAAAGGGCCCAAGATTCCAATTTTCAGTCTATCAGAACGGCTCACGTATCATCAGGTCAATTTGTAGACTCGAGACGTAGCTGACGTATCTATACCATGGCTCAGTATGAGGCTGCACGACATCACGGCTGCGCTGTGAGCCGAGCCAGCTGCGACCGGCATCAGCCAAGCTAAAGGCTGCGATTGAAAGCTTCCGGGCAGGTCGAATGTCTTATCGATAGTTCGCAGACCGCTGGAACAACAAATACCACAAAGGCAGCGGTCTAGATCAAGGCATCAGCTACCCGAGGCTGCGCACTTTACGGCATCCAGCAGTCTGACAGACGGTCATGCGTGACGAGCCGCAACAGACTGTCTTCGTTGTGGGTTTGCCGGGGGCTTAAGTTGATCTCTGGGCCTCTCTTAGGTAGCTGCGGGCCTTCATCGGAAGCTGATAGGGACTGGAATATGGTGGGGCCTGGCTGAAGTCGGACTGGCAATGCGTTGTTCCTAGACCTTGTACGCCCCCCCCCCCCCCGGGAAGCCCACAACAAAGCCGTAGATATGGCTCTCCAGCGCTACAATACTACAATACAGCGCTTATTATCAGTGTGTACACAAAGCAAGGTGTATGCTTATGTTGAATGTCGTATTGTTCCGGACTCGCTGCCAAGTACCTGCACCTGCATGATGTGCAGCAGTACCATGGTTACGAAGCGGGGCCCAGACGAGAAGATCGACCTTGCCGATTGATATCGATCGATGAGCCTCCGAGTCTTGGGTATAAGGAAGATGTGAGTCGCTGCAGATGTCACCGATCGGCGCAGTCGAGAAGAGTGCTTGTTCCTTTCGTGTGGGTTTAAAGTTGACGCGATCACTGGCGAGGTTGCGATAATTGGACATGACGGGCACTTTACGGCATGGCCAGATCTGGGTGTATCTCGACAAGGCCCAGAGCTCGTGGAAGAACATTCAGCAGCAGCTGATGACTTGATGACGTTCGATCTCAGGATTCGAGGTAGCATCGAGGTAACAGACCGTATGGTTGCTCGACGCATTGGGCACACTTTCAGACATACAGGTATGCGAATAACCAGCAATCGAATATGAGTCGTTGAAAGACACCTCGGTATCGATAATCTGGTTTGAGGGCTGCTGTGGTGTTGGCGAAATTGATGTTGTTAGCGACTGCCCAGTGGCTGTGGTGTTTGGCGCTGATGGGCAGCGAAGGCAGGTGCCAACACCACGCATGGACTCACCTGCCTCGAGAAAGAGCATGCATTTCTTGGCATCCGACCCTAGTTACAGTCTCAGCTCGCAGCATCTCTGACAACACTCTCCCAAACCCCCTTCCAATCCGGCTCTCCCCCTCCATACCGCGCTTCAAACGCGCCCATCGCCAGCCCGCCCAAGAACGGCCTAACAACCCTATCCACCAGCTCACCTCTTGCCATATCCAGCACGGTCGCACCCTCTTCAACCTCCAGCGCCCTGATCAATGGGTCCAAGAACAACCTCCTCAACGGCTCATCACCAGCATCTTCATTCTGCACAAGCGGTGCAACAAGCGGCGCACCCGTCTGACTCAGCACCTCACTGATCTCATCTGCCAGGCTCTGCAGTGCCGGCGGTGAGCTTGGCTTATACACAGCATCAATGGTATCGGTCAAGAAAAGCCATTCGATAAGCTGGAAGTCATCTGGGTCCAGCACAACAAGCTGGTCAAAGAGCTTGCAGGCCTGAATTATGCCGGCGTTATTGTAGTGTTCTTTATTGGGTGCATCGGGGAGGAGGGAGGAGAGGCTGCGTGTTAGCTCGCCGTTGACGACCGGCCAGACGGCGGCTAGGTGAATGGACGAGGTTTTAAGGATCACAGAGCGCAGAAGCACAAAGACATCTGCGCGGGTCGCGGATGAAGGCGATGATGCGGGCGTTGCGGTGAAAAGCTCGACGATCTTCTCCAGGATTTGGGGAATGGTGGGTGTGAATGCGTCTTCTGGGCTGGCTAAGATGAGAAGTGAGACGCGACGTAAGGTCGTTTGTGCCTTGCGATCAGCCTCTTGGCGTGCTGATGCAGCACCGACGCCAAACATGATGCCAGCTGTTGTCGGTGCTGTCAATCGTGACAAGAGTTCTGGCACACGATCCTTGTCGGACTGTGTCCATTGCGACAGGATCGGTAGCCATGCGTCCTGCACCAGACCGACGGACGTATTGAAAAATCTCGAGTCGTTAAAGGCATCGTAGATGTCCTTCTTCAGCAGCTTACTACCCTGTGCCACTTTCGTCAATTGGTGAAGCAGTTGCAAAGTGTTGGCAGATACATTGTCCGGGAATGACTTCGCTCGGAAGGTAGGACCAATGACTGATGTGGAGATGTCAGAGACCACCTTTGTGACTCGGTCTGTGTCTGCGAGGACGATAGGCAAGTTCGGTACGATGGATGTCAGTATGGCCACGATATCGGTAGCTCTCTTGTGTGCGTACACGCTTTTCGTTACTGATGTGGTTTTCGCATTCGGTGCTGAGTGATCTATATCTTGCGCGTAGCCCATAGGACGGGTGGTGAATGTTGCGGTCAGAATGCGTGAGAAAATGTCCTAAAACGTGTCAGATGAACAACTGGCAGCTTTCTCTCTGTGCAACTTACCGCCAACTCGCGCCTCATCTTTCGCTGCTCACCAAATGTCGTGTTGTCAACCTTCTGACCAATGATAGCGGTGAATTCAAGCAGACTCGGTAGTATTTGACGATGAGGTAGAGGATTCGCAAGCACGTCGCGCAAGAACAATGTACAGTCTTGCCATATCTCATCCATTGCATCATCCTCGAGTGACCTTGTGTACTCGACCAGGAACGTGACGAGATCTGTGTCTGACAGGTCAGATGTCAAAGTAGACATGCGGTTGGGGTCTAAAGCGTTTGGGTCTGTGCGGCTGTACACAGCGTTGAAAATTGCCGGAATAGTTAGCTTCGGCCTTGACCCGTTCAGTACGTTCAGCAGCCCCATGACAGCAGTCTCGTGAGCGTCTTCTTCAATCGTCTGTGCCCAGGACACTGCTAAAATTTCGAGACACTCTAAGGCTTCGGCAGCAAAGAGGTGTTCGAGGAGACGTCTTGCTCGATTGCGCATTCGTAGTGAGGTGTAGCTGAAGGATGATATAGAGGTAGGGTCTTGACGTTCCTGTGTAAAGCCGCCCCACGACCATATAGCGAAACAGATGCGCACAGTGTCCTGGAAACACAGTAACACCGTAAGCCTACTGTTGGCTGTTGGCGTCCTTGTCTGATTAGCCTCTGGTGCAAAGACACCAGAAACTACGTTGCTGAAGAATCCCTGAGGGGCCTCTGGCGATTTGTTGGCGGATGCTTGGGTCTCCTGAACCATCAGACGATCGTGTGCCTTAGCCAAAATCTGCTCTAGGCCATTGACTAGAGAGATAAGTGTAGTCTCCGGTGACTTGCCAGCCAGCGCTTCATGTCGTGCGAATGTAATCTTCAGTAGGTCGAAAGTATTATTGATCTCCTTGCAAAGGCATTCGACTAAAGGGAGCAAGTTTTGGAAAATGGTGTCGGCAAACATAGGCAACACCTCGATGAGGAACTGTACCCAATCATCGAGCACGAGTCGACTGGATGGCGAAGAGAATCCGAATTTAAGGCACTCAACCAATTGGGGTGGAGGAGGTATAGACGGTGGTGCGTGATCTACAGAATCTCTGTTCAAGGCTAGTGACAGCCGCGATCTATGAGCGGCAATTTGTGGTGGTCTCAGTTCCTGTGACTTCTCTTCAGGAGGCTGCATGAGACGTATTCGAAGCGCGGATAGGATTGCACCGAGCAGAAGGCTCTGTAAAGTAGGCACCGCGGTCCTCAGTCTGACCATGAGCGGAACCTCAATCTCTAGATCCCTCAGAGACGGAGCGAATGGACTCTGGTAGATTTTTGAGATAATAGAGATAGCTATCCGATGCAATTCATGGACATGAAGCTCAAGGACTGCATCAGCGATACCAGCTTGGATTGACAGGGCACCAAGACACTTTCTGACAAACCACTCTTGCAGGGACATTTGACCAGGCAATGTCGTGTCCCAGGCGGCAGCAGTCTTGGCCAACGTTGCCCAAGTGAACTGCGAGGGACGTTTCAGTATGTGAAAGATATGACTCAGATAGTACAGACACTCTCTGGTGTCGTCGCCTAGGCTTGCTGCATGGGTTGGCTTGGGATTGTTTTCAGGCCTCAGGTTCTCTATGGCTTGGAGACATTGCAGGGACTGAAGGTGCACAGCTTGTACCTCAAACACTCTGTTGAGAGTCGGCAGATCGAGCAGCCAGCTCTTCATGAAGGTGGAAACCTCCGTGCCTTCCTCGGCAAGGGTGTCAAGCAGAAGCAGGAGCGGTCGAGTAAGTACTGCGTGATACGTCGCCGGCGAGAAAGTTGGGGTTGGCACAGACATTCCACTTGGGCGTCGTGTCACACTTCCACGCTTTTCTGATTGCAGGCTGAGCTCATGCATGGTGTGCGTCCAGAGAACTGCGAAGCGCCGGCCATAATCTGGAATTGATGCAGTACTGGAGCCCTGCTGAATCTGCGATGCGACGATCGAGGAGATAGCTGCCTCGACCAAGCGGTCAGATGGCGAGATCGAGTGCAGTTGCAATATACACAAAGTAGCTTCGACATGGTACTTTGGCATGGTCGGCGACAAGTAATGCCATAAACATGCAATCAGCTGATGAAAAAGCTCAGATAGATTTGGTGCAGAGATGTATGGCTGTGACGGACGCGCGACTTGTAGAGCAACAAGGATACCAGCAGCAGCACTCAAGTGCGAGAATGGCACGCTGGTGATCAAATTTGATCTCGAGAGGGAATTCTGGAGAACAGAAGAGAACTCAAAATCGTCGATAGCGCCCAGGTCCTGTGTCTTGACGATTAGATTAGCCAGGATCTTGGATGGCAGCTCCGGCGAGTGCGACCACCCGTCTATTTGAAGTGCAGTCAGCGTTATATGTGAGGCCTGTCGTAAAGCGGCGCGGCCCACCACCCCAGGTTCGTAGAGACGTTCTGCTGACTCTAGCCCAGCTTGAGCGTCTTCGTAGAAGTTTGCTATCTGCTGCAGCACTTGAGTTCTCGAGGTACCGAGCTCAGTAGTGGTGTACTGCGCATTGGGAGCTTGCTCAGCCCTCAACGCTCGGTCAGGTACGATTTGAACAAGAGAGTCAGCAGTCTCGAGTGCTAAGGCGATGACCTCGATATCAGGTCTCGAATTGCGATCCTGGGATACCTGACCGAGTGAAGTCAGAGTAGCAACAATCATCAGCGGCATATGATGAAGTAGCATGTCCTCCTCCTTGAGATTGAAGCGCGCGAGAATAAACTTGGCAAGCTTCATCTGTTGCAGTGACTCTTGCTTCGATCTGGAGCCGTCCAAGGATGAAGTGACCAGCTGAGTCAATTTGCCCCAGATGAGACCGCTGTCAACGCCGTCGAAGAATGCACTGGCGCTTCTCATGACCTCGTCAACTTGCTCTTTGGTTGCATGTTCACTGTAGGACTGAACACTCTGTAGCGCAGGCAAGAACAGCTCGGGTACAATCAGGCCTCCAACTTCCCAACGGTCCATGAGGGACAGACACACTCGAAAAGGCCTTGCGCGCTCGACAGCTGTTTTGGTTTGTCGATTGATCATCTTCAACACGCTTGTTGTCAATGCAGCTAAACCGTAGCGAGAGAAATAAGCAGCGTGGACGGTAGAAGGGTCTGTGGATGTTGCGTTGTGTCGCTCTTGTGTAGGCGACTCAGCCCCCTCGCTGTTCTCAGCGGTCGAAGGGTCCGGTCCAAGAAACCATGCCCACAGTCTTCGATTCAGACTCATATCTCTGCGAGACACCACACTGGCAGCAGCAGCTACAAGGCGCTCAAGGTCTGTCTTGCTGATGCGTTGCTGCAGGACAGGAGACTCGAGTGGGAGGTGACTGACGATTAGATCCAGGAATCCTCTTTGAATTAGAAGCTGCGGATCTGAGAGACCTGACTCAAAGCATCGAATCAACAGACCTGGTTCTGGGTGTACAGCTGCCTCAGCCTCAAGAGATAGGCTTCCGCTTTGCATGCCATTCTTGGGAGCTGGAAGACCAAATTTGGGCAGTCGACGCGTCAGAAAAGCAAGTGCGCCTTGTCTCCTCGAGGCGTTGGTTATACTGGCGAGGAAGAAACACTGCCAGAAATGAGAGGCATGGCCGTTGTTGCTCTTCGCGTCTACCATGTCATTCGTCTGATCTTGCACAGCTCTGCGCAATTTGTCAAGTGCTGACACCATGCGTTCAAAGTCCTCGCTCGTCTCATCTTCCAGGCCTGGTAGTAGAGACAGTACTATAGCTTTCAGAGCTGGTCTCAGCGCAGCGCCGTCGAGCTTCAGGATGTGGTCCTCAAAGATGGAGAGAAATATCGGGCGCACCGAAAGCGAGGCGAACGAGAGTGTTGTGGCGAGGCCTGGGAGGTAGAGGGTCAGGTCACGGGCAAGCGGACCTTTCTGGGCCGTTGGTCAGCTTCTGCCGACTTGGGTCTTGAACATAGACATACTCCGATTGTCGAGAAGATGTAGGCATAGACCTCAAGGACCTTCTGGTGAACACCTGAGGGCAATGCTGGATTTAAGCACTGCGCTAATCGCAGTGCGACTGTATCGCTATGGGGGATGACAGGGGTCTCGGAAGGGTGCGCTTGCAAGGCCTACACACATTCTCGAATAAGCGCGCTGCCATAACAGGGTATCAAGGAGCAATTGACCTTCAACAGGCGCCCCAGGAAAGAGATGTAGTCTGCCCATTCCTGCTGCGCTGTGTCCCACAGGGCGAGCGTTCGTTCAACACCGAGTGCATATCGCCGAAAGGGTTTGTCCTTCTTGTACAAAGCTGACAATTTAGTCAGCCTGCCTTGCTACGCAACAGCGTGTGGATGTCATGTACCGTCTTCTGCAGCGTTACGCGTTGCCCGTGGTGCTGGCGAAGAGCGCCCCGAGCCTGGTGGTGAGAACAACTGCAGGTTAGCAGTGGAATCAGCGGCCATTCTGGGTCTGGCAAGAGGTCGAGTGTCCGTTCAGTGTGCTGTCTGCACGGGACATGTCGTTGCAATACGATGTTTGTATGGTGTACAATTGCTCGTTGCCTGTTGTCGCGCGCTGGAGCTAGCATGCTCGGCGAATGTGAAACAAAAGCGCCGACATTCGTTACTCACATGTGCGAAAGGAGCGACCCACGACTCCAACATCAGCAGTCGCTCCCAGACCCTGCCCCATGACTTGACAGAACCTCCTGACGGGCTTCATGGCCGCCCGCGCACCCCATGGACCAAGATCCCTCGGTATGATGTTCCCGCGACCGCAACGCCTTCAGATGCAGCTAACCACGATGAGGCCGCACAAGGCCACCCTCCCCCACATCATGGCCACTGTCATGGACCTATATACACCGACCCTCCGCCCTCCTACGAAGACGCGACTCACTCCTCGACTTCACCTCTCCTTGTGGGTTCGCCTCCAGACTATGGCGCCTTTCGAGCCTACGTCGACCCATATGAGTCCTCTGAGGCCAGCACTGAGGGCGACGACAACGCACAGTACCTGTCAGAGCGCATAGGTCAAGCGTTTGCGTTCGTGATACTCTTGGGCATCCTGTATCTATTCTGGAGTATCGTCACCCAACCTGACCCGGACAACCTCTTGCATGTCTATGTATGAACCAACGAACTATATCCCTGGAAGGGCCCAGGGATACCCCGATGACGAGACCCAGGGTATGGAATGGGGGGATATGCTTGGTTCATGGTAGGCGACTCTGGCGATAAAGAGGAATCGACTGGTCAAAGGGCTGGCTTTTCCGTATGTTATGCCTATTCGATGTCTTGACTGGTGGTGATATCAGTTTGAAGCAATCAGAGCCTTGCCGTATCTGCACCACTCAACACTCATATGGACAGTGGACGGCACACATGTGCGTGCGCGGAGAAGAATTACACAAAGCTGGCGGTGTGCTTGTCAGGAGGCATGCCAGATCCCAGCTATGCTCGCATAGAGTTGGCGGACGTGACGGAATACATCATACGCATGCCCAAGGAATGTCATTGTCTATTTCTTCACCTACACTCCCACGCAACATGCTCAACATCCATGCATGGCGCAGTCGACTAGTGGTCTTCGACTGCGCAGGCGCAGCACAGCATAGATACCCACGTTCCAATCTGCCATTGCACGATCGAAGGTTTGCAGATACGTTAGCTCTCTCCGACTGTTTTGTTTGGCCGATTGATCGTGCACGCTAATTGTTGCAACATCTTGATTCTTGACACCAACATCGCTTTGTAAGAACCATTATCGGCCTGTTTACCACCGAGCGCTTACTGTACGCTACTCAGCCCTACCAGGTCATTTACGTCCAGCATCCAGCAGTTGATTGCGGAGGCCGTCCGGGTCTCACAGCATGTCAGACGCGCGACTGGCGTTGGTGCTTTTAGTGCACGCCTCTTACGCCCCGTGAACAACATCGCGATCAAAGATAATCGCCCTGATTCTTGGTTCTTTCGTGTGCACTGAAAGCTTGTCATGACGATCGCATCCCCACTTTGAGGCTTCTTTGCGACACAGCAGCTCCTACAGCAGCTTTGTCGATCTCGGCCTCCCCGAGCAGAGATCTGCAGTCTTTGAGAGCCCTTCCCAGACCTTCACGTCGCCTATAGACGGGCCGACCAGGAAGCTGGTATTACTTTTCAATTCCTTTAGCTTGACTCTCGCGGCAGCGCGAGCCAACCCGCCACTTTCGGCAAGGCGAATACGATGGTCGACCGTTTTGGGCGTTGCTTAGCACTGCAACTCTTTGCAAGAGTGGGGTTTCGCGCTCACTTCCGCCACAACTGCGCGTCGCTGGGCGAGTGACAATAGAGAGCGCTAGCTTAAGTACTGGTTCTACCTGCTAGGCGAGTCAAAATCTCACATTATCAAGCGCTGTGGCTGCAGATTTCGTTGGTCTGTTCGAATTGTTAGAACCATGTCACTGAATCACTGTACGATAAAGCTGAGGTGTTAATGCGCATGCAAGAGCAGTAGATCAATGGGTAGTCAGTCTTCAATTCAGCGCCAGTGCTTCGCTTCGAGCAAGCTCATTCGATCCGGTGTCTAAGTAGAGGCTCACGGTGTTATGCTTTCCAGCGGCTGACACTGTGGTGCTAGACGGCTGAGACGCCGATGCCTTCACCCGACTGTTTAGAGCCAGTAACCTTACAACAATAACGGTACTTTGGGAGGATACTATATAACTTTCATCAACAGACTACCAGTGAAGCAGATTAAGGCAAAGGCGCTGAGATACATTTGAAGACCGCTATCTCACTGTAGCTTCTTATTCCGTTAATGTGATATTGCCAAGTCTTAGATTACGCATGTAAGATTCGGTGTGTTGGGCAGAGTACCAAGACCAGAGTCTCCGACATTTGGCGCTACAGTGGTACAGTATGTAATCTACATCTACTATTGGTGTAGTCCGACGCAAGCTGACTGACACAGATATGCATATGCATCCGCATCTATCTCACCGCAACCTGATATCGGTCCGGTGGACTGTGGCTTGCTGTATTTTTTTGCACAACTCGTGCATGCCTTGTTGCCAAGCTGGACAGCGAGGCATTCGCTGTCCGCTATTGGGACATGAACTATGATATATGCAATTTGAAATCTGGGCCGGTTTCGAGTGGGTCAGGCAGGATGGGTGCTTAACCAGGGTCAATCACGGCCTCAGAGCAACTAGGGAAGAGGTCAATATTTGGAGAGAAGAACTACTTTCTATGAAATTGTCTGGTCGCGCATACTATGCTACGTCAAACGAGGGTATTATAACAAACGAAACTCTACACCTACCACCTATTATTATCATACTGTCATCTCGGTCCACATTGATAATGCCAACGCCTCCATCACCGCATTCCTGTACCAACACCATGCTTACACTTCAATTTCACATACCCCACCACTTCAAACTCTTCTTCAGTCCACCTGGCGGCTTCCCTCCAGGCGGTCCACCGCCCCTTACTCCCCAGTACCCCATACGCCCCTCGACCTCATCCGCACCTCTACACCTCGGCTTAGCGTGATCTTCAAACGTGCCTGTCGGCCATATCGGGATGAAGCACACCTCCTCATCGCCACAAGCTCCACACTCCTTCCAGCTCGTCCAGCCCAGCCACTCCACCAGCTCAGCAACAACTTCAATCGCGTGCTCGGCGTACACGGCAGAGTAAGCGGAATGCGGCGCCGGGCTGGCTGCGATGCTTAGAGAGGTGAGCAGCGTGTCACAGATCCGCGTCCCGACTTTGTGTAAGGCGCGATGTGCGAGAGGAGGGACGGAGCCCGGCGGGATGCTGAGTAAGGGGAGAGAGGGGACGATTTGTGCGACGCAGCGCTCTGTTTCGCGCGTCGTGTTCCTCTCGCCGGATATGAAGGGGCTTAACAAAGCTGTGAGATACTGCGCCAATTGTTCCTTGTCCTTGCGGAACGTGCGTATGGTGGTGATGTGGTGTAGCGGCGCGGAGTAGCGGGCGACTGCCATGTCGGCAACAGCCTGCCAGTCGCGTCCCGGATGCGCGTTCCAGTCCTTACTGAGTATGAGTGAGGTAACGTCGTCCTTGACGTGCGCCAGATCTGAGGGTGAGACGTTTGTGAGCCGCGGCATACGCACATCGGACTGCACATCGTTCTCCCACACGCCTTTGACATCGGGATATGCGTACACGCTAACGAACGCCCCGTAGTCAACGCGCACCCGTCCCCCGCCGATGCCGTGATACCGACTCGCAACAGCCTTTGTGTATTCCCACCCGCCCATTGGGCCCCTTCCTTGCTCACTGGGATTGACACTTATGACATCGGTGCGTTCCAAGTGTGCTTTGAAATCGCAAAGGATGATTTCGAATCCGCCCTCCAGTCTGATCACGCCGTCGATCTTGCCTTGCCAGATAGTGTTCGCAAGCTCACAAAGACCTTGAGCGCGCGCCATCTCGCCGCCCATGGGCCCGCGGGGGTCAGAGGAGGACAGGTTGAGGAGAAGGAGGTCCTGCGTGTCTAGGGTTCCGTTGGAGGTCTTTCCCGCCGACAGTCCATCGATGTAGAGCAGGTGCAGGTCGTGGCGAGGTCGGTAGGTGTGCAGGTAGCCGGCCTTTTCTTGGGGTACAAAGGGAGGGGAGTCGGTGAGGGGTTGCTGGGTCTCACGTTTCAAGGGTAGTCGACTTCGAGACTTGGGAGAGCGTAACTCGATAGACTCAGCATGCTCCTTATATTCCTTGTTCCCGTGACGCTCCAGCGGGGGTGGGCCAAGGTGGTCGTGATATTCAGGCGGATGGGGACCACGGTGATCGGGTGAGCCTTCGTAGTGGCTGTGGTGTTCTGGGGGAGGTGAACCATGATGATCGTGATGCTCAGGCGGAGGAGGGCCATGATGCTCAGGTGAGTCGTCGTGATGGTCTCGGGGTGGTGGGCGGCGGTGCTCAGGATCCCATGGCCGTCTTGGTCCCTTGTTTGGACGCTCCTTATGAGGAGGAGGAGGATATGGCTTGTAGATATGACCTGGAGGTAATGGCGGCGGAGGCCTGTGTTCACGGTGTTTGCGCGATCCGCGCTCGTGATCTGCGGGTGGAGGGCGACAATCAGTACCGTTGCATAGCTTATGCTCAATAGGCGGCGGAAGTCGATGATGCCCGTGACCTTCTTCATCGTGCGGTGAGCGGAAGTCTGGCCTGTCGGGGTGTTTATTGTGGTAAGGCGGAGGGGGTGGCCCATGTCCATGTCCATCTTCGGGCCTACGCTCGTGCTCTGGCGGTCCACGATGCCTCCAGCCCTCTCCATCATGCGCGACCTCATCTACGTCAGAATACTCTTCAGTAGGAGGTCCTTCGCCCGGCGGTCCTCCTTCACCAGGTGGTGGTCCTCCTGGTCCGCGTCGTCCCTGTGGGCGCGCAAAAATGAGCGCATGCTCTGGCTCGAAGGCAAGCCATTGCATTCCCTTGATAAAATCCGGATCTGACGTGCCATGGTACAATTGCGTATCTTTCGGCACAGTCGCGAGGAACAAAGACATACCATTATGGTTGAGGCTGCCTCCCCATTGGCGCATCGAAGAGTGGATCGCATTGAAGATGTGGTTTGCATTACAGACTGTGGCACCGCTCGAATTCGCAAAGGTTGGGCTGAATAGGGCGGAAAGCGACAACAAGGAAATGGGCGCGTTGCGATGCATCTTGACTGCAAGTGAGAGCTGTACGCTGCTCACAAGCGTTGAAACCGAAACAAAACAATCGCTGAACAGACTCGAGAGGAAATAGAAGCAGAAACAGAACAGCAAAAGGAAGCAAGCCTTACCTACGTGTGCGTATACGCGGCTCTACGTGGACAAATTTCTCGCGACGTCCTTTCGAGCTTCACTTACGCGGCCTCTGGCGAATGTGATGGCGAGCGATGCTCGAATAGGCTACGGTCGTCGCACGACCTGATTGATAAGATCGTTGGAATCTATTGGCTGATGTGGCCTGGAAGCAGTTCCGTTGCTGACTTCTACATCTTCGACTTCTTGCATACCTAAGGTACTAGAGTCAAGAGTTTGAAGTCGCGGTCTTTCGTTATGCAAGTGAGCAGGACGACATCCAACATCCTCAAGAGACGATCTTGCGGTTCAACATGGTCGGTCCGATTTTGTTGTACGGGCGGGTACTCTTCCGCTTGAGTGTAGCTCAAGAAGAGCTGAGGAGCGCGTCAAGCGCTAAAGCACGGCCGTGTACGCCGGCTACTGTGCCACATGCAAGCGTGTACCTTGCTGAAGGCCGATGAGAAGGAAGTCGTGCAATGGAAAGACGAAGCTTTTCCCGTCACGGAACAACCTTGAAGAGCCGGTTTTGTGCACCTCGCCCCGAGATGAAGATCTCAAGAGCAGGTCGGAAACAGCAGACTGCGCGAGAAGATTTTTATCCGCGTTAGTTTCCATCGCAACAAAGAACTGGGCAACGAACTAGTTCGGCGGCTCTCGCTTTGTACCGTCTCGTGCCGCCCGTCAGTTTTTATGCTGTGGCTAAGGCTGCTAAGCAGTCAGTGGAGCTTCAATAATGCACCACGCTGATGTTGAGTCAGTTATCGTTCGATGGCTTCCAATAATGGTTCCGGAGCGTAGAAGCTATGGAAGGATTGGATATGCCAGCTCGATGCGGGTGTAAGAGCCACCGGTTTTAGTTGTGACTCGTGGATAATCCTCCTTGGTGTCTTCGGCTCGCGAGTATTGCGTGATAGGAGGACTGTCAGTCGGCGAAACATTGAAGAAATTGTGGACTCAGTGACCTGCCGGGCCTGGATGCAGAGAATCGTTGTGTGGGCGCGTTCTGCCTCCAAGGGGCGGCCGGAGACGGTGTTCGCGACCGCCGACCGGTGCTTCATTATTGGCCATGTTGCAACGCCAACGATACGAGAACCCTGACAAGTCATATGCGTGGTCAATCGTTGGTGTTGCAGATGCACGTCATTCCATACCGCTGGAGAGGACGTTCACATAGGAGGCCCAGTAAATCGCATTGCCTCCCCAAAACTGTTAGACACCCGGCCACAGCTTGTAGAAAGCTGCTCCCTGCATGTCACAGTCGCGTGTGACACTAGGATCATCGCCGAACATGGTGTAGGATTCTTTAAAATTGCGCTTAGGATGTTGGAAGGGGACAGCGCAAAGTGGGGGGAAGTGGGTGATGGCGTTCGACCAGCCTGCAGGCCCAGAGATCGTCTTGTTAGACACATTAGATACGCTATTTCACTACGCTAACGCTTAAATTGCCGAGTTAGTCAGTCACGAGTGAACCCAAGCTCAAGAGACAGTTGCTACTGTCAATTGACGACGTGCATGATGCAGGCACTCAAATTGGATGTCTGACAGCTGTAACCTCAGGCGGTTGGAAATTCCCGTGGGTTGACTATTGCACGTGTGTGTTCGGGGAAAGTCTTTGTATGTGGTGAGCCTCGCAGTATGATTCCTATTACGGTATCCATGGCGTAGCGTAACCATTGCTGCGGGTTTCTACCACCCCTGATCACTTTGCCAGTGAAAGTCGGCCGCCGAAGGTCGCGTCAACGGCGTATTCACAGCGATGACAGGATTCCCGCCCTGCACGGACGCCGTCGAGCTTAAATCTAAAATCGTCTCTCCAGCCATGCCGCTTCACAATTTGCTCCTAACATCCGTGAGAGCTTGCTGACCGTTTGTGATGTAGTCGTGCATCTCAAGTATAGAGTACCAACGCAATGCCCCAGCCCCCTCATGTCCAGAACAACCACTGGTTTCAGAATAACAAAGAAGAAGATTGGCTATGAACCCTCACCACAGTGCGGCACAAAATCGCGGGATGGACCCGTTTGGGCATGCGCAAAAGAGGTCCAATGGATCCTTATCCAACGTATTATTCCTTCCGATGCGGTACGGAGAAGATCTGACTGTGTTGTTGTCTTGGTCCAAAATAACCGACCTTCCATAGCCACCACCACGTTTGCCGTGCACGGTGCCCTCGATCCGCAGTGCAACTTGTATCCACCAGACGGGAAGAGACTCCACGATGCTCGATACAATAATGAGCTGCTTCAAGCGGCAAGCGCTTGTGTGCGCGTCTGTGTGTTCTCGTATGATAGCGGGCGGGCCGGCGGTCCCCTTAGTTCGCAGCGTATTCTGCTTTGACCACCTAAACCGGTGAGCTTGACGGAGCAGCACGCAGCTACATGCAGGCACCACGGAAACACACACCCGTGGCTATGATTCGCCGGGCGCATCCCTCCACTTGGAGCATGGCAATTGCAGGGTCTCGACCATTCAGGTTTCGGGTGGAACCCATATTAAGTCAGCCTTGTTCGTAGAATCAGGCCCCCAGCTAGTACTTTGTGGGTCCTACACCAAAGACCATATGTGGAAAAGATCATTCGGCAGAGGCAGTTTCGGCACGAATTTTGATCTCACGAATGCCGGCGAGAGAGGCGTCGTCATGTTGAATAGCGCTCCAACTTCTGTGCTCATGAGTGGCATGGTGCTGATCTGAGAGAGCTGTGAGAACTGTACGGGCGGAAGACTCAGGAGACGAAATCGAGATCGGAAGCAAATGAACAGAAAGCGGAATGACATGGCTTTGGGCTAGCTATTCTAGGCAGCAGCGCCGCCGTATGCATCTATCCACATTATGTCCCAACAGAGTCTACCAATGTATGGGTGTATAATATCTCCACAAAAGTGATGTGAACGCCCGGGCATGTAATGCAGAATGTGCAGCCAGCCGGCGACTGCGGGTATACAATTGAGCGAATGTTGAACGGTGAAAAGCGAGGGTATCTTGAATCGTTAGATGGCGGTAGACCAGCTACACAGGCGTAATGGTCATCGCGAGGGCGAAATTTGCAGCTTTGTCAAATGGAAACGATGGGAGTCGTGCGGGTTCGTTGTTGGCAGACCGTTTCAGTTGGCAAGTGAAAACGTAAGAGGCACAGCGATCGGCAATGCAAAAGCTTTGTTCTCAAGCTTCGTTACGATGCCGACGATGACTTTCGAGAAGCTTTGTGGTGTATCCTCTTAACGTGGTCTCTCTGTGAAACATAGTCAGCGTGTTGCTCGGCCCAATGCAGTAAATGGGCAAGTCGTACCATATTGTCGACCCGACTGAAGACCCTGTCACATCCAGCCCAGTCGCACAAGACGCCGGGGTTATGCTTCGCCTCGTGTCGTGCTAGGTCTTTTTTGCTTGAGAAGCCTCCACCGGTAGCTTGAGGGCACTCTGCGTGCCTGCAAAAGAAATTTTTGCTATGCCTTTTGTGATGCTTGCGAAGGTCGCAGCCCCGAGTGAACACGGCTCTTGATGTGCACCCTGGATAAGCGCACGACCATGTGCCGTTATTTCTGGGGAAGCCATATGCTCGAAGGTCTGGTGAGCTCGGAGATAGTGAGCGCGGCGGTGTCCTCTCTGACGGTGGTGCGCTTGATGCAAGTCCCATTCCAGAACTCGATGCTGAGTGCGATCTTGATTGCCGTGGTCCAGCGTAGGACTGTGGCAGGAGCTGAGAGTCTGACGCAATAGCAGGGCCAGCGGTCATGCTCGTAAACGGAGGGTAGGAGTATGACGACACTGGTGGTATCTGCATCGGCTGAGAGGACCACGGGCTGTGCGGTGGGTACGGGGAATTCATGGCTGGTCTGTAGTGTGGTTGCGTGTAGATGGGTCCGTTGCTGGGGAGAGTCGTGGCTACGGGATTCGTCATCTGGTGAAGATGTGGTGAAGAGTACATGATGTTTAGAGGAGATTGACATGAGCTGAAGGGCGACATCGCTCCCATGTTCTCTTCCGGTGCAAGTAGAACCATGTCTACGTCCGGTGAGTAGTATGACATGATCATGTAAGCGACGTTGTGTGGGATTGGCAGGTGTTGAAGGTGTGTGGTGACGGCTAGACGAGGAGAGCTGCAGGTCTTTAGGTGGTCGCCAACCGAAGTATATGTGGGATGGAAGTAGTGTGAGAGGAGGCCAGTGCGTCCAGACGGAAATCCTAATGAAGTGAGAACGGTCGAGTCACTGGCACAGACCCAGCGTACAGGGGAGTTGATTCCCAGCAACTAGTCCGGGATGTAAGGCTCTAGTCTGTGAGCGTTTCAGGGGCCTCTCCGCAAAATAAGGCTGAAGCCCTTGGACCTGTCGCAGCAAGTGGCGGGTAGTGGCGGTGTTGAAAGTCTTGCAGTGCCTGGTACAAGATGGGTCCGTAAGATTGAGCCTTACTGTCACCAAGATAGAAACTGACGGAGACGGGTAGCCAGACGGAAAACGCTATCCGCTGCAGATCTGGGGCGCAGACAGAAGCTCTAGCTTTTGTATGTCGACAAGGTCAGCATCATCTCACCCAGATTGCATGTACTCGATAAATAGAATCAAAGCTAGTTGCGATCTTCCAAGTGGATAAGTTGGCTAACGCTTGTCGCATTGTGTTCTCAATACGTTACCGCTCCAAGGCTGCTGCCTCCCGGTTCAGAAGGTGCATAACCCGTTCACAAGTGCGGTGGACGCTCGAGTGAGCCTTGGGGCGGGTGGGCGGTGCCAGATTCCACCCTAGCGCTGGTGTCTTCTGCGGCTTACCAGGGTAGGTCTTCTGGAAGAGAAGGCTTCGTCAGTGAGCATTTCGCTTGGGACAATTCGAGCGCACATATCAGCGAATCAGGAATGCAGTGTCACGAAAAGCCTCGCTGTTCCCAACATCGTGAAGGATTTAGTCTCCGAATACAACGTTGTCTGGCGTTGTACCCCAGTGCAGCCACTGCCCGGACTAGTCGCACAGTGAGACGACATCATAGGCGCCTGCACGTGAAGGATGGGGAGTACCAGCATCTACTTCCAGAGCTTTGGCCGCGGAAAGTGATAGACAGTCGATCGCAAGCATACCGAACGTACTGTCGGTGTGTGCGGGCGGGTGCGCTTGGGCAAGTCGCCTGTCGCGCTGGAAAACATGCCGGGTGCCGGCCCCGGTCAGAAATTCACGGGTTCAGGTTCATCTCCACAGCGTCTAGCTTAAAGCTAAGAATAGCGTCGAGCAACTGAAAGCCGCCCTGCTTCTAACTACCTCGAGAGCCATCAGTCTCTGACTCAGAGTCAAGGTCGTTGCAACTGTCGCGACATTTTCAGGTTGTTATCCGACCCGTCACTCGAGTCTGTCTGGTCCCTAGCATGCACTCGTTCTACCGAAGGCCGGGCACCTGCGAACTCAATGCCAAGACGGCTTGACCTCTGAACATTGGAATTGCAAATCAACAAACGTGTCAGTCTCTTTGGTCATCACACTTGCTACGCGCAGGGAAGCAAAGAGCCAAGGAAGGAATATGGCCAAAGAGCGTGCGTCATACTGGCCGGCTACCTCACATCACTCACCTGCCAATCCCATCTCAGCGAGCACCCAAGATCGGATTCGTGCATCTGCGACCGCTCTAAGTGGGCTGAGCAAGCAATGGTCGTCACGTCACTGTCGACTTGACTGCCACTTCTATCTCGCGCACATTGCTGAAGAGCTGGACTGACCGGTGCTCGCGTCGACATCATCTGCATTGGAATGATTCAGTCCTTCTGGCACACTATGGAGTGTAGAGCCTCATCACTGGAGGTAAAATTTGGCGACAATCGACGCCATAGCTCGCATACACATAGCTCTAGCCGGTACCCTCCAGCAATCACTTTGCAAACGTGCGCCACATTTTGCTCAGCGTAAGGGCAAGTAGATCCGATACGTGGAGCAAGGTCGAGTTCTGGTCAACAACTGCACACTGGCGACTTGCTGTGCCTATTCCCGCACAAACTACAGCAGCTATCAAGTGTCAACTGCACCTCCACTCTTGCTGAGTTGGCGAGAAGCGCCGTGGAGATTGCGCATCAACAGCTGGTAAGCACCAAAAAAAGAAACATTTTCTCTTCACGCAAAAGGCCAAATCCTGGGGCCCCATTGGCCCAAGAGTCGCCGGTAGTCGCGTCCAGGGTTGGTTCTAACCCTGCAGCACGCATCAACGATCACGTTGAAATGCACTTCAGACCGGCGGCTGTACTGGACGTTTGAAACGATTAAAGCTTCGCTGAGCCAATCTTCATGGTTCGACAGCATGTGGCAAAATCGTCTAAACTCTTCGTCCTGTGATGTAATGACCGTTCTAGAAACACCTGATCAAAATTGCGCACGATTACTACCGCTCCACACTGATCAATATCGAACGCCTGAGCGACTGCATCGTCAAAAATGCTTTTTCCAACGTATAGGCTATCCGAACATTTACCACAACGACGTGCTACAATTTCTTGTCGGACATAACCCTGGTGCAATGCATCGTCATATCCTGTAGGTTACGGCAACTGCGGCGAGCCTATTCAAGCCGCATAAATTCTAACCGCTGCCGACTATCGGCTACTGTATACCGTTCCGAGGAGTGCTCTCCAATCAAAATTTCGCAGACAAGAGAGTGTAGCTGGGCCAACGTCCAACGGAGCTCGACACAGAGACTTGCAGCTGTTGGGCGCCTGAAGTAGCTCCAGCCCCAGAGACTCGGAGGATCCCAAGGCGCAGCCCCCAGCCTCCGGTGAAGTGCATCGCCACAATACCGATGATCCATGAGCATGTTCCACGGACAGAGCAGGTCTACCCTGGCCCGGGCGACAGCGGCTTCTCTACCTTCAGATAGGACTTGTGGGTATGCCATGCAGAAGGTCTCCACTCTTTCATTAGACAATCGTCAAATACTTCGAGATGAAGGAGCACTCCGGTAATAGACACAGTGCAGCACCCAGTCCCAAACTCGGCCGGGTATCCTGCCAATGTCAGACATATCAAAGTCAGTCTTGACAGCAACTTGGTATTGAGGTGGGTGACAGCAAACGGTCTCACTTCACCGTGTCATTGCGGTCTCTCGGTGGGGCACTGAAGATCACAGGAGCTTGAACTTATATTCACTAAGAGTTTTGGCAGTCAGACCCACCAATTTGAAGCACATCAAGCCCACTACCAACCAGCCTCATTTCTCTAGCCGCGACACCATATACTCTGTTCCGAATACTTGGGACGTCGAGAAGAAAGATCTGCATTCCTCCTTCTAGAAGGACATACGCGACCTCAGTCACCGTTTCTACCGCAGCTGTGACAAGAGTTCAAAGCTCATCGGAGACTCAGGCTCCAGAGTCTAGAGTCATTGATCGCGGCTCCAGCATACCGACTATGCTGGCGCCGCGCTACGACACTACTACAACAATTTTGTCGAGACTTGGCAATCAATTAGACACCATGGTCTCCACTGGCGAGTCTATCTTGGGTGGCTCAGGGCACCGTTCAAGTAGAAATACACATGGTACACGCGTTGACAAGACAAGTTGGGGAAAATCGATGACTGGGCGCTCTCTGGCCTTTCCGGTCACAAAGTGGAAGTCATCGCCTTAGTGAGGCTACTGAGAAGGAAGGATAATCAGGACCGTCCGCGGAGTGGTTCCTGCCAGCAGTGCAGGGGTCTAGCGAAACTGGAAATTGCGGCTTGCAGTGACGGGAGACTTTATGTGAGGAGACGTATCCGGAGGATCGAAAGATTGAAGAATCTAATCTTCCAGCCCGTGACTTCAGGAGACTTGCGACTCCCGCCAGCCATCGCCCCTGACACGCATGAAACTGAACAAATTGACACGCCTGAAAGGGAGCATGTATCATAAGTTCAGACTTCCTACAAAGTACCTAAGTATTGAGATATCAAGATCGTTCAAGAGATCTGGTTGCATTGTAAACACCTCGTCAAGTCACTTGGGCTTCGCTCGATCCGTTCTTGTACCGCTGTAAATGGGCACCGCCGCAGAGATGGTACAAAGCCCACCAATACACATGCCTCGAGCGCGTTCACCACCTTTACACTATATTTCAGCGCAACATTCCACAGAGTTTAATCGTGAAACTTGCTCACAAGCGATGCAAGTACTGAACGTTGTGTGGAACTTACCTGCCGTACAATACAACCTAACACTGTAGCCCTCCTATATCACCCTGCGCCCCTGTAGTCATGATGAATATGTCTTGGGTGACCTTAAGCTTAAGCTTTGCGTGTTTAGCCATCGTCTTCTGTTGTCCTGAATATTTTTCAGCATACGCAACCTGTACCACAAGCTTGTCGTGCTTCCTGCTGAGTTCCTCAAAGCTGTCTCGAAGTAAGTCGAAATCTCGAAGAAGGTGATTATAGCTCGTCGTCTGATAAGCAACATAGGGACAGGCTTTGCATGCCCGCTCATCAGACTATTTGGAATGTCCACCATACACTCCTTGGGCTTTTCGTTCAGGGCGTCGCTATGGAGGAAACCAGCACTGGCCCCGAAGTCTGTGTGGAGCTGGACAAATAGCCGGCGGGTTAAAATGCCATCTGTCACTTCCTTGTAGATATCATACCAACAGCGTTCAGTGGTGGTCAACTTCGAGACCATTGTACTTCTTCACAAATGGCGAGAGCGCCTCGAGCATGAAGTCTTTAGTGACCGCATCCATAAGCTTATCAGCCAGGACGCAAAGCTTGGCCATCAATACATACCACTCCTTCCAGGACTTCCATGAAATCCTTGTATAGGAGTCATCAGAAGGGGGCATTTCAATTGCCTATACATGTTAGCTTTCCCACGCCGAGAATGTCTGTGCACTCACTTGAAGCACCTTCATGTATGCCGCAAAGAATTCAATCTCGTCCAATCTCGTCTTTGGGCAGATGCACAATGCGCTCCAATGACTTTTCCAATCTCAGTTCAGTGTATTCCTGAAGAAATCGCTGCGCGTACATATCATGTCCTGGTGAATGCATTGAATTGGGGCTGCCCACCAACCGCAGCACATATCGTTAGCGAGAAGAGGCAGCTATCGTTGTCGGCATCAGCAATGCATGGCCGAAGGCTGCACATGCTTAGAAACGCACGTAAAGGTCGACGACACAGCTTGCTCAAGCTGCTGTGAGTACATTTTTGCAGTAATCTCCTTGGTGGTCGTGCAACAGGACTGAGTCTGTTGATGTCCTCTCGTGCCCCGACGTTTCGCTTTTATTTGCACCCGAGGACACAGTATCCCTACTGAACAAGACCCTTGCTATCACTTTAGCTTTCTTCGAATTCGCTGGTAGTCAATTCATTTACTAGGGATTTGACTGTGTGCTGTGGGCATGCTGATACAATCGATACCACTAACCAATGGCCCTTGATCTACCGATGCAACAAGGACGTGCTCCTGAGGAGAGTCGGGGATCCCGAGTTCGTTCGATAAGACTCTACTCCGACTCCGAATCCACGCTCAAATCATACAGATGCTCTGTCTTACTGGACACCTCTGATGATACCCTGGTTGAAGAGTAGCCCAAGAGCTGGCGAACCGGGTCTCCGTCTCGAAGTATGTTGCCCAACAAAAATTTGAATGACCAGGTCCGTATCAGCTATTGGGCGGGGACAATGCAGGCTGAAAAGATTCCATAGGATTGCCGAGTTCACTCAACTCAATACCTCGAACTCCTCGGCGTCGCAAACCCGCTCCCCCTTGGACTTGCGCCAGCACTGCTGCCCTCCGCCTTCCTATCCGCCCACGTCCTCCCAGCCTTGATGACACCATCCAACTTCTTAGCCTCCCTGACAACATCTGTGAAGTACGACTCTTCGATCATCTTGTCACTCAGCCTGTCACGGTCCTGCAGTGCGCTCAGGCAGAAGAATACCATGTTGCCGAGAAACACATTAGTCTTGCGCTCGACCTCAGCGGCGATTTCGGTGGCGTCGAGTTCCTCGCCATCGCTGCCGAAGAGCTTGATGGTGTCGGTGGAAGCATCGAATTTGACGTATGAGATCGAGGACTTGAGGCAGAGCTCTGCGATGACAAGGCCAGTGCGGAAGATATGGATGTGCTTCGAAAGGTCGCGCGCGTCACGGCGGATCTTGTTGGATGCCAGACATGCGTCCAGGGAGCGCGTTGTCGAGGCATTGCTGGGTGTCGCTGTTAGCATCGAGACCCAGCGGTTGTCGGCGGTGCGGCGCCAGCGGATGTTGTTGCAGTCCAGGGACGTGAGCCACGGGCTACCGATGAGCCGGAATGAGGATTGCGCAATGCCGCTTGCAATAGAGCTTTGGTCTTGTGGGTAGAGTATTTGGGAGCTGAGTTGTGTGTGTTGGTTCTTGAAGAGAGCCGACAGAGGATCTTTCCATTCAAGGTCAGAGAGGAGGTTCCTTTGCGGTAGGGTAAGTTCAAACCCGTCGGAGCTACGCGAGGATGGCTGAATGTAGCATTTGTGGTTATTGTTCTGCCTCTGCATGAGGCTGGGTACCGCAGCAGCCAAATCGCTTTGTACACGTGTAGATCCGTTGACAGCCTTGATCTTGACCGGATGTACAAGCACCTCCTGCGACTGCCCGTTTAGTGATATCAGGAAGGCAAAGTCGCGTTCGCGAATTTGAGGTACCGATAGACCGATGTGTATCTTGTCACCCTGACCAGAAGCTTTATGTAACATCTCGGCATCCTTCTGGGCTGAGAACGCATCGAGAAGCTTGTTCTGCACCGAGCTCACCCTGCCATTGCTGACCCTGAGTACGATCCGTCTACCGGGTAGACGCTTGATCTCGGAGAAGATGTCTGGGTGTTCCTTCTCGAGGTAGTAGTCAGAGAATCGCTCCAGCATGGTCATCTTTCTGTGCAGTCGTTCGAGACGCATCTCAAGGTCATCTGCCCGGCCGAGAACACTCAGCACGAACTTGCGTGACCACGAAGTGTTACGCTGTATCCTTTGGAGGCAGTCTCTGACGAGGAACTCGTCTATACGCCCATCGAGAGGCGCCCTGCCCGGCCGAGCGCTCAAAGCACGACCAATTATCAAATCGACGTCGCGCTGCATGGTCTTGGAGATGATCTTAATGCCGCCTAGAGTTGATTGTATGCGTTCACAACCCATCTTGCCGAACAAGACTTGCAAGTAAATAATCGGACGGCGTGCTTGGACATCGTACTTCTTTTGCCAGGTCTGTAGAGAGATCTCGGCAGCGTCTACCCCTTCTCTAAGGTCAAACAGTCGATCCGATAGGCGCCTCCATCTGTGTATCTGGCCTGCAAATGTCTCCAGCGTTTGGCATAGAGTTAGCAGCCCTGATATAATACCAATGACTTCAGCCATGGCTTGATAGTAGGCTGAGAGTGAATGCGTTGCACACTGACCGAAGGTTCGTGGTCAAAGGTTGGGTTGCGGGAAGATGCGCAGAGTGACAACGGCATGGAGAGGGGACAATTTTCTATGAACTCAGATGCCATGGCCGGACCGTACCATTATAGATGGCAGCCTCATGATCCTGACAATCAAGGCCAAAACCTCAGCTCGCAAGAAACTGGTGAACAATGGTGTATTGCGATTGGATGTAAGCAAGTCGTGGCGGTGGCTGAACACCAGTTCGTGATGCTCAGCCCTAAATCAGCCCCCAATGGCCCCCACAACATCACCAGATGCTTGGGTGCCTAGAGCGAACTGGTAATGATGCTGATGGAGTGGCACGGGTCGGAACACTTTTTACGTCGCGACAACATCTTTGGACCCCACCTGCCAATAAAGCAGGATGAGAAGGGTGTAGTTGGGCGTTTACGTTGTCGCATAGCCGCTCTGTGCGCCCATGTGCTCAGCTCGTTTGCTTGATCATAAGTGTAGCGAAGCCGTCAACTCGAAGTGAGGTCGGGCCTTTTGCAATCACTTTCAGCCTACGGCAACCCCATTTTGAAGAATGGCGAACAGTCCAACCGATTCGCTTGGTGTCAACGAGCTGCCGCCTCCCCCAAAACAGCAGCGCTCGCGCTCAAGCGGCTACGTTGACACTCTTGCAGAGCAAGCAGAATGGGACAGATACGACCGAGAACGCCAAATGAAGCGTTACCGAGAAGGCTCGCGACTCAATCCCACGGTCCATCATCGCGGTCGATCTGACCGTCTCTGCGTGCCTATCTTCGAGACGGGCAAGCGACCTCGCTCAAACGAGAGATCTGAGCAACAGTGCAACGAGTTTGCGCGGAATTTCAAGATAGAGGAGGTCCGTCCAAGTCCGGAACCGGTATGCAACTATGATCTTAACACTGAACCGGTTTTGCCAAGCCAGCTGCCCACGAAGTATGAGTGGAAACCGCAGCAACAGTCGCAAGGAAAGCCGAAGATCAAGGTGCAGATCCATCAAGATACTCCGACTACCTTTATGGTGCCATCTACATGCACCCCAAAGCGCAGCCCAAGTGCGAGTCCGAATTCACCTACTGCACATCCAGAGTTGCAATTTCAGTTTTCGATGTTGCAGGCGAAGCTTCTTCAGATAGAGACCACATGTCTGCCTTACAGAGACATCATGCCAGCGGATCCGCGCGATTTGACCTTCGAGAAGATTATCGATCGCGTGGATGGCTTTGCGTTTGACCTGCACGTGTGGAGCCAGGTAGCAAATCTTGATGGGCTTGCGATGGTCGAAAAGAGTAGGAGGAACGTTGCGGACGCCGCATCACGCAACTTGAGTCGATTAATCGAGCGAGTCTCTGACTTGCATGTGGCATGTGCTACAGCCAAACCCAAGGATCTGAAATTGCCTCCACTGCCTGCAGTCGGCGACGATGAGGGCGAATGCGGTTCGTACGAGGATGACGATGGCGATGGGTAAGAAGACCTCAAAACGGCAAGAGGACGAAGTCGGAGCTGACAAATGTTAGTGAACTTGACGATCCCACAGAAGCTCCAGGTTTTGTCATACATACATTGCTCCACAGCATTGAAGTACAGATCCAGACACTGAAACGGCTGACCCGATCATTGCAGGAAGCAACTCCAGGCGCGAGGGAGGAGGTGATCAGTGTTGCGAGACTTGTCGAAGAGACATCGCAGTTCTTTGGCTCAGATACTGCTCTAAAGCATCACTCAATCGACCCAAGGTTCGCAGGTCGAAAGGCACTAGACGAAGCACGGGCTTGTGCCGTGTAGTGCGTATGTGAGGGGAGTCCGTATAACATGATCTGTACAACAGTGTTGTGGTGGGTGGACGTTGATCCAAGGGCTGAGCTAAGTCTCGATGTTTGGGTCCCTGCGTGGATGGCCAAGAGCGTCCAGTTGCTCCTTCCTGATTTTCTTCTCGATAAACAAATAGTCATTGGGTATAATGCAACCTCATCTCGATCTTCCTACTCAAGCCCACTTCAAACACCTCGTAGCCTCATGCGCATCCTTGCACTCCAACCCACACACCCTTGCCCCGCACTTCCTACACTTGATAGTCCCCCAATACCCACAATTATCACAGAATTGTCTCTGCGGCGGCGCACCAGCCGGGTTCGGGCTCGCAAAGCTCTGACTGTACGGCAGCGGCGGCGCGCTAAGCAGGGCCTCCAGCGTCACAGAACCCAGAGGCGATGGTATAGAGCTGGACACATCGAGTAGCGCATCGTCGGACGCAGCATCGATGTCCATGCGTGAAGGCGGTAAGGTCGGGGCGGGCGTGGCCTCGGTGGACGGAGGCGGCATGGTGCTCTGTCTACGCAGAATCTGCGCGTTCCGCACACCTGTAGTTTCCCTGCGTAGTGGAGGCGCCTGTTGCTGCTGTGCCAGCTGTGCTTCTTCGTCATCGAGCCAGTGCTTGATTTGCCTTTGGTACTGTATTATCCGGCGCGCATTCTGCGTCTTCGGTACTGAGGGCTTGCCGGGTACGGCGATGATCTGCTTGGGGTCATTGTCGCGTTCGAGCTCGGCGATGCGGCGTGCAATTGCGGTCTGCTGGCGAGCGGAGAGCTCGTTCTCGCCTCGTTGGCCGCTGGCGGCGGCGGCGCGCTTCTTGTTCTTTGGATTGATGGCGACTTTGGAAGGGTCGTATCCGGTGTCGACGACATATGTCCATCCTGGTGCGACAGATGCCGCTGAATTGGGCAGGACCTCGACATGTGGCATGACTGGTGATGGAGTGGTCTGGTGTCGAGTTCGGCGTTGCGGAGAGGAGACGGAAGTGATTGGCCGCTGCACGTGGGCTTGTGTGAACGCGTTGCGGAACGCCACGCGCGGGGTATACTTCGTGTGGCATTTGGAATTGCTGCATAACAAGTAGGCGACATGCGCTGGATTCAAGTTGCATACCCCAGTCATATCTACGAGACTGCTCAGCATACAAGCAGACCTGTAGTTGTAGAGACCTGGACCTTCTAGCCGCACGCTCTTCAACGACGATGTCAACACGTGAACCCCCAATAGTCCTCCCCGCAACATCACCAGCATCCTCTCCTTCTCAATCTGCGGTCATCGTATTCATCCACGGCTTCGGCGATACAGCAGAAGGTCCTTCTTCCGTCGCTGAGCAGTTCCAGCGCGCTGACAAGCTGCCTTACGCCTCTTGGACCATCCCAAACGCGATCGAGGAGCGTGATTTGGGTGCCACTGCATGGTACATGCCGACTAGACTTTCGCCATACCCGCCTTCGCGACCAGAACTCGAAGACGATGAAGACGAAGATGGGATGCTTAGGAGCGTGAGGTACATTACAGGACTGATAGATGAGCTGGTTGCGCAAGGGGTTCCAGAGAAGAGGATAGTGTTGGCGGGCTTCTCACAGGGCCATGTCATGACGCTACTCACGGGATTGATATCGAAGCACGCAGGCAAGCTGGGTGGTTTGGTTGGGCTGAGTGGCTACATGGCAATTTCAGACCGAGTGCCGGCGCTGAGAGAGGAGGCTGGACTACCGAAGGATGTGGAAGACAACATCGAGATATTTCTGGCAAGGGGCACCGGCGACAGGCTCGTGCCGAAGCGCTATCATCGCCTGTGTTGTGAGGCGCTGGTCAAGTTTGGTGTCAAGGAGGAGGTGTTGACCATCAAAGAGTATGAGGGCATGGGCCACGTCATGGGTGCCTCAGAGCTGAGAGACCTGTGTACATGGTTAGAGCGAGTTCTTCCGCCCCTCGAGTAACGGAGCTTAAGTCGCAAAGTTGATCAGGACTCCAACGTTTATTTTTGGCGAATACAAAAGCTGCTTCACCAGTCGTGAGTGCTGTCCGTTGATTCGCTCTCGTGTTCGGGTGTCTGAACGAAGGCGACGCGCCTCAATGATCGACAGGACGCCCTTGCCAGTCTCCCGACTTGGCAGAGACAACGTACCGGTTCGCGCCTTCCCCGTATTATTTCACGAGATGCTCCCATCCTTTATTCTGCCAGCACGTGCGTTTCAATTTGACTCACTGTTGTTATACTGAGATGGCGTTAATAAGGCGATATGGCCTGTACACACTTCTAGCTGCCGTCTTCGTATACATGCTGTACGAATTCAGCTTCCCATACGAAACCAGCGATCCCAATGCGAAAGCGAATCACCCCACAAACGATGGCGAAGCTCAGCAGCCCAAGCAGCAACAGCAACGTCCCGACTACAAGTCCATCAACTGGTCGAGAAAACCCATACAGCACCCTGTAAAGAGCTTCATCCAGCTACCCACAGGAACGCCATTGAAGCTTCCCAGGATACAGTTCGATTTCAAAAAGGAAGACCCCACGGCGAAGAATATACGTGAGAAGCGGAAGGAGGAGGTTAGGAAGCAGTTTTTGAAATGCTGGACATCATATCGCCAGATGGCCTGGATGCACGACGAGCTGAAACCCATCAGCGGCGAAGTCAATGATCATTTTGGAGGCTGGGCTGCTACGCTCATTGACGCTTTGGATACACTCTGGATCATGGGCTTCAAGGAGGAGTTCGAGTCTGCCATCAAAGATGTGGAGCAGATCGATTTTGGCTATACTGCGCTTAGCCAGGTCAATGTGTTCGAGACAAATATCCGTCACCTGGGTGGCCTGCTCGCAGCGTATGAGTTGAGCGGAGAGAACAGGCTCCTCAACAAGGCGAAGGAGGTTGGCGAGATGTTGTACCACGCGTTTGACACACCCAACCGCATGCCTGTCACGAGATGGGACTTCCGTGCTGCAGGTGAAGGCAAGCAGCAACTCGCAGACCCGCAAGTTCTGCTTGCAGAAATTGGCTCGATGACGATGGAGTTCACACGTCTCTCCCAGCTTACCGGTGACCCTAAATGGTATGATGCCGTTACTCGTGTCTCGAAAGAGCTCGAGAAGCAGCAGGATAATACTCATCTGCCGGGCATGTGGCCGATTGTCGTCAACGGGAGGAAGCTTGACTTCACTGAGGACAATACATTTACGTTGTCATCAATGGCCGACTCTACCTACGAGTATCTAGGGAAAATGCACGCTCTGCTAGGTGGCCAGGATCCTATTTACAAGAAGATGTACGAAAAGGCCATGGCGGCCGCGATCAAACACGTTCTGTATCGCCCTATGACGTCCGACGACTCCGACATGCTTGCTTCAGGTGCCGCTCGTGTGGAAGGATCGACAGTCTTTTTGGATCCGGAGCTGCAACATCTGGGCTGTTACACTGGTGGCATGTTCGCCATTGGAGGCAAGCTGTTCGACAACAACGAGCATGTTACCATTGGGCGGAAGCTTGCTGATACATGTGTCTGGGCGTACAAGAGCAATCCTGCGGGCATCATGCCCGAAGTCTCCCATCTCGTCAAGTGTGCAAACACAACCGCATGCCACTGGGACGACAGGGCGTGGCATGCCGAAGTTACAGCGAGAGCTGATCTTCAGAGAGAAGCAGATCCATTGAGGAACATTGCAGGCCTTAGACTGCCCCTTGGGTTCTCGTCGATCGAAGACCGCCGGTATATCCTCCGACCTGAGGCTATCGAGAGCGTATTCATTCTGTACCGTATCACCGGCGAGCAGTCGTGGCAAGCTGCAGGTTGGGACATGTGGACTTCAATCATGAGGGTCACGGACACGGACATTGGTAACGCCGCTCTGCTTGATATTTCAGCAGACACACCACCCATGACAGATTCCATGGAGGTGAGTCGTCAATTTTCCCATAGCAGTTGTCTATTTACTGACCGCAATTGCAGAGCTTCTGGATGGCAGAGACCCTCAAGTACTTCTTCCTCTTATTCAGCGACCCAAGCTCGATCAGCTTGGATGAGTATGTTTTCAACACTGAAGCACACCCGTTCAAGCTCCCCGAGGCCAAGGCTAAGGCATAACGGACGCATGGCTATGTTCAATCCAGAATTTCAACTTCGAGTCCAACGCACATACGTAATTCGACGCAGAAATCACCAATGTGTCATTCTAAGACGTGATCATTTCGACCTTACGCAACCTCGATTTGGGCGTTGAGGCTGCTTGTCCATCGCGATATTCGCCAGACTAAGTGGACCCTGGAGCACGTCGAAGCATCATCGCATCATCGATCCGTGACATCACAAGCATTCAACACAGCGCCTTCAACCATAAACAGCAGAGCCGAAATCTTCAATAAGTACGACAGCAAAGCGAACGCATCCTCGACAAAATCTTCATCCTGCAAACTCCAAACCCCGCGACACCTACCAACACTCCACAATGCCTCACTCCAAGACACCTGGTCAGTCGAATGCGGCTTCTGACAAGTTCAATAAGCAGCAGGCTGAAGGTATGATGCCCACAGAGATGTTCTCGAAAGTCCTTTCACACCACTTCATCACATGCTAACTTTCATACACAGCCAAGGGCCTCGGCGCATCGAACGCGCCTGCCGTAAAGGAGCAGAAGAAGCCTGGTGAAGCACCGGTGGCCAGCGACAGCGGTAATTCGAATGTCGGTGTCGACCCCAGTGCAAACAATCCCGGTGAGGCTGGCATTGGTGGACCCAATTACGGCACTAGGTAGTTGGATGACGGATGCTCTTGAAAATTAGTATAATACCGCATGCCTCCAAATGGGCTTGAGCAGATAATGAATAATGTGAAATCTTCTCCAAACATCTCAAATATTGTTGCAGAAGCGGAACTAGCGTGAGGTCATGGTGCTGTGAGGGATGAGCTCACGCGAGTCATGCACCACGCGAACGCGCTAAAGCTGGACCCTTGCGCATCTCGAAGTTCAATCCACCAAACATCATCATTGCATGCACGTTCCGATCAATTGATCACCATGTCGAGGGACGATGAGCCGTCATATATAGATTACGAGGCATTTCTCGACCCCGATTTCTCGGCTACATGCTTTGCCAACACGCTTGTGCTTGCAACGAACAACGCCTCAGACACCCCACTCGACCTGTCCACGCCGCTGTCCAGAGTTCTGTTTGACGTACAGGAAGTAGATACACACATCGACACACTCACCACCAAGTCTGCACTACCCCTCCTCGAACACACACGCGACCATGCTGAGTCAAGCGGGCGCATATTGGCTGAGGTGGAGGGACAAGTTGCAAGCTTGACAGAGAGCTACAAGACGCTGGAGAAGGAAGTCATTGAGCGATACGAGATTGCCGAACAAGTGCGCCTCACTGCTGAGCGTCTTGTCGAAACCGTCAGACTGGGAAGAGCCGTGGCACGGTGCCTCATGCTGGGACGACAGCTGGAGGTGCGCATGTCTGAAGTCGGCGGCGTAGGCAGCGCAAAGAAGGAGGACCACAGGGCGATGGTCAGGAGTGCGGACACGATACTGTCCCTCCGCCAGATATTCACGAACACCAAATCGGGGCAAGAGGGCGAAGGGCTGGACAAAGTCAACGCAATCAACACGCTAAAGAACGAGCTCGTCGTGCCCGGGGAAAGGAATATCGCATCGCGCGCCCAGCAAGTCGTCAAAGAATTCAGCATGTCATCGCTGCTCTCCTCGGGCCAAACCTCGGCAAGCACCTTCGCACAGACCGAAGACACAAAGAGCCGCACCACGTCCGCGCTCCAGACGCTCTACCTGCTCTCCCCGAGGACGGCAAGAACAACGCCTGAGTCCTTCGAGCCAACCCTCATGCTCACGGCGCTGCAAGACTACCTGCAAACGAGCTTGAAGAGCTCGCTCGCATCCCTCGCCCGCGCACTCACCCAGCTCCCACAACTGGAGCGCACGCTCCTCGAGATCTCGGCGCGATGCCAGAACATCGTAGCGTTGCAATCGCTGCTCTCGTCCACCAAGCCGCCCGTGCATCCTCTGCTCTCAGGGGCTTCACAGCCGAAAGCGAAGAGCGACAACTTCCTGCAGCCGCTCCTCGCAGCGCTCGACACCAGCTCGCTCCCGTCGTACTTTTGGAGAAGCCTGGCGTCCAACATGGCGCCGAGGATGCAGGAGATCATGTACAAGGGCGGGGTGAGCGCGAGGACGCTGCGGAGCAACAAGGAGAGGGTGAGGGATGCGGTGAGGGAGTGCGTGGATAGGGGCAGCAGGTTGCCTGGGGAGAAGGGGGGGAGGAAGGGCGAGGGCTGGGAGAGAGAGGCAGCGGTCATGGTGGGGAGTGTTGTTGGGGGGATAAAGTGAGCTTCGTCACTCGAGCCTCGTCTCCTTCTCGACGCAGTGGATGATGAGATGTTAGATTCGGTCGGCATTTCGTATGAGTCAGCACCAGTATTGTGCAAGGCCCGTCTTCGATATCAGTCCGTTCATCGATATCAGTCCGTTCATCGATATCAGTCCGTTCATCGATGTCAGTCCGTTCATCGATATCAGTCCGTTCATCGATATCAGTCCGTTCATCGATGTCAGTCCGTTCATCGATGTCAGTCCGTTCATCGATACCAGTCCGTCCATCGATACCAGTCCGTCCATCGATACCAGGCCATCGCATTCGGTGTCTCCAACTAGGCCAAAAATAGCCAGCCAGGGTCCACGAATGCAAGTGAGGGTCCAGAGTGGATGCCCAGGACGAAGTCGTTTGATCGGCTCCACCAGGCCCCTGCAATTCGGGCGGAAACGTTTTGCGAATGCGGATTGTGACGTGCCAATGGTCAAACGCGTGGAGGCAGTTGTTTCCGAGCGTTGCACGACAGTGTGTGTAGCAAGTAGATGTTCGGCGGCCCAATGGGAGTCGACAGTGGCCGCAACACCACACAGGAACGTTACAGACGGAGCGTCCCGAGTGGGCGCGCGGCTGCGTCTGGGTGGAGCGAAAATAAAGCAGCGTTTGCCATGTGCATCGAATGATTCCTTTTCGTGCATCTGTCCGTTTGGCTGTCAGCACGAGGCGTCCTCGCTAGCAGCCTTGTGAAACTGCGCTAGCATCTATGCAGTGCGTGGAGCGGACTTTCTGCGTCGACGTCTCCCCGACGGCGAGTGCACTCACGCTCTTGTGGCCTTGGACGTCTTGCGTCTACCCTCGCTCTCCTTCCTTCGTGTACCGGTATCTTGATCTTGCATTCTTTGTTTCCCTAGGTACTGCCCATCCCGGCCGAGTCCGTATCCCTGCTCCAGGCGGCGCCCCGTCCCCGACGTTCAAGCTCCTTTGAGGCCAGCTGTGCTGCAGGAGAGTCGCGCGACTGTACAAAGTACGAAGTACGACGCACGAAGCACGAAGCACGAAGCACGAAGCACGAAGCACGAAGCACGAGGCACGAAGCACGAAGCACGAAACACGAAACACCTTACGCATATAATACCGCCCGACACCATGTCCGCCAGCCACATGGCCGCCAACCGCAACAGCACGCCCGAGGGCTCGTCGTCGCTGCGGCCGCCCGTCAACCGCACGTCGCTCGGCGCGGGCCACCACCTGCGCGCATCGGCCGACATGGGCGGCTTCTCGTCGCCGCTGGCCAACCGCGGCATCCGCCCGGCGTCGGAGATTTACTTTGGCCGCCCGAGCACGCAGTCGGGCAACCCGGATGAGATGGAGCGCGCGGCGCAGCAGTGGCTCGCCGACATTGACCAGTACGAGAAGACGCTCGAGGAGATGGCCACGGCCACGCTCGACCAGGACTTCAAGGACGAGCTGAGCGCCATCGAGCAGTGGTTCCGTGTCCTGAGCGAGGCCGAGCGCACCGCCGCCCTGTACGCCCTGCTGCAGCAGACGACGCAGGTGCAGATCCGCTTCTTCATCCAGGTCCTGCAGCAGATGTCCAAGAGCCTGCCCATGTCGGGCGTGCTGTCGCCGGCCGCTTTTGGCGAGAAGGGTACCGTTGCCGCCCCGCGCTCGCCCCCGCAGAACCCCCGTGCTGACGACCCCCACGCAGACCCCATGACGCAGAAGCTGAGCGACGCCATGAGCAAGCTGGGCACCGGCGAGAACCGCCACTCGCTCATGGGCCGCCCGCCGCCCTCCCCAGGCGCCGCCAAGCGTGCCTCGGGCCTCGACCCCTCGACCATCCACCGCATGTTCCCCGACGCGGCCGCCGCCATTGCCAAGCAAAAGTCCGAGTTCACCGAGGTCGTCGGCGTGCCCCCGGCCGCCAACCGCAGTTCCATGCTCGCGCCCACCATCTCGGCCCCCGATGGCGACAGCAACACGGACAACGCCCCGGCCTCGCCCTGGAACGACGGCCAGCCCGGCCAGCGGCCCAAGTCGTCCGGCCAGCAGCAGCCCCCGCAGCAGGGACAGCCCGCCATGGGCCAGTTCACCGCGCCCCCGCCGTCCGCCGGTCTCCGGTCTCCGCGCCTGCCTCTCCAGCAGGACGCCGCCAGCGTCCAGACCACAACCCTCAACGCCCTCGAGGCCAACTCGGCCGGCATGCCTCTGCTGTCCCCTGCCTACGCCGGTGGCAGCTGGGCCTCGCAGCTGAGCACGCCCATGGTTGCCAACTTTGGCCAGCAGGCGAACCAGGCCGACATGGTCGCCAATGCCACTGCCATGAAGCTGGCCGCGCTCTCCACGGTCAACAACCGGATCCAGCTCGACGACGTGCGCAAGTACCGCCGCGCTCGATCGACCGACGGCCACGGAGCGGGAAACACTCCTCTGTCGCCAGGCTTCCCGCCCATGGGCAACAACATCCTCATGACCAACGAGCTGGGCCAGGTGCTGACTCCCCAGCAAGCTGCTGCGCTCCAGGCTCAGCAGCTCGCTGTCATGAACGGCCGCCGCTCTCGTCCCGCGTCCCCCGGTATTGCGATGCAGGGTGGCATGGGTGGAATGGGCAGCTTCGCTTCGCCGCAGGCTAACGGCTTCTTGTCTGCCGACTACGCCAACGCCGGTCTGATGAACAACGGCATGGGCGCCCTGAATCTCAGCCAGTTTGGTCTCGGTGGCGGATTCGACAACCACAACGCCGGTTTCTTGGGCGACGAGATCAACCGTGGTCGCTCGCCCCGCGGCCGCCGTGGCAGCTCCAAGCCGCCCGAGGACCCCACCGATCCCACTCTGCTCCAGGACATCCCGAACTGGCTGCGCAGTCTCCGTCTGCACAAGTACACAGACAACCTCAAGGACCTGAAGTGGCAGGAGCTTGTTGAGCTGGACGATGCAGGTCTCGAGGCCCGCGGTGTCAACGCCCTGGGTGCTAGGAGGAAGATGCTAAAGGTACGTTACACATCACAAAGCTCGATGAGCCCCGCTAACAGACTCGCCAGGTCTTCGAACAGGTCCAAGAGGCCAAGAACGACGGCAAACTGCGATAGGTTCGCCTGGTCATCATCCACACTCGCAGCGACAAAGTCACAGCCTCGTACGACTACCACACGCTCCTCCGTCGCTCCTCGGAGCTGTAGCTCGCGAACAAGCCTCTCATTACATAGATCTACGATGGAACACCTCTCCCCTCCCAGCTGGTCACGGAACCCCATCGATCCGTCAGGTCTGGTCCGCATACAATTCCCACGTGTTTATGCATTGCATGGGACCCGAGACTTGGATTTCTGCGCAGGGCCATTGAGCGGTTTTATGTTGTTGCCAGGGGTGTATTGTTTGATATTCGGGCTTTCTCTAAAAATATGTTATTTCTCTTTCGGGTGTATGGTAGGTAGGCTCAGTCGGGTAGGTAGGCTCAGTCGGGTAGATTGCGCATGGCGCGGATAATGACTGCATGTGATTATTCTTCCTGTTTGAGCGCAAACGCAGTGAGCACGCTCCGAGCTACGAAACACTTGTCTAGGTGCACTTCCCTTGCTTCTTGTGAACGTCGGTGCAACAAGCCCCCTCCACCGATCTCCGCCACCACCGCTCTCGCCCGAGCTCAACGCGTAGACGTGCGTTCCAGAGGCAGATCCCCATCCGACTCTCGCCAACGACGCCCAGGCCCGAAGCAATGCCTCGTACCTCCCTCGGCCACGCGGCTGCGATGAGACCCATGGCTACACGCATGTCCCGGGCTGAGGCCGCGTTGAAATATGCGAGAGTATCTGCAGCCGCCGGCTTATGCTTTTGCTGCACTGAGATAAGGGCTCAAGGGGTTTGACTTTGGACCTTGCTGTCTACTACCTGTCGGTGGACTGGGATCGTGCCATGTCCACGCATCGTGAACAGCAAGTGCATTCACTTGCGAGTACTGTCCACAACCCACGCACAATATCAGCGCTCTATTCAGCACGCATCTCGCACAGTGCCGCTCACGAGTCTGTACATTCGCATCTGCCCTCCCCCTTCCATTCGCACAGCACAGCACAGCACAGCACATCACTTCCACTCCACATCTGCACGCCCGACGTCACACCGTCCTCGGCCCAGAGGGAGAACACCAGACCCGCTCGACAATCCTGGAATGCTCAAATGCACACCCGCCCCCAGCGGCGCTGCCCACCCTCGCAGCAGCACAACCCGCTACATACCACCCACCCCAAGTCTTGACCAAGTCCTGAGCTACGTAGACTTCTTCCCGCATTCTTCTTCTCCACCGCCCCAGACCCCACAGGTAGCTTCGTGCAATATCTAAACCGCACCTCGGCCATGGCTCAGTCCCTCGTCGGGCTACTGCCGGCCACGCACCCCATCTTCTAGGCGTCGACCACCGCGCCGCCAACCCCAGCGGGCGATAGCTAGCTAGCGTCTCGCAAGCCACCAGGGCCGGAGTGCCGAGGGCGTTCAAGTACCCCAAGATCGTCTTCGCCACGGCTTTCTGCGGCGCCGAGAGCGGCGGCTGCGCGGAGAAGATTAGGGTCAGCACGTGCGAGGCCTATGTGCGAGACAATGCGGCTGCGTTTGTCGATGCGTATTGGGAGACTGCTGGGCTGGAGTGGTTCCAGAAGGGGGATGTGGTGAAGCCGCAGAAGAAGGCGGTGCCCATGATCAAGGGCCAGGGTTGGTTTGGGTGGTAGGAGTAATTCATGTTGCGGCAGACGTAGTCGCTGTATAGTCCATGGAAACTGTGCTGAGTTGCTTGCTAGCTAGGAGGCGACCATATATACATGCCCTGAGACGTGCTAGTCCAAGGTAGTCAACAGAGGTGACGATCAAAGCCTATAGGACCGACTTGCACCGCAACAACTCAATAGTAGCGCTTGATCTCTGCCCAAACTTCTAACCCCCCTTGACGTCTTCGTATAATTGAACTGTGACTTCTGTGCAATACCAAAACGCCTGGTGATACACGGCATCTGCGAGTAGGTCGAGCGTGCCTTTGAACTTCACCTTGATGGCTGCAATACCATTAATCGACCTCTTACATAATTTCGCAGCATCACAAAGGCTACAAGCACTCAACAGTAGATGTTAAGCGCTTGTTACTACCCAATGCTAGCTAGCTATAGACGGTAACTACAAGTCAAGACTATCTCCCATATGTCCCATGTTATCCGTGTTGTTCGTGACTGGCCAATGTCCCATGTTGTCCGTGTTGTTTGTTAGTAGTAGCCAGGCCCCAGTGCGTGAACAGTCATAACTGTTCAATTAGCGGCGACGCCTTGGCGACGCCCAACCGATCAGGCCACCGTTGGTACCCTTCCAGTGATTCTCCATCATGCTGATGTAGAAGTCTTCATCGGAACCCCAGGGCTGGCCCGCATAGCCGTCGTCCGAGGACCAGGTAGACTCATCGTCGCTCAGATCTGCAGGCGTATGAGGGGGTCCCCAGGGACAAGGGTAGCGAAAGTACTTTCCAATGACGATAGTGTGGAAGAGAGTAAGGGAAAGGTACAGCTCTCTGGCGAACGTGGCTGACCTGTAGTGGGCATAGCCCGGCTGCTGGGTGTAATCGTCGTTCATGGTGGTCAAAGACGAGGTGTCGTTGTTGTTGCTGTTGCTGTTGCTGTTGCTGTTGCTGTTGCTGTTGGAGAGCGACGGGAGATGCTGCGAATAAGGTCGCCTCCTTTGTGCCACCAGCGCTTCAGGTGGTCAATGAGTCGGTGTCGGTGGTAGACGACAGTGGGCATGCCCTCAGCGTCACGGAACGTATGGCGGTTGGAGGTAAAGGCTTTGGCTTCACCTGCAGTGTCTTGAAGAGCCGGGGTGGTAGAGCGATGAGTAGACTTGGGAGATGTGAGCTCAAGAGGGGTATTGGGGGTGGTGAGCGACTTGTTCGTGGCTCGAGTGGCGTTGTCGAGCGTGGCGTTGCGGGCCGAGGAGAAGCGTTTCTTGAGACTGAACTTGCCTTTGCGTACGATTCGCGGCTCAGTATCGTCGTCAGAGGTGTCAGAGGTGGAGAAATTGTCTCGAAAGATGGCTGTAGGCGGAGTCAAAGCCGAGGTGGGGTAACGTTCACCAACGGCGTGAGGCTGGTCACCGTTGCGTCCAAAAACGCTGAAGCGTTGCAGCTGGCGATCGTGAGCACTGGAGCTGGAGTCGGTGCCAAAGGGCGAGCCAACTGGTGTGGTGAAGGTGGTTACGGTAGAAGTATCAGAGATGTTGTTGCGGAGGTGGGATGGGCCACGGCGTGGTGAGTGCCTGACCGCTGTTGGCGGAGGTAGTGAGATGTCAACAGAGGGGATTGTTGACGTTGCCCAAGGGTAGTTTTTGTCGAAGTTCCAAGGACGAGTGTCTGTTTTGGTCGGGGTTGACGAGAATGATCTCAGAGATCTCGTCGTCAAGCCAAACTCAACTGAAGCTCGCAGGTCTTGGACGCCGACTGTAAGGGCACGGGGGCGGAGGATAGCAGGTGAGAGTGCCTCGAGCTCGGCAACAGGAGTTTTGAGGCGCGTTGAGCTGTTGTCCTTGGTCACACTGGCCCGAGATTCACATTGTGCATTGTCGACCCCCTCGTCACGCTGGGCAACCGCAACATCGCTTTCCTTCTCTTTGCCGCTCAGCTCCTTGTACAATGCATCGTCCATCATGACCAAGTTTGGAGAACCAGGAATTGGCCGCAGCCGAGCAGACGAGCGCTTCTGTGCAGGGCCGCCGACCTCGTGGATGTCCTCCATGGCATGCTCCATAATCATCTCCTCAGCAGCAAACGGACCCTGATCGCCGAGCTTGTAATACTCCCTCAGCGATGGCAAGAACTCTGAGAGACGCTCCGTGAGACCGTTCACCGAAGGCACAGTCACTTGCTCAATCTCCGCCAACAGCTCAGGGGATAGCGCGCGCCGCATAAGCAGCATGTTCGTCATCTCCGAACGTGCAGAATCCTTGGGCGTGTTGAACTGATCCAGCTTGTCACAGAAACTGCGATACTTCTCGCGCATCTCTCCTGCGGATACTGGTCGCTGCGGGATATCTTCACGAAGCTCAGGCACCTTCACAGGCAGCTGGTCCAACGAGCGGGAATTGCGCAGGTGAAGCTCCTCATCCAGCTTGTCGAACAAGTTCATACGACTGAAGTTCATTGACGGCAGTTCGTGGCTGTGGCTCATGGCGCTGCCCAGAGCGCTCCTCCTGTGCGAACCCATCGACGACCTCATTGAGAACAAGGCACCTTCATCGACCGAGGCGCGCACACCACCCGGGATACCGAATGGAAACCGAAAGTTCGAATTCTTCAGATTACTGGCACTCGTGTTCAAGCTTGAGTCTTCGTGCGACTCCTCCTTCAGATCTGGAAGATAGTGCAGACCGCCTGGATACCTGTATTGCGAGAGCCTGAGATCCGTGGTGGTGTCATTGGTCGAGATCGGTAGCGGAAGGTTTGGTTCGCTGATACACGCAGCTGGGTTGCTGAGATTGAGAGACTTGCGACCGTGCCAGACAAGGTGCGTGGTCGTCTGACTGTCTCGACGATTGTCAACAGGTTTGGGAACACCAGCAGGCGAGGACTGGACTCGAGAACGCAAAGAGCTATCCTGGGGTGAATACACAGAGGAAGGGTCATGGATGGCAGGGGAAGGGCTGCTGAAAGAGTGTTGATGCACAGGAGAAGCAGGATCTGCATTGTGCGCTGGTGATGGGGCACGATCGCGCATGGCGTCCTTGGTCTTTGCTGGGACTGTGATCTCCTTGAACAATGCCTTCTCGGGAGTCATGATGGCGTCTCTGAGAGACTGTTGCGACGAGGTCACGCTGTTCGCAATACGAGACTCTTGCAGTGTCTCTCTGGAGCTGTTTCCGGCCTTCGTGAGGTCCTCGTCCTTGCTGGACTTCTTGCCCCAGCGCTTGAACATCATCCATGACGCCACCCCCATCGATCTCTGAGCCTCCTTTGACGTACTGGACTCGCGTGGTGGTACCGGGGGCAGTTGAGTGGCACTGAGGGTAGATGAGGAGCCTGGGGTCGACACTGAGCCTTGCTTCATGCTGGGTTTAGAGCCTGCTCGAAACCTATTCGTGAGTGGAAAGCTTAATTCACGAGGAGGAACCCGGGGCTTTCGCAGTACAACCGGAGCTGGTGTGGCAACAGGTGCTTCAGACATTGGCCTTGGGGTCTGCGCGTTCGCAGGAACAGCGGCCGGTGGCTTGGCTACGGGCATTGATACGGATCGACCGGGCGTTGCGGCATCCTCAGCAGTCCTGAATGAACGAGCGTCCACCTCCTTGATGGAGGGCTCCTTCTCGGTCGCTGCATCTGGAAAAGATTGGTAGGACTTCGCATCATCGTCCTCCGCTAGCCCATCCTCGGAAAGTTCAGACTCCAGAACATCGGTCGCAGATTTAAATGACTGCGGATCGGACGACTTCTGTGCATGGTTACTCCTGCTCTCAGAAGCTTGGTCCTTGAGAGACTCGGTTTCAGTGTCCTTCCCTTTCTTTTTCTCTTCCTTCTTGGGGTCTTCTTCATCCCCGTGCCTGGACTCGGTGTGCTGGTATCCAGCCAGGAGATCTGACATATCGACCTCGGTACTTAGTGCTGTATCCGGAGGCAACGGCGGCTCGCGATCCGGCATAGGAGGTGGATGAGAACCGACTTGAGCTCCAGTGACCATGGGGATCGAGCACCGGACAGCAAAATCAAGTGTCGAAGAGTCAACAACACTCGAGTTGGCTTGGGACAAGATACTAAACCGCTTGTCAACAATATGGCCATGCACGGCTGCGCTTGCATGTGTTGACCGATGCTCGTTGTACATGGCCTCATGCTGCGCACCCTCCGGTTCATCATTAGCAGATGACGGATCTACGGTGTCATCGATACTCGTCGTTGTAGATCCTGGCTCCAACGCTTGCAGAATCATGTCCCTAGTGATCCGTCGAGCGACAGGAGATGCAGGCAGTTCCACGATACCAGGAATGGCAGTGCTGGAGACCCGTGTGGTTCCGGAAGCCCAAGTACCACGAGCTAGAGCCGCAGGTAGGTCTGTCAATCCACGTTCTTCCTGTACGGTCTTGATGTTGTTGACAAGACTGGTAGGAATGGGGTTGACCTCTGGCTCAAGGATCTGCTCGCGCTCAAACTGCTCACTGTAGTCGTAGTAGAGCGGACCACTGGCGACTTCCTCCTTGACGATGATACCAGTCACGGTGTCGACAAGCACCTGAGTGCCTGTTGGGCTGAGCATCACTTCCAAGGACGATCCATCCCGTGGTGTAGGGGGTGATGGTCCATCGGACGAAGGTGTGTCTGAGTCGTTGCGGATGTTTGTCGAGCCGCTGGAGAAAGAGCCTTTGACGGAGCTATGAATCACGCGAGGTCGCTCGAGAGGAACACGAGGGTGGAACAGCGGTGGAACCGGAGGAATGTCGCCGTGAGGTGCCCCGAAGTAGGCTGGTGGATGACCACGACTGGGACGGCGAGGCATTCCAAAAGGTCTGTCCTGGTATCCAAGGCTTGTGTCAGATGGGATCCTCAGCCTCTGTGCTTGCTGTTGGATCTGTCCCTGGCTGCCATGACCGTGCAATCGCCGTGGGCGTGACCCGGTGACATCGCTCAAGGAGGGTGACGCTGGCCGGTACGAAGGACGGCGGAGTCTGGTGGGGTATACGTACGGTGACTTCGGACGCTGGATGTGGTCGTGGCCGCGCAGGCTGCCCAACGATCTGTTGCTTGACAGTCTGAAGGCCGGCTGAGTAGTGTTGGTCATCGAGAATGACCGCTGGCTGTCTCTGTTGTTGCGGCTGCTCCGGTGGCGTGTCGGAATGAGGGGTGACGATCCTGGAAGATTCATCACTGTGGGTGAGAGCGTATCAGCAACGTACTGCGGGCCTGACGGCTCTCGCATGGAGGTACGTCTAGGTGCAGATGAAGACGAAGGCCACTGTCGATGGTGTCGGCTTGCACGGCTGGAGGTGCCGGACATGGACGAGGCTGTGGACAGCCTGCTGCTCGCGCCGCGGCGCTGCGGAGCTCGAGGTACGTTGCCCATGCCAGAGAAGTCTCCGGTCAGGCCAATGACGTTTCCCATCTCTGTAGAGGTACGCAGCATGGACATGACGCCAGGAGCGGATGCCAGTAGGTCCTGCTTGTCAGCTCCGCTGTGGTGCCTGTAGGTGGCTCGAGACATGGCCGACAGGTTGGACGCCCTGCTGGTGCGCCCACTGGCGTTGGGGTCTCGCTCGGCAAGCATCGTGTTGTCCTGGACGTGGCCAAACTGGCCAAGATGCGATGCTGAACGCAGAAAGAGCTGTGGTAGTAGGGAGGGTGGAGGGTGGTGATGTGAGTGATAGTGGGATGACCAAACAAGATGGGGCCGGCGAAGGTGAGACTATCCAAGAACAAAAGAGTGACTGCAGCTCCGCCCCTCACCCATACGCAACCAAGACGAGAGTGATGCTGGTGATAGACAAGCGGGGTGTAGGGAGAGGGAACAGGGGAGGTGATCTCGAGAGGAATGACTGTTTCCCCACACGAGCTGTTCCTGCCTTCTTTGCGGTGGCAGGAGCTAGCTCGCAACAGCAGCAGGACCGCACGTGGCGAGTAGCTACTGAGAAAGACAGCGACGATGATGTGAGGAGAGTAACGACAGAGTAGGAACCACCTGCCCTGGACGGGAGACAACAATACGAATAAGCGGCATATTAGCCGCTGCGGCATTGGGTACATACCTATTTGCCTCACCGCAGATTCCACATCCAACGCCCCTTCCCGCACGGCAGGCTCAACGCCTCAACTACAGCCTCCAACTCTGGGTCTCCGAAGCATCCAGAACGAGCTTTCGCATCGCCGTGCACCCTGCCGGACGAACTTCACAGCACAAAGTTTCGAGAGTGCAACGAACCCACTGCTCCCTCCGGCTCGTTCTACCTGCTGTCACTCGAGAGCTGGCGGAGGCCAATGCACACACCTGACATGATGGCATGGACACTACAGCTAGGAACAAAGGAAACCATGTACAAATTGTATGTACCCAGACGCTAGATTCTGGAAAGCTAGGAGATAAGAAGGTGGTTAGTATATGCAAACCAAAGGACGACCAACAAGCAAACAAAAGGGTATATGGCTGCGAGATGCCAACACAGACAACGCCCGCTGTAAATGAGACAAAGCAAATGTGAGGGTATATGGTTCACTCCGCAATGGTATGTATGTCGTTCTTCTTCTTGGTGAAGAAACGCCTGAGCGACTGTAGACTGCTTCTCTTGAGCAGCCTCTTGCTGGTTGTCTCTGAATAAACACTGGTAGAAGTTGGTGGCCTATCTGGTGGTTCGGCAGACTTCACAGATCGTAAGTTCGAACTCGAAGGTGTCGCAGCACCCCCGAATTTGCCAGACATCGACTGTTTGGGGGTATGCCGGGCACTGCTTGGAAACAGGCCAAATTGAGCGCTCGACGACGCTGAACGTGGAGGCGCAGTGCTAGCTGGCGACACGATCGAAGCTCCTGACAATGAAGAGTAAGCTGAGTCCTTTGCTGTCATGGGCGGACTATCCCCTTCTTTCTGGGACGAGCGCCGGTGACCGTGCTTATGGCTGGTACGACTCGGCTCTGTCTGGGGTTGTGCGGCAGCCTTACGTTGTTCTTCGCTGTGCCAGGCTTCGTGGTGGTATTCGGGCTGTTTCGGTGTAGGTTGAGTTGGCACACGCACTTCCGCAGGAGGAGCTGGCGCTTGAGGTGAGGCAGGAGCTTCAACGTTTGATTGCGCGCTTCCCGCCATGTAAGGGTTTACAGGCTCTGGCTGTGGCTGGTAATGCGGCACTCGTGAGATTGGACGCCCACGGGGCTCATTATCAGGTGGTGTTCTGGTGTCTGTCTGCGGGGCAGCAAGAATCACTGGCACCTGCGGAGTCGGTGGTATTGGGAGAGGTTTGTTCTGCGAGCGTTTGCGAGATGATCGACGGCCATTATCGCGCAAGTTCGACTTGGAAGAGTTTCGAGAGGAAGACGTGGTTGCAATCTATGCAACATTAGCTTCGACCTTCGAAGTATCAGCATTCACATACCAGGCTGCGTCGACTGGCAGCACCGCAGCGCTTCTCAATCTCATTGCAGTAGCTACTGACTTGTACAAGTACTGTTCCAAGTCGCTCTGCTTTCGTCACTAAGCTCTGCAGGAATTGGGCCCAGCCGCTTGTATTACCGCACATGGCCGAGTATATGCGCCCGACGTCTTCATTGCGATACGCCCATTCGTCGCCAATATCGCGCAGGTAGAGCTCAAGCTCTTGGTTCGCATCGCGATAAATGCTTATATCGATAAGGTAGTCGTTGAGCAAATGCGACATGCGGTTGATGGTTCGTTCAATGGTGATGTTTCCGTCCAGCAGCGAAGCACGGTATGCGCGGTCATCGAGAAGGCGGTCGAATTCGTTGACGTGTTCCATTGGTACTCGCAAGCACTTGTGCCGAAAGAGCATGTCCTTCAAGCTCTGCTCAAGATCCTCGTTTGCGCGCTGCAGGAAGCTGTCGAGCTCATTGACATGCTTCAGGAGAATATCGGCGACATCGGCGGTCGACTTCTCGAGGTGCTGGTGCAGCAGATGGACGCCGAAGACGATCTGGGCAATTGTCTTCAGCAAGGGGTGGTGTTTGCGCTTGGGGTGATGACGCCGATGGCAGCTGTACGTGTAGTTGTAGGAGAGTTCCTCGGCATCAGCTTCCCTGCAAAGCAATTGCTGGCGAGTCTTGACGCCTCTGCCAGGAGTCTTGAAAGGCACAAAGCCCGTCTCGCCCGTCGCGTCAAGCATTGACTCCTCGAAGGCGGCCTGCATCGACGGCAGGGGGTGGATGGGGAAGGTCGCGGTCATCATGGGCGTGTCGGGCGCCTCCTGCCATTCGAAGGGATCACGGTCGTGTTCGAGGCTACGCCGCCCGCGCTGGGAGGGTCTGCGAAGAGGGACCATGGAATAACTCCAGGGCTGGGGATGCGGCGCCCGAGTTGCCCCAAAAGGTCAGCGCTCGTGCTGTTCCCCCGGATTCCGAGGAGGCTGTCGCCCGATATATCACGCACCCAGTCCCGGGTCTAGACAATTCAAGGCTGGGGCTTGCGCATAAGCACGAGACACGTCGAGGAACAAATCCAGACTGGGAAGTGGGAGAGCCAGGTGTACCAGGGTACGGCGGTCTGCAGCCCACCGGCTGTTCTAGCAGTCTTCAGCGGCCAGTGAGGGCTGCCGCATGCTGGTGAGTTCTGGAGTCGCGAAGGGGGCTGCACGCTGCAAAAGCACACAGGGGAAACGCAGCGGAAGGGCGTGGCAAGAAATGAGCGTGGAAGTGAGGTCTGTGTCAGGGCAAAGGTGTCTCCAGTGAGTCGTCTACAGTCATCAGCTCACAGCTGACGATCGCCCACAGGATGCCAACGCTTCTGCTCGCCAGGAGGTCGCTGCACGGGTGTCTGAGCGCCCAGTAGCGGCCGAATTAAGGTACCGTTCAGCGCGGGCGCGGAAGCGCTCGTCCACACCAAAAAAAACACGCACCGAATGGACGCGCAGCTGAGCGTAGCTAGGCACGTAAGGTTTCAACGCTGCGACTCTATTTCCAAGCCATTGCGCGCCTCTTCACAAACGTGTTTCGGGCCCCGAGGTTCACATGCTGGGTGCAGGCGCGCTGCGACCCCTCCCTGTGCGACGCAGCAGGCATCGTCATGCAGGCCTCAGCTCCTGATCGCGAAGGAACACCCCCCTTCACCACGCCTGATGCCTCCATGGATGAGCGAAAGCCCGTATCGCCTGCGTCGCCTAACTCAGCCGATGCCAGCCCAGGAGGGATTGACCCGCTAGCTGCAAAGGCTGCAAAGCGGATAGCTGATGTCATCAACGACTTCAAACGCGAGCTGGACGCGCGCGATGGCGCCTGGGCGCACGCTCAGGGATCTATAGAATTGGCATTGAGGTCTGGCGACTCTCCTAAGACCTTCAAATTAATCATCACGCCTGACGAAGATGGTGATGAGTACCTTGTCACAGTAAAAGCTGCTCTTACGACGCCCGAGGTGATCACAATTAACGACGATACTACACCAGCTGCACGACCAGTGTGCAAGCATACGCGGCGCGCCTCGGATGCTGAATTTGAAAAGGACATTGTTTGGCGCAAGAAGCGCAAGCTCGATGACGGTGACGATGAAACGAACAAGCGCCCGCGCACCGGCAGCAAAGGAAGCGACCAAGACATCATCATGCCCCTGATCACCAAGGAAGATGTTGAAGCTCTCCGGGCCAAACTTCGAGAGGACATTCAGGAGGATACCACCGAGACCGTTAACCATGTGCAACGCCTGCTTCGACGCTTCAAGGCCGAGTGGCACGAAGAAACGAAACGCGACTTCGAACCATCACAGACACTACTACCAGGGGGATCCTTCCGCAACGCGATACCCGCGGCAGGCACGGGTCCTGGCGCGTCGTTTCCATCATCTGATGTTAACCGCGACGATGCCAATGCTTCGATAGCCGAAGTCATTCGCAGAGAATCAGGGCTTCTGTCACGACAAATCAAGTGGGTTGAAGATTGCAGACGGATCGCCAACGATGTCCACATCGAGCGCGAAGACACATGGCGGACCTCCTCTGCAGGTTTCCACGACCAGCAGCGACAGGATCGCGAGAACTTCCAGAATCGAATGGTGCACGAGTCTGCTCTGCACTCGCAGACGTTGAACCAAATTTTGAACGAGGTCAAGGCAATTGGGCTGTATGCGCAGAACATGAAATGGGAAACACCAAGCTACCTGAGCAATGTGCCAAACACATCACCGCAGATTGCCACGCAACCTGTCTTCCCTACACGGGCAGCGCCGCCAGCGTTTCCTACACAGCCTCCACAGCCTATCCGCACACCCTTGTCAGGGTCGAAGCAATCCTATCAACAACAGGATAATTACACATGGAAGACAGGGCGTGGTCCAGGTACACAGAATGGATGAGCCAAAAAAACACTCTAGTCAAGCATCGCACGGAAAGGATGCCGAGGGCAGAGGGATACAAAAAATGTTACAAAGGCTATCTCAATGAATGACTCTACCAACCCCGCCACCTCGGCCATACGTCAACGACTTCGTCACATCCTCGCTCCGAATCCACGACGAGGTACCATCCGAACCCAGCACCCGCAACGCAGGCATGGTTCGGCCAGATTTCGACCTTGTCCCCGATTGTTAGCTCGTTGCACTTGCTTTTGTCACCTTGCCAAGTTAGAATACCGTGCTCCTGACTGATCCGTCCTACGATCCATCCTGCCTTCTCCCCACGCTCATCGTATACTGAGGATGTCTTTGAATTGCCCATCGATCCGGTAACGATGCCCCACCCGGAATAGCTCTTACACGGCTCTCTGCCCATCGCCAAGCTGCCCGCCGATACCAAGGCCTCAGGCGTCTCACGCTCGGTGTAGACGGATGTGACTTCAACAAGCATGCGGATCGCGATAGAGTCCTTATTGAGCGGCTGGAATCCCTCTATCGCCGCACCCTTAGCCGGTCGAGCGTGTGTAGCAACCTGCTGGCAGTCCAGCAGAGGGTACACACCAGCGTGCAGTTCTACAGCAAATTGCTCTTTCAATCTTGACAATGTAACGTGGAACTCTTCCACTCTGGGAGAAGACGAGGAGAGCATGTTCTGGGCCGCGGTCGCGGTCGGCGTCGCTCCAATACTCAGTACCAGCCCCTTGCGCGCATTCTCTGGGACCGCGTGAGTGGCTTCTTCCAGCCCGAGAAGCTCATCAATCAGCCCTGACGCGGCGTCATCCTCGCTGTTACCAGCGTACGAGTGTCCAAAGTGGCTGTAGAAGCCGTGAAGCACAACCGCTCCTTCGCCGCCTTTGCTGCCATCTTTTGCTAGCACAGTACCAACCAGTGGCTTGAACTTGGGACTCGATGTTGCAATGCCAGCGCGACGATACCCAGTGTCTATCTTAACAAAGACACCAATCTTCTTCTCAGACTGGAAATCCGGGTGTGCCGTCAGCGCATCATGGAATAGTGAGAAAGCATCGGCGTTATCAATGATAATGTTGATGCTCTCCGACTTCAGCACATTCGCCAGCGCAATGAGTCTTGGCACAGCGCCCTGGGGAACAGGCACACCATATAGGATCTACACATGTCAATATAACCCATGGCCACGTGTCTCACGCCTTTTCCACTCACACTGCTCTCCCTTCCCTTCTCCTGCTGCTCCTTGACATACTCGACCAAGTTCTCCGCCTCCGCGACCGTACTAACAATGAACAGCGCGGGCGTGTTTTCCAAGCCTGGCAGTCCGTCGCCGACTTGCAGCCGAGATAACTCGAGCGTCTTGTGCGATTTGACGTGGGCTCTGAAGCCGACCTTCAGCTTCTTGCAGATTTGAAGCATGGCGGTGCAGTTTGCCTTGATTAGGCGCCGGTCGAGGATGATGGAGGGGGTAGGTAGGTCGACTAGTTTCTTGCCGACGAATTGCTGCGTGAGTAGCGATGCGTTGGAGAGGGGAAAGTTGGAGGCCATGGTGGCGATGCGGGAGACTTGTTGTCGAGGAACAAAAGTATGTGTAGTGAAGATTTTTCGAAGCTCAAGAAAAGCAGTTTCGTTGTTTTGTGATGTCCGTGGATGCAGATGCCTTCTTATATACTGCCCTGTCTCTCGCTGGTGATGTTTTCCGCGGGAACACTATACCGGCCGCGTAGCATTCGACGACCCTTCCACTTTTCAGAATAGCGCAATCCCGGTCATCTGAATCTATTCCGATCCACAACAGGCCGCAGACAAGCAGTGTCAGTTGTCCAGCTACCAATTGCACTGCTTTGGGGAGAAAGCTGGGGGTAATCGATGTAGATACGGCGACCAGCGGAGCGTAAGTTTGTCTGAATTGGGGCAAGGGTCCAAAGGCCGATGAGTCTGAACAGCTCGGCTATCAATTTCCTTGAGGTAAAGGCTTTCGATAGGCTAGGTGTAATTGTTTGGTGGTGAGGTCGTGGCGGACATTGAATGACCGGTGTAAAGTGGGGCGAAGTGGGGGTGAGGCTGACCAGCCGCTGATGGAGAGCTGCTTTGAGCTCTAGCAGATATTAGGTACGTGAGGCATTAAATATGTTGGCAAGATTCATGATGGATCCTGTTTGAGTTTGAGAGACATTTCACAAAGGCTAGGTGATTTCACTTCCTCGACAACATATAGCGTGTTCTCGCCTAACCTGCATATCAACACCACCCAAAAACATCCTATGGAACGGGTCCTGGCCATGCACTGCTCAATCGTCTTCGCCTCGTCAAGACACTACCCGGACTGATGCTTCTCCGATCGGCGCCTCCAGGACCATAAGCGAAACTGTTCTCAAGGATGGCGTCTTCCAGGTCGTCTTCCTCCTCAATTCTCTCGATAACCTCTCTGGGTGCCTCCTCTTCGAAGACAGCCTGGAGATCAGCATGTGGGCTCATCTTGCTCCAGCTCCAGAAACCGCCATCAAACAGCCATTTCGAGCGCTTCGTAGGCCCTGGGCCACTGATGCTGCGTCTGCGCGTTGATTTCCATAAAGTACGACGCTCGTGCCACGCGATTGCAAGTAGGAAAGGGGCGTTGAGGACACGGATTGCTGTGATGTTGATCTTGTGGAACCAGCGTGGCGTCAATATGAACTTAAGTGGCAGCAAAATAACAAAGGCAAGAAGATTGAAAGGCGGACGGTAAGCGAACAGCGTGTCAGACTTGACACCTTCGAATGTCATGACCGCACGTCGGAACTGGATCTCCGCTGTCGAGTCGGCGGCAATCTTTGAGAATGTGTTGGAGAGAATTGACACCAAAACAGTCAAAAAGAGCGTGTTGCCGATGAATGCGTAGATGACCATCAACACCGGACCGAGGATCTCGTGGAATGTGGGTGCTTCATCGATACCGGTGCCGTCCAGTCCAAACCATATCCAAAGCATCCACTTAGAGATGGTGATCACATTTGGTGCGTCGGCGTCGGTAGCGGGATTGCTGTTGCTGAGCCACTTCAGCGCGAGCAAGAAACCACCGAAGCACCAAAATGCGATCAGACTGAGAGCGGTAAACTCCTTGACCATGGCTCGTAACGAGATGAAAAGCATGTTCTCTGGCATCAGGTTGAACGCGATCCTCGGGAACAGAATGGGCGATGCTATCGCTAGAACGTCGAGAGCCTGTCGACCCGTCTCATCGTTTCCAAGTGCCCATCCATGAACACGCATCCAGAAGTAAATGATGTAAATTCCAGCGAAGGTCACATCGAGGAACGCCCAGAGCTCTTGGGTATGAACTTCCCATCCATGCTCGAGACAAGATACCAGCTCATCGAGCACCCAGCCGCCTCCATACAGCAGGAAGACAACTTCAGCTGTTGTGAGTGTGTGATCGACGCGTTCGTGCATACACCAGCAGTAGAGTGCGAGAAGGATCACGAACTGGGCGACCTCGATGACGTTACGCGTCCGTGGCACCATAAGACGGTATTGGTTCAGCAATGGCGCTTTGCGTGGATCGTACAGCGAGATCGGCTTGTGCTTGTAGTGATCCGGGATGATATCGATGAAAGTCGTTGGTGTGTACACGATACGTCCACGGTACACAGCATCGATGACCTTCTGGCTTGCCGAGCTACTGAGAAGAACCTTGCTTTCGGAGACAATAGCAACTTCGAGAGCTGTCAACTTGCCCTCGTAGTCGCCTTGACCCTGGTACTCCGAGAAGTGACGTGGTGGAGTGACATCATCTGGTGCGCCTTGAAAAGGCCAGAAAGGCGCAACGAGAACATGTGCCAGTAGCAAAAGCCCTGACTTCCCCGTTCCATCCTCATCGTGACGACGCAAGACCTTCATGGCAACAAGTTCGCACAAGTTTGCCCTGGTCAAGTCGACAGTTTGATGGTGTTGCTGAAATTGCTGCTCTCGTAAGAATTGCATACGATTTACGAGCAGACTGTAAACTGTTACTAGTCAGCAAAGAATGTATCACCACTTCGGAGCACTCACCAATAGAGATGTCGGTCTCGTCATAGAGTCGGTCGACGAGAGGTTTGACGATTAACACGTTCATGCGTGGTTCTCTTAGCTGTTCGATGGAGTACGGGTCCTCTATGACCGCCAGTATGAGGCGCCGGATACTGCTCGGTGTCAACTGGTTGTCACTATTCTGAGCGGTACCCATAACTACGTACCGGTGGATGTTGTAATACACCTTCAATTCTGAATGTGGATAAGGCGCAAACACCTCCCTTGGGCCTACTGGCGCACCAGTTCCGTTGAAGCAGCCATCAGAACCCGCGTGGTCCTCATCAGGTAGCAGAGTTTCTTGCTCTTCACGGCTCTTTGCCGCACGTAAAGCATCGCTTAAGGTCCTTTGAGTCTCAGTAAGATGAGGTCGCCTAAGGTGGTTCCGGAACTCTATGTGTCTTGAAGATTTACGCTGTTCTAGCGAAGGCCTTCGCTTGGGGGAGACATCGCCGCCATTGCTATGCACAGCATTGCTTTCAACGCTATCGCGACTGCTGAGGTTTGAGGTCAATCGTGGTCGAGGGAACGTGCCATATGCGGGACTACCGGCGGTGTTGGTGTTCCAATCTGGGTTCGATGTTGGTCCAGACATATGAGGCCCTCAAGGTTCAATAGGCAAATGCTAGGGCAATTGTTAAGTGAGAAGGTGGAGTTTGGTTCACGCGACGCGTGGGATTATCCGATACAGCCCGCCGTTACAAGAATGAAAGCCGCTGCGTAGGGATCGATACGCTGCAGGTGTCGAGTGAGTATAGGACTTAGTGTGGTTACGCAGTCCTGTGCACGAGAGTCCAGTCACGACCGCCAGAGGCAATCAAATTGAGGCAATCTCTGATGTAGATAACAGACTTCGTGTGGGGGGAGATGGGGGGCAATAGATCAACGTGTACATACGAAATGCAGATTGATCTTCGTTTCGAGTCTGCGCTAGTACTCAAAGAGGTAAAGTCGACTATCTGCTATGCAGCCTCACACGTCACTACCCGTCACAACGCAGCAGCGCTGGCGAACACCCATGTCGCAGAAAAAGTTCTGTAAGCCGCACCGTATCAGAACTTGGGAGGTGGTCAACATCGATCTGCAAGTGTTTCACAAGCTATCATGTCTTCCAGATGCTACAATGATTCCGCTGCGCTAGCCAGGTTCTTCTGCATTCAATTCGAGAGCCAGGGACTATTGTGTTCATCATCAATCAAAGGATCTATTGGGCATTGTTATATGTCTATATTTCAAACTAATCAGTCCAATGCGAAACATCTTTCAACGTTTGTCGCGTTGTTGCCCCACCAAGCTGGCATCTTGATCTGCTTTCCGGCTCCAAAGAATAAGAAGATAAGCAGCATGTTAAAATTAAAGGCTGCATCGAACGCCGCTGCAACAATGTAGTTATAGCGCTTCCAGATCTTAAAGTGGTGGCGGAAAATCCAGTACATTGCGATGAAACCACCCAAGAATGCACTGAAATACCCAGTTGACAGGTTGCCATAAAATACAGAGATCCCAGAGAAGAAGATCGTAGTATTCCACAGGTGGAACTTCAGCTTCGACTTGGGGAACGCGCGATGCAGAGCGTACATGATAAGCGGTGCTATAGCGCCAACAAGGAATCCGTATGGTAGAATCTTCAGCTCGCTGGAACCGAACATGCGCTTCGGCCCTATGACACCGTACTGTATGCCAATAGTGTTCGAACTGACAAGGCTTTGACCTGTCCACTGGTGCAATGGATCTTTTTTCGCGCCGGACAGGTACTCGAACTTGGTGTTCAGGACCCAACGGATAACTCCATAGTTAATCGGTATGCCAAGAATGCTTCCGAAGACCTGACTGAAGAACACAGTGCGTGGTGGGATATGCATGTAGTGTCCAATGCGTTGGTCCTGTAGCATGTACTGGGCGCGGTACCAGGCATCGCCAGCAATAGCGCCATAAACTGAAGGGCCAGCCGGGTGATGATGAGCGGCTCCGGCAGCGGTGTGAACCATGTAGCCGTAAATAAGCTCATTAAAGTCACCGATAGCGACTTGATAATTCGAGATGGCGTAAAGATAGCCAAGTGGGATTACGACGATAAAACCAGTTGCGACACCGACGAACACGGTCCACCATGGGATGAAAAGTTGGCCGGATCCCACGATTGCGAGCAGGACCACAAAGCCTGTCAGAAACAACGCAACGAACCACCAGCCTGGGACTTCTTTGTACGACCGCTGAAGAACGTTCAGACGATCAGTGTACTGATGGTGAATGTTGGGCTCTTTGGCACCGGTAGAGTCTTGCTGCTTTTTTGCTTCGCTGCGAGCTTTGCGTGCCGCCATATTCTTTGCGAATGTTGCCATGATCGATGGGCCTCCAAAAGTAGCCAGCCAAACAAATGCTGAAGGCAGTTTGGAGTAGTTGAAGAACGTTGCCCATGCAAATTGCAGTCCCATGTATGCTGGCCCATACTCCTCCCAGGCGGTCTCGTTGAGACTAAAGTCGCTGTTGATGATTTTGGCAGTGGGATACTTCGTTCCGTTGGCCTGGAACAAGGAGTTGGACATAAGGCCGTGCTTGTAGGAGCCCAGGTTGCCCCATTTGGCTGCTGGAAGCAGAACCCAGCAGTTGAAAGCAAAGGCGAGGAACAGAACAGTCTGAGTCCAGAAAGGTGTGATGAGGATCGATGTACCATTCCAATTGATATTCGACCAATCGAGACTGAGATTCAAGAAGCCCATGCCTCCAAGGCCAGATCCAATGAAGTTCGCAACAGGATTCTTGGGTGCAACCCAGCACAGGAAGGCAAGCGAAGACGTCATGGGAAAGACGAATTCTGGAAGGAACTGCCAGAGCATCATACCGACCAAGCACATGAAGAAGACGTGCATTTGGCGTTTGGCCAGTGGGCTATTGCGGTCCTGCTTGCGGAAAGTCTCAAACAGCGTGGTCTGCATTAGTGCCTGTGGCCACACATATTCCGGCTCCCATAGTAATAGAGACCGGGCGATTGCAGCGATAGCGTAGCCAACCCAGACGATGGCCAACATGAAGAAGATTGCTACAGCAGGATTGATTCGTGTGTCGTACCAGAGCTCAGCCATCGAGATGGGAGTATAGCCCAAGTTGTACGTGGCGCCAGAAGCCGCAGTCAGAGTGACTAGAACATGCTCCTTAATACTCCATGGTGCTGGATTAAGGTTGAATCCACAGCCAAATGGCAGATTGACTTGCCAGGCGGGCAGGACTTTCGCGAGGAAATGACCGACATAGTGGCAGCCGATCTGGACGAAGAATATCGAGTATGGAGCTTGAGTCGTGCGGTAGTGGCTCATCTGCGAAAGGAAGGCTCCAGGAACGATGAACAAGATGCAGAGGATGAAGTAGCGGAAGGTGATGGTTGGCAGCGTAGGGTCATCCTCCAAAGAGACGGTCTGGCGCACAATGAGTGGCAGCTGGGCGATCTCGGGATCATCCTGAGCGTCTTCTTCGACAATCGCAGTATCGTCTACTGCGTCGATACCAGATGGTGATTGAACCTTGGCGGTGTTGAGTTCGACATCCTTGTTGGCAGCTGTTAACCCAAGATGGCTCGAGGCTGGACTGAGCTCGGCGCTTTTCGCCTTGGCCGTGGCCTTGGCCGTGGCCTTGTCAGCTTTAAGGTCGGTCATCTTGGCTGGCTGGTTGTTCCTCCATCTTCCTCGACTTCACACGCCTTAAACACTGCGTTTCGAATCATCTGAACGATTGCGCCATTCGAAGTTTGCATGGTGTTATCTCGATAGCTAGCCTCCCCAGGCAACTGTTACGTTTTCGCTTGCTCGGTCACCCAACGGCAGCGCCGATTCCTCGCCGAAGCCTTCCTCCTGCTCCACTGAAAGCTGCTAGCTCGATGCTTCATTGACACCAAGCAATTTTCGGCAGCTCAACGTTGCACTTCGGGAATTGTGCGAAGTCGTATCCGCACAGAACCTCGAATGGTGGCCCGAACAACGGTCTCTTCTCGTCAGTGGCGACGACAATCCAAATGATGGATCCCAGCATCGAAGCACGACAGAAGGCTTGGAATATGACGTTCACTTGCTCGCCGCGGGTGCATCCACCTTGCTGGTTGTAGAGATGAGTCTTCGTATGTGGCACAGCTCGTACTCCACTGCATGCGACGCATCTTTCCAATCACGCCGAAGCCGCGCAACATTCGCCCATTCGAATTGGTCTGGAATCTGCATGGAAAAGACAACCTCTTGAAGACAATAATATTCAAAGCACTACAGACAACGAGACAGCATTGCATTATAAGTCAACCATGATCAACGCAAGGCGAGTTTCAGCTTCTATATTATTGCCGTGAGGCTACGAGGGCCACCTCCAAGCATTACAAATTGAGATTTTTGAATAGCCTTACAGTTGTGCGATAACCTGGAGCCTATCAAATGTGCCAAAAGTCAAACCCCCCGTGGCTACTCTATCTTCTCTTTCTCGAGAAAGTGAACGCTCGTGGTCGTCGCCTCTACAGTGTATGGGCGCTGTAACCTCGTCATCAGCTTCTAAGCTCAACTGGTGGCTGGCGAGGACGAACCCTCTTTGCAGTCGGTCGGGAGGTAGCCAGATGGCCGAGAGGAGTTGAACGCGCTGTCCGAGGTTCGCCTGGAAGAAGTGTCGCTGTAATGTGTCATTGATATGTCTACTTCTGAATTCTGTTTGACCTACACCGACTTCTCTGATCTTCTCGTTCCTCGCTACTAGTGGTTTTGTCTCCTCTTCTGCGAGCTTTTTGTATCCTATCACATGATCGAGCTTCTTGAACAAGAGGTCGACCTTAGTAGCCGTCGTCTGCATCAAAACCCGACATCTTTGATCGTCAGCGGCAGGACGGCGGCGCCCTTTTTGCTTGACACAGCATCGCACAACGCCTCAACCTGCTTCGCGTACTCCTGTTCCTTCTCCTTCATCCTCTTGTTGATCACCTGCGCACTTTTCCACTGCGCATCTCAACATTCCCGACCTTCCTTCCTGAGCCTCAGGATACTCCCCAGGCGCACATGCAAGACCTCAGCTGCGAGACACGGGGATAGGGTGAGTAAGGCGCCAGCATCCTGGAAGATTTGTTGCTTCATCAGGCAGATAGCTGCTGTCTGCAATTCCTGGACATACATATTAATGTTGCGGCAGACGTAGCCGCTGTATAGTCGATGAAAACTGCGCTGAGTTGCTTACTAGCTAGGAGGCGACCATATATACATGCCCTGAGACGTGCTAGTTCAAGGTAGCCAACAGAGGTAACGATCAAGGCCTGTTGGACCGACTTGCACCGCAACAATTAAGATCTTCAATTGCTGAATCTCACCTGGACTTCTATCGGCTGGGTACTCGAAGGCTAGAATGCCGAATTCGTCGAGCTCAGCAGAGTCAGCTGGCGGTGCAGCGAATGGAGTATTAGCCATGGTGTAGTGTCGCCCGATGATATGAGGCACAACATTTGAATTGAGACAGAGTAGGGTGAGTTGGGCGCAATGCGCGTTTGCGTTCCTTCACTTCACTCTACGTCACACTCTCGCTCAGCTCTCTCACAGCCCTCGTTGGTTTCTCTTGGTGGTCAGCACAGTAATTTCTGAATCCACCCAAATGCAGCGGCCCTGGGTGGACTGGTTTGCACCACGTGGAGTGCCCGTGCATGGACTCACAAGGTTTTCGCAGCAGAACTCAGTGTTGGCTTAGATTCATTGTTGCTATTACCGGCTTGCCCCATGTAGAACAGCCTCCTAGCAGACGGAGTACACCTCGGAGACGGAGTAGTAATCGGGCGTGTACGATGCCCTACCGCGCCTGGATACAACAAATACGGAATCGTTAGGCCTCTATCTTCTAATCATGTTCGGCTTCGTCCTGATCAACTTTGGTGTTTTCGATTTCCATCTTCGGCACATCCATCTGCACTACGATTTTGTCCATCAAAGCAACAGCCTGCGCATACTGGTGCTGCAAAAGCAAACCTAGGTCCTCCACCGTAGTCTCCTGCATCTCATACCCCTCAATGCTCATGTCACTCTACCGGAGCCTAAACACGTTCGTGACATGGTCCGGGTGCTGCGCCGCCAGCCTCGCGCTCAGGGTCTCCACCTTCTCCCACTGCTCGTCGCTCGTGTCCTCCCGCGACAGCTTGTGGATGCGACCCTCGGAACTCCACAGGACAGAATGCGTGAAGTCTTCTGGTATCGTAAGGAGCACACCGGCGTCCTGTAGAATGACGTTCGGGTTTTAGATACGGGGTCGTACTGTGATGTTGGGACAGTTAGGAAGAACGTCTCGAAATCGACCGTATTGGTGATGCTATTATAAAGCAACTTAAGGAGGGCTAGTTCAATTGTTGAGCGATGCGAGAGCTTTTTAAGGCGGGTGCGGAAGAGTCTCAGCTCTTTGTCCAGCGGGGAAGTAGAAAGGTTTGCCATGTTTGCAGGCGAAAGCCGAATTTGAGATGACGCTGATGTGGCGGAAGTTATCATATTCGAGGTCGAGTAGATGGGGCAAGGTGTGGGTCGCAAAATGGTCGTTTGGATTTTGTGCCTGCGTGTCTAAGCTTCCTTTCACTGCCATCTGTGCCTTCGACCAGGCAGCACATCACCCTAAGCGGGTGACTTTATGATGCGCTAAGCAGCCTTTGAACTTGGCTCACTTGGATATCGGAGTTTTTCAACCATCAGACAGTGCCAGTTCTACAGTTCAAAAACAGCAGGGGATGTCCATTATCGGTAGCCTCCGAGTAATGTCACGAGTGTCTCTTGTTGGCAGCGTGTACCCAGACTCTCCGGGGACTTGTTGCGTTTTGCATGGAAGACATCGAGTAGAGTCTGCGTTACTGTGTTGCTTGATCTGACGTACATGTGCTTGGAAGTGAAAGGTTTGAAGTTTGAACTAGCGTTCGTGCAAACGGGGCGCAAGTGAAGGTCGGAAAATATCTGTCCTACTTTGCATATATCTATCCTCAATCCTTCCACTCATACATACACCTCAAGATCTGCATCAACTCATCATGCGTACACCTTCACCAAGTTCCGGATCTTCGCAATCTGTTGCTGCCGCTGCCTTACTTCAGCTGTCGCAGACTCCTCCGCATCCAGCAGCAATTCGCCGTGGAGGCACGGGCACGGCTGAAAACCTCGAGCAACACTCCACTAATATTCCATCACCGGTAGCAGAATCTTCCCGACATGGTGATTGGGGGGATAGCATCATGAGAACGCCGAGGACCCTCGAGAGCGATGTCCACATATTCCCATCTCCAGTGTCCGACACTGTCGGCATCGGCAAGATCTCTGACAGCGATGATGAGGACATGGATGTGCAACCGCGCGACGTTCGTCACGACGCTAGTGGTTACCAGGTCTCTGAACCGCTTATGCCTCACCTCGTGTCGCGTGTCGAAGACCGACATGGCCAAGTTCAGCCACTATTGAACTCGACCCAGGCCCAACAAACAACTTTCGCCCCCGGGAGGACCGTCATGTCCAGGCCAAACACTACGCCCATTGACAGGTTTCCGTACGTCCCAATCGAGAATGTGTGCGGCATGCACTCTACGAACGTTGCCAACGCGGACTTCGCTCGACCAAGCGATGAATCTAGCCATCTGGGCGTACAATTACCTCAGAGGGCGCACCAGATAACGACAATAGGCTCCGAAGATCTCGAGGCCTATCTGCGCCAAAGTGCTTCATTCAGTCAACAGGGCCATGGGGCTTCTTTGAGGCATGCATCCATACCTCTATGCCTACCAAGGCAACCACCTCAACAGGCCGGACCTGCGTTCACATTCTTTGACGAGACGATGGTGGGGCAACGACTTATGTATCAACCAGCTCTCCAGGCCCAGTCCATGTTGCCACCTGCCAGTATCGACGCGAGAGCACCTCAGCAAGCGCAGCAGCCTGTTCCAAGCGCCGAAGAGCCGCGCTCACAACCCAGCTCGTACAGTGTACCTATACCTGGTCGAATCTCCTCAGAGGGTATTAAGAGACGAAGGAAAGTGCGAATACCTCGCGCACCGTCTCGAACTCAGACCAAGCGTGTTAGGGTAGGCCCCAAAAGCGAGGCTATCGCGGCTCCAAGAGACGGATTTGGACCGAAGCAGATCGATATACGCGACCTCAAGTACCGAACTATCAAGGCGATAAACATGCCTACTCGGAACGACGTGACACCGGGTCGAACGCCGCCAGAGCCAACTCCCGATAGCCAACCGTACGGAGACGATGTAGACTACCGAGCCGGCATGCTCATCTGGTATTGTGACGATCTCGAGCTCTCTTACAGTGAGACAGTGAGAAGGTACAGACTCAAGTTTCCAGATGAGAGGTCCATAACCGAAGACACTGTGCGCAAGAGACACATCCTTTTCATTGAGAAGCTGGCAAGAAGGTTCGGTTTAAAGCCAGAAGACGAGATCGAAGAGCCCGGCGGTAGGGTCGCAATTCGCGGCAAACAGATAGGTCACAAGTATAACACCATCAATGGCGTACGCGTCTACGCTGCTGCTGCCGGGCATGATGTGGCCGGGACCGTCCGCCGTCGAAGAACAGGCAACGAGCCAACCACACATAGAGGGTTCTTGAAGGCGTGCATCTGCGTCTGGAAAGACACCTCAAATGTCAGCAACGAAGAGATCAAGCAGAGGTTGCAGAAAGATTACGGCTGGAACATTGGCGCAAACACGGTCAACAAGCTGTACTACTCGGAGCGTGCGCGAGTGTACGACACATACGATAACGGCACGAGCGACCAAGAAGCTTCTATCAACACGGATGATGAGGACCTGGAGCAACTGCAAGCCCACTTTCAGCTGCGTTCGACCTACTTGCTGAAGACGTATGGTCAGCAGGTATCGGCGCAGAATGTCGCGTATATGCAACAGCTCGCGCAACTTATCGACAGCATGGAGCAAGTTCAACTTCGCCAGGCGCAACAGACAGGCAGTGGCCTCATTCGAATGATCGAGGAGGCTAGCGAGGAGGTGTGTCATGGAGGAGGGGCCCAAGACGTTGAAGAGGAAGATGCCATGATGCCGGACGCAGATCCTGGTATTGTCGGTGATAAGGAGATCGATTGACATTGAAGGTCCGTCGCAGTATCCATGTGAAATTGAGCTGCGGCGACGTGTGCGATCCATAACGACTCTTTTTCAGTCTTGGAACAGGAGGTCAACAATACAAAATTCAAGGGTCTTTCAAGCGTGATAATAAATACGCTTCCAGAAGACGATTCACTAGCCGTAGCTGCCTGTATTGGTATTGTATGATAGGCTAGGGTAATTCACGGTACGATAATAGAAAAGACGTTGACAATAAGCTAGACTATCAACGTTGGTGATGTCTGCGTGATGGTCGTGGTGGCGTTCCTTCCACACCACGACCCTTGTGGCTAGCCCCGCTTGGCTCGCTTAACGATGCGCCCACCTCAATATCATCGTCGCCGGCTGGCGAACTTTTTCCGCTTCAACCTCGACGTTCAACTAACCCCGACTTATCAGAAAAGACAGACCACCTCTCGCACTAGCCATGCGTGAGTATCGTCCTTCTGATCGGCTACGACAGCCCGGCTAACGACCGCTGCAGCTCCCAAGTTCGATCCCTCCGAGGTCAAGGTCATCCACCTCCGTGCGACCGGTGGTGAAGTCGGTGCCTCCTCCGCCCTTGCCCCCAAGATCGGTCCTCTCGGTCTTTCGCCCAAGAGTGCGTATTTCCCCAAATGTCAGCGAGCGCACGATTGCGCGCGCGTCTCCACGAGCAATTGCTGATCAAAACCGCAGAGGTCGGTGAAGATATCGCCAAGGCCACCGGCGACTGGAAGGGTCTGCGCGTCACCGTCAAGTTGACCATCCAGAACCGTCAGGCCGCCGTCTCCGTTGTTCCCTCCGCCTCTTCCCTCGTCATCAAGGCCCTCAAGGAGCCTCCCAGGGACCGCAAGAAGGAGAAGAACATCAAGCACACCAAGTCCGTCCCTCTTGACGAGATCATCGCCATCGCCAAGACCATGCGCTTCAAGTCCATGGCCAAGTCCCTCGAGGGTACCGTTCTTGAGATCCTCGGAACCGCTTTCTCCACCGGCTGCCAGGTTGACGGCCGCTCCCCCAAGGACGTGTCCGACGACATCAAGAACGGCGAGATCGAGATCCCTGAGGAGTAAATGTCTGCACATCGATAAAACGGTGCATGACAGACATGATTGGATGATTTACGCCATAGATGGTCTACATAGCTGAATGAGCAGTACGTCTCCAACACAGAACTCCAGTCATCCACTGGTGGGACATGCCCAGCTGCGGCGTTCCGGTGTCTGATACACAAGTGACCTTGGCACAAGGCAATGAGATACCCATTTTGTCGACTCCATTCGCTCCTCAATGATTAAAAATGCCATTGATCTTTAATGAATTATGGCGTGTTTTCAAGCTGTGAGCCGAGACAGTCAGATGTACCTCACTGTGTAATTCCGTGTACATACTTTGTTAGATCAATGATTAGTAGACAATGCCTCTGTGACCTCCGCGCCGCAATTCTCATTCGACTTGCGATAGATTCGAGACCTGATCACACTAGGCTGTTCTTGTATTAGTGTCGGCTTATCGATAGAGAAGTCGAGCAGGTGTCGCAAAAAGTTCGAGACCAAGGACATCACGCGCACAAGTATCAACAAAGATGTCAAAAGAAAAGATCACCGTGGAAGCGCCCGTGGACCCAAATAACGGTTGCCAAGTGGAGTTGAAGCAGGGGAAAAAGAGGAAGCGTGTGGAGGTGCCGAAAAAAGGCGAAGGGAAATCGACCAAGCTTGATGAGCCGACTGCCTTCAAGGTCGCTGACGGCGATGTGAAAGCTGAGACGAAGTCAAGGGCAAAATCAAAAGCGCGAGACCAGCAGAAGGCTCCGGGCCCATTGTCCAATCCCCAACAAAACCAGAAGTTGGCCACTACACGGCCACATCAGAGCGCGCCACCGCACTTGACGCGCAAGCGGGACGAGCTTCTGCCAAAGAGAAAAGCCCTCCCGATTTGGCCGAAAGCAGATGAGATCAAGGCCTCGCTGAAGAAGAACAACATCTTAGTCTTGACGGGAGAGACTGGTTCCGGAAAGTCGACTCAAGTACCCCAGTTTCTGCTAGGCGAGAAATGGTGCACGAAATGCATAGCAATCACGCAACCCCGTCGCGTGGCCGCTATTTCGCTAGCGAGGCGTGTGGCAGATGAGATGGGCAGCTATATGGGTAGTCAAAGCCCCATGGCTAAAGTTGGCTATAGCGTTCGATTCGACAATGCCACTGGACCGAACACCAAGATCAAGTTTCTCACAGAGGGAATGCTGCTGCAAGAGATGCTGAGAGACCCCGTTATGTCACAGTATAGTGCGGTGGTGGTGGACGAAGTGCACGAACGAAGCGTCAACGTCGATTTGATTCTCGGCTTCCTAAAGAATTTGGTCTCGGGCGTTGAGCAGACCGGAAAGAAGCGGGACCAGCCTCTCAAGGTTGTGATCATGAGTGCTACTGCTGATGTGGAAGCCCTCGTGGACTTTTTCGACGGTTCCAATGCATCACAAAAGACTACACTGGAGACAGTCGATGGTGTGCCCATGAAGGATGGAGCAGATCAGGCAGCCACAAGCCGGGTGTCCAAGTGTTTCGTCGAAGGTCGGCAGTTTCCCGTTAACACAATCCACCTACCAAGTCCTACCCAAGACTGGGTTGAGTCTGCGCTTAAGCTCATCTTCCAAATACACTATAAGGAGCCGCTACCCGGAGATATTCTGGTGTTCCTGACAGGTCAAGACACGATTGAGGGATTGGAGAAACTTGTCAATGACTATGCGGAGGGCATGGACATCGAAGTGCCGAAGGTCAGTTCTCGATGCATTGAATGTTTTCAGGTTCCTGTATACTAATTCAACGTAGCTCCTCGTCTTGCCACTCTTCGCCGCCCTGCCGCAACATGCACAGCAGCGCATCTTCGAACCGACTCCTGTACGAACAAGAAAAGTCATCCTCTCGACCAATATCGCCGAAACATCCGTCACAGTTCCCGGCGTACGCTATGTGATAGACTGCGGCAAATCGAAAACCAAGCAATTTCGCAGTCGCCTCGGCCTAGAATCTCTGCTAGTCAAACCCATCTCCAAGTCCGCCGCCATCCAACGCAAGGGCCGTGCCGGTCGTGAAGCGCCAGGGCAATGCTACAGACTATATACCGAATCTGGGTACAACGAAATGGACGAGCGAACCACCCCCGAGATCCTGCGCTGCGATCTCAGCCAAGCGATTCTGACAATGAAAGCGCGCGGCGCAGACGACGTCCTCAACTTCCCCTTCCTCGACCGCCCGCCGCGCGACGCCCTCGAGAAAGCCCTGCTGCACCTCCTGCACCTCCAAGCCCTGACCGAGACCGGCTCCATTAGCGAGATCGGGCTCAAGATCGCAAAGTTCCCGCTAACGCCGACCCTCGGCCGTGTCCTCGTCGAGGCTGCGCGCCCAGAGCGCGACTGCCTGCTTGACGTCATCGACATCATCTCCGCCCTCTCCGTCGAAAACGTCTTCCTGAACCTCGTGACCGAGGAGCGCAAGGAAGAAGCCGAAGAAGCGCGGCGCGAGCTTTACCGTCGCGAGGGCGACCACCTGACGCTGCTTGTGACCGTGCAGCGGTATGCGGAGGAGCAGTCAGATCGCAAAGCGTGGTGCATTCGGCACTTTGTGAGCCACCGCACCATGCAGAATGTCATGAACGTGAGGAAGCAGTTGCGGCAGCAGTGTCAGCAGCTCAAGCTGCTGAAGCCGGGAGAGGAGCAGGATCTGCAAGCTCCGTCGGAGGAGCGAACGAGGAATATATTGGCGTGCATGTTGAGGGGATTTGTGGCGAATACGGCGAGGATGATGCCGGATGGGAGCTACAAAACGCTCAATGGCAATCAGCTGGTGGCGATACACCCTGGATCTGTTCTGTTCGGACGGAAGGTGGAGGCTATTGTGTTCAATGAGTTTGTTTTCACAGGCAAAGCGTGGGCAAGGGGTGTTAGTGCGGTGCAGTTGGACTGGGTCTCGGAGGTCATTGACTCTATTCTGTAGAAGTACCTGAAGACCTGCAGGGTCTGTTGTGAATGATTGCTTCTTCAATCGATGACGTCGTCCCTCCTTGCAAAGATCTCCTTCAGTACATCATCTGTCTTTGCTCCAATAGCGTTGTGATACATGGAGTTTGTAATGAAAGGCTTGCATCCCTTGATCGTATTCGCAGTCTCCATGCTCAGCTCGAAGTCGACGTACATGTCGTCGTGGTAGACGGCCGCATACGTTGGGACAGTGTTCTTCTTCAGCTGCTCAGCATCGTACAGCTTGGGCCAGTCCTTGTCCTCAGCAAGCAGCTGGCCGACCTTCTTCAACTTCGCAAGCTCAGGGTAGCAGTCAAACATGAACGGGTAGATCATCTCGCCGGTGAAGTAAACTGGGTCCGCGGAGTCAATATTCTGCAGCGAGAATTCGGGGAACTTCTCGAGTAGACGTTCGGCAGACCAACCCGCTGCTTCGCCCTGGCAGTAGATAGGCTCGTGCAACAGCGCATATATGACGTTTGTATCCCACGACTGTGCAGCTTCGAGTGCAAGAACCGTAGGCCGCGTCAGGTGGCCAAACTGGCTCAGATCGGTGTCCGCTCTCAAGACGAGCGCGTGCACCTCATCGAAGCCGCCATGCTTGCCGAAGAATATGCCAAGCTGCAGAAACCGACGTGCACTGAAGTAGCCCTCGCCACCTTGCACACGGACAGTGGTGTCGCCAAACCTCGACAGGAGCTTGATGATGCGCTTCACCCGGTCAATATCCTCGGGGTACTTCTCGTAGTACTGCTCGTTCCGCCTCTTGACGCGCTTGTACAAACGCTCGTACACTTCATCCGGACTGCTGCGCAAAGGTGGTAGTCCACCAAAGAGGAAAGCTTCCTTCACGCCTTCTGGGAAGAACGAGAGGTAGGTCGTTATGCAAAAACCCCCGAAAGACTGTCCCAAGAGAGACCATTTCTTCTTATCTTCAGGATAGTCCTCGGTCAGCGCCTTCCTCACGGCTTCACAATCCTTCACGATGCTGTCAGCGCGGAAGCTCTTCATGTAGTCTGCTTGGACCTTCTCATCGCCGCGGAGCTGTAAGGAGCTTTGGCTGATGGCAGTAGAAAGTCCGGTGCCACGTTGATCGAGCATGAGGACCCTGTATCCCTTGTCGAGGATGGTCGGCACCCAGGATACGTTCTCAGGACTGCGGCATTCGAAGCCTGGACCGCCTTGCAGGTAGACGAGCCATGGCAGTTGGGTTTTCTTTGGGTCTTGTGCGCCGTCTGGTGAATATTCGGCTGGTTTCTCCGCTTTGAGGGCTGAGCGCGCGAAGAGTTGGAGGTGGCCTGCTGAGGGGTTGGAGTAATCACGGGGTACTTGGAAGAAGTGCTCGGTGATTCTGAGCTTCCCTGGGGAGTGTGAGGTACTGGCGGTGGTCTACATGCAGGGAGAATCGTACCAGGCACCAGATGGCTTCTTTGCTCAAGAATCTTCGCAGCTTGTATCATTTTGCTGATGTTTGTTGTGGTGCTTGGGTGTGGAGTGAATGTACAGCGTAGCTTTATCGATAAGAAGGGGCCCCACATCCGCCACTGTCGAGTGCAGGAGTGATGCATGAGCCACCAGATTGGACTTTCCCGAAACTGCAGACTGGATACGTTTGAATACGCTCGCTGGGCTCCTCCACTGGAAGGTAGAAAGAAACCAGGATCTTCGACTCAGTCACCAGTTGATTTGCGCTGTATATTCAGAAGCGAAAATTTCCAGTGACTGCGGGGCGGCCAGCAAACCTCGACAAGTCCAGCATCGGTTTTGAAGAGCAGGGAAGAGTCAGTTGGAACGACTCCAGTCATCCGAAGACGCCGCAGCATGGCCAAAGACAAGAAAAAGGGCGACAAGGCCGCCGCCAAAGCAGCGAAAGCAGCAAAGCAAGAGAAGAAGGCCGGCAAGAAGGACAAGAAACTCGCCACCAAAAACAAGGACGCAGACTCAGATACCGAATCCGTTGATCTCGATGCGGTCCTTGCGCAGTACGCGAAGGAGCAGGAGGCCTACCACGAGATCACGGAGGCTGCATGCGAGCCACCAAAAGCTCGGTCGTCGAGTACGCTGATCGCCAACCCGGCGAACGAGAATGAGATCTTCCTGTATGGCGGCGAGTACTTCAACGGCGCGACTGCGCACTTCTTCAACGATCTGTTCGTATACAACATCAAGCGTGACACGTGGAACAAAGTCACAAGCCCCAACTCCCCCTTGCCACGATCCGGACACGCATGGTGCCGGGCAGCCAATACGCAGGAAATCTACCTCTTTGGCGGCGAATTCAGCTCCCCGAAGCAAGGCACGTTCTACCACTATAACGACTTCTGGAAGCTGGAGCCCAAGAGCCGCGAGTGGACGCGCGTGGAAACCAAGGGCAAGGCATCCAGCCCGCCGGCGCGAAGCGGTCACCGCATGGTCGGCTACAAGCAATACATTATCCTGTTCGGCGGCTTCCAGGACACGAGCGCGACGACAAAGTACCTGAACGATCTGTGGATATACGACTGCGTCAACTTCACATGGCACACGCCGAAGCTACAGGCAGCGCGCGCAGTTCCCGACGCGCGATCGTCCTTCACCCTCCTCCCGCATGACCAAGGCGCGGTGATGTACGGCGGCTACTCGCGCGTCAAGCAAGCCGCAGGCGGCAACAAGGGGCAGCAGCAGCAGCAAGGCAAAGGCAAGAAAGGCGGCGCAGGCGGCCCCGCATCGCGCATGGTGCTCAAGCCCAAAGTCCACGTCGACACATGGTTCCTGCGCGTCACGCCGCCAGGCGCGGACCAGCCGTCGACCACCCCGCCAACAGTGTCGTGGGAGAAGCGCAAGCAGCCCGCCAACGCGCCGAACCCATCTCGCGCGGGCGCCACAATGGCGTACCACAAGGGCCGCGGGGTTCTGTTCGGCGGCGTCCACGACGTCGAAGAGAGCGAGGAGGGTATCGACTCGGAGTTTTTTAACCAGATGTTCGTCTGGAACATCGAGCGCAACAGATACATGCCGCTCAGCCTGCGGCGGCCGAAAGCCAACGCTAACAAGCACGCGGGGAAGCAGGCCGTGAGCAGGCGCGGCCGCGGCAGAGCCGACGAGGAGGAACTGCTCGCCAACCTCAAGGCGCTGGAGAGGAAGCTCGACGGCGCGACGGCGGGCGGGTCGGACGACGAGGCAGACAAGCCGGATGAGGAAGAGGAGGAGGAGGAGGACACGCGTCCCGAGAAACCGCGCGTGTTTGAGTTTCCGCACCCGCGCTTCAACGCCGCGCTGGCCGTGCAGGGCGACAGCTTGTACATTTACGGCGGCACGTTCGAAAAGGGCGACCGCGAATTCACATTCGACGAGCTGTGGAGCGTCAACCTGAACCACCTCGACGGCGTGCAGGAGATATTCCGACGCGAGCTGGACGACTGGCTGGGCAGCGAGGACGAGGCGGACTCGGAAGACGAAGACTCGGACTCGGAAGACGACGACGAGGACGAAGAGCATGGCGAGGCGCCCTCAAGCGCACCCACAAGCGCACCCGCAAGCGCCACCGACGCGGCCCCCACCGCAGACGAAGACCTAGGCACCAACGAGGAAATCTCCGCGCTCAGCGACGGACTCCCGCACCCCCTTCCCTTTGAGACGCTGCGGGCGTTCCACGCGCGGACGAGCGAGACGTGGATTAGGCTGAAGATTGAGGACCTCGACCGCAAGCGCAAGACGGACGAGTACGGGGTCAAGGAGATCAAGATGCTGGCCTTCCGGGACGCGGAGGAGAAGTTCTGGGACTGCAGGGAGGAGATTCGGGTGCTTGAGGATGAGCAGGAGGCTGCGGGGATTGGCGAGGTGGTTAGTCTGGCGGAGAAGAAGAGTGCTGAGGCGGGGGCGGGGAGGAGGAGGTGATGTAGATGAAGAATAGTGGTATACTGCCTTGTAAGCGCAGGACGTGCTGTCTACACTACTCTGGTAGAGAGGGGATCTACACTACTCTGGTAGGGAGGGGAATCTACACTACTCTGGTAGGGAGGGGAATCTACACTACTCTGGTAGGGAGGGGAATCTACACTACTCTGGTAGAGAGGGGAAAGATAGCAGTGGGGTCAAGAGTAGCAGTCGGATCGAGAGTAGCAGTGGGATCAAGAGTAGCAGTGGGGTCAAGAGTAGCAGTGGGATCAAGAGTAGCAGTATGCACGCCTAACCAACCTTTCAAAAGCAGGACGTGCGAGTGAATCCACAACGGCAATGATAATGGTATTGAACCAAGACGACCGCGCAAGGCTCGAGTGAATCAAGAATGGTCATGGTAACGGTACTACTGACGGTACTGCTGACGGTACTACTGACGGTACTGCTGACGGTACTGCTGACGGTACTACTAACAGTACTACTGACGGTACTACTAACAGTACCACCAACAGTACTACTAACAGTACTACTAACAGCACCACCAACGGCACTGCCAACGACGGTGCAAGGCTCGAGCGAATCAACAATGGCACGGTAGCGGTGCCAAGACGGCTCACGGCGGACACTCGGTCCCCGAGTCATCCCTGTCCTCCCCCTCGAACCGGACCAGCAAGCCATTCGCCTCGTCGACGGCCTTGTCGAGCATGAGCGCGTCTCTTCTGCGCTCTTCAATCATGAGGGCGCGGATCCTGCGAGTGAGGGCGCGGACACTACAGAGGTCGCGAGGGCGGCCGGGGTTGGCATCCGACGCCTAGTTGGCCTCGCCAAAGTCGACGTGCCCCGTCTCCTGGGCGTGCTGCAAGGCGCCGCGCTCGCCGGCGCCTTTCCAGCCGCATTTGTTACACTGGACGTCAAACTTTTGCGTGTCCGTGTAGTACTTTTGCTTCTTGAGCTGCCCACACAGCTCCCTGGCAGCTTGCAGTAGGACATGGTCCTTGGCGTCGAAGAGCTTGACGTCCTTTTCTGGACTGTACGTCGGCGAGCCCGCGGGCACAAACGCAATGGTGTCGTAGTGGATGCCCGAGTAGACGAGCATGCAGCGGCGCGGCCTGCCTTCGTTGAAGCGATCTACGCGCAGGTCCTGCACGTTTATGCTGGCAATCTCAATGTCAAACTCTTGCGAGAGAATGCTCAGCTCGATGCCGCCGCCCCACGAGTCCGAGTGGGATATCCACCGGCAGTATTCGTCGGGCGACCGCTGCAGCACGGCTTCGTTGTAGAGCACGGGGTCGCGCTGGATCGCCTGGGCGACCATGCATCGCAGCTCGGTCATCGAGTCGAGCGTGTGGGTGAGCACTGCGCTGCCGAGTGCTCGGAACATGCACGAGTTGTCGTCGGGCATGACGCGCAGCACCACGGTCCCGTTCCTGTCGGGGACAAAGACCTCGGGCGTGTCCTTGAGCGCCGTCTCCTTGCGCTGCAGCGACAGCGGGGCTGCCGACTGCCGTGTGCTGGCGTCGAGGGCGCCGTCCTCCTTGTTCTCGCTGGCGTCGCCCGTTGCCTGGCCGATGACCTTGATCGAGGCGCCGTCGAGCCGGAGGTCCGTGTCTTGCAGGGCCGTCGACAGGCCGTAGAGCGACGGGTCGAGTGGCTGCGGGGGAAAGTTCCACTTTAGCTCGTACAGCGGGAGGTCTGTCTTGTCGGCAATGGCGGAGAGCAGGTCGGAGACGGCGGCCTTGTCGTCGAGCTGGAGCGTGTGCTGCCCGTTGGGCGCTTGGAGGCGGATCCGGATGGGCATCGTGGTGTGGCAGTGCGGAGAGCGAGCGGAGATGGCAGCGATGCGCGGGAGCCGACCGAGGCTACGGGGAGCGGTGGGGGTGTCGGTGGGGGTGTCGATGGGGGTGTCGACGGGGACGGGGACGGGGACGGGGATGGGAATGGGAATGGAGATGGAAACGGGGATGGAGATGGAAATGGAGATGAGCGTGTGGACGGACGTGTGAATGGACGTGTGAGCAGTAAACAGTGTATTGCAAGAGCATCGTCTGTCGCCGCCCCGACGTCGCCATTGCGGTCGCTGGCCGACGTGGCGCGCGTGGGTGAATGTTCCGGAAGCAGGTGGTGGGTCGGCGGCGGGAAGCTAGCCCCCTGCAGCGCGCGGGCCTCTCGACAGTCCTCCCCATGTCGCGTTAACGTCGCGTCGCCAACGACTTTACAGCTGGCGACTCGGCCGCCGCGCTCTCGCCTCTCGCCTCTCGCGCTCTCGGTTCCGCCGTCGCGCTCTCGCCTCTACCACTGTCGCGCTCTCGTATTCTCCGCCGTCGCGCTCTCAGCTTCTCCGCCGCCGCACTCTCGCCCCTACCACCGCCGCGCTCTCGGTTCCTCCACCGCGCACTCGCCTCCACCATGGCGTCCGCTCGCGCGCAGAGCTCGACGCCCGTGCCGACCACCGAAAAGGCCGACCCGGGCGTCGACGGCGCGGCGTCGACGGTCACGGCGGCCGAGCACAAGGCCATGGGCGACGTGCTCGCCCGCATCTACGACTACAGAAACGCCGACGGCTACGACCCGACCAAGCTGTTCCAGCGCAAGGTCAACAAGCGCGCCGTCCCCGACTACTACGACATCATCAAGGAGCCCATGGCGCTCAGCACCGTCAAGGGCCGCGTCGCGGCCCGCGACTACAAGAGCTTCTCCGAGTTTGTGCGCGACCTCGCCCTGATCCCCCACAACGCCCAGGTCTACAACCGCCAGGACTCGCAGGCGTACGTCGACGCCCTGGACCTGAAGAAGCTCATCGTCGCCGAGCTGCAGGGCCTGGTCGCTGTCGGCACCGTCGCCGCGGCCGCGGCCGAGCTGCCGTACCTCGGCGAGATCCCCGAGCAGGACCCGCTGCTGCCCGACGACGACGACGAGGACGACGACGAGGACGAAGACGAGGAGCTCGAGCTCGAGCTCGAGCTCGACGACGACGACGACGACGACGACGACGGCGACGGCAAGCGCAAGCGGCGGCGCGCCGGCCCGCGGTCGACGGCAGCCATTGCCAAGCGCGAGGGCGGCGCCCGCGCGAGGGAGGAGCGCGAGAAGAACGACGACCCCGAGTCGCGCAAGAAGCGCGGGCGCCCGCCGCGCGTCGACACGCCCATGGAGGCCCGCATCAAGGCCATCATGAAGGCCATCCGCAAGCCGCGCAACCAGGCCAACAAGCTAATGGTCAGCGCGTTTGAGCGCGTCCCCGACAAGGCCGTCATGCCCGAGTACCACGCCGAGATCCGCACGCCCATGGCCATGGACATTCTCAAGCGCAAGCTCAAGCGCAAAAAGTACACGTCGGTCGACCACTTCATGGTCGACGTCGAGCTCATGTTTGAAAACGCCAAGCAGTACAACGAGGAGGACAGCCAGATCTACAAGGACGCCGTCCATCTGCACAAGGAGTCGCGCAAGGTCGCCAAGGCCGAAAAGGAGAAGCCCGACACGGACTTTGTCATGGAGGAAGGCCGCATCCCCATGCCCAACGGCATCCTGCACAACGGCGAGCTGTGGAAGGTCGGAGACTGGGTCCACGTCCAGAACGCCAACGACGTGACCAAGCCGATTGTCGCCCAGATCTACCGCACCTGGCAGGACTCGGAGGGCGGCAAGTGGGTCAACGCCTGCTGGTACTACCGCCCCGAGCAGACGGTCCACCGCTTCGACCGCCACTTCTTCGAGAACGAGGTGGTCAAGACGGGCCAGTACCGCGATCACCGCATCGACGAGGTCGTCGACCGCTGCTTTGTCATGTTCATCACGCGATACAACAAGGGCCGCCCGCGCGACTTCCCCGCCGACAAGGAAATCTACGTCTGCGAGGCACGCTACAACGAGGAGAACCACAAGCTGAACAAGATCAAGACGTGGGCGAGCTGTCTGCCGGACGAAGTGCGCGACAAGGACTACGTCATGGACCTGTTCGACTCGCAGAAGAAGCTGAAAAAGGTGCCCAGCCCCATTGCCTACCTGCTCAAGGACGACCAGAAGGAGACGGACCAGCTGCCCAAGCCCGAGTGGGGCGCGGAGAATGCGCCCCCCAAGATTGGCGCAGTGCACTGCCGGCCACGAGATCCCAAGGACTCGCCGCCGCCGGAGCCAACACCGCCTCCTCCGCCGACTCCGCCGCCCGCGCCTGCGCTGCCCACACCGGCCCTGCCGCGACAGGACCCGAGCAGCTACGGCGCCGGCGCATCCTCCAACTACCCCGGCGCCTCGTCCAACTACCCCGGTGCCTCGTCAAGCTATCCCGGCGCCTCGTCAAGCTATCCCGGTGCCTCGTCAAGCTATCCCATTGCTCAGGCGCCAGCGCCGACGCCCATGCCCGCGCCGACGCCACACCACCACAACATCCCCTCTGCCTACACGCCCACGCATCCCGGACACTACCACCACTCGCAGTCGCCCGCGCCTCACGTCCACCAGCAGGCGCCTCAAGCACCAGCATACCAGCCCATCACACCCCACGTTCCCTTTTCGCCACAGCCCGCGGCGCCAATGCAGCAGTATCAGACGCCGCGTGCAGCACCCGCCCACCAGCAGCCACACGTCCAGCCGCCGCCCGGCTACAAAGCGCCCCCGCCAGTCGAAGTCTACACCCTAAGCGACCACGCAAACGCGAGCATACCCCACGACATCCGCGAGCAGTTCCAGACGGACGAAAAGGGCCGCGTTCTGTTCTTCACCGCGCCGCCCCTCAACATCTCGCAGCCCCTGACCCGCGACGGGAGGCCACTCGGCCACTCGGCCGCCTACCTGGCTGCGCGCGCGCGTCGCGAGAAGGCCAGGGCGGCGAAGAGGAACGCCGACGTCGCGGGCGCGGAGGCCCGAGAGGAAGCGGCCAAGAAGGCGCGTCGCGACGACGACGGGAGGCTGGACAGGGCCGTCGCCAATCTGCACGCCAAGGCTGTCCACGCGCTCGAGCAGCAGCTGGCGAGCGCGACGCGGGCTGAGCTGCAGACGCTGTTCGACGGTCGCACCAGGGCGGGTGTGGACAGCGTCGTCGACGAGCTGGTGCGTGTGCAGGCCCGCGCGGCGCGGAAGAATGCAGACCGCGATTCGAACGCGGCGGCGAGAGAGGCGCGGAAGAGAATGCGCGTCACGGGTATGACGGCCAGACTGGAGGAGAGGATCTGATTGTGTTTGGGTGTGCTTTTTGTTGGTGGGCTGCGTGGTGGTGGTGGTGGTGGTAGTAGTAGTAGTAGTAGTAGTAGTAGTAGTAGTAGTGGTAGTAGTAGTGGTAGTAGTAGTAGTAGTAGTAGTAGTAGTAGTGGTAGCGGAATGATGACTGTACTCCAACTACGAATACTCCAAGTTTCTGCCTTCCAGATTCTCGGCTGCTCTCGTATATACAAAGTACACGCTTCCCCCGACGGCTCAGGCTCGTCTCCTTCCCCGCCACCCGCTGGCTTTGCTGGTCCTTTGTCGAGGCTGGTGCTTTGTCGAGGCTGGTGCTTTGTCGAGATGCCTTGTCGAGACGCCACACAGTCATCTCAGAGGTTGGGTTCATGGTCTGGTATTCTGGACTTTCTACCGACGGGCGCGGCACCTGTTCGATCAGCGAGATGCGAGTCAAGCACGCGTGGGTCAGCCGCGAGGGCCAGCTGCGAGGGCCAGCCGCGAGGTAGGTTACGTATCGGTCCAGGACAGCAGTCAAGCCCAACCCTCCGCACGACCAGTGAACCGCATACATGTGAAGCACACGTGTTGATTTTTATTTTTTCTTAAAAATTCGTCAGTCGTTAATCGTGAGTCGTCAGACTATGGAAAGCTAGTTATTCGGCCCAGTGAAGTTGCCAATAAACACAACCAGAATCGCACAGTACGCCGCAGACGCAGCGAACATTTCGTGTCGCGCGGCCTTTGTCAGCACCGACATGGCTGCGCTGAACAGCAGCGTGAAGACTATCAGTACCCCGACGGCGTTGAAGGTGTTGCGGTATGTGTTTGCGGGCGTGCTGCCGTCCATTGTGATTGTGCTTGTTAGTTGGTACATGGTGACTGCGGGGCTGAGTCAGTGGGCGGAGCTGGCGTGCGTCCTTCGAGCTGGGTGTGACGTACCGATTGGGACGATCAGGAGGATGAAGATCACAAAGGTGATGAATATGTTGACCATCTTGTCGATGCGCGTTGCGCTGTACAAGGAGATGTCCGTGTTCTTCGTCTTCGCGGCAAGCTCCGGGGTGCGGAAGTACTTCTGCAGCAGCGTGAGCAAACGGCGCAGCCTCAATCACAGGGAAAGGCGAGCCGTCTTACCAGAAGCGGAGGCTGCTTGAGGTTGAACCATTTCTGAACGGTTCCGTCGATCTGCCCTATCAATGTCTCCACGCCCCCGTCAAACGCGGCTCGCTCGCGACCCGTGCTGATGGACACTATGTCTTCTTTGCAGCGGACGGATTCCATCTCGGCATCCATGAGGGGCTTGGTGTTGTGGTGGTACCGACGAACACTGCGATAGTCTCGCTCAGATGGTCTCTGGAACGACTCGAGTGTTCTGACTTTGATGAGGACCTCGTCTGCGCTCTGGATTAGAATCAAAGTCTTGATACGTATTGCAACGACTTCGTACCATATTCCATAAGCTTCGCCCTGATGTCGCGTAGCACGGTTCTTCGAGTACGCACGTCGTCTTCTTCGCATAGATGTGCTTCAGCTGCCTTCATCCGCGGAAGATCTTCGTCCTCCTCCTTCTCATCAAAGTCCAGTTGCTCAAGCTCGTCTTCCAGCTCGGTGAGCTCACCTTGTAGGTCCAGCAACACACGAGAATGAAGATAGCTGTACGATCGGTACAAGCCGAAATTAGGGTCGCTCGCCTGGAACGCTGCAAGCCTGGGGAACCCATTGGGCGTGTTCTCCACTGTCACCTCTGTCAGCGCGCACGTTGCGCCTTGATCGTTCTCCACGGCCTTACAAGTTCTAGTCTTCGTTTCGGTCACAAACTCGGGTTCTGGCGTTGCTTTGAATGAGCTCGTCACCCGACGGAAAAAGCCAGGGCGTTTTGCGGGGCCTGATACTCTGTCAGCCTGTTCTTCATGCCAAGTGAATGTATCTTTGTGGCCTTGCCAAGCAGACGGGAGTCGAGCATCGACAAGACAGACCAGCCGAATTGACCAAAACGTCTGGTCATTCGAGGGGAAATTGTCTCATCGCTTGCGGCAGATTGGGGGCCGCAACCGAGGGCCACCTACCAGGCTGTGCATCATCCTTCTCAATGGGCTGTGAGCAGAGAGGTGGACTCGAATGTGCGACATCTCTAATCTCAATAATCACATCGCCCCTCAAGGTCGAAGTGTCGGTGTTTGTTGGCGATATTGGAGTTCGTGGTGTCTTTTCGTCAGCGGGACTGCCTCCCGTCATGGTGTGCGATGGGGCCATTGCGGGGTGAGGGCGAACAGGCAAATATAACACACAGCGACTGTGATCAAAAGCGTCTGTGATCAAGAGCGACTCTAATCAACAGCAAACTCTGATCAACAGCGACTGTGATCAAAGCGGCTGTGGTCAAAAGCGGCTGTGGTCAAAAGCGACTATGATCAACAAAGCGATGACGGCAACACGCGTGGCCAGGAAAGACAGTAGTCGAAGTAGCTTAGATAGATGTGGCTTAACATCAGCATCTGTGGCTCAAGCACCCTCTTGTAAAGAGCTGTAAATTGGAGATGGCGAGGAAAAGAAAGGATCCTTGCGCTGGACCACCCGCTTCAGCCCCCATGTACCACCCTCGACATCACAATCCATTGGTGGACGTGTCGCATTCAGCTGCCTAGCATTCATCGACCGGTAAACACTGCCACACCCACTGTCCATCTTCTGCTGCGCCTCATCAGGCACCGGGCCTCAGATCCTTCTCACGGATACCAGCACCGTGTCTGTACAGCTGATGCGAGAGAGAATCTAGCACCTGGTATTCCACCCAGCCCTTGGGGTTGTAAACCGCGGCGTGAATGGTAAAAATACTCTTGATACGTTGGCCGTTTGTAATTGTCGCCGTATGCACCACGTCGCCAGTCCTGTATTTTGCACTGGCCTGCCGGCCTGTCAGTATTGCTCTGTATTGCGTGCATGGGTATACCGACCAAGACTTCATTCTTCGTAAGGCGAACACCTGATTTCGTGTCCGGAACTTCATCGTTCGGCGGTTCTTGTGAGCGCTCGTCCTAAGCGGTTAAATCAGCGTCAGGAGGTGGCGAGGGTCTCAGCGCGGCACGACCGACCTCGATGGCGTGAGCGGGCTGATCCTTGGTCTCGAATGTAGCCATTGTCTTGCGCTGGAGTGAAGCAGAAGCAATATCGTCCTTGGTGAAGCCGTCGGAGACTCAAAGGGCCTTGTAAAGGGTGCCCTTCAAGAGATGGGCCTTGCCTAGCAATAAAATACACCGGTTGCAGCAGGCCTCCCAGGCAATTGATAGCTGTGCCTAGGTCTACAGAATGATTTGGCCCCCATTTCAAGCAGATCATCTTGCACAGCCGCCTCAACGCTTGCACAAGTTCTATCGATGTAGGCTTTCCGCACCCCTTGTTTGAGCACCCGCTGTCAGCGCAAGGGACATCATGGCATGGACGCACAAAGGCCTGTCAATGACGTTGTTAGGTGCAAATGGTACAGCGGCGAGCACAATCGGTTTTCCGGACTTGGGTCAGCTTTGATCTCACCGCACGGTCCATACGACAGGGATCATTCCACACCCGTGCAAGTGGGTTGCAGGGGTGCTCGTGTAATGTATCTTATGTATGAAAACAGACGAGACTAGTCATCAACAAGGTGTAACCTTTTATTATAGTCTTATGGCATAGAAAAAAAAACACGACAACAGCGAGAATTTCACTTTTTGGAATTAACGTAGTTCAACGCGCGCAAAACGTCCGCTAGAGACGGCTTTCGACTAGCCAGCACTCAGAAGTAGCGCCCACTGCTGCTGAGGCGTCATGGCGACACCGTGGCCCCGACGGTCGACCTGGCCCATCCCAATAGACGAGCATGCTACCAACCTCAGCGCTTTCCTTCGCGAGGTGCTGTCGCTGATCGAGCGCAACGGAGGCCAACAGTCTCTGCCGGCAGACATCGTCGGCGACATCATTCGAGGCGCATTGACGTTCGTACTGAAGACGCAGCACTCCCCCGACCTTAGCAGCCTCAGCAACGCTCTCAACGTCGCGCGAACTGAGGCCAGAGCAACGGCAGAAAGCACGGCGCAGACCCTCGACCAGATCAAGCAAGAGCTCAAGTCCACCGTAGAACTCGTACAACAGTCCGCAACAAAGATACAACAGAATGGCAACACAGCAGAAGAGGCGAGGGCAGCAGCCAAGGACGCCACAGAGGTGGGTAAAGCGACGCTAGAGATCGCGCGAGAGATCAGGAACAAAAGGCCACAAGAGCAGGCGAACGGACCAATGAGCTACGCGGCAGCAGCAGCTAGGGGTGTCCCACTAGCAGGTACATACAATGCACAAAGTGTCAAACAGCCACCTGCGCAGACGCAGCGTGAGGTCATTATGAATATTAGAGACCCGCTCACCATACAGAGCCTGAGAGCTATGAATCCTAGCAACCTTAAAGTGCATGTCCAGCGTGCTATTGAGCAAAGCGGCAATGAAAACATAGTCAACGTGAAGATTGTCTCATCTAACCAGCTGAAGAGCGGAGACCTGAGCATCAAGACAGCAAGCAGCAGCGAAGTCGAGGCGCTACGACAGTTTGCGGACGACTGGGCCCACCGCATTGGCAGTGGGACTACAGTGCAGATCCCGACGTTCGGCGTCCTCGTCCACGGCATACGCACGAGCACGATGGACATGAGCAAGCTCGACAAGATCAGAGCGCAAATACTGCAGGACAACCAACCGTTCATACCCCGGGCGGAGATAAGACACATAGGCTGGCTCACCAGAGACGCTGCTGCTAAGACAGCAACGACTATCACTATCGAGTTCACCAAACCAGAGGATGCCAACAAGATCATCGACGAAGGTCTGGTCTGGCAGGGCGAGGTCTTCCAGTGCGAGCGATATGAGCGACAGTGCCGAGTGAAGCAGTGCTTCAAGTGCCAAAGATACGGCCACATAGGAACCCAGTGCAAAGCAGCAACAGCATGTGGCCACTGTGCGCAGGAGCACGACACCCGCGACTGCCCATCGAGGGCTGGACAAGCCGTGACTAGGAAATGTGCTGCCTGCCGCGGCGAGCACGAAGCGTGGAGCCGCCAGTGCCCAACCAGGAAGGACGAGATAGCCAAGGCAAGGACCGCGTACGAGATGCGGCCACGCTATCACCACGTTCCGCAAACAGCCAGACAAAACGTGCAGAT